GCATTGTGTGTGGGTTTCTGTGCACAGGATGGCAGTGGGTTGGGGGTGCTGTGCAGGATTTTGGATAAGGTTGGAGCTCTGCCAGGGGATGGATGGAGGAGTCTTTTTTGCAGCATATTGTTAAAAATACCTATATTCCCCCGAGGAACCAAGTGTGCGCTGGTTTTCAGTTTTTCTGGCTCCTAGAAGGAAGCAGGTACATGTTTGGGGGGAAAAAAACGAATTGTTGATCAGCTTGACTTCACCCTGCTGCTGCTGCTCAGCCAGGTCTGGCCAACACGGCAGCTATGATGAATGTCTCATCTCCAGGAATACATCACAAATAGCAAAACTGTACCTGCCCTGAATAGCAAAGTCTGTTCTCTTCTGCGCTGTTGTTCCAAAACAATTGCACACAACGGGGCTCTTTTGTCCCTGTGTTCACAGTTTTGCAGGCCAGCTACAGCAAAACAATGCTGTCTCTTAATCTTTTGTCGATTCATAGTCTTCCTTTTTTTTTAAATGTGTGAAGAGGTCAGAGTATTTTTGGAGAGCGCTGTAAAAACAGAAGAAAGGAGCTCTAGTGAAAGTGTTTTAGCCGCAAAGTGTGTTTAAATTGGAAATGATAATTAGTTATTCAGGGTTTGAAGGCTGACTTTGAACACGCTGCTTTGATAGATTTTTATCTGCCCGGTGAAAAGAGGAAAAGATGGTTTGTGTCAGCTTCAGCTCCAAGCTCACAAGTGTGACTGTGAGCGAGGGGAGAATCAGGAGGGCTGGAAAGTCCTCCTAGTAAAATGGTGAAACTGACTGGTGAGCTGTCCTAATTGGCAAGGAAACAGACAACCAGACGAGCGGACAGACCGACTGACTACTGTCCAAAAAACCACAAAGTCAGTGATTAATACCCTAGGAAGAGAAGGAAATAAATGCACATGCACGCACACACAGACAGTGTCAACACAATCGCACGGATCGTTTTTCAATCTCATCTTTTTAATGGAAAAAAATGAGTCGAAGGAAGAGAGCAAAAACTGGTAAATTGAGAGAGTGGGATGAATTCACAGAGAATGACTGACAGCAGTTATGACAGCATTGCGGTCACAGTCCACATTTCAAAGCATTCCCAGGTACCAGAAAGAGAAAAAGAGAGACAGAGGGGAGAGGGGGAGGGGCTAAAAAATGTCCAAGAAGATTTCATCTTCCTCCAAAGGTAAAAAATACAACTGAAAAACTCATCTTTATCCAGTGTCGTTTACAACAGACAATCACATTGAATTGAAAAATTCCAAGTTAAAAATGAAAAGTGCGCCTGCACTCACACGCACACATACTTACAATTACTGTCTTCTTTTTGGGACATGAACAAAGAAAAGTGCAAGCAAGATCACACAACGACAATTTACAAGAGAGGCCTCCAGCAGCCTGAAGTCTCAGCTGATCGAGCCGGGCCATCGGCTTTAAAAAAGGGTGAGGGGGGGTGACGGGGGTGAGGGTGTCAGCCTGAGGCCTGGAGGTTCCTTTGTTTGACCCGCTCACCTCCCACCCCCATCACCATCTTGGTTTGTCCATTTGTACAGAGAAAAAGCTCAAGTCTCATTAAATAACCACACCAGCTCCCCAAAACCCCCCAACATGGCGTCCCCACCCGCCCGAGATAGTACAATCAAAATTAGTTTGACTCCGCCTCCACCTCTTCATAAGTGCCATTTAAACTCCCCATTTAAAGGCTTTCCAGTTACCAGCATCCTTATCCTCATCTTCTTCATCATCATCATTATTATTATCATCATTATACACTCAACACACAAACATTTCTGTGATTTTAAGTCTACAACCCCATCTCCAAAACAGATCAACGATGGTTTGCACATAATTTAAAGCCCATATTTGACAAAAACAGAATTAAAATTATAATACAGCAACAACAAAATATCAAGGTTATTGTTTTTATGAAAGATATTCGTTCATTTTAACGTCAGCAGCATGTTTGTCTTATGTTGTCAGAGCAACAACAGCTGGAGGAACATCTCCAAACTAATGAGGTCAATCAAAAAGTTGAACTACACTTTTATTGAAACACTGGCCTTAAATGATTTGCAAACTTTCAGATTAAGTTTTATCAACTTTCTTCACAGCGACTCTTGAAGCTGGAGTTGTAGCATCATCAATAAAAATCCATTTCATTAAACTCTCTCTGCTCCAACACTCCTTATCAGGGTGTTGGCTCTGATTGTTTACTGGAAATAAACACTTTGATTGGATACTGTTGGTTTTGCTGGTATATAACACACACTTAAGATAACTATGATATGAATCAGCACTCTCTCCTCTCAGTGCATTCTGGGAAATCTGCACACTAAACGTTTCTGGTCTTTTTTAAGCTTAACTCAACATTTTGTCTTGCAGCAGTGCTGTGCCATGCAGAATGAACTAAGGAGAAAATGTCTGCTATACAAACACTTTGATATTTTGGTTCAAATTACTTTTCTTTGACCTTCAGTGGTTTTACATACACACACATACACACAGAGAGGCATACACACCTGGAGAGCAAATGCAGCCATACTGTGCAAAATGTGACACAGGTTATAAAACCAAACAATAACACAAATAGAGGATGAAAAGGTTAAAGGTTATTTCTCAGAATTCAAAGAAAGGAAGGCTGACAGTATCAAAATATGGAGTCAGAAACATCTCAGGTGTCATTCATGCATCAGTGGAGTAACTCTGAATTGAGGGCAGCACAGTTTTTCCCCCATATGTCGATCTACATTAGACTGCAGTCCAGGTACATTCTCAAAAGCCACCTGATCCTGTGATGAGACGTGATGCAGCATTTCAAAGACAAAGAAAAACCAACCAAATTCAACCTGTTTCATTTTCTGATATGTACAGGAGAATATGAAAGACAGTATGACACAGCATTTTGTTGCCCTTCATTAAATTCTTCTATTTACAGCTATTGTCTCTAAGCTTAAAGCTCACAGATCAATGGATGGACATCTCCTCTCTCTTTGCAAACAATGCAGAACAGTACAAACATCCTCCCAAAATGGCACCTTTACTAGACTGAGCACACCATGTCTGCCTCGAGGAGTTCAGTCTCACATACTGGGCTTTTGGGTGAAAGAAAGACTTTATTTCTCAGTGCAAAGTCCAAAAAATGAAGCTGTTTGATTTTGGCCAACTGAGCTGAGTCTGAGCAGTCTTAGTCTTAGGGCTGGGTTCTTCTATGGGAGCAGACAGGTGTGAACTGACAGAAAAACAGATGCAGTAATGATGCGTTTCCACCGAGCACTAAACCCCAATCTTACTCACTTTTACACGTAGTAAGCATGTCGGCCTGAATGGTGGGATTTTTGGCATACATGTTCACAGATCGGACTGTTGATGTGGGCAGCACATTTCACTCAGTTATTACTGAGGGTTGCATTAAAACACAACATGGTTGTACTTGCTGAAGCTTTTTAAAGCAAAACCCTGATCTGTGTTTCTTGCAGAGGGACTCTTCCCTCATTTTCATGCAATACTTTGACAGTTACTTGGTAAGAAAGCTTTTCATCCTTTGTGATCTCCCTCTCCTTTTGCATGCATCTTTATGTCCTTCTCTCTGCTCAGTTGCATCCTAACGTAGAGGTGAAAAAAGTAGGATGGTACAGATTGTTCCTAACTTTTGGTTACAGAAACGCGAATAATCATGCACTGTATTAAACAGCGCCACTTGATGGAAACAAGCCAAAGGTGACAAAGCTCCTTATTTTACCTAGCAAGACCTAGTGTTCTTAAACAAAAACGCTAATTGACCATAACTCTTGAACTTCACTCATTCTGGTGTGAAACAGAACCTTTTTTTCTGTCTCTAAGCTGGTTATTTTCTTCAAGTTTTAAACTAAATATGAAGTGAAGAGGTGGCTTAAGCTACAGGAGTTTTTCAATAATAGATGAAAGCCACCGTCCAAGGCAGAAAAGCGGATGATTGGATATTTAGAGGACGTATTTTTGGTGATGTATCGCTCTAAAGCGGCTACAAAAGGGCTGAACGCGGCCTGTGTATCTGTAGATGAATTTAAAGTCAAAAACAGTAAATTTATCTTTCTGTTGTTAGCTTAGCCTAGCTTGGCACAAAGACTGAAACAGCAGACGGCTGCCAGCAACTCTAAAGCTCACTTTGTTTTGCTTCTTTTTTTTGACTTCATATCTTTTACAGGATGTTTCAGGGGTATTTTGCCTCAAAGATGTCGCACTTGTTCTAGTTGGCCCTGACTTTGGACTCTAGACTTCAGGGGTCTAAATGAAAGACTTTTTCACTTCTGCTGTAATTCAGTTACAGGAAAGCCCTGACCTCTTTACATTCACGTTACCTGCTGCTCAGTCGCCTCTCCACCCAACACGAAGTAATCTAAACAAATTCCAGAACTCAGACTAACTCTCACACACAAACACACACACACACACACACACACACACACACACAACACACACACACACACACAGTTTGAAACACACCCAGTTTGGCCAAAATAGTTCATATCACAAACACATTATTGCGAATTAAGTGTGCTTTCTTCTCAATTTCAATCAAAAGTCTTTAAAAACAAACAAAACAACATCATGCAAATGAGACAGAAATAAAAAAGGAACCTTAAAAAAAGTTTTGGGGCTGGGCAAAGATCTCCACTGTCCACACATCCATCTACATTCTGAGCACACAGACGATACACACCAAGCACCGGGAGCGTTTCAGTCCGGCATCGGCTTCACAGTCATTGTTTCACGGACAGAGAGGGCGGATAAAGGTCAGGTAGAGGATTTATGAGAGGGGCTAAGCCTAAAACGTCATTTTTAAATACACTGTTTGATCAGAGATAGCTGATTAGAGAAAAAATCCACCCCCCTCTCACCTCCAGATCACATCTGGACACTGAAATCCTTAAGCGTCAGTCCCAAAATGCATCATTTATCTGTGGAGACCACATGCAAGGAGAGAGGACCCAGTGAGGTCAGAGAAAGTTCCTGACCTAATGCTCATTGTTCGGCAGTGAGGAGGAGGGATTTTCAGGGTGGAGATAGAGAATCAGTCTGAATTCTGTACAATTCTTCCCCTCCTGCCTGCACAGAGGCAGCCGGCCCTGCAGACAAACACAAGAGTCCAACGCCTGGTCTCTGCTGGGAGCAGGAAAGGACTGAGGGAGGGGGTGAAATTTTGGTTAGTGTATATTTCACAGTTGGCTAACGCTGAAACATACGGCTCCGTGGTTTTTGCAGAGTCTCCCATGCCCTGTCCTCGGCCTTACACCTATCCATCCTATTAATTCTCACTCACACTTGACGGAGTTGCAGCTGAAGATCATTAGGGCTCTTCTGAGGGCCCTTAAGAGGGTTCCTGTGGAGTAGTCTGCCTCTGAAGTGCCCTTGGCAGACTGGAGTGAGTATCTTGCTAGCAAACTTACTGCCAGCTGATGAATCCCTTAGTCCAGACGGAGCAAGAAAGGCGGGACGGGTGAGGAAATGGGGGGCGGGGTCAGGTCGAGCACATCGGGGAGGACGTCCAAAGATGAGTGCAGTGTGCTCGGACATGTCAAAGGTCACCAGGGTGGAATGAGGAGGGGGAAAAGGAGGAGGACAAGGGGGCAGCGAAGGGGGATGAAGAGGAGTTTTGGGAGAGGATGAAGGGCCAAGAGGATGAGGCTCAGCTCCAGCAGATTAAGTGAGGGTGATGTAGGCTGAGGCCTTTTCCTTCAGTTGTCTCAGACACAGATGACAGCTCCAGCTCCCTGTACGACACACACACACACACACACACACACACACACACACACACACACACACACACACACACACACACACACACACACACACACACACACACACACACACACAAACAGATCAGAAGTTCAATCACTGCTATTGTAAAGCCTTGTGGATTAATGCCTCATTTTAGACAGAGCATTAAGTAATACTGTAAATTAAAGCTGCGTGTTGAAACACCACAAGCTGTGCCCGTGGTGTGCGGATGCCGGGGATTTGACGACTAGTTTAGTTTGGATTTGGGCAGGGGATTTGTGACATTAATTAAACATCAACTTCAGATGGATGTTTAAATGTGAATCTCAACCTTTTAGACTTCAAAGTGCGTGTGCACCCTGCTGTACTCAGCCTCAAGGTGTTTTATGAGCATCAAACACACAGGAGTGCGTTTAAAAATATAAGTTTGCCAAGCGTTGGGTCTCCTCTGCAGACTGAATCCTGCTGTTGAATTTTCCTGTTGATCAGGAGCTTTGCATGTGTGGGCAGAGCGTGACACTGTTGGTGAGTGTCGAACACGAGTGGCACTGCTGTGTATGTTCAGACAAGTGACATTTTTGCCATGGAAACAGATTATCTCTCCTACCACTCATTACCATGACAACACAATCAAATATCCGACGGCAGCCATCTTAAGAGGAGAGGAGAAATGACAGCTCACTTTGATTGGCTGTACCTGCTCCAGTGCTGCAGAGGGAACCAGCCCTGCTTCTTTCATCCAGATTAAAACCATCCCACAAAGAGACCCAGACCTCCATCTGTCCCAATTCAGCCACTCTTTTCATTATTTCACTCCTAAAAGTCAACTCAGAGACGGCCTGACTATGCTGGCCCCAGGTTTTCACTCTCCTCAGTGATTGTCTCCCACCTACAGCACAGACAGTTACATAATTCAGTGCAAACACCAAACTGTCCTCAGCGGAGCCCAGCAGAGACGTATGATCAAACACAGGTCTGTAAATCCAGGAAACCTTCTTAAAAACACTTTGGAAACCTCCGGTCTGTGGTCGTTCCTCTTAACGCTGCCCGTATTCTCAGAGTTATTTGCGGGGCTGTCAATAAGTAACACCTCCCAGGGTGCACACTACAAGATTATCTCACTGATTTTGGCCTGAAGCCTCACTTTTGACAAACACCAACAAAAGCCTGATTGTCGTACGGTTGTGAGGAGGATCTTGTCGGAGTATCCTGTGGTGTGAGGTGTGTTAAGAGGGTTTTTCTTCCCTCTGTTTTGGCTGTCATTCTTCTTTAGGGCTGGGTTTAAAGTTCAGGTTAGTTACACTTACTTCTCAAAGTCAATGACGCTGTTGCTCAGTGTGTTTACACGCACAGTTTAGTAAAGATTCAGTTAAAACTTTATAAGGTGATCCAACTGAATCGATTTATTGACAATCATCTGTCCTCACTTCTGTTTTAATGGACCTGAACTGACCCCAAGATCCCAGTACTACTGGTAAGATCCTGGGCTGAAGGACGCCAGGACAGCAGTGACAAAGAAACTGAGATTCTGGGGTCAGTTCTGGTCTAAGGTTGGAGAAAATGTTTTGATTCTTGGCTCATGTTTGATACGACTGAATACTGAAACTCTTACTGGGATAATGTGTGTATATATACCAGGTTGATATATGTGTGAGAGCTAAATGTGCTGCAGCAGTGTATTCATTTATAGGTTGTGCAGTTGTTAAGGTGGCCGTAATGTCAATATTGGCCTTGACAGTGTGCATGCAATGTGTATAATTCTTGCTTCCCATATCAAGTGCTGAGAGCTGCTTTCAGAGAACTAACATCGAAATGATCTAAAACACCAAGACCAGAGGTAGAGGACTAAACTGAACAAGTGGACTGAGGCAGAAGAGAATAGACGTTTTAGTGAGGAGTAAATGTAACTAAAGGCTATCATATCATACATACCCTCTGGAGGTTCAGACATGGGGGGGCTCAGACAGTACATGTGGTAGCCTCTGTCACAATCATCACAGAACAACAGCTGGTCCTAAAACAGAGGAGAAAAACTCATATTAACACATGTTATCATGTCAGGACGGGTCTGAGAATCATTGATGTGGACATCAGTACATGTGTGGAGTATTGAGAATGTGTGTCTTAATCAATATAAATAAATATAAATCATGGGTATGTGTGATATGGATATATGCCGCTTTATATATCTGAGCTGTTGCTCTTTCGTGAGCAGTGAAAAAATGGAGAAAAGCTCAGAAAATATCAAACCATCAAAGTGTCTGTTCAAGAAGTGGACGTAGTCACAGAGACCCCACCCTTTGGTTTGTGAAAGCCCCTTTAACCCCCCCCCCCCCCCCTTTTTTTTTTTTTTTTACTATTGATCATTGTGCAGTGTATCTGTAAGCTGTGCATACTTAAGTTATTCAGCATCGATGTTGCTGTATGTCCATGTTGAGTCAACAAATAAATAAATGAATAAATTTGAACACGGAGGATGCTCACTGGTGTGTCTCGTTATGGTTAGCCACTCTTCAAAACAAGCACTCATTTACTCACAGCTTCATTAAAAATATCAACATCATATTAAAAAAAAATGTTGCATTAAAATGACTGATTTATACTGAAGGTAAAAAGTTAACTTATTTCTCATCAAAGAATCAAACTTTGATTTACGATCTTTTAAGTCACCCCCTGCTGGCCATTTCAATGAAAGCATGTCTTTAAACTTAAAGCCACAGCCCCCTCTCTCTTACATCTTATGGCATATGCATGTCTAAATTTGTGTGTCCAAAAGGATCAAATCTGTTTAATTCCCGTGAGGCTGACTGGATAACGGATGGCAGAGAGTAATGGAGTGGTGGAGAGTCAGGAAAAGCTTGTGAATCTAAACTAACTTATGATCGAATTTAATGATATAAGACATAAACAGAGCTCCAAGTTCCTGTATGTCTTCTCCTTCCCTTTTTGGTGTGTGATGATGGAGCTACTTTCAGTTTAATATCTAAATTATGTTTTAATATCTGCACTTAATAGATGGTTCAGTCAGAAAATGTAATATGACATCTGTCAGAGCTATGCTAACACTGCTGCTGTCTTTGTTTCACTTAGATCTCTCTCTCTCTCTCAGTGCACCATGGGTAATGTATTTTTCAGTTTTGCTGTGATTCTCTAAGAGAAGCTGTATCATGCAGAGGACAGGTAAGGTAAAAGTGAAAAAAAAGTTCTAAGTTGTGCAACAGGTTTTTCAGTTTTCCAGTGTAGTATACCACCAAAAGGGGGGCTCTGCCGCAGAAAAATAAGGCCAGCATCAAAGTCCATAAGACCCCATATTAAAATGCTTATTTTAATTAGACAGCCTGGTACTTAAACCCTTTTATTACTTTATCTATATACTCTGTACACAGTAAATTTATTTATAGCTCAAGTGTTTCTGATTAGACTACAGCTGAAAGTTGAGTGTGGGTGTGTCCTTTTGACGTGACACTTTTGTAGGTGTTTCAGATCCCCTGAGCTGCAGGTTGGGTCAGCATTTTCAACATGGTGACTCCCATTACTGGACTTCAGAAACCATCGAGTGACGCTGCTGAGACTACATCCATGTTCTACAGCATGTCTGCGGTTGTGTCATGTGGTGTGTGTGTAAGTGAGTGTGCACGTGTGTGTGTGTGCAGCCACATGTGTCTAGTGCTAACATGTAGTATAGAGTGCGATCCTACGTCGTTCTCAGAGGTGCCACACAGACTGCAGGACTTGCACTCGATGCACTGCCAGCGATAAGTCCTCACCGCAGCCGTCATGTTCACTGTGAACTGCAGACAGGATGGGTGGCCTGGGCGCACACACACACACACACACACACACACACACACACACACACACACACACACATATATATGTACAAACACACACACACACGGGCACACACACACACACATCCATACAATGTTTTTTTTTTTTTAACCATTACTCCCTGCACCTTGAGGAGTCATTCATCAGCAACTGCTGAACCAATCCCCCGCCCCGTCTGCTTCATTAGGATATTTATCAGTGACTCTTTGCAGATCTTCTCAAAAATATATATACTTGATTTCCTCAGCTATATTTCTTTTTATACTAGGGACTATTAAATTGTTGAACAAGTCTTATCACAGTTCAAAACAACAGTGACCCCCTCCACTGCAGTCTACTTCAGATGTAAAAGAGAAAATGCAGTCTTTCTCCCTCTCTGTGGCTCTTCTTGTCCTATTATTACACCGCTTCCTGGTACTTGCTATTCTATGAACATGACAATAGAAATACTGTTATATCATCCTCATTTTCTGACCTCCATATTTCTTCTTAGTGGGTGTTTTTACAGTCGAGGACCATACCAGTGTTTGCAAGCTGCAGCCCATTCACTACAAATCACGTACATCTTTTCACATGTTTTTATTTCCAGTTGAAAAGAAACATAAGGCGGAAATATAGGTATGTACAGTACATGCAATCAGTTATTAAGTAAACAAAATGTGCACCGCATACACTGCAGTTAATGCATACAGCAGTAATGGATACAAACACTTTCATTAACAAAAACATGGAGACTTATACTGAGATAAATAAAATGCAATCACATTTAAAAAATAAACTTCAGCTCTTCTGAAGTTAAAATCACAGCATACTCTGTCTGCTCATAGAAATAGACAATGCTTTATAATATCATAACTGTGCAGCAGGATACTGAACATGAAGCCAGGATTAAAAAGTCTGCAGCAGACAGGGTTTTATGACGTTTCGTTTATTTTTAGGGTGGCTGACATGTGACACCAATATAACATTATAATAAACCAGATTTAAAAAAATAAATAAATAAAAGAAGAATCAGCAAAAACTCACAGCAAAGTTTGTGACATTACACCACTGAGGGGTGATGCAGTGCAACAAAATTACACTTACAGAAACTCATAAACATGACAGTAGTGATAAAAGCCGTAACAGCAGCCTGCAAGGACAATAAGATTCAAAAGTGACACCCCTGACTGCCTTTGCAAATTCCACAGGTGTTTTTAACTATGATGTAAGTTATCGTCGATACAAAGTAATTCTGCCTATTTTTTTGTTGTTGTTGTTAGTTTGAAACATGCATGTTTGTACTGTAGGTTTTGTGTCCTTCAGGGCCACCATCGTTTTAGAAAAAGTCATCCGTGGTCAGTTTTTAGTGTCTGCAGAAGTTTTTTTTTTTCAAACTGTACTCAAAAGAAAAGAAAATCCTCAAAAACTCATTTCAACAGTTGGCTTTTAATGAGGTTGAGTATTTGTACATGATTTGTAGCTGGGCAACAAGCAGGGATACCGGTATGGTCCAACTTTTTTGTAAAACAGGAATCAAAACTTTCATTTGTTTCAATAAGAAGTCTATTCTCAACAGCATGAAATCTGCGCATCAACAAAGGACCGCCTTCCTCCTGCCAACCATTCCCTCCAGCGGTGTCCTACCTGAGCGTCCACAGTCTGCACAGGAGATTAGGTCTTCAGGACAGCCCGTCTTCTTCGAGCCTCCGAGGCAGAAGTCACAGTAGCCGTTGGCGATCACAGAGCCGTCTGCTGCTTTCTTGGCTGAAAGAAGAAGAAAGAAAAAATGAGAGCCAGGTGAGAAAAGTGAGACTTAAGTTTGTTTCGGTACTCAAACGTCAAAGAGGGCTTCAGCTAGTATTTCCAGTCAGACCGTTTCTAAACAGAAGTTACCAGGAAACTGTAAACTTGTGGAAAAGCCTTATTTTTCAAACTAGCTCACCCTGATGCTCCCTGTTTCCTTTTTTGTCAGTGAAAAGCTTTGGGGTGTTTTGTGGGTTTTTGAACTGCCAGCTCAGGGTGGTGTGGCTCAGCTGAGTTTTGTCACGCTTATCATTGGCTTCTAGCAAATCTGGCTCTCTGTTGTGTGATGGGAAAGAAAACAAAACTGAGACCTTTGTAAAGTCACAGTGGTCATACAGTAAAGCACACTCAACAAAGAAATTCGGCTGCACAGACTGATTAATCATTTGTTGGGTCAATGTTCAAAAACTGCATCAGAACTTTGATTTTCACCATCTGTTGTAGTTTCTCTCTGAGCATGTGTCTATCATTTTATCCTAAATAATCTGACTGAAAACAAAATTTCAGATTAAAAACAATCAAATTTCCCCTCGGGGGTAAGTAAAGTTCTTCTTATCTTATCTTATCTGGTAAATACTTCAGAGATTTGAACACTGATTTGAATACAGCTTATTAGTAGTGGAGCTACACAATTCCCCTGAAAGTTTGAAGGTAAAGTCCAGGGTTCATGTGTTTAAGAAGCTTTAGTGCATGTATGTAAAGCCAGAACTATTTTGCCTCTGCAAAACCACACAACGCCATTACTAGGTTCTGAGTAAAAGCACAAAGATGCAAAGATGATGGAGCTTTGTTTTGGTAGTGCAAATTGTGACTGACAGAGTTTGGGCAAAAACAGAGCGATTGGAGGTGAAACTAGTGAGAAGAAAGAGAAACTGAATCCCTGCACACCATCCCTGCTGGACTTGGCGCTCCGCATCTCTTTGGTTCGTTTCCATTTGTTTGCCTTCCTAAAAACCAGGGTAGAGTGCAGGAGGGAGGATACGAGGAGGCACAGAGAGAGATAAATATTGTCAGAAGAAGAGGAGGTGGAAGGAGAGGGGGAAGTGAAGAAAGAGGGGAGAGTGATGAGTAGGTGTGTGTTTGCCTGGGGAGGTTGCCAGGACAGACCTGCCGTCACGCTGAGCGCGGAGAGGCAAGCGCTCCACGTGAAGCCGTTTCATAATGATTATTAACAAGAGAGAGATTCCCCCTGCCTGCCCGAGCGCTGTGTGTGCATATGTGTGTGTGCGTGTTTGTGTGTGTTTTACATCTACCCCCCCTTCTTGCATGTCTGTCTGTCTGTCTGTCTGTGTAGCTCTGCCTGCCTGTCTGCCTGCATGACTCTCTGCTGCTGATTGCATAATCACTTTAATGGAAGCAATCACATAAGCACTGCAGACTGTTTGGTATGTTTTCTCTCTTCTCTAAGATGCACAGCTCTGGACGGGTCCTCCACTATGACTCACCATGCAGGACAGAGCATCAGTGATTACAACAGAGTGGATTGCATAGGTACACACTCACACACAGACACGCACAGAATGCCAATCATCCAGCAGAAAGACAAAAGATAACGACACACACACACGCACACGTACGGAGGCATGCAGACAGACAGACAGCGCTGTAGGTGATGCTGCATGCGAGAGACAGGAGAGGTCATTAATCCATCCATTTCAGGGTGGAGACTGGTTTGGTTGGAAGGGGAAGGGCGTGGGGGGAAGAGTAAAGGGGTGAATTTGATGGGGGGGGAAAGGGTGAGAAGAGAAGGAGGAGTGATAGAGATTGGGTTTCTACTCCACAGGGTCTGGCTTTAATCCGCAGAGAAATAAAATAATAAAAAAACTCTCTGATCAGGATGTGAGACAGACAGACAGACAATCAGACAGACAGACAGACAGACAGACAGACAGAGAACAGGGGAGGGAGGGAGGAAGGGAAATGATAAGCTGTACCTGCTCCTGCAGAATTCAACAGGAGTGCACTGAGCATCATCCATAAAAAAGAAAGAGACTGCCATATACTGAGAGGAAGAGGCTGCACGACTTTACTGCTGGATTCTGCAGCAACAAAAAATCTGCTGCAGAAATAACTTAGCCACAATAACAGCCATCTTTGGCATCACCAAAACAATGTACTTAAAAAACTCATTACTATCTGTAAAATGACAAGATATACGATCAGAATGTATAATTGCATGGAGGAAATTTTGTCCTGCAGCTAAAAAATCATATTTTTTTGTACTTTTCCTTCTTTGTTGTTCTTAATAATCGCTCGTGCCGACAATAATAACACTGAGAGGTCCTGCTGGAGTCAGCCTTTTGCAGTGATGAGGGTTTCTTCATTAAAAGAAGATGCTGCACATCATCAAGTCTGTGTGCTGATGAGGGTTATGGAGATATCACCTGGTACTGTTTTTTTCTGCCTTTATTAAAAAGAAGCAGAACATGAGTGAGGTTAGTCTTATCAATGAATCTCCGTAATATTAAAGTTCATATACATAGTGATAGTCGTGACAGCAGTATTTAGGCTTTTTTAATCTCCATCTGTCGATCTGTTCAATTTGTGACTCTGTCACCCACTTTTGAGACTGATGCTCTTAAACTGGGCTGTAGCATCTTCTTGTTCCTGTAAAAAAAACTCTGTGGTCCACATGCAAGCCATTTTCATGTAGCCCTGTTTGGTTTTAGAGGTTTGAGAGTGTTTTTAGAGTGGAGCTGCCTAAGTTCAGTAAGATGCTATTAGTAATAGCCATGTACGAAGTGACACAATTATTTGTACAGTGCACATCTCCAGCTGCAATTGTTGTTTGGGGATTTTTTTGTAAAATAATGTGGATAGAGTGTCATACCCGTTTACTATGTATTCATAAACGTCAAGAATACCAACTAATAAGAGACCAAACTTGAGGTCATTATAAACAATGCAACAAACGGGTCGATGATTCAGACCAGAGGAGTGAAATCGCCTTGAGAGTCGTACCACACAGCTGCCATAGAAACTGTTATAATCTGTAAAGTCTTGCAGGCTCGTTTTTGTCAACACAGTCTTTTCCTCTTCTTGCTGATCTCCACGGGTTACCAGCCAGTTGAAGGAGGGATTTTGAGATTTGACTGCTTGTTTTTAGAGCCCTGCATGGTCAGGTATCACCCTACGTTTGGGATCTTTTCACTTTACACACCAGATCGCTCCTTGAGGAGTTTTCTGGTCATCTCTGAAGCTCTCTGTCAGAAGACCTCTGATCAGCAGAGTTTGTCTCTACACTGAAGACCCCCTTGTATCATAGGACCCTGTCTTATTTGCTAGGCTCTTTTATTCATTTGTTTTTGTTTAAACTGTTTTTTTTATCTGCATGAATTTTAATATAATAGCACCTTGTGTCTCCAGTTTTAAAAGGACCAAGTTATTGTTAGTAGTATTCACACAGTAGTTGAAATTTCTGTAGCTCACTGCTTCATGGCTTTAGACAGACGCTGCAGCTCATGAGTAAACTGGAGGAACTTCTGTATAAAGAGGCCAGCCCACAGCGCAGAAAGAAAGCACAGAGTGATAAGGGAAGAGCATACAGTATATACACTAAGTGTATTTACTTTGTAAAGAACAACACAGACAGATGTTTACCGAGAACGTATAAATCTGTAGGGACACGCGTTGCTCGCAGGCCTGGAGCCAACGCAAACACGTTTTTCTCTTCTTCTTCTGGTCAAATAAATTGCTTTTATCTTTCTGCTTTTATTTGAGCTCACTGCTGCTGATTGGGCCTTGCGGTCTCTGGTGGGAGAAACGAGACAGACACACATGTGGCTGAGCGCACACACATTCAGGCTGTATCTATCTATGTCTGTGAGCTATACCGCCACATGTGTGTGTGTGTACACATCCCTGTTTGCTGCTGTGTGTCTGCATGTGTGTGTGTTGGTGTGTGCGTGATCAGAGGCCCCAGAGAGTGAATCAGCAGGTCCTGACGCATGTGAGCGAGCCGGGGCTGCCCGCTGGCCTGCCTGCACGGAGTGACTCCATCAATGATTAAACGCCTGCGGCCATGTTTCAGAAGCCGCCTGCAACTACAGACACGCCATTGCCAGTGAAAGGGAGGGAGGAAAGGAGGGAGGGAGGGAAGGAGGGAAGGAGTGAGGGAGGTGTGAGGACAGTGAAAAAGAGAGAGAGAATACAGAGGAGTGAGCTAATGAGCAAAAATAAAGGACATATACGCCTAAAAGGAAAAAAAAACAGTGAAGAAAGAGAGGCTGGAGTCAGGTGGATCATTCGCTCCCTCCTCAGCTCCTCGTTAGTTTAACCTCTCAGCCTCTTCCTCCAATTTTTTACCTGCTTCAGCCACCTTCTCCTCTTCCTCCTGTCTCCCCCGTCTCCATCTCTCCCTCCTCTACCTGCCTACCCCCCCATCCCCCCTCCTCTCCTCTCCTCTTCCAATTACCAGGAGGAGTACGAGCAGAACCGCACACTTCACAGCTTTCAAGTGTGGGAGAGAGATCCTCCTGGGAATTATCCAGCAAGAGATGAATCCTCAAATGCTCCTCACCCCCCTCACCCACCAACACCTACCCTTCCCCATACTTCCTCTCTCTCTGCTTTAATTTGCCCCTCCCTTTGCTTCATTTTGTCTCCTCTCCTCCTCCATGCTGCTCCTTCTTTACCTTGTGTCGTTATTTTGTAACTAACTGAAATCCTCCGTTGCACGGGTTTTTGCACAATTATTCTGCATTTTCATATTTTTTGCATTTCTGTCTTTGCATTATTCACAAATTCTTTGGGCAGTTCTTGAAGGAGACATGACTAAAATTCAAAGATTCGCAGGTCAAAGTTATGACACAAACAACATGCATTTGAAACATTCGTCTTCATGTTTTCCACATGTAGTCGTCAGTTTTTACTCTTTTTTGCTGGTAAAAGTAAAAAGAAATCAAATATGTTTCTCCATCGCAGAGCTGTTTCATGGTTTTGAAGACTTTGTACTTCCAAAGACTCTCTTTATCTTCATGGCTGAGCATTTTTCAAACAACCTTTTTCTGTTTTATTTGCTTTAATTACGAGAGGAAATTTCTCAGCCCATATATCCACATATTTCATCCTCCCACTTTCTTGGAAAATGTTTGAAATGAGACGTATTTTGCTCTTGAAAGCTTGAAACTCTTAGGTTAACTTCAGCTTCTGTCATGGTCTGTCATTCTGTGTCGACTTCGGCGCCCCCTGTTGACAGGGCATAATTTTCTCTCTTAGCCATGTACGTAGCATTTAAGGTGATAACTTACACCCATCCCCAGGACTGTATTTGGATAACATCCATCTAAGACGTGTTCATTTACTTAAGGAAAAATATGACTATAGTGATTGTCAATGACCGTTTTTCTAAGATGAAATAATGATGAGCTGAAATACATCACCAAATACAAAACTTGGATAAATGCAGGTTTTGACCAGCCAGTGGAAAACATGCTGTAAATGTGCTGTCCCCCTGAAGTGCTTCTACGGACATGAGTGGAGAGTATTTTTGTGAGACAGGAGAAAATGTTAGAGAAGTGATACACAGCTTTAAGATGTGAGTCTAAGCTTGGTGACTGTGTTGTTTAAAGCTATAGCGCGTAACTTCTACGTGTCTGTAAATATCTGTTTCACCCAGGCCACTACAAGAGAAGATGATAAAAAGCTGATTAAGCCGTTTGGCTCCTCTAACACCTTGCAGTATTTCTCAGTATTTGTTCTTTTTGTCGCAGGGGCAACATCCCTGTGCTGGCGCACAGAAAATGACGCGTCCTACTCGGTTTTACCTGACAACGAGAAGGGAGGTAGGAGAAGAGCGCAGCTAGAAGCAACATGGCGGAAACCCGAAGAAGCAACCAAGAGGTTCAGATGTGGATCCTACTAAAAAGAAAAGGCCTTCCCTGTCTGTTGGTGAAGAAAGAGCGACAAATGGAGAAGTCTAACTTGGATTTATATCAGCGTTACTATTCTCTGATGGAGAGCCCTGAAGGGGGAGATTGGACTGAGGTCCGACACCAGCGTTGCCTGGTCTGTGAGTCTGTGTGCTGTGACAAGTGACTTTAGCAGCCTACACATTGTGTAGACACTTACAGTCCGTGTACTGTGATGAGCAGTATGCGGTGAGTTGCAAGTGTTACTCTGTGTACAGGTTACACTAGGCCATACATTATATTAAGGTGCCGGCCTTGTCATTGTAATAACACAGAAATAGAAGTTACACACTATAGCTTTAAAACCCAAACTCATATAAACTTCATTGTGTAGTTTGCCTGAGCACATGGTGCCTGGATGATGAACTAACTTCCGTTTGCGAATGTTACTAAATCCTGACTGCTGATGAGACCAACCCTCAGACCTGGATGCAAAAAACAGTGAAAACACTGAGTCATCATCAATCACCTCAGTGCTCAAGATTACTGATCAAATAACATCAAGTAAGCAGAGATGAAGTCCAGTAGATCTCTCCTCCCCCCTCACTCTCTCACTCTCTCTCTTGATTAATTATGCGTAGCTTCACCCTTTAGAGTCAGATATGTGAGCATTGTCCTTAAACACGAGGATACCAAAAACTGGACCGTTATTTCTGTACTTTTCCCAACACATCACTGTGTTTGAACCGAAACACTTAGTGGAAACGCAGCCTTGATCACTTTTGAAACAGTGTGATGTTAAAATTCATATTGTTGGACCTGTTCATCCTGGCATTTCCCCTCTTTTTGCCCCCTCTTCCTCTCCTTTTGTCTTCCTCTCCGGCACCTCCTTCTCTTACTCTCTCAAAATCTAGACTCTGAGCCTGGAATCAATACATGAACATGACTCTGGCCGGTCGATTATCCCGTCCTCTGGCTCGTCCCTGCAGCGAGGGCCTCATCAACTTTGTTTCTATCTGAAGGGAATAACCCACACACACACACACACACACACACACACACACACACACACACACACACACAGAAAGGCCCTACCTGTTGATTTCCCACTCTTAAAATGTCCATCTTTCTCCCTCTTTTTTATCTTTCTATATGAAGTTTTCTTCGACTGACTGAGGTTGTTTCTCATTGATTTATTTCTCATTGTACAGATGAAGGTACAGGTATGCTAAGCCATTAAGAAAACACACAAGTTGCCAAGGAAACCATCCTCACAAAAGTACAAAATAGTTTGAGGCCAATGTTTTGATGGGAATTATTAGAAACAGTTGTCCTACTGTTAATATCAAGTACTGCGGTTGTTGACAGGAGGGGAGAGGTGGAGAAGGAATTGAATACTGAGGAAACAAGGAAGGATTTCAAGGACGGTTGAGGCAATAGGCAAAGAAGGAGGAGAGATGAAGAGAAGGAGGAAGAATAGGAAGCACAAATGGGAGAGAAAGGAAAGGTGGCAAAAAAAGTAGCTGCCGTTGTATCGGAGCAGCGGTGTGTGAAAACACACACTCTGCACTCCTGTCGCCTCGCTGCTTAATGAGGAGAGCCTCTCAGGAGCAGCATGCACACACAAACACAATGAGAGCACGCACACACACAGCAGAGTGCATGCAAACACACACTTACAGATTTACAACCCAGCCTTTGCATAATAACTTTTGCTGTCCAGTTTCAGCCCCATCCCCCTCTTTCTCTCTTTAATATGATGAATGAGAGTCCCTGTAACCCTCATTCACACACACACACACCAACACCACACACACACCATTGTGCACACGCGTGATTAAAGTCATGTATTTCAACAAGAAACCAGAGGATGATCAAATAAACCCGAGAAGCACATACATGTTCCTGCACACAGATACAAACACCAAAACGCTCAAGGAGACATCTTCAGGGTTTTTTATGCAGACAAGGAGGCAGAGACGCAGTCAGATGGAAAGCGACAGTCACAGATGAAAAGTCACTGGCGTCCTTTCTCCCCCTATCTTCATCCTCTCACTCTCTTTCCCCACCATCCTCTTCCTCCCTCTTCCTCTCTGCACTTTCATGCGTTCTCATTATTGCCTCTGCTCTCTCTGCCTCTGATTCGATCTCTTCTCTGCGCTTCATTGTGCTTCATTTTCTCACTTCCCTTTCCCTTATTTGGTCTCCCTATCTATTTTTTCTCTTCCTCCTGCTTTACTCTCAAAGAGGAAATTGGAACTCTTTCCTGCAATCCATCTGTTGTCACACTAATGCCTGCACCACTGCCATGCTATGTTACTCCTCCATTTTTCCCCATTTCTGCTTCTTTTCTGTCCCTGCAGCCTCTGAACCCACCCCACCCCTCATCCCTACACACACACATAACTAATACTTCCACTCATGTCCAGTCAGCAGGTTGCGTAACTCCCAATGCATTGTGGGTCTGGATGCATGTATTTGTGAGTGTGTGCGTGCAATGTGCGCAGAGATGACATTGCAAAGTGAAGAGGACAGAGGCAGTTTGGTGCATAATAAAACTTGATCTATGGATGCTTTGTAATCACTCTGACCTGCAGAAAAAGAGATGCACACACACACACGTACACACACACACACACACACACACACACACACACACACACACACACACACACACACACACACACACACACACAGTCTGTTAGGCTCTGCAGTCTGCAGATGTGCACATCTTATCAAACAGACACACACACACACAGTGCTCTACTCCATGCATAAATCATGCATGAAAAGAAATCACACATAGACACACACACAAGCACACACTGTGCTTACACTCGGTCCACATCTCCTGATATTTGCACAAGCTCAAAAAGAGCCACTTTACTAGAACAGCTTGTTTCCCTGTCAATAAAGAGTTAAAATGCAAATTATTAATCCTATTTTGTTCCAGGGAGAGTGCCGGTTGGGAATGTTACTGTGAAATCCTGTTTGAATCCTGCCCAACCTCACATGGTCCACTCTAAAGTGTGTCGGCCATGCACTCAAACATGGAAATGTCAGAACTGACCAGGCAGGGTGGGAAAAATGAGGTTTGTACGGACCTATTCGAAAGAAAAACAGAAATCCGCATCCAGTCTGGGTTGTTGTGCTGAAATGTGAGTTGAAGTGTGCGTAGATGGTGCAGATTTCTTTGTGTGTTGACTGATGGTGGCTATCGCTGTTTGTGCTAACTACCAATTAGCATATTAGTCAAAACAAACCAGGACTGTAAAAAGCTGTTGAGAAACTGTTGCATTTCTGCGTCTTATTTCCACCTCTGCGAGCTGTCTCTTACAGTGAGAGTGAGGCAGACAGATAGAGATGGATGGTGGGTGAGGGTGGATTTGGGATGAGGATGGGGGTGAGGTGGTGGTGGGTGGTTTTGCTGGTTGGGGGGGTTGTGGTGGTGTGGAAGGCTTATCCAAACATAGCCAAGACAACTGAGGAACCACAGAACAGGCAGCCGGCGAGCCACAGAACAGCATGTTGAGACAGAATAGCAAATGAGGCAGACTCCGATATTACCCAGCCTTCACCGCTCCAACTGTCCTGGGGAATCTATATGATGAATCATGAAGAGGCTTTTTTCTTTTTTTTTATTTTTACTCTCTGCTTCTTGCTCTGCCTCTCTTTGTTTTCTCTCTCTCCTTTCATTCTTTATTTTAATCTTAATGAACTCCTCCGTGCCCCGTCCTCTCCTCCTCTACACTCCTTTACTCAAACTTCCTTTCTTCCTCTCCTTCTCTCTTCCTCCCATCCCTCTCCTCCTCCTCCACCCAACCTTCTCTCTTTCTTTCTCTCTCTCTTTTCAATGTACATAACAGTGTACTCTTTAGGAGGGAGCCCTGGCGGTATCTATGGCAACCTGATTGCTAGGCAACAGCCAATTCTCCCTTCCTTTCCTTTCCCTTCCTGCGCCGTGCAGCAGCAGGGGCGACCGATCAACCAATCGAAAGCAGAGGAGGAACGCCGCCGTACGTGAAAAGTTCAGAAGACATCCAGAAAGCTCTGCATGCTCCCTCCGTCCACATGAGCCGCCTCAATAAGGGGAAAAAAAAAACGAAAAGGAGGAGAAACCTGTTTATAAAAGTATGAAGAAAACAAACAAAACCATCAAACTGGTGCTTTCCATGTTACAGTGAAGATGTACATCAGCTCATTTCTACATCATTACACTTCTGCGCACACTTGGGCTTTGAAATATAGTATGTACCCCAAATGTTTAGCTAGAACAATGTGAGCATACTGCATAAGTCTGAAACATCTGAAATCATCAAAGGATGTTTTCTCACTCAGCATGCAAACAATAGACCTTTTGGATGGTAACAGCCAACAGGAGATGATCTGAGACAGCGTACGTCTTTCATGCAGCCCATGGTTATGACTGGTTTGCAGCACCTTCTGCGTATAAGTGTGGCACATTTGTGTTCCTCTTTTAGGTGTTTTTAATTGTATTTTGGATGAAAGTATAATGCACATTCATTAATTAAGATGAGATTTACATGCTACAGTACATTGCCCCAAATAGAAGAAGACGACGAAGAAGAACCAGAAGAAGAAGAAGAAGAAGGAAGAAGAAGAAGAGCTTTATTGATCCCTGAGGGGAAATTTAATGATTTTAATCACATGATACAATATCTTTCTGTTCTCGTGGTTGTAATAAGCTCAGTTGGTTGCGATAGTAGGGATGCATGACTGTGGCTAAAATTGCAAGCACAGTTAAATATATTCATCTTTATGACGTTTTTCCACTGTTTGCTGTTTTAATGAATAAATGAATGAATCGAATGAATAAAATAAATAATAAATAAATAAATAAATAAAGCTCTTGTATTGTCTCACCTTCTGCCAGGAATGGACTGAGACAAGAAAATGCACCCTGCATTTTAGTCTCAAATAGCTTTAAAGAGTGATGTTTATGAGGACTATGCTGTTGTTTCACCACGAGAACAGCATCCCCTGGTGACGGGCTGCAGTATAGGTCATAAATCCTGCCTCCTCCATCAATCTCTATAGAGCTGCGGACAAACCTTAGAAATTTATTACACAGAACACCCCCGTTACGATGTTTACATGTAGTTACTGTAATACTGGTTTGTGTTCAAGTCCTCTTTTTCTGTACAGCTCCATTTTTAAAAATTATTTGGGGGTTCATTTCTTCTACGATAGACACTTGATACAGCCTATGGGCGTACAAAGATTGCCTAGCTCACCCATAGGATACGCTGTTTAAGCAGAGCGTCATCACAGCGACTGTCAGCAACTCTCCCACCAAATGCGTACAATGCTGCTGTGCAAGTGGTGGTTCCAGGATGTGGAGAAAATCCAGAAAATACAAAGAGCAATTCAGCTTCAAATTTGTATAATGACAGAAGGCAGTACCAAGTTGTCCATTGTATATACAGTCTATGGTCTATACTTGAAGAAGAGCCTTTGAGAGTAAAGATGGCAGAGATGAAAGTAATCACAAATACTGTGCTGCTCTTTCTGGATGATGTAGACTAAAATTTGACAGTTTCTTGCAGTAGGCATTAAAAGGCAGAACTCCTCTGTCTCCTCAGATTTTGCTGGTTTGTAAAGTTTTGGTGGCAAACAGCATTAGATGCAGAGACTTAACAGCTTACAAGACCCAGTGAAGTGACAAAGACTAATCCCAGCAGAGAAACACATCTGTATCCGCCTGACCAGAAATGGAAATTTAATGGCTGGAGTGATAAACAGAAGAATCGCAGCTCACAGATATATGCAGAGAGAAAGAGAAGCCGTGTGCACACGTATACAGAGTGACAACAGAAACAGGGTAGGGAGTGGCCATTTTAGGCGCTCGTCGCTGTTATATATTGACGCTGGTTGATCAAAATTCGTCCTTCACTCGTCTGTCTGCAGACAACAGGAGGAGGAGGACAGGGAGGCCATTTTGAGGCACAATGTAAAAAAAAATGGAGAGGGGGTAAAAAAAAAAAAAAAACAGCAACAATGGTAAGCAGGAAGAGAGGACGCTGACCTTCAAAGGGCTCAATTACACGTCACACATACACACACACACACACACACACACACACACACTTACTCAAAGTGAGGCATGATTTCCTGTACAGGAGCACTAACTGACATACACACCAGAGTCAACGCACATGTGTGTGTGCACACTGAGTGAATTTTTAAACACACACATGCAGACGCACACACTCAGAGCGTCCCTGCTGCTGCACACCGTAGGACCGTCTGTCTGGCCAGATAAAGTGGCCTCTGAATCTCAGCTCTGATTTGAGAGGGGGGATTTAATGACAACTATCCTCCCCCCTCCTCCCTCTCTCCCTCTTTTCCTCTCTTTCTCTTGTTTCTCTCGTTCATTCACAGCTGCTGGTCCTCTCCGTTTGTGTCCCTTTTCCAATCTATTTAACTTATTCCTGCTTTTTCACTATTTCACTCTTTCCCTCCTTCTTTCTCATTTACCTCCCTCTCTCTCCCTCACTCTCTCTCCACGCCAGCAAAACCAATTTTCAGGTGGACGCTGCAGGGTCGACCTCTAAAGTAAACATCCCCCTTATTCATCCACTTCTCCTCAGCCTCCTCCTCTTCTTCTCCTTCTCCTTCTTCTTCTTTCCATCACATCAATGCCAAAATAACCCTGTTCACCACCTAACATCCAACTCTCTCTCTCTCTCTCTTCCTCCTCCCTTCTCTCTTCAATCTTCTGTTTGGAGGGAGTAAAGAAAACCAAAGAAAAACACACATATGCAGGGTCCTATCATGAATTTTAATGATGCAGCTCGTTTTAAATAAATAATATAGCAGCTAAGATTCACATATACGAGTATAAATACAAATACAATTATATCTGTATCTATAATGTTATTTTATGAAATATTTATGCTCATTTAAAATGTGATTTCAGCAAAAAAAGTTTCAGTTTCTAAAAGGTTATGAGGTGAATTTCCAACAGGTTAGTAACATGACTGAGAATATAAAGGACGTTTAGAGAGGATGAGTCTGATGGGAGGAGATTCACCACCCTGTGAGCGACTGAGTGAGCTGATAGTTCACCAGTTTCAGAATAATGTTCCTGAGTGTCTAATGTGAAAGAATGAGTGGATTTCATCATCTACAAAACAAAAGATCATTAAAGGACACAGATAATCTGGAGAAATCTCTGTACTAAAGGGACAAGGACTAAAACCAAGGCTGGATGGTCCTGCTCTTCAGGCTCTCAGGCAGCACTGCATTAAAAACAGACAGAACTCTGGAGTGGAAATCACTGCAGAAGTGCAAAATCACTTACAAAACTATTGACTGTAAACACAGTTCATCACTGCATCCACCAATGGGGTTAAAACTGGACCATCCAAAAAGGAAACCAGATAGAGACAGGATCCAGAATCTGAATGAGAATCTGACACTCTTTTTGGAAATCAGGGATGATGCATCATCTACTTTAAATAGAAACCATCCGCCTTGTTATCAACAACCAGTTCAAAGCCAGTATCCCTGTCAGTATTGGGATCATCAGAGTCCATTTTCCACATCTGTGAACCCTCATTAATCCTGAACAATATCTACAGGTTTAGGAGCAACATTTGCTGACATACAGACAAAGACTTTTTCAGTGAAGACCTTCATATTTCAGCAAGACACTGACAAACCACACTCTGACAACAGCATGGCTCTGTAGTAGAAGAGTCCTGCTGAGAAACTGGCCTGACTGCAGTCCTGACTCCATTGAAAACGTGCTGCACAACACATGACAATTACAACAAAGGAGACCCGGAAATGTTGAGCAGCTTAAATCCTTTATCAGGTAACAATGGGACAAAATTTCACTTTATGAACTGCAGAAACTGGTCTGCTTGGTTCACTAACATTTACAGTGTTGGGAAAGAAAGAGCTGATGAGACACAATGGGAAACATGACCCTGTAAACACTTCATTAAAAGATGACATTTAGAGGCTTTAGGTGAGTCATAAATGATTTAATTGTGTTTCGATGAACATTTCCCGCTTTAACCAAACTCTCTTAGAACTGGGGCTGTAGAAGAAGTTGATTCTGGTGGTGATGTTTGGGGAGAGGAGGGGGGAGTGTGGACACAAAACAGAGAAATAAATTGAAGGAAACTCAAAGCTGGATGATGGATGAAGCACAAACAAGAGAGAAGAGGGAAAAAAAGAGAAAGGCAGAATGAGATGGAAGAGGAGACGAGGGTTAAGTGAGGATGCAGAGCGAGCAGAGGAGAGGAAAGAGGTGAAAGATGGAGGACGTGAAGGAAAGAGAAAGAAAATCTCATCTCCTTGTGGGATAATCGCTCATTTATCACACTGATGGGAAAACAGGGATGAAAAAGTGGAGCTAAGAGGTTAAAAAAAAACAACTGTTTTATAGTTTTTGTGGTAAGTTTTGTGTTGTGGATGCAGCTTATATACCATAGTGTCTAGACGGCTTTTTTGAGCCAGAACCCAACATTAATTATGCATGCAGGGCTGCTCTCATCCAGAGGAGCTGTATTAATATTATTACATATGTGGCAATATAGCGAAGGGTGGAGGCTGGTGGAGGCTCCTCCATGACACTCAGCAAATTGGGGGAAAACTATAATGGAGCACACACACACTCTAATGCATGCACACAAATGTGAACACACTCACAGAGGCTTCAAATGCATGTGGACACACACACACACACACACACACACACACACACACACACACACACACACACACACCCAAAAGGCTAAGCTCCCTTTTTCATTTCAGCAGAGAAGATTGCATTTTTTCTGAGGTTGTGTGCATGTGTGTGCGACTGTGCATTTGTGTGACTGTGTGTGACTGTGTGTGTGTGTGTGGGTGTGCGTGTGATTACTGACTGTTTGGGAGGGAGTGATGGGGGATATTAAACGATTCAAATGCTGTCTCTCTTGCTCTCCTCGATCGGAAGGACCTAAGACTGCAGCATGGCCACACACAGACACACACACACACACACACACACACACACACACACACACACACACACACACACACACACACACGCACACACACAAAGGGCCGGTCTGTTCTGTCAGACGGGCCAATTTAAAAACACACAGTGCCAATTAACTGAGAGCAGCACAGTGTCAGTGTGGACATTGTTGTAGTGCAGCATACACTGATAATGCAGAGATGTGTGTGTGTGTGTGTGTTTTTGGTGTGTTTATCTGCCTTCTATTCTCTGCAAATTGCTTGTTTTAAGACCGCGGGGAACAAAGACAGTGGATGATTCGACTACACTCCCTTTTCAAATGTCCACAGCTCTCTCTCTCATTTTTCTCTTATTTGTTGTTGAGTGTGAACAACTATAAGCATGTAACTGCTGATTAGTAACCAAAACTCAGCCTCCTGCAGGATAAACACGTCCTACTGTCCTCAGAAAAGTGTTCAGAGACAAACTAAACATGCAGACAGCAGATAACACTTAAAAAACTCTCACTGAAAGACATTTGGCCTCTGGGGAGAAAGAATAAACAGACCCAAAGAAGCAAAAATGACATATTTTGGTTGGTGTGGTTTACATTTGATTTTTAACTTGGCTGAAGAAACCTGAAGATTTGCTTCACTCGCTTGTTCACTTGCATTTTTCCGTCTAATCCTGAGGTCAGGCTGCATGTTGTGAAGCCCGATCACCAGGTAATAGCATTTCACCAGATTATGACATTGAATTCAAGCAACTTGAGCCCAAACAAGTAAAAATGCTCCATTTAAATGCCTCATTCAGACTGAACAGGCCCAAACTGGACACAATTATATTCAGCTGCAGAGGAGGGGTTTAAACCTTTACATAAGTAATGTGGTCGTGGATTGGCTCAGTTGAACTGGAGCTGACTTTAGTGTTCTGCGGAATGCTCCAGAATTGAACAACATGGATGTCTTGATAGAAAGCCGAGTAGTAAACAAAACCTCTTCACAAAGACATGACATAAAAAGAAAAAACTTTCCTACCATAGTGCAAGACCGATGAGTGTATGTGTGAGGGATGGCACTCATGGGTGCTTGGGACCGGGGGTAAGGTAGACTAACGTCGCTTTTGCACAGTCCACTGTGTGTTTAGCAGGTATTTTACAGCACATTAGATCACTATTGTCCTCCTTGGCTTTAATGAAATCTGGATCTCTCTCGGTGTCCCACTGTGTCCCTTTACAGCTTTAGGACGTCTGCCAAAACTCAATAACACTAATGCTTACTTTCTGCAGTTATTCTTGTTAAATACAAGCCAAGAGTCCCTCAGGGAATAACATTTCATGAGCTAATGTTCCAACCAATTTTTGAGAAATTAAGTGTCCCTGTAAAAGATGTACAAAAGGCTTTATTCCTGATTATAACTTGTAAAAGAATCAGGTGTTAAAATGACAGTTTCGTGGCTGCATTCCATTTACTTTACATGCCAGGACGTGGTTGGTATTAGATGATTTGTTGGAGCACTATTATTGAACAGGGCTGTTGAATATGAAGACAGGAGGACAGGAAGAGGTCCAAAGGCAGACTGCACACATTAATCAAAGCTTTAGATGCTATGTTTGAGAGAGTAGGGGGGCAGACTAACTTGGTTTAAATCTGCCTGCTCACATTGACAGAGACAATCCTGGGTGAAATAATGATCCTCATCCTTTTGCTTCTTTCACTCATAAACTCTTGACATTTTCAAAATAATTTCAGGACATTCAGGACCTGATATTTTCCAGGATTGCTGTCCACACATCAACCACATAGTGGGGGGGCTGTCAGTGCCAGCAGCACTCTTATAGTGGGCATGTTTGTTCCACAAACTGCAAAAAACATGGACTTAGTCTCAGCAAGTCACCCACTGGTTTCTAAAAGAGCCATTTTGAAGCCAAACGAAGGCAGCGGCCATATTGGAAATACTGCTTCAATTCAACTTTTAGAGGTGGACAGAGGTGGAGTCCAGATGGAGCTCAGGTGGACCATTGACCTCCTAGTACGTGGCTACACTGTGCCTCATATTTAGGCTTACTCTGTCTTAATTTATTTAATTGTGATTGAGTTAAGAAAATCTGCCCTAATAAAAATGTGGAGGACACAATAAATGAACAGCACTATTATTTTTGAATCAGGCTGTAAGCACGCAGAATTTTGCTGTGAAAATTAGCCTTTTAACATGGGTGTGAATGGGGATTTCCATACTTTTGGAGCCAGCAACTAGTGGACACATGAGGGAAAGCAGCTCTTCCACCATTTCTTTGCACTTCCATCGTATTGAACTTTTCAGCAGTTGATGTTGGTGCTTGATTTACCTTAACAGGACATGGTCTGGAAACTTCCAGAAGTGCAGTGCAGGTGTACGGAGGATTTTGTCAACTTGTCTCTTGTCTAGACAAGGATCCAGACAGTTTTAAGGTTGCATAATGATGAAGCATTCAAGGCCAGTTGGTGAAATAAAAACAGCACGAGGCAAAGATAATTAAAATGTAACGCTGACGTGTTCCAGTGTAACAGCAAGAAGAAGAAGATTAAGGTTTTGGTAAGACAATGAAAAAAATTCAGCTGTCTGGAGCATTTTTTTGGCAATGCTAATCTGAATGTACAATTACCCTGATGGTAAAACATCTCCCCAATCTCAAGGGAAAACTGACCGTACCTCAAAAATAATAATCAAATGGACACGGTGAGTTGAAACGGACATGATTAAAAACTGCAAAGCTTGAGTTTTCTTAATACTTGTCCTGATTGAGAAATTAGGCACATCCACATGATGAAAACACTCAGACGGTGCTGATGCTGCTGGGCTGCTAAGATACTGACATGCCAGCCAGAAACTTCTGAGCATGACCTTAAAAGATCTCAACCTTTGCATCGCTCATGAAGACATGCACAGCTGCAGTCATTCACTTAGTGTCTCTACTGTGGGCGACACCTTCATGCTTTAAACTTAAAACATTACCATGATGAATCAATACTGAGAGACCATTTGTTTCTAAACCCAATCTAATTCAAAGAAAATACAGTACTATTGTTCAAGTGCAGCAATCAATTACCTGATACTCGATTAATTGTTCTCATTTCTACCTTGAATATACACTTTGACTGCCTGGCCATAAGTGCTGGAGACATTACAGGCAGCTTTATGGGTGTTCACTACAACTTGATATTCAGGACTACAGCATTAATGGAAACTCCTCCAGTCTTTTGAGGCAACACTTACATTGTTTACTGTAAACTGAAAGGTTCGTTCAGAAAAAGATGAAATATTAATGTGGGGTGTGCTGGATTAAATGTGCGTGTATGTGCCTAATGTTTGATCACTGACAGTTATTTAGAGCTGATTGGAAGCTGTCTGTTCCTTCATTGAGCTGATATGTCTTTGCAGCAGCTGTTCAAAGTTTACATTAAGTCAGATACAGTATGTGATGAATGACAGAAACAATCGTTGCCAGTTTAACAGTGGGATCAGTCCTGAGTGTGACAATGTCAAAAATAAACCCTACAAACATCTGAACATTTCGTTGTAAGTGTCAGCGGCTGCTTCTGCAGCTTGACCTTTTCTTTTAAGAGGAGCAGGAGTGACTTTCACCCCAGGCTAAAGGAGCCCGGACAGTAAAAGGTTAACTGCTTCATAGTTAAAAACTTTAAATAACCTCTGGGCTCAAGCAGCTTCAGGGTGGCTGTGCAAATATAAAAGCATCAAGTGCAACCTTTAACAGACTCAGAGCAGGACTGTATTTGACAGGTAAGCCAGCACTTAAAGGTGGGGTAGGCAGGATCTGAGGAAGTGTCAGTTTTTGGGAGAAATCTTGAATGTAAACTCTACCCCTCCCAACCAGTTATAATGCAGATAAATACCAGCAAACACAATGTTTGCAGGACTTTTTAAACTAAGATAAAGTGACATACTCCAGGACCCGAAGTAAACAGTTTAGCAGTGCTACAACACGCAGCAGGTCCTGTTTGACAAAAAAATCTCTGTTACAGACACTTGGCTTACTTTGTTAAAGCGGTTTACCTGTCCAGCAGAAAGGTTACAGGGTCCGTAAGATCCCGAAGCATGCCCAATCATTTATGCTTCATTGATGTTGACCCGGCTTTTTCGCTCTTGTCCGGTCTACCTCCTTTTTAAGTGTCCATTATCCCGACAGAGTCTCCAGATTTTACTTTGTTTTCTTGCTTGTGTTGGCAGTCATGGCCAAAGGAGGATTCAGAAAATTTTCCATACTTTCTGGTTGGTTTCTAGTGTCTGATATTGTAGCAGCAAAACTTTGTTTGGGCTAGTGAATGTTATTGGAGGACGTGGAGTGTGCCTCACAACATGAGGGAGCAGCATCTGCCCCACAACCAATCAGGTTGGGAGAGGCAGAAAATGGCTTTGTTTACAGACAGAAAGAGCGGGCCCCTTAAAAATCTAAAAATGTTGACTACACAGACATAACAAAACACAGCGATATTGTGATATTCCCAAATGTCATCAATAACTAATAGCTATTGACTGATATTAAAAGCTTTTTTGTATATACACCATAAAAAAAGATGCTTCTTTAACGAAACCCTGCCAACCCCACCTTTAAATGACATAATCTGCATTCTATCTAATGGCCAGCAGGGGGCGACTCTATGGAGTTTCAGACCCGGGACGTGTTTTTACATAACTATAGAAAACTCATTCAACAATCACAAAATGTTTTTTTATACTCTGATGATTAAATAGACTTACATATCAAAGCGACTCTAATTATTACACAATGCGGTTTAAAAGAAGAAAAAGTATCCGATTTTTGAGGAAGAAAAGTAACTTGATCATACTTGATAATGAGAGATAGCTTCCTTTAATGTTTGATGACAGTACCAACAGATGGATCATGAGGGTCTACACACAGCCGTATTGTTGTTGATAATAATCATAGAAGGCAAAGCAGTGAGTCTGTTTAAGACAGAAGGGTAGACAAACTGACTCTGATCCTGGACTCTGACACCCCTTTTCCACCAGAGTAGTTCAGAGCTGGTTTAAATGATAGTGAGTAACTTATGAAACAGTTTTTCTCCTCCAAAGACAAGAGCCTTGAGAGAGCCACGTCAATACAACATCTCTTACATCATGCATCATGTGTGGATGAATGACAGTGCATTTATGTTAGTATTGCTCTGTCATGTTACAGTCAGGTCAGTATGTCCATCTGTTGTTGCCGGTTGGGCTTGACTTGGTCATGTGTTGCTCTCAGCATAGATTTGATGCCAGCAGAACCTCTGAGATTTTTCTGGAGAATCTCCTGGACAGTATTTGTTTATGTTTTGGATTGTTGCATTGAAAACTGTAATGATAGATTTGCACAAAGCGAGCATATTTGTCCACTTCCATTTTAACACGAGTCATTACTTTCAAAAGTTTTCTCACTTTTCTTAAACTTTGGACGTGTTCACCAAAGTCAACATTCAGCCCTTGTTTAACCCGGGTACTCGGATGATTCATGGTGACCCATTCCCAGTTTTAACTTGCGTCACTGATTGAGTCTGAAAAGGGAATCAGTGACAGCCAGAGAAATCTGCTAAACCCAGCACTCCACTGGGAGAAATCTTATCCTTCATCCACAGTGGTGAACTCTCTGGGTTTAGCCTCATCAGCACTGTTACTATCTATGACGCTGCAGGAGGAGCTCAATCAATACTTCTGCTGATGATTAAGGATTGATGAAATCACTGTGATCAAAAATGACCCTTGCTTCAGGTTCGCTCTGTGCCTCAGGACCCAGAATCAGCCCGCAGAGCCGTCCCTCCACATGAGGTAAATAATGGATGATGATGGACGGCTGAACTGCTAAGAAAAGTTTAATATTCAAACTGCAGACTCACGCTTGTGGTTGTTCTTGCGCTGGAAGGGTAGTGTGTGTCGCTCAGAGTCTTCTTCTCCCTCCTCATCTGCCAGGTGTGTGTGAGTGTAATGGTAACTCAGCCCTGGGCGGTTCTTATAGCGCTTTCCACAGACTGCAACACACACACACATACACATTCAAACACACACAGAAAAAAAAAAAACAATCTTTGATGTGCAACTTGAGAATGAGCAGCAGCCAACAGGGCACAGTGATCTACAGACCAAATGAGGTTCATTAGGAGGAATGAGCTGCAAGTTCAAAACCAATGCAAATTCATATGTCTATCTATCTATCTATCTATCTATCTATCTATCTATCTATCTATCTATCTATCTATCTATATATATATATATATATATAGAATCTGCCTTATTGTAGCCCATTTTTTATTTGCAGCTATATTCTGAATAGACCAGTTAATAATAACAGTTACAGTGAAAATAACTATATTGAGTGTTTTAATCATTACAATATTAATATAAAAAAATTACAGTATTATAATTAGTCTAGTTGCTGATGGTCTTCTGTGCGCCTGTACGTAATTAAAAGGCATTAATATGGATTTTAGTCCCTATTTTTACTTTAAAAAAAACTTCCCAAAGGAGCTTTAAAAATGAATGTCAAAAAGTGCTTTGACAGAAAAAGCAGGAAAATCCAGAAATATGAATAAACATTCAACAGTCGGGAGAGAGAAGTCAAAAAAGTTCAAACAATGCAGTAACAAAATGCAGCTTAAAGTCAGCAAGAATAGATGCAAATAAACAGAATTAAAGTGATGAAACAGATGGATCTGGGGAAATAGAGAAGTGAAAAGATTAAGGGCAATAACCCATCCTCATTTACATCACTGACTTTACTAACACGCTCCACATCCGCAGTTTATTCTTCTGTAGTTAAATATTTTAACAATAAAAAGTTATGATCTGCAATTAACTTTTTATCTGTCACGGCCCTTAAGCTCAGTCATGACAAATCAGGGGTTTTATCCCTCTTATGCAAAGTAAGATCAGAAAGTTTGGATCTGTATGGATCAGTATCTGGTACCAATTTGATCTGATTAGGCGTTTGTTCGTTTGAGGCATTTTAAATATTTTAGATTTATTTTTACTTGAACAAATAGACAAACAGAAAATAACAGATATGAGAGGGGGAATGCAGTTCTGAAAAGAAGATTTAAATTATACAAAATAAAAAAATACAGACAGTACAGTATTCAAATTACAAAAAATTATACTGAAATCTTTTGTCCCTTAGGCCTTTTATAAAGTACTAAATGATTAAACTTTGACCTTGCCTGCAGCTTCATTTGTGTTTTTTTTTTTTTAGCTTTGAGAGAAAGTACTATTATATTTCAGTTTGAAGTAGTCAATGCAAGAGCTTCCATCTTTTGTTCTAGTGTTGTTTGAAAAACTACGACAGAGGATCAGAGCTATTTTAAGGAATTTTTAAAATTTTAATTTTAGAAATAAAGCCGTAGATTTACAAAAATTAAGGCACATTTTACAAAACCTTCAGTCATATCAGCAGGAAACTCATTAAAACAGCAAATTTACAAGATTTGAGTGGTAAATACTCAAGGATTAAGTGCTACTTTTACCAAACTAAAGTCAGGAAATCCTAAGAATATCCTTGAAAATGAAGGAGATTAAACCTGTTAGAGAAATGTCATGGTTTTATGGTTATGCTGCATAATTCTGGGGGAAAACGTTGTGATTTAAGCAAATTAAAGTTGTAAGAGTGAAAAGGCAAAAATTTACAGGTACAAAGTCATGAATCTGGGAAAATAAATTCCTAATTTCAGGAAAATAAAGATGTTACTACAGTGGATTAAAGGTTAACTAGAATAAATTAAGTCTTTAAGATTGCTCTCTAAAAAAAACTTTTCTTGGAAATTATATTTCCCTCTAACCAATCTTATCTTAAAATCTTGTTTTTTTCTCCTACATGGAAGTCCTAATACTCTGTCTTAAAAACTGCTTTTCATAAACTGTCTCACTTTGCTCCCCTAAAGGCTCAGAGTGCTGCTGTCCTCAATGTCTGGGTTTGCAGCGTCTGTCTTTACCATGACTTGTCTGGGGTTTTCTTTTTTTGGACTTGTTTGTTTGCTGTTGTTTTATCTTTTTGGACCCTTATACATGCTTTCTACTGCAGACATTTCCACTGTTGCCACTGTTCAGGACTTTTAGCATATGCTAATAGATGTGCATCACTTCTGAACTTGCAGCAGACTCCTCCTAACCATGATCGTTCAGGCTCTTGCTGATCATTGAGTTTTGTAAACTGCTGAAAATAACACAAATAAAGACACAAAGTTTCTGTGCTCACTGTCACAGACGTAAGGCTTGTCTCTGTCTTCGATGGCAGGCGGCTCTTGTCTCTTCCTCATCCCTCCGACCCCATAGGCCTGCAGAAACACACACAAACACACACACATATGTGTACACTTGTGAGAACTGAGAGGATGAAAAAACCAAACCCAAAGAGACATGCATTAAGGGACTCACAAAAAAGTTTGAGCTTTTACTCTTGTTAAAACAGTCTTGAACGCGCACACACACTCTGTTTGTGTGTTCAAGTGACTGCACACACACACACACACACACACACACACACACACACACACACACACACGCACGTTTGCATCCTAATCATCTGCTCTCAGTGTAAAGCTCCACTTGCAGCAGGAGGGGGCTGATGACACCTAGCAGGGGAGCAACAGCTCCAATTAGCAACCCTGGTGTCTATATTTCAGTGTGTGTGTGTGTGTGTATTAATGTGTGGATATGTATGTGTGTATCTGTTGATTTTCAGAATACATTGTTAACACTTGATTATCTTCACATAGGATGGCCTAGAAAAAAGAGGGGGAAAAACCTGTCTGATCTAATCAAAGTTGTTAAAGAGGAAAAAAAAACAGCAGTCCCAGCATGATTGAACTCTGGATCTGTTTGCACGAACAACTGTTGGTTTGCCAGATGACATTATTACGAAGAATGAAGAAGCGAGCACATAGGGATTCAAATTCAAAGAGTCACTTTGCAAAAATTACATTTACTTACATTTTTAAAAACCCAAACCATGGAGTTTGAAAAAGTAACAAATCGGATATTTAGATTAATATTCCTTCATGTGCGTGTAAAAATGTTTGCTCTCTTTTAAGTCTATTTGCATTGGTACTGCAGGACTCTTGTTCTGCATCTTGTTTATGGTTGCTCAAATGTTGCAGTGTCTCTCGTGGTCTTGAACATGGGGAACAATTTATGAGCTGTTGTGTCAAAGTGCAGTCAAAATCAGATCTCCTTCTGCTCTGCGCCTGACAGCCAGAACACTGATTTTCACTTTGAGATTTCTGGACTCAGTTTGTAGACTTTGGCTCCCCCACTAACCCTCTTCTTCTCTCACAGCCAGACTGTTTATTTGCTGGCTTGTTAATTCAGTAGAGAAGTCAATTGTCTCACCCGTGCTTTGGTACGGTTCTTGCGCTTTGGGACGTCTTCCTCCATCTCGTCCACCTCCAACTCATGAGGGAAATCCCCGACCAGCAGCTTCTGTGGGTGAGAAACAGTGGCTCCAGTCAGAAAGCTGTTTACTTCCCTATTTCCATTTTGTTTCTGTCTCATTTCTATTCTCCTTTTTCCTTTAGCTCATGAACATAGCACAGAGCTTTGTAAAAGTGTGAAGGAGCGTAGATGTTGCGCTCTGGTCCTCCTGGGTGGGTCCTTAGATGAACTGGAGTTAAAATAAGCTCAGGATTAGAGGCGCTAAACACTACTGCTCTCAGAGGACCAATCAGAGGGTCGCTTACTCACAGCTGATTGATTAGCTGCCTGTTTGAACTTCAGAGTAACTTTCTTTCGCATGTAAAGACCTCCAGGTGGATGAGCAATAAATTTGTGTGGGTAAGTTACAACACACGGCTTTGTTAAGGTGCCATACAGGAAATAGATATCATTTTACAGATCAGTTTAAGATAAGCTTGTGAGAGAAAAGTTATGTTTGAACCTAGTAACTTTCAAGTGAGTCGTCTGATTTATTCGTTAACAGGATAACAGAAGGTCCTAACATAACATTTGGGGCAGAAGTAGCTGAGGAGGTCGAGCGGTCATCCAACAACTGGAAAGGTGGCGGTTTGATTCCCCCTATCCCTGGTCTGTCCGTTCTCAACTCAACTCAACTCAACTTTATTTGTTAAGCACTTTAAAACAACCACAGCTGAACAAAGTGCTGTACACAACTAGACAAAACAACAAGATAGAAAACAATCAAAAAACAATTAAAACAATGGATAAAATAAAAGCAGAATTAAAAGTAAAATATAGTTTCAATGTTTTTAAAAACTCATTTAAAAACATAGAAACAAATAACTAAAAACAAACCATAAAACACTAAAACATGAGCCGAGTCTCATGCAGGGTTAAAAGCCAATGAATAAAAATGGGTTTTAAGACGACTTTTAAAAATGGACAGTGTGGGGGCTTGTCTAATTTGGAGGGGTAGCTCGTTCCATAAATTTGGGGCTGCAACAGAAAAAGATCTGTCCTTGGGCAAGACACTTAACCTACCTTGCTCCTAGTGTGTGTCCTTCACTGGTGTATGATTCGTATGTATGTCGCTTTGGATAAAAACATCTGCTAAATGACATTGTAATTGTAATTGTATATGTCCAGCCTTGAATACATCATCTATGTGGATTCATTTCAAGCATTAACTTCCCGTCACTGTTAGTTGTAGCCAACACCAAGCCTCCTTCACACACGTTTTAAAAAAGATGAGGTAGGAAATGTGATGCAAAGAAAATCTTCTGGTATTGAAAACTCAACAAGATTGAAAAATGCTTCTAAAAACATTCAAGAGCAGTTAGCTAAGTTTGAACGATGCTAACACAATGACAAATATGAGCTGGAAGCAAAAAAACAGTGAGAAGGTACACATGTGAAGATGTAAGCAAGTAACTCAACAGAAGGTGAGTGGAAAAGAAATAAGCCACTAAGTAAGTTAGTTAAATATAAACTTAGTGTGTAAATAATAAAGTCATTTTACAAGTGTGTAAGAAAGTAAATATAAAGGCAAACAAGAGGAAGTAGCTTAAAAATTAACTATGTAAGATAAAAAGTAAGTACGAAGGTGTTTAAAGCAACAGTAAGTTAATAAGCTAATTAGATAGTAAAAAGTAAAACAAGAAAGTCAGTAACAAAGTTAATAAGTACAAAAGTATCTGAGTGAGAAAATAAGTGGCTGAAAACGTTAGTAGGTTAATTAATACGCTGGTAAGTAAGGAGTGTAAGTACGTAAGTAAGAAGTTAATATTTGAATAAGTAAGTGAGATATATTTACATATGTCAGTATGAGTGAGTAAAGAAAAGTCAGTAGGTTAATAAGTAAGAGTGAGCATAAGTAAGAAAGTCAGTATGTAGTATGTAGGTGATTAATTAGAATTATTGTTAAGTTAGTTTGTAAGATGAGTATGATGGTATTACTCACTAAGTAAAGTAGCGAGTAATTAATCAAGAAAGTAGGTAAATTAGTACGTTTATTCATTTATATACCAACAAAGTTAGTAAGATACTATGCAATTAAGTAATACGTTAGTTTGGAAGTAAACAGGGACACCAGTCTGTAAGTCACTAAGAAAGTATGTAGGGAAGTGGGAAAGTGTGTCAATGTTGATAAAGTGAATAAGTTAGTATGTGATGTAGTAAGTGAGAAAATAGGAAGGAAAGCTAGTGAGATAAAAAAAACAAGCAAGAAAGAAAGGTAGAAATAACAGAATATATTAAGTTATTTCTGGAGTGTCATGTTAGCGGGGCACAGTCATGCACTGACAATTAATAATAATGGAGGGATGCAGGGTTAGAGGAGATACTGGTCTGACTGCTGGTTCCACAGTCGATCATAGTGTCACTTTAAAGTAACTGTAAATACCATCTTTGCATGCGTATAGGAGGTAACAGTAGTGTTCACTGCAGTGACTGAAGAAGTCACTGAAAATTTAAGGATTTATAAAGGACAACATAAATGTCCTTTTCTAGATATTTCTTGGCTGCTGGAAACAGATTCAGGGAAATTTCAGGACTTTGGTCTTTTCTGAGTCACAATACACCAAAGTTCAGACTCTTACTGTGAAGGTTGACAACAAGCAAAGAGGCATACTAGCTTCCCTGAAATGTCCTTCAAACAGCTTTTCACTGTAGAGTACAAACTCTGTAAGACATCAAGTGTGGCTTCAGTGCAATCACACACACGCGCACACACGCACACACGCACACACACACAATGCCAGGAGGGAGTTATCAGAGCGTCAGGAGTGTGTGTCACTGCCAGAACTCACTCAGAGAGACAAAGGACAAACACTGACAGAAAGACAGCCTGAAACGGGACAAAAACAAGACCAGAGAACGAGAGAGTGATGAAGAGGGAGAGAGAGAGAAAACTCAAAACCAGAGTCTCACCTGGCACTCGCTCATTGGCTCCTCCTCCTTGGTTTCCACCTTCTTGTCCAGGGTTTCCCCAGCGAGCAGCGACTCCAGCACAGGACCGTCTGGGATGCCCCCCTCTTTCTTTAGAGAAGCCTCATAGTCTGGTGAGCAAGACAGCAACAATCAGAAAGCAGCAGAGATCTCACACTCACGCTGACATGCTCAGCCGGGCTGACGGCGCCCCAAGGAAACTAAACTTATTTATGACAGTGCAAAAAAAAATGATATCAGCTTCTGCAGAGCTTGAGTTATCATCTGCAATCCATCCAATTATTAGTTAATGATTTTGGGAGGGGTCCTGGATTTCCAGAAAATACTTTTTTTTCACATTTTCTCCTCAGCCTCTGTCTGAAATCATTTGTTCTGGCTTCTTTCCTCTGTTATTGAGTTAGACACAGCTCGGGGATGTTTCCTCTTACACAGCTGTGTAGATATGTAATGACCCAAAAGTTTAGCCTTGACAGAAAACGACCAAGGCGTTAGCATACATTAGCTTTTGTTCCATTAGCCATTTTCACCCTTTGCTCTGTGTCATCCCCTGCTCTCTTTTATATCAGTCCCATCTGTAAAAGGCCAAATGCAGCATAAAGAGTTCTTTATATTACCAATCTTAAATTCAATGGGTACAAGCCGTGGGTCCTCCAGGATGTTTAGCCGTCTCTTCTTACGCCAGCAGCGAGCTGGGTATGTGTACAGCTGACCTGGAGCGTGACCTGAAACACAGACAGATGTCCAACTTGGTTTAAAATCTCACAACTATAAATCACAGAAAAAAAATGTTTGTTTAGTAAAAGAGATGGTCACATGATCCGGGGTATGAGTACTGTTATTTCAACTCTGCATTAAATTAGATCAACTGAATCCATATCAAATAAACAGCCAGTAACCATTACGACACAAATAAAAGTCAGATTGAATGAGGGAGTCTTTTTGCAAACCTGTATTCACTCCTTCTTTACATGTGTGTCACTCTTTAAATGGAAATCCAAATGTTTTTTTTTTTTGTCAATGTTTTGCATCATGAAACCAGACTGCGTCTGCAGCCTGAGCAGCACCAAGCATCTTCATGTAATAACAGTCACAGCCTGTTTTATTGCCACCTTACCCTGATGTTGGAGTGATGGCTATGAGCTTAAATCTGTGTTAGAAAACACTGAGCAGAGAGCACTGAGGTTTATTACAATCCTTCACTCTCCAACTCCTCACTGCTCTCTGTATGCTTCAGTCTGCTGGTCTGCATCATCTACATGGAGACAAAATCACTGCAGGTCCTTATTTGTCACATGCTCCTCTGTATGTTGTTGTCAGTCTGACTTTGTTGCTGCTTGTCTAAGTCAGGACACTCTGTAAGACCCTTTTAATCCCAGTGAGGCTTTTCTCTTTAACTCAATTTCAATAAAATAATAATCAAATCAAAGATGTTATTTAGGCTGACAAAAACATCTTTATTTACTTCTCAGTTACATTGTGACTTCAAGATTTACTCTGGATTTAATGATCCATTTACATTGAACCGAATTGAACTGAATCATTCTCTATTTATGTGACTCATCATTGGATCAAGTCTTGGTCATGAAGGATCAAATCCAAATCAAACTGAAACTGGATCAGCTTATTAGGGAGAGATTCAGACCCCAAATGAGTACACTACAGTCTCTGATCTTAACAGCGTGTGTGCCATCTTAAAGAGTAAGTGAGCCTGTGTCCTGGTTTAGCTACGATTATGAACTCTGAGGAAGATGATTTCAAACTCATTTAAAAGTTGTGTTATACATGAGCCATTCATCACTTTTACAAAAGAAGATTATTGTCTCAGCTGTGGGCAGTTTTCCGTAAACTTTCTGTTGATGACTTTTTATGATATCCAAAAGTTACGAGATCATCACTGACAAGATCGTCTTTGTCCACAAGGGGCGCCAAAATCAAAATGATACAAAGTTTCTCACAGGTGCTCTAAGAGTTTGAGTTAAAATTCAACAGTAAACAGCAGAGAGTTCAAGTGAAGTTTACTGTTTGCATAACTTTTTAGTTTTCATCGTGTGATAGGTATATATTTATGCTGTACGATACTATAAAAATTTAATCAATTGGAATAATAATTTCAGAATATTTGGTCTTCACTCACATGGCTCATTAAATGTGATCAGTGGACATTTCTCTGTTGTTGTAGCACAAATTGTGTAAATAAATCCAACTTTTTTTCTGTGTATCAAACTTTGTGTGAAATTACACAGCTGATAAAAAATACATGATAAAAGTATAAATTAGTTAAAAGTTTAATAAACCGAGTGATAAAAAAAAACTAAACCAAAAACAACAAAGAAAAAGAAAGCTATAACTTAAAAGTAACAAGGAAACAAAAGCATTGTTCAAACAGAAACCAGGCAAAGTCTATAAACTCAGAACATTACCACACACACACAAACACAAAAACGCACACGCTCATACACTCACATGCTCACACACTCTCTGTAGAATAGCTGGTGCCAGCGGCGTATCGTCGCCTACAGGGGTGTCTGATTCACTGCCAAAACACACTGCTGTTACAGAGACAGAGAGAGCGGTGAGGAAACACCCTTTGGGAAAGTAAAAAAGACATGGAGGTGTGAAAGAGAGGAGGCCTGGGAGAGAGGAGGAAGAACTGAGGGAGAGGAGAGAGGAAAGGAAAGAAGGAGGCTGCTGATAAAATGGCTGGAGAGGAATGTTTCTGTAGCTCAACAGCTGGCAAAACCACAAACACACACAAAGAGCCCTCCTGAGTGCTCTTTCTGCTTTATCCTGCTCAGGTATCGAACACACACCTGGTCCACGGTGGTTCTTCTCCATCCAGATGTAACAGTTGCTCTGGGCCACGCCGGTCTGGGAGTCCAGGAAGGGGAGCCGCATGGAGCGTTCGGCGCACAGACGGGCATTATAGCTGCGACAGTGTTCAATGGCCTCCTTATAGAACTCCTCACCAAGACTGAGAGAGGAGATAGAGAGGAGTAGGAGGGAAATATACAAGAGGAGGGAGTGTAAGGGTCAAAGGTCAAAGACAGAAGTCCAACATTAAACTGAACATGACAAAATATTTTTGTCTGTTTATGAAGAGGTTGAACAAGTACACACAGAAACGTGTGACTGCTTCAGCTGCTTTGCTTTAATTAATTTATAAAAAGTAAAAGCATGAGAAAGTCCTCTGAGTTTCAAAGTGAAGGGACATTTCAATGAGCTGTTTCTGTACCAACATTAACAAATCCTGAATCTTAATTTAAAAACCAAATCACTGAAATTACTCTCAACATTAATTTTAACCAAAAACTGTTCAAATTAACCAAAAATAGAAGTAAAAGACCAACTCATGTCTGCAGACACTGCAGGCAGTCTGGTTAATGTACATGGGGTGAGCAATGAGGTTTACAGACATCTCCTGGTCCCCGTGTCAGGGTCAGGACCCTTCAAACATGCTCAGACTGTTCAGGCTCAACAGAAGTGAGCTGGTGTGGTCTTCAGGGGGATTTCTGTTGACACCTGCTCTTCCTGACCTTACACTTGCATCACATAGAGCCACATCTGTCTCACAGCAACAGGTAGCAAACTAATGAGCTTAACAAGCATAAATATACAGCATTAAGCAACATAAAATACCACCAATGGCATTGTCAAAAATGCAAAACAATCTTTCAAGTCTGCAACAGGAAGCTTTAAACCTCCTAACAGAGGGCAGCGTCTCTCACATCGTCTGCAGAACAAGAGAAGTTTTCCTGGAGGTCTTATTGGCTTGTGGCAGGGCTGCCTGTTTATTGCACTCTGCATGGATAAATACTCTTTAATACCAATCATTGTCATGCAGTATGAATTGTGCCTCTGTGGTGCAATCAGTCTTCATATGCACCATTCTGAGGATGCAGCCCCTGAGTTTAGCTATTATAAAGGGAGCAGCTTTAAACCTCAAAATGGGGACAGCACATACTTAAAACTGAGACTGTGCAGCAAAGTGACCCTCACTGCTGATGTAGCTGACTGATGCACGACAACCCTGGATGCAGACATTAGACAGAGTTAAATTTCTGTCTTTAATTCATTTATGATCATTTAATTTTGTCTTTAAATTCATTTGAACTGTGATAAACCCGACTGTAATACATTCATTTTCACTCAAATGTGAGATCACGCTTAAAATCACTGCTAAAATGAGTAAAATGTGATGACTTCCACGACAGATGGAGATTTCTCTGTGAAATCCGGTCAGGTTCTTTCAGGTTTTAATTTGTAAGTGTCCGTGTGTAGTGTGTGTGTTTGTGTGTAGCCTTCAAACTGCACACACCTCTTCAGGTATGTGCATGTGTGTAAGTCAGAGGGGCATCAAGTGGAAAGTCAAGGGCAGCATGTGTATGTGTGTGAATGTGTGTGTGTAGGCCGCAGAGATGCTCAGTCCTATTAACCTGGGTCACGGTGGACGAGCTGGCAACCACACACTGTTAAAACCACACACAAACACACACACACACACACACACACACAGTCTCACTCACACACATGCAGAACATCTGCACATTTAACACATCTTCCAGCGTGAGGGTAGCTCATGCACTGTATCTTTACACCTGTGCAGGTGTGAGTTTGATTATCATTCAGTGTAATATCCCCCCTCTCTCCCCCATCCCTCTTCCTCCTTCTTACCTGTTCTTGATGACTGCACCTCCAGATTGCCTGCAGAGAGAAGACAAAAAAGACAAAAGACATTTGGTGAGTCACTCCTCCTCTCCTCTTCTCATTCTCTCAAATCCCCCCTTCTCTCTTTCCCTCTCCCTGTTTTTACATATTTAACTTTTGCAGTCAGTCCATCTCCTGCTACACTTCTTCTTATTCTTCTCCTTCTTCCTCTTCTTGTTTTTGGTTTGATTTTCATCTCGCTTCACACATCTCTCCCTCCTCCTTGTCTCTCTCCTGTTAATCACTCCTCTCTAGTGTCTTCCTGCTGAGAGCAGACATCAAGGTCACACTGCTGCACAGACAGTAGATACAGGACACACTAAACTACAGTTGCACACACACACACATTGACAGATACAGTGCAGAGCCAAAAGCAAAGCTCGCACTCACAGTGCAGCTGCTGCTTGTAAATCTATGGATCAGCTCTATGCAGTTTTTCCAATGTGTTAGTGGTTAATTTATTATTAAATTAATTATTATTTGTTATTAAATCTATTAAATCAAATCGTAACGTTAGGATAGATAATGCTGGTTATCATAAACTATCCTTGCATATTCATAAGTTGTATAAACCGATAGGCAAATTTCCTAGCCACTTCATAGTTAAAAATAACACATACAAAAGGAAACAGAAATATTTGAACAGATACATAACAGTTTTATCAATAATAACTTTTAACAAAGGAGCTGCACAGAAAAAAGAGGACTTGAGCACGAACCAGTCTTGTAGTAACTACAGGTCAACATTGCAACCAGCAGGAAGAAAAATGTATATTCTGTGTAATTAATTTCTTAAGTTTTTCCTCAACCCCATTAAGTTTGCGGGAGGAGGTGGGATTTATGACCTATACTGCAGCCCATCACCAGAGGGTGCTGTTCTCGCGGAGGCTTCACCCAGTGAGGAGACAGACGGCACCCATTCTATATACAGTCTATGACTGAGCAGATGTCTGTGTTGTGGATTAATAAATCAGCATGTAATCTGGCAACTTTCTCCCTGTTACCATGACAATAACATGACTGGCTCATGTCTCCGGGAAACATTGTCTCTACTCCAACCGTTACACTGGCAGTGTTAATTTTATTATTTCAAGCCTTATTACATGCTTGAATTAAATTATAAGTATATGCATATCCTAACATTGTAAACATGAAACTTTTTTTTCATTATTTATTCTTATTTAATCTGCTTCTGTACAAATTAAGTGACTTTCAATCTGTTACAGTTCTGCACATACTGTATGTCTGTTTGCACTTCATGAAACACCACTAAGTTTATTTACACTTGGGGTTAGACGCTGAACTGCATTGAGTTTTTCAGTGCATGCACTGTGCGATGGCAGCAAAGATGAATCCAGTTCCATCATATCTGATAAATGTTTCTATTTTCAGCAGAATCATGGATAATTTCTGTCATATCTTAAGTGTCTTATCTTCTTGTCAAAACCATTTTTGCAGCATTACCCACCATGCAACTTGACAGACAACACTGCAGGTTGAGTAGAATTTCTGTTGTGCTAGCAGGAGCTAATGTAGCCCCAAGCTGCTAGCCTCCAGCTGAGATGAGGAATGGGCTTCAGAGGTTTGATAGGCTCTCTACTTTCCAGCCTGACACTCCTGGATTATCATTTTTTATTTTCATATTTGCTGCCTCAAGCCAGAACCATCACAGACTCAAGTGACAACACTTGACACATATTATCTGATTTCACTGAGCTCCCTCTGGAGCCACAAAAGGCTTCATACAGCTGTTCACACACACGGCACGGCTCCCAAAAACATGTAAACAGACTTTGGTTTGTGAAATCAGTGAAGCTCACTTTTAATTAAATACCTTACAGCTACTCCCCGGTGAAGGCCACAAGCTAAAAACTGTCTCTCAGTCAACCGGTTGTCTTGCAGAAGTTTGCAACCTACAGGCTACAGCTCAAAAAGTCTGCCATGCAAAGAAACAAAATGTTGTGCATCAAAAAGCAAAGCTGGAATAGTTTTTAATGCCTTAGCATTAAGTCTGTGGCGTTATGTTTGGGGTAAAAGTAAGAATTAAGTTTTTAAAATGCATATCAATGCTTAGGCCTTTGCTCAATCTGAACAATCTAGCAAAGACAGATTTTAAGGAAATACTCATTACATAAAAAATAAATAAAATTATCATCCTATGAGTCCTATGAGTGGCATCATTTTACTGGTTTTTTTTAAAGATTGTAACAATTAATAGAGTATCGAATAATTAATTGATAGGATTGTACTAGAACATGCATGTTTTGTTGGATTTTTCATCAGGTAGAAACAAGCATATGGTCTCATTTTATGCTGCATGTTTTGGTGAGAACCAGCGGTGTTGTGTACAGCAGAGATGATCTGTTAGGGGTTGCAAATCAGCAACAAAAGCACACCAGACATGACAAATATAAAAATAGAGCTGGTAAACCAAAAAAGTAAACAGATTCTAAAAGAAGCTTACTTGCAGTTTAAACCCTTCAAATTTAATTTTCCTGGCAACTTTGGGCCCTTGTTTCATTTTAGCCAGTTTCTACCATGAGGGTCTGTCATTTGTTTTACTGCAGACTACAAAGGATATTCAGCTATTGTACTAATTCAGCCATATTTACATTGATGCATACTGCTAAAATGCTGAATAATGTGAACTGTCATAAATTACTCAACTCTATCAAAATGACTGGGGTTAGATCTCTGATGAGTAAATGTAATTGAAGAAATCAACCCTTCTTGTTGTAAGTTAGGACAGTCTGCTTTACCATCAGATTCCCGCGGATGCTCCTGCACACTGACAGCTTGTGCACAGCATCTTCAAAACCTCCAAACCTTCTCTGCAACCTTACAGGTCTGGGCTGGACGTGTGACATTTAAAGGTTGTGATTAAGACGTCAATATGTGGGCCATGCTGTGCTCATGTCTGATAACGTGTCACTGAGAATGAGCTGCAGCCTTCTGCTGGAGACAATGCGACTGTGTACATCCCAGTGCCTGCTGCAAGTGCTGTGCACTACCCATCCATGTAAAGAAATCAAAATATCATCACAAAGTTCTTTTTAGGTATTCCTCATAGATTTCTGCTTCAACGTGACTTGGCATGGAGGTCTGTAGCATTAGTCTGTAGCTCTAATGAGATGCTACTGAAGCTTGATTAGCTTTGATAGCGGCTTTAGCTGGTCTGTTTTGAATCTGCAGTTTCTTGTCTTCTTCTTGACAAATATTCCACAGATTCTGTATGAGGTTGAGCTCAGACTGGATAGCTGGAAAATCAAGTGCAGTAAGATCATGATCAGCAAACCATTTGGTGGGAGTTTTGGCGCTGTGGGCAGGTGCCTGATTCTGCTTTTGTTGACAGTTTTCATAAGGGCTGCAGTTATCCCTGTTGCTTGCTCGCCCCTTGGTTGTGGTTGCATGTACGAAACTAGGCCCAGAGATATTTTATATATACTGTTCATATAATTTATTTTGCACAAGCTAAAGATGAAATAGTCCCATATTTTGAGATGTAGACCATAGTGATCAAAAATAAAATATAAAACTGCTTGATAAATTCTATTTTTTTGTAAACTGACTCTGTAAGTTATTAAACTTTTATTTTCTTAAATAACTGATGGAATTATTGCACTTTTTTTATGCTCCTGTACGTATTTTAAAGGGATGTTCCGGCATAAATTTTAGTTATGGTCAAACACACCACAACACCGAGTTAGAAACCCCCTCAAGAGATGAATGTTGCCGACTGCTTGCTTCTCTTGTTATACCAACTTCAGCAATGACCAGCAATACACTGTGGTCTACGTCTCCACGCACTGACGAGTCGATCACTGAGTGCAGCGGAAAATTTATGATTACTACTTAATGATGATGCAATCAGACTGAGACACTTAGGCAGAAAAACTACCGCATCTGTAGTGCACATACAAGATACACAAGAACTCTGATTGCATTTCCATGAAGTAATAATCATGAATGTTCTTCCTTGAGCTGCGAAACTCCGCTGCAATCCGTGATCAACTCATCAGGACTCACTCACAAACAAGCAGCTGCTGGAGGAGAGTGGGTGAGTTGTGTTTGGTCTCTCCACTAAAGAAACCAGGCAAAGCTAAAAAGATGTTTGATGGCTAGTACTATGGCTGGAACCCTATATGTACTGTTGATGAAGTTCGGTGCTGTTCTGAGCATTATTTGTGGCTATAGAGTGGTTTTTGATTGAGGTTTGTGCATGGAGACGTAGACCGCTGTGTATTGCTATTGTGCGGTCATTACTAAAGTTGGTATAACTAGAGAAGCAAGCAGTTGGCAACATTCATCTCTGGAGGGGGTGTCTAATTTCGTGTTTTGGTGTGTTTGACCATAACTTACATTTACGCTGGAATATCCCTCTTTGCTGCACCAGAAATTCACTCTGCTGTAGTATTGTGCCAGTTACCCTCTTCAAATTTAAAATAAACAAAAATCAGTTGATCTCCAGCAAAGGTGGACAAAAGAAAGAGGCTACCTTCCCCTCAGGTACAAACAAACCTCATGATTGCAGGTAAATGGTCAAAAAGAGAGAGAATAAACACTCTAACAGTTTAAAAGATCCCCAAACACTCTGAAACACTCATGGTGGATAGAAAGACTTCAAGGCTGCAGGAGTGACCGGACTGAGAAACCAGAGCAGAAAAAAAGAGAAAACATTCAAAATGTAAAACAGCTCACCCCTACACCTCCTCACTTCAAACTCTCCATCCCTCCATCACCTCCACCCCTCCCTCTTCTCTGGAATAAGTCAGTCCCTCCTCGATAATAAGTTGACAGCTGTAGAAAATGGCTTCTTTCAATTTCGGTGCTCCCAATCTCATTATATTGAGATAGGAGAGCTGCATGACTGTTTGCCTGTTTGGAGGCTTGAGCGGGAGGAGGGATCAGGCACTCGAGGCCAAGGATGAGAGGTACGGAAAGAAAAAGTTTGGAGAAGACTCTCGGAGAAGGAGAGAAGGGGAGTGTGATGGGCGGAGGACAGAAGATGACCAAGAGAGAGGAAATAGGCAAGAAGAGGAAAGCCTGTAAAAACAGAGCCACAATCCGTAGCTTCGTGACATTTCATTACTTGTTGTTCAAAGATGGCTGCAAACACAATTTTCCCAACGAAAACCAAAATTCACCTTCAACAAAAATTTATGTAAGCCCATGAATATTGATTGCCAGCTTTTAGATCTAATTCTAATTTACTGCCTCTGTTTGTGTTAAAACAAAGAGGTAACCAAGTCAGCAAAGAAATAAACCTTTTCTAATCAAAACGGCTTTAGCATTAGCTCAGCTTAAAAGCTGTTTACATAGAAACATATCCAAAAGATAACAATGAACTTCCATTTTCACCTTTCTCTCACAAGTTTGTGTTTCTTCATGTACAAACTTTTGACATTGGGCTCTTGTTTAGATCTGAGACCTCATCTGAGAGCTGTCACTTCTCTTCTGAAATCAGTCTTTCACTGAACTTCAGGAAATGGTCGGACTGGATTTCACAGTTGCATGTAAACAATATCAAACTGGTTTGCACTGGGGCGCTGATAGCCTAGCTGTTAAGGCACTGCTGTATAGGAGCTGTAGTCTACGTCCTGGCAGCTGCTGGTTCATTTCCTGGCTGAGACTCTTTGCATGTTGCATGTCTTCCCCTGCTCGTCATAGTTTCAATATTTCCTCACTTGCCCTTACTTATAAAGGTGAAAATGCCCTAAAATCTATCAACTAAAAATGGACTTGCAGCGTGTGGTTAACACGAGCTGAGCTTACAGTCTTTCTGGCGGGTCAACACTTGCATGTCTGTGCCAGTTGCCCATTGCATCGGTGCTTGTTTACATCTGGATGGTAAAGCATCACAGCATTTGGGCAGCAGCACTTAACCAGAGTTGAGGCTATTCTGTAGCTAAGATACAACATGACCAGCGTTTTGAGCCTACAATAATAAGAATATCAAAGATTTTTCAAACCGAGTAATTCTGAAGTAACGCTGCAGACTAATGAAGGTGAAAACTTTTAATCTGTGAGTCTGCCAAACAAGCACATCCCTATCTTATACATCATCTAACAGCAAGGAAGTAAACAAGCAGTAACAGAAAAGGATAAGACACTGAATGAACTGAAATGGAGGGTTTTCCTCAGCGATGTGGGGAAACTCTCATAGCTGCATCACTCTGGCCTGTGGCCACAGCGATCCTACCGACCGAGCAGCTACTGAAAACACAAACCGCAGGCAGAGGCACAGGGAAACCAAACTGCCCATCATCGAACCACACAGTCGATGAGGAGAGCTCCACACTGGCTGCACCAACACAGACACACACACACAAACTGTGGGTAAATGCCTCTTTTGGCATTAGAGCTAAATTTGAAATTTTAATCATTTTTGTTTTCCAAGAATCATCAAATTGCTTCTATTTCAGGTGGATTACAGCTATATTTGTTATCAATTGATGCACACAGACATTGTGGCGCAGGGAGATATACCAGCAGCTTTAGGAATTACCTGGCAAAGTGCCAACTCCCCAACAGACCAGAGCTGACTACCAAAAACATCCAGGCAGACATGATGGAAATGACAATCAGGCCTGCACTGAGCAAGGGCACAGAAACTGGAAAGGACACCTGAACTCATGCATGCACGTGCACACACACAGCAGAGCAACAGAAACATGCTCCTGAATACTGAACTGTGGGGAGGTGTGCAGAAAAAATACCAGAGAGGTAACTTTGTGCAAGTGTAAAATATTCCTTAATGAATCCCTACACACACACACACACACACACACACACACACACACACACACTGAGTCAAGATTTGATAAAGAAAAGGAGCGAGAGTGCCAACAGCATGTAGTGTGAGTGTGAGTGTGAATCCTGAGCCCACATTGAGCTGTCTGCCTCAGCCTGCACTTAGCAAACAGCAGGGAGGGAGAGGGCTCCATGAAAACACTGAAAAACTAAGAACACACACACACTCACACTCACACAAACACACACATTCGTGCTTCTGACAGGCAGCAGACGTACAGCGTTCCTTAACTGCACTGCCACCCCACAGGCCCACCCAGGGTAAGCTATTGTCTGAATCTCTGGGTGATCCCTCAAGTCCCATCCAGCAGAGTCAGTCCACTTCAGCACACACTGAGTCTCTGTCCACTGCACACATATTCTGAAAAACACACACATGAACACACACGTTCACACTGCCGGCAGCAGTTTCTGGTTACACTGCAATTAACCACACCAATTAGCTGGTTCCCAAACCAAAATAGAAACAGAGGGCTCCCCCTAGAGGTGAAATTACATCATTGGAGAAGCCGGTGAGAAATATGAGGAAATCATGAAAATGAGTGCACAATTACAAAAAACGCCAACAAAGGACTTCATTTCAGCGCTGGTCTCCAGCAGGGTGGGAGTAGGTAATTAAACTGGAAGGAGCCAAAGTAGTTCACATGTAAATGGCTTCATGAGGGCTGAGGGCAGACTGTATGAGCATGATTTGCACTTGAGATTTGTTAGCAAATGCTGCAGACTGAGGCTGTTAGCTCTGTGTATGCTTAAGATTTAAGCCTGTTAAAACACTCGTGCCTACATAATCAAGTCCGTACACCTGGTCCACACACCTGTCTCATTCACCATTGTCCATCTGTGCAGGTTCTCACACACAAACACTTGCACATACTCTCTCTCACACACACACACACACACACACACACACACACACACACACACACACACACACACACACACACACACACACACACATATCAAAGTGCCCTGGCCTGTGGAGCTTTGTGTGCACAGTGGAGAAGTAATATCAGGCAGCCTGCTGCTGTACTGTTTCTCCCCTCCCCCCGACCAAACCCTTCCATGGCTGAACTCAACAGATTAAACTATGCAATATCACCCTTACGATTCCCCCCCCCCCCCCACCCCCCCCCCCCCCACCTCCTCCCCCATCCGCACCACCCTCAATTCAATTTCTTCACTCTTTCTCTCTCTCTCACACACTCTGGAAGAAAATATTTTTTCTTTTTTTCCTTTTTCTCCTGATGTGTGAATATGTTTGTGGGTGCATGTGTGTCTATGTGGCTTCTGAACAATCCCTCTCTCTCTCTCTCTCTCTATATATATATATATATATGTATATATATATATATATAAACATATATGTGTGTGTGTATATATATATAAATATATTTATATGTATATATACATATATATATATACATAAGTATTATACATTTACAGGTATAAATGTGTATATGTGCATATAAATATACACATACAGTCTATCTATCTATCTATCTATCTATCTATCTATCTATCTAATATACATAAATGGCTTTATTCTTTATATTAAGTATACATTCATATGTCTTACTTTTTTTGTAAATAATGTCCTTTACACACTTTATACTGTTTATGTAAATATATTAATCACTTTTTTTAATAACTTCATATCTTGTTATTTTGTTATCTACGTATGTATGTTTCTATGTTAATTTTAATTTTGGAATGTTATCATTGATAGTACTATCTTATCATTGATCTGTATATTTTGATATAAATCTATACATTTTTACATTATATATTTTCATATCTTTGAATAGCAACAAACATTACATCATCTATTCATGCCTGCTTTATTTATAATATATCTACAATAGATAGATAGATAGATAGATAGATAGATAGATAGATAGATAGATAGATAGATAGATAGATGCATCCTTATTCTTACAATTTTACTTCTATTTTGATTCCTACATTCATAAAATCGTTGATAGTTTTTCATTAACAATGGTTTGAGATACTGTAACCAAAAGGAGTGAAAACAGTGACACACTGAGATGTTGGATGCAGGATACTGTTCTTGAATCATTTAAGAGAAACAATGATGTGTATCATCTTTGTCTGTCGTAAACAGTAGTTCTTTTTTGGAGAACAAAACTAAAATATTCACTCTTCTCATTTGTCACAGGCTGCTCCTGCAGCACTTAAAATAATTTAAACTGTACAGTAAAATGGGGAAACCTTCAGACCCACTGGACACACATCAGAGAGGTCCAGCTCCAGCCTAGCTTAAGGAAAACAGATAGAGACACACTAAATGTGTGTGTGGTGACAGAGTTCATGTCAGTCACAAAGACAAAGAGGCCACACACTCGCTGTGACATTGACAGACAGACAGACAGATGGACAGAAAGGAGTGTGTATCTGTGTGTGTAGAGGGGGACGTCTGCCACACTACCAGCTGGAAAACGTCAGTTTACACAAATTGCTGTCACAGCAATGCATCTGGGCATGTGAGTATGTATGTGTGTTTGAATGTGTGTTTCTATGACTGACTGCTTGCATATTTGAACATGGAGAGATCTGACGGGCAGACAGGCGGAGTGAGGAAGGTAAACCGAGGCAGAGCCAGGCTACAAACATGCCATCTCTGTCAGAACTTTGTGTTACCTGCTGTGTGTGATCGTAATGAAGAGTTACATCTCATTTCCTGAGTGTGTCCCTGGTTGTCCACTGGGTGTGGTTATTCTGGAGTCACTATAAAACTGTGATCACCCTCATATGTGCATGTTCTGTTTTCCTGTTTCTGTCTGCAAATGCATGCACACTCAGAAATAGTGCACACCTATTTATGCATGCATAAATATCTGTTTGTGCATTCCTCCCAGTCTATGTGTGTGGGTGTATATATATTCGGTAGCTATAGCTGCAGTGGGTATTGAGGGCAGTACATCAGGGTAAGGCAATCTGCCTCCGAACAGCTCCTTCAGGTGAGATTTATCACCACTGCACTTGGCCTCTTATTATGTGGATGGATTCCCTACCTCTGAATCTTGGTGTGCACGTGTGAGTGCATGTGTGCGAGTGCGTGCGTGCTTTTTCTTAACCCCCCCTCCAGTCTGCATCCTTATTAAAGTGCTGCAGAGAGAAGCAGTCATTGGTTTGTGTTGACTCCACCCTTGAGAAGTCCAAGATAGGGATGCACTGGACACGCAAAGACACTGGAAATAATATAAATAGGGAATGACAAGGGAGGAAACTGCTGAGGAAAGAAGAGAATTATTTTCGGTTGCTGAATTCTTTCCACACTCTACATTTGGACTACAACTTGCAGGCAAAAAGAACTACAAATTCCAAATATCCTGGCTTAAAGTCATGCAAGGTCCCAAAGCAGTGGAGCTGACTGTCAGTCAGTTAGGTAGCACTGGAGAAATAGGTCATAGAGCTAAAAATACTTATCTATGTCTCTCTCTTTTTCTCATTCTCTCTCCATCCTATCTTCTTTAAAAAAAAAAAAAACAGGAAGTAAAACACATAGAAAGTCTAAATAAGAGGATGATGAAAAGAATAACTGAAAAAACGAAACACCCCTAAAAACATCAGACCTCAGGCTCACTCCAAACGAAGGACTGAGCACCAGAAACTAGAATGAAGGAGTGCAACTGTGTGCATCTATGTGTGTGTTTGTGTGTCCTGAAACGCACACAAGTGATGCCGCACAAATGAGCGAGTGAGGGAATGAAAGGGAGAGACTGGAGGAGAAAGAAAGGTCTAGAAATGGATGCTCAGGCTGTGGTTTTCAACCATCACGTGGGGCTGTTTGCACACACAGCCGGTTATTACACAGAACTCATTTAGCTGGGCTCAGTCAGGCAGGGCAGAAATAATATTATATAGGCCCTGCCACAATAGCACGGCACACTATTATCTACATCTGCCACCTCACCAGCACAAAAAAGTAATAAAGCTGAAGTATACACCACGTCACGAGTCATTTTGATGAATTTGGGCACCTGCACCTTCAAAATTTGAGTCCGAAAGTCAAATTTCTACTCCTTATTTAACTTTACGCTCCATTTCCCAAAAGGTATTCCATTATTTGAAGATTTCATCACTTACGTTCATTCAGCACCATCAAAATTGAAAAATCTTTGATGCCACAAAAGTAAAGGTGGTATAATTTAGTATAAACAGTATATTATAAACACTTTCTAACGGTAGATAGTCCAAATCTGCAGCAAATCCACCTAAAGCAACTCTGAGAAGCCAAATTTAAGGGATCCAACAAAATGCAGAGACACTTCTTTTTGCTGAATATTAAAGTGGCGACATGCCCTGCTTCACAATGTACAGAGCCATGATGGAGGGTGGAAGGTAGAGGGTGGGGGTTGGGGGTAGTGTGAGGTGAGGGTGCAGCCTGAACGACTTGGAGAGCTCAGATGGTTTGGGGGCTGAAAAAGACGGCAAATGGAAAAAAGAGAGAGAGCGGGCGAGTCACAGAGGAAATGGCTGAACAAAAGGAGTGATGGCGAAAAAAGGAGTGATGGATGAAGAAAGTGATGAAGAAGGAGGGAGGGGGAAAGCAGGGGTGATAGGAGGACAGAGTGGAATAAAAGAGACAGAAGCAGAGGAGAAGGAGAGGAAGAGAGATTAAACAGGTCTCTAATCCAGCAGAGAGATAGACGGAAAGAGGGATGCCCAGCTCTTCTCTCCTTCACTGATTTGTCTTTACACACGGATGAACCCTCCACTGTACTTCCACACACACTCATCACATGCACTCATCAGCCAGCTATCACACTGCACTGAGAACTGCAGGCCCCGCTGACACTTAGCCAGGCAACAACTGGATCTGCTTTCAACAGAATATATACCCGTTAAGTTTTCATATTTACAGCCTAAAATCAACACAGGTTGAAAGAAAGGGGGAATTACACTCAACTTAAGGTTTTTCATTGTCCTTTTAAAAATCTAGGAGTAGTTTAACATGACAGAGAGCTCAATGAATTCTTAATTTGTCTCAGATTAGTGTGTTCAAAAACCTTTATTTCAACCTCAGTCTGAAACACTTTTTTTAAGCTACTGTCTCTTTAAGACACTTCAAAGCATCTCAGAACCCAGTATTCCAAGATGTGACATTCCAGGACCCAGTATTCTGAAACTGGCATTCCAAACCTGACACTTTAGAATCCAGTGTTTCAGAATCCAAAATTCTGGAACCATTTACTTCAGAACCTAACATTCAAACACTCAGCATTCCAGAGCTCACTATTCCAGAATCCATTGTTTCAGAATCCAGCTTTCTGGAACATAACATTTTTGAAAACCTGCAACCCAACATTACTCATCCAGACATTCAAAATCCTTGCATTCCCGGAATCAAACATTTCAGGACACAGAATTCCAGAACCCACATTCCTGTAACCCAACACTCTCAAACTCAACATTTCAGAACTCAGCTATTGAAACCAAGAATTCCACAACCCAGTAATATTATTCAAGAACCCAGATTCATAAAATCTAAAATCATTCTAGAACCCAACCTTTCCAAATAAGGCATTCTGGAACACAACATTCCACAACCCAACATTCTGGAAACCAGCATTCTGCAAATTCCACAACCCAGCATTCTGTAACCTTGTATTCAAGAACCTAGATTCATAAAATCAGGGTACATTCTAGAACCCAACCCTTCCAAATAGGGCATTATGGAACCCAACATTTCAGAACCCATCATTCTGCAAAACAGCTTTCCGTAACCCAGTATCCTAGAACCCAGCATTCCAGAATCCAGCATTCAGGAACTCAACATCTAAAACCCAGAGACCCAGCGTGCTAAAATTCTGCATCCTCCAATTCAACATTCCAAGATCCAGCACTCCGGGAGATAACATTCTGAAACCCAGCATCTTGATTGATTGATTGATTGATTGATTGATTGATATTCCTTTATCAGTCCCACAAGGGGAATTCCCATTTCAGTTCAGCCCATCCAAGATACATAAAAAGACAATATAATCCATAATCCATGAACCCAGCATTCCTAAATATTCTGATATTCCAATATTTAAGAATTTAGAATTCCAGAGCTAAATTTTCCGGGAACTACTATTCTGGAACCCTTCATTTCAGAACCCACCATTCCAGAACCCTATCTGAAATCCTACCCTATCTGAAATCTGATATCTGAGACCTAGCATTCTGTACTCTTCTCCACTGTTGCCAGGCTACAAAGTTGTCAGCCGCCTGCGGTCTCATCCTGGGATTACTCCAACACACATTTGCCTCACACTCTGAAACTTTCCTCCTGTGGACTATTGACATCCTCGACTTTACCTCCACAGTACCAGCTCTTTAAACACTCTGAGGCACACAGCAAATCGCCTACTAGGACTGACAGGAAACCAAATTTCACTGCTTGTTTGGCACATTTTACTGGATAGGCCTTTAATTTGTAAGTCCCTAACAGCAAGTTTGTTTGTAGATATGCTAATTAGCAAGGCTTGTTTTAAAGGCCTCTTCTCAGTGTGGCGACTCGGATGTACTTAAACCCAATACGCCGTAACGATGGCATTTATACACTTGGTGAGACGTTGAAAGCAGTCGATTGCTGTAGCCTTGTGTAATAAATACATTCAGCTTTATTATTGCACATAGAGTCAGATGTTGGAGTCAGATGGGGTATCCAGCATCTCTACAGGTCTGAATCTTTGTTTTATGCTTGGGTTTTCCTCCTAAGTCCAACTTTAAGCTATTAAATCAATACAGAACCACCACTGAAAGAAGATGGCACTATTCATGGTTTCTGGACTTGAGCCTTTTAAACCAAATCCTTTAAAGTACTTCTGGCTTCCTTTATTCCTCTTAGCAAAATAAAGTAATCCTAACCTGGCCTCTCACTCCATCCTGGTACCACATCTATATGTACTCAATGCAAATCAGCCAATTTAATACCCTGACACGGTGTCAGCGAAGGCCTGTGGGGGCAATCTGGACACACTTTGGCTCTGCTTGGATGAGCATCCCATGGAAGAGAGAAGGAAGAGGAGGAGGAGGAAGCTCTGAGCTCAAAGGTCCTACATTACAGCCTCTGTCCAGTCCACCTGCTCAGACTCTGTCCTCTCATTACTCAACATTACCTGATACCAACTCATTAAACCATGATCAAACCATATCGGCGGCATTCACACAGTTCTAACTCAGTATTATAGGGATGTGTGCACGGTGCGAACACTAAAATAGCATCACACTCAATCAGGGCAGAGCACAGTTTCCCAATCAGCACCATTCCTGCTTCCTCTCTCCTGTGAAGTGCTCTTCAAAGCGGGCACGTACAGGCCGGTCCTTCATGGAATTTGCAGGAAAATGTCGCCTGAGTCTGCATCTCTGAGAGGCTGACAGTCAGTCAGTCAGTCAGTCAGACAGACAAACAGACAGACATACAGACAGACAGACGGGGAGGCAGGCGGTCTGTATCCCATCCCTGCTCAGGTGAAACCTGTGCAGCAGCATCCGATGCGCGCCCTTGCTTCTGCACACAGGTCTCTGACTTTTCCTTTGTTTCTAACTGTCTAAGCCGGGTCTTTGGAGAGCTCAGACACTCCTCGGTTGTATGTTTATACTGGAGCTATTGTGGGGGGTTTTATTCGCGGAGAAATCTGTGTAAGTACCCACTGACAGACGCACATCAGCCACCTTTTTGGCCGGGAGCCCAGGCGAGCAGCAGGCGTCTGCATTCCGCTGAAAGCAGTCTCCGAAAAACAAAAAAGAGCCCCAAAATCCTGCACAAAGGGGAGTATCACATGGGAAACTTAAAGGGAAATCCGGACGTTTAAGAAAGCGATAGTGGAAATAAATGTCTATAGAAATGCTGGTTGAGTTAAAAACACCGGTTTTCATATGAGATTTTATTCTAGGCTTTATTCTAGGCGCTGGAGATGAGAGCAACTCTCGGAGTTGATTCCGTGCAGCTGCTATTTACCTCAGCCTGTATATTTTGGAAGGTCCGGCAGGAAAGGTAACGCTGCAGCCTTAAACCTGAGCTCTGAGCCTCATTCTGCCTACCTGTTTACCCCTCTGCCTAAAAAATGTGCACACAGGTACTGTACAGCCATCTGCCTCCCGGCCAGCCTGCCTCTCCATCCCGGCTTTGACCGTGATCTTGGCTGGCTACACTGGCAAGGGACATACCGGGTCACCCAAATCTACCTCCAGCATTCCTCCATATCCCTGCACACACACGCTGCTGTTGGCTCAAGGAAATAATTATACGGCTTGCATCGGAGCGCAAAACAATCCCCCCATGCCAAAAAGCAGAACCCCCTCGTCAGCTTTAAATTTAACTTTTCTTCAGGGCTGATTCGCATCCGCTGACATTATCTCTGCTTTGCATGTATAGATGTGCCTGTGGTCATGCTGAGAAATATCAGAGAATTTAGGGGTCTCTAACTGCACTGACAGCATGCACAAACACAAAAAACGCCAAGGCACAGGAAAGGTGAGGTACTTACGATTTGAGGGGGTTCTGTACCGCTGTGGCCATTTTGATATAGTATGATAGAATGCAACACTGCAGAGCCCGGTATTGTACATGCAATGTAGCAGCTATTTCAATTTCATTCATTCTCTGGGGCTGCGGCTGGAGCGAGCAGCCAATGGGAGGCGGGAGCGCTCTGTGACAGCTTTGGGGAAGTGTAGTTTTTACGCATGTCAACATGACACATGCAGAGGAGGAGCGCACTACAAATACCAGCGGGGAGAGCGCTCTGAGTGGACCTCAGTCCCGCCTCGGACTGGTAAAGGCAAAGCCTCCCCCAGTTCTGAATTCAGTTATTTAAATACATTCCTAAAAACGTCCACAGTTATGTCAGGGATGGAGGGTGTCCCTCTGTGAGGATGACAGGCAATGTCAAGGTTTTGTCAAAGTTAATGATGGCAGTACTCTGATTATGAAGTCCAGAAATTAAAACAACTATCTGACACATTTTAGAGTACGGGCTGCTGATTAATACAGTTTAAAATAACACAAATATTATTCTTATTTATATTGCATTTGTAGTGCAAGAACAAGTGACTGCAGTGGACAGGGTATTTCATATACAAAAATGTGTCACAATTTTAAGGAAAACATTGCTAAAGCTCCTGTGAGGAATTCTCCATTTGTGTTGGCTTTGGCGCCCCCTGTGGACAAAGTGATACCGCTCACATTTTTAAATGTCTTGCCCGTTTAATTCAAGTTTTCTGACCATGAATATTATCCCCTATCCTTAATATTTGTTATGCAGACTATAAGAAACAGGTGGCAAATTGCATTGTCAGTCACCTACCCACTTGCAGCTGTTATGGCAAATAAAAATGATATTGTAAAAAATGTAAATCTTTTTAAAGAAAAAGTCTTGTTTGTTCTTACAGGTCCAAAAGGAACACAACTGTTGATTTCAGTCTGTTTCACAAACAGATAAAACATCCTCACAGAAGCTTTAATTTCTGCCCAAGCATGAAGTTTTAATGTAAATAAATCTACACTCCAGGACGATATTAAATACAGTTTTCTTTGTATAAATCACAAGATATTATACCATAGTAATAAGTTAATACAATGTATTTTAGTGCAAATTAAAAGAGGATGGGCCTTCATAACCCTAAAGTAGAGGTGGCATGTTGATGGACCTTTGTTTAATCTTATATTATCTATGCCATGGCCCTGCTTCCAGTGGTTTTAATTATTCATTAATCAGGGGCGATGGGTTGGGAGCAGGCCTATAATTGATTCTTACAGACATTTGTCTCTTGTGGTTGCGCCCGGAAAAAAATCTGGGACCCTCTCCAATCCCTAACCCTCCATCTTTTATTCCCTGCTTCCTTGATTCCTTGTCTGCTCCTTTTTTTCTCTCCCTGCTTTAAGCGATTTCTTGAAGCCTTTTTTTGTTTTTGTGCAAAGGTGTGAGAGAGTATGACTCATTTTAGCCATTACTGTGTCTTTTAACGGTCCCCATCAGTAATTCAATCCTACATACTTCAGGAAAGGAAGTAAGGATGGAGGAAAGGGAGGAGGGAGAGAGTTCTGCTCTCCTGTAAGAGCAGCAATGCTGGAATTTCTTCTCTTTGTCATGTTAGCAGCAGTGGCGCCGCTCTGAAGCCATTCAGTGACATGTGATATTTATAGATCTGTGCTAACAAATATTTAATGAACATTAGCAAGCAGCTCTAACATGGCTGCAGTGCTCCAATAAGACCACCTTTGCCAGTTCAATGCAAATTTTGTATTTGTGTGTAGCTGTGATTAAGCACAAGTGACTTTTCATAAATATGCAAATATTTATTGGCCTCACATGGTGGAGCAGTTAAATGAACATGATTTTATTGTGGTTTACATAATTAATCTAAGCATAGAAAGTCTATTTTAGATTACAGGCAATATACGTGAGGGTGGAATCATCTCATTTTGTTTTTTCTCATCGCCTCATTTGTGAGTTTACTGAATGACAGGTTAGCTGTCATTCCGCTATTCAACCACAAGGTGGTACTACTGCACCAAACAAATACTGAACAGACTCGCGTACAATGCGTCTTACGTCACAGTTACGTGCTTTAGGCTCCTCCTTCAGTCAGCGGTCCACGCGCTGTTGTTGTCTGACAGCCAGTAGGGAGTCATGATGAAGTTTCGTTTTCGCCGTCAGAAATGTGTAATAACACCTTTTAAGTAACAAACCATGTCGGAAATACTGTTGAATAAAGCTGACAGCTTTAAAACCAGTCCAATGAAGGCCGAGGAGTGTCCAGACGGTGTCCGGAGCTTCCTGCTAGTGGATGAACAAGAAAACCTGCAGGTAAAGTTAGCTAGCATGCTAACATGTAGCTGCTAAGCTAGGCTAGGAGAAGTGTAAAAACACACACTTTTGTATATAGAGGCCTTTATGATGGAGTAAGAAAACAATCTGTGGTCAATGTAGGACTTGAACAGGCTGGTGTCAGTGATTTAGACGGTCAGGGTAACCTGGCCAAACATCGAGTCAGTGTCAGGTTATTCTTCATCATTACAGTGAGGTAGACTTCTTGTAATGGTTTTATGGGATCAAGATAAAAATAGCTTCTACCCTCCACGTCCATCATGTTCATAAAGGTTTACTGGTTACAACAGTTCTCTTCTGACAGGCTCTAGTTTGATCTAGAAAGGGGGTATTAGAACTGGTTTGTTGGTGGGAAAGTCCCCGATGAGTCACACAGTCAGCTGATCCACACCTTCACTGTTATTGTTGATTCTGCAGGGCAAAGTGTCAATCGTTTTCAGACATATACTGTAAAATATAAAGTAATGCGGGGTTCTGCCGTCGTTAGAAATCTCAGTAATTGTCATCAGCCACATTATTTTCATTGTGGAAAGTCAACAATTCTAACTGCAATCACATTTCCCTTGAGTGGCAGGTGTAATCTACAGAGTATTTCAGGCTGAATAAATCTAATCTGACAGATAATACAACACATATGACCTCGTTTTGTCTTTTAATGTGAGTTCAGGCTTATCGTCGTCCATCAAGAATCATGGATATCATTATTATCCCAAAGGAGCAGTTTGTTTTCAGCCATTACTGTCAGTAAAGAATAAGTGAGACGTGAGAAAACACTACGTTGACTATTGAGTTGATGGTTAGGTATTAGATGAATAAGATAAGAAGAACTTTATTAATCCCTGAAGGGAAATTTAATTGTCTGTCGTCTCATTTGTCATGTCTCTAAAAGTCATCTACAGCAGAGTTGTACAGTCTGATGGCTGTGGGTACATGATATCATCTTTAAAATATGACTGTAATACAACTCTCTAAATCTCTTTTTGTTATTCTCCCACCAGGTCCGTGATGAGTCTGAGTTTTTGGATAAACTCGGATGTGGGGATGTGGCAGGAGTAAAGGTCCTCTCCATCTTTGGCAACACCGGTGATGGCAAGTCTCACACCCTCAACCACATCTTGTTTGGAGGTGAGAGTGTGTTTTACACCTCCAAGTCCCCCAGCTCCTGCACGGTGGGAGTGTGGGCTGCATATGACCCCACCCTCAGCCTGGTTACCCTGGATACAGAGGGCTTGTTGGGAGCTGCAGCCAATCAGAACCAGAGAATGAGGCTGCTGCTGAAGGTAACTTGAGTGGCAGGTTGGATTTGTTAAGCTTGACTGACAGTTGAATGTGTGCTATCCTGTTTTTATACAGCTTATGAATTTGTTGTGAGCAGGTTTAATCGAAAGAGTTAGAGAAATTGTCTGGTGGCAAGGGATCTTGCAATCAAATTGTTACTATTGTCATGTAGTTCATCGACTCTTTCCTGCCTTTTCACTTCAGTGTTTATTTTTCTTCCAGGTGTTGGCAGTATCCGATATAGTGGTGTATCGCACACGAGCAGAGCGCCTCCACAATGACATGTTTCTGTTCCTGAGCAGTGCTTCCGGGGCCTACCTGAAGCACTTTACCCCAGAGCTCAAGGCCCTCTCCAGCCGCTGTGGTCTGGATGTGCCCCTGTCCTCTCTTGGACCTGCAGTTATCATCTTCCAGGAGACGACGCACACGCAGTTGCTCGGTCATGGTAGGGGGTAGAATCTGTTCTTTGGGATGTGTTGATATTGAAAGAATTTTTTCTTACTCATTTTTGAGATGTTTTGTTTTGTCTTGTCTGTCCTGTAAAGATTCTTTTGCATTTCTTTCTCCACAGACTCAAATGTGTCCGGCCACGCTGACACGCTGCTGCAGAAGCGTTTTCATGACCTGGGCTTGGGGACAGAGGCCTTCAGCTCTGTGCAGTATGTAGGCACCCAGACCATCACACCTCCCACTGATTACAGCAGGCTGCTGGAGGCCGTCAAACAGCAAGTGAAGAACACACACACACGTTCCCCTCGTCAGCCTGGGATAGTGTTTCACGCTCTGGAAGTAAGATGTGAACCGACTCTGTCTGTGTTTAGCCAACTTTAAACTTTATATCTGTCTTAAAGAGCCTCGTGTTTTGTTTATATGATGGTCTCAGCTGTTTCTCTTTGTTAGGATCTTTATCTGTGTTTTGTTTTTCAGGCCCTGAGTGATCGTTTCTGTGGAGAACTGTCCGATGACAAGATGACCCTGTACTCCTTCTTCCCTGATGAATACTTCACCTGCTCAGCTGTCTGCCTCTGCTGCAAGTAAGTCCAGACTAACTGGACTGAAGTTTTTTCTTCTCCTTTATGTTTGATCAGTCTGGAGATTTTTAGCTATATCCGGTAACATTTCACTTCCCAGACTCCAGAAACTGGTCTCCTGGGTTCACTAAAATTGACAGAGTCCTGCTAAAAAGAAGAGCTGAGGACACACTAGGGTTAACATAACCTTATTACTGTCTCTGTTATCTGTTGTGTATTTAAAGATTTGTTTTCTCTCCAGGATTCGCTGTAAAAATGGGATGAACCACTTGAGAGACAAAGTCCCCCACATGGCAGATGGACTGTGCCAGTACTCACACCACTACAACAACAAAGTCCTCATTTGCAAGGTAGGCCACTCCTAAAACCCGCTGTACAGTTTTTAGTTGAAGTAAACTTGAAGGTTAGGTTTGTGTTTGGTGTCAGCTCTTTGGTTTTTGAACTGGTGTTTTTGTTCTAAAGTCATTTAGATTTTAATTAAGACCCTTTTGACCTCAGTAGGACACTGACTTTTGACCTGGAACTGAATCTGCAGGTTCTTGTGGCCTGGTTTGGCTTGTAGTTACATATTTATGATATAGAATGAATACTTAAGGTATTTTGACCTTAAATTATGCTGCGCACCTCCAGGTGTGCTATCTAATTCCTTTCTGACTCTTTCATAAGCAGACCATTAGAAAAAGAAAGCTTTTTTTTTTTTTTACATGAACTGCTTTTCATAGCGATAAAGCTCAGAATGGATCAACAGACCAAACACAATTTCTCCAGGGTCCTTTCGCCTGATGATTTGCACTGTTGACTCTACAGAGGCACCCTGATGTTTTGACTTACTTTAAAATCATGTGCTTGCTGTGTTTTACGTCTGTAGAGGTGCTATGAAGGCGGCAGAGAGACGATTGTTGTTCCCAAAACATCAGCTTCCTCTGACAGCTCCTGGTTTGGACTGGCCAAGTACGCCTGGTCAGGGTATGTGAGTTTAAATACACATGTTTAGTACATACTTGCATTTTATCACAGGCTGCAGGTCTAACAAATCATTCAGTCTTTTTACGCTTTTATATTACATGCTCGGAAACATCAAGTCTTGTATTTTATCAGTCTTGTTAGCCCTCATCAGCTCTTCTGCTTCTCTCTCATCGTGCTTATGCTGTCACTTTCGGATACACATACCTGCCTCCTGCTGCTCCTCTCCCTGCTCTCCTCTCTCCTCCTGTAGCTGCCCGATAGTTTGTACCGCTGTTGCACAACATTGAAGATACAGCGGTCCATCATTAATCTTGGTGAATGCTATAACTTCTTGTGCTCCCCAACTTTGTCTCACTTTGATCCGTAAATGTTTGAGGGGAGGAGCCACAGTGTGCTTTATTCAACATATAGGATTGGAGCAACACAGCAGGCGGCACAGTGATGGTTCAGTCTTGATGATCATATTTTGATGATGGTGGGGTCCAAAATTGTAATTCGAATAGCCCATTATTTTCACTTATTGATATTTTATCTCACACATGTTAGGGTGATGCTGTGCTGCTGAATTGATATGTTTTTCTACCCCCCTTAGATGCACACAGTCACATACATCTTCGTTGATTTTTTATACCACCATCTCATGTCCTGTCTCTCTGCCCATCTCTCAGCTATGTGTTGGAGTGCGCTAGCTGTGGAGTAATCTACCGCAGCAGGCAGTACTGGGTGGGAAACCAGGACCCTGAAAGTGGTGTGGTGCGGTCTGAGGTGAAGCACGTGTGGATGGGGGTTAGTATCCCACCTTTCTCCTCTTCCTTTAGGTGTCAAGAAAGGTCAGAGATGATTGTTTAAGCACTGCCTTTTATCAGAAGTTTACTCTTAATCTACAGATTAAATTAGGTCATGTAAAATGCTTTATAATGGTGTTTAAGGAAATTCAGAGCTCTTAATCTGATGAAATTCAACATGCTATTAGATCAACAAAAGAATATCCACGACTCAAGGGAGCGTCAAACTAAGGCACCAACTTCTTCACACGCTGATCACTGCCTCTGCAAGGATAATCTGATCGACACCATCGCTATAAACCTTACTGCCCTAATCTGTACTAATCCCTAAGTCTGTCTATCATGTTTTGGTCAGATAAGAACCAGGAAAGCAGACCTCGCTGTTCAATTTTCCCCTTCTGTCTTCTCTCAGTCTGGCATGTATCTGACCAACCATCAGAACGCGGCTCAGCGGGTCCTGGATGGGATGAACTACGTAATCCAGTCAGTGTCAGAGTACAGTACCGGCCCCACCAAAGCTGTCGCTGCCTGGCTCACGGACCAGGTGGCTCCACCGTACTGGAGACCCAATACAGATATCACCGTAAGTCTCAGATGCTGCAGATAATGAGGATTAAAGTTTAACTGCATGATGTCTTTGAAGGATTTCAACAGAAATACAGTGGATATAAAAAGTCTACACACCCCTGTTCAACTGCCAGGTTTTTGTCATGTAAAAAAATTAAATCAAGATAAATAATTTCACAACTTCTTCCACCTTTAATGTGCCCTATAACCTGTACAACACAATTGAAAAACAAACAGAAATCTTTCAGGGAGGAGAAGTAAAAATAAACAACTGAAATCATGTGGTTGCATAAGTGTGCACACCCTTTAATAACTGGGGACGTGGCTGTGTTCAGATTTAACCAATAACACTTAAACTCAGGTTAAATTGGACTCAGCACACACCTGTTACCAATTAAAGTGCCTCTGATCAACTCCAAATAAAGTTCAGCTGTTCTAGTAGCTTTTCCTGACATTTTTGTAGCCACATCTTCCAGCACAAGCCATGGTCTGCAGAGAGCTTCCAAAGCATCAGAGGGATCTCATTATTCAAAGATATCAGTCAGGTGAGGTGATTTCCAAGGAATTAAATATATCATGGAACACAGTAAAGACCGTCGTCATCAAGTGGAGAAAATATGGCACAACGGTGACATTACTAAGAACAGGACGTCTGTCCAAAATTGATGACAAGACGAGAAGAAAACTGGTCAGGGAGGCTGCCAAGAGGCCGACAGCAACACTGAGGGAGCTGCAGGAATTTCTGTGTAGTACATCAGACAACAATCTCCTGTCATCTTCATATGTCTGGGCTATGGGGTAGGGTGGCAAGACGGAAACCTTATCTTACAAAGAAAAACATCAAAGCCCGGCTTAATTTTGGAAAAAGACATCTGAAATCTCCCAAACACATGTGGGAAAATGTGTTATGGTCTGATGAAACCATACCTACAGTGAAGCATGGTGGTGGCAGCATCATGCTTTGGGGCTGTTTTTCTTTAGCTGAAGCTGGTGCCTTATGAACAGTTCCAAATACCAGTCAGTGTTGGCCCAAAACCTTCGGCCCTCTGCTAGAAAGCTGAAGATGAAGAGGAACTTCATCTCTCAGCACGACAATGACCCACACATCTAAATCAACAAAAGAATGGCTTCACCGGAATAAGATTGAGACTTTGGAATGGCCCAGCCAGAGCACAGACCTGAATCCCATCAAACATTTGTGGGGTGATCTGAAGAGGGCTGTGCACAGGAGATGCCCTCACAATCTGTCAGATTTGGAGAGGTTTTGCAAAGAAGAGTGGGCAAATATTGCCACATCAAGCTGTGCCACGCTGATAGACTCCTACCCAAAAAGAATGAGTGATGTAATAAAAGCCAAAGGTGCTGCAATAAAGTATTAATTTAAGGGTGTGCATATTTATGCAACCAGGTTATTTCAACTTTTCTATTTTATATTTTTCCCATTAAAAGTTTCAGTTTGTTTTTCAATTGCATTGTACAGGTTATAGGTCACATTAAATGTGGAAAACGTTGTGAAAATATTTATTTTGCTGTCATTTTCTTACATCATGAAAACCTGGCAGTTGAAAAGGGGTGTGTAGACTTTTTTATATCCCCTGTACATAAAAGTTATTAAATATGTCTGCCCCCTTACTCTCCTCAGGCCTGTCACGGCTGCCAGAAGGTGTTCGTGGAGGCAGAGAGGAAGCACCACTGCCGATCATGTGGTGAGGGATTCTGCCATCCCTGCTCCAGTCACAGGATGCCGGTGCCCGAGAGAGGCTGGGGCAGCGGCCCAGTCAGGGTGTGTAAGGCCTGCTACCGACAAGGAGGACCAGCTGATACCAACAGCCAGGGTATGAAATAATGAGTGAAAAAACAATCTGTGTTTTAGCAGGGATAGTTTTATAAAGCGTGAAGCCCAGACGGATCATTGCAAAGGATTTGGATCGCTGTGGAGCTGGATCAATAAATCAAACAGGTTTTCTATTCTGAATAACTCCAGGTGATAAGTAAGAAGTGCTGCGAGCATCGTTTAGTGATCCTGCTGTCTGACACATTAACCTTTTGTGCCATGAAACTGTTTTCATTAATCCTTTCTTTAGACGAGGAGACCACAGCTAACATGAGAGTGGAGGGCGAGAGGGACTCACAAATGCCAGTTATCACAGAAACACTGTCTTTATTTTTTCAGTGCATGCATCAGCATCTGTCCGCCATATGGTCACTTTTTTAATCAGCATCTTGTTTCTATTATTTCTTTTAGTTCAGCTTGAAATCTTGGAATTAAAATGCAGAAATCTCTGTTTCATACCCAAATAAGCCGTTCTAGTTCCAGACTGTGTACTCAGCCAGGGGAGGAAGAATGTAATACTTACTAATGACTATATCCAATGTTAGTCATGAAAAACTGATGGTATCCCAAAATCTCATACATGTTTTCTGTTTGAAAGAAGGAGAATAGGTTTATAGTGAATTTACAAATCTTTAACTTCAGTGTAAACTTCTTAACTCTGACTCTGTGTGCTCAGATTTGACAACTTTAGCATAACTTCTTAGGAGGAGAGGGAGGATCAGTCTAATGTAAATATGCACTGATAGATCGCTGATTTCCTTAATTTTGGGGGATCGGCGATCGGCCTCTGATCATTCCATATCTCATCCACTGATCTTTTCTACCTTAACAAAAGTCTGAAAGCCAGTATCAGCAGGTCAGGTTTTCAAAGATCGGTGATTGGCCAGAAAATTGTGATCTGTGCACCCCTAGTCTAAAGAGGCAAGACATGGTTTTAAAAGCACTCCCTGAAATCCATAGATGAATCTTTACAGAGAGATGGTGGGAAAAAAACAACGGAGACCTGCACCTTTGTGTTGATACAGTGATACAAAAGCCATCATTCCCTCCGACCTACTCAAAGTGACTTTTCACTGCTACACTCACATTTGCTCATCCTGACTTCCAAATTTTACCAGAGGTCTTGTTAGAGCCCGTTGTGTCACAGTGACCTCAAATGTTATGAAAACCAGGTAGTAAAGCTCGAAATGTAATAATTGGTCAATCATGTAACACGTCGCTACATTTTGGGCAAAAAGTTATGAGGCTTTGGGCTCAGCATCTTGTTAAAGTATTGACCAATTATTACATTTCAGGGTTTATTACAATTTTACTTAACCTTTAGGGTCATTGATAAATATTGGGCTCTAACGGGGCTGTCATTAAAAATTTGAGGAAAGTCTGGGTGAAAGTTTTGCATATCAGCTTTCACACTTTTACCCCGACCTAAAATGTTGTGAAGTTTCTTGGATGTGTGAATACAGTCAGTGTGCTTTCTGGTGGCCAACTTTGAACTTTTAAAACTGTAATCAGTTTAACTTCTCTTTGAGCTTCCATTGTAGTTCTTGGCCTCACCTAGATGTCCAACTCTCTTCAGTTGTTTTCATTGCAGTTTTGAAGGTGTGACAGATTTAGATGCATGATGCAGAATCCAAACTGTGGGAAGAAAGACTAAGCGTCATTAAAGCTCTTGTAATCTGAATTTTCTGTTTGTTTTTGATGATGCTTTTGTGTTTTGCTAATCTGTGTCTCTCACACTCCTCTCCCCTGCAGTCTGTAAAGTGGAGCCTCGAGGTCTGATCGCTCGCAGGGTGACAGAAGTGGCTCAATCCACCCTGGACATGGTCACCACAGCTGTGGACTACCCTCTCTGTGAGTACAGCTGCGTTTTACCTTCACTCATTCTGACAGAGCCCAGCTGGCTGCACATCACCCTGGGTTAAATGGCTCTTTGATGTCTGTCAAGCATCAGTCAGATTTTTTAATTTTACAGTCTAAAATGTGCCTCAGTCTCTGTGCTTCCAGTTAAATAACACACAGAGCCTTGTCCTGTTTTAGACAATAACAGCTCAGATTTTTTAGTCTTCAAAATTAATTTCAAAGTGAAATTTAATTTGGTTCCAAAGGACCACACTCATGACAACCCCCCAGAAAAAACCTAATGATGAATCAGACATATAAAATACTTGTAGCTGAAGGGGAGAGGAAAATTCACAGCCCAAAGAAATGAAAACTAGCAGTTATGTCTGCTTTTTTTCCATCTCTTCACCAGTCTTATTTCCTTACTTGCAAAGGTTTTCCTTTTGCATGTTCCACATCCTCTCCCACCATCATTGGCTTTGACCAATTGAGTGGTGTGTGCTACAGTGGCCCAAAAGGCCCACCTGTGCCGCAGAGGGCAGAGCTCACACCTCACACCTCCCATGCAATAGATGAAAATCCACCATAAGAGCTGCATACTGTTTTTAGTTCATGCATCAAAGTCTGGCTCAGCAGGGTGCCAGTTGATTTGGGATAATTGAAGTAGGAGGGTGGGGTTGACCTGTTTTATTTGCTTCATCATAAGCCCATTTCTCCACAGTTCCTTGGCTTATACATCGACTTATATCCAGATGTCCTTAACATAAAAATACTTCTCCCTCTTTCACTGAAACCTCCAAAAGAACTTCAATGAAATTTGTCAGTCTTTGTACCTGATGCCAATTCTTATTAGTTGATCTCCAACAAAACTTGTTTGGAACAAACATATAATGTAGGAATCAGTCGTTGAAATCTTTGTAATCAGGCCCAAAGTGGTTCTTCTGCAGGGAAGGTCAGCACAGCCATCTCTGCAGAAAATCTCCAGCATTCAACGTCTGTTCTGTTCTCTTCAGGTTTTGTAAAAGAAGCAGCTCGGCCTGACTACTGGGTACCTGACCAGGACATCACACAGTGCCACCAGTGCTCTAAAACCTTCACTCCAGCGATGTCTAAACACCACTGCAGGGCCTGTGGACAGGGTGTGTGCGGCCCCTGCTCCACACACATCAAGCCTGTTCCCTCCAGAGGCTGGGACCACCCGGTCAGAGTGTGTGATGGTTGCCACGCCCGCACCGATGATCTGTGAGAAGTTTTATCAGTGGAAAAGGTAAAAAACACTCAAAGTGCGCTCAATTGTTCTCAGATGATCCAAAAAAACACTGTGAATCCTGACCACACTGCAGCAAGAGAGCAGAGCTGGAGTCGGCCTCTGACATTTAAATGGACACCACCTCCCGGTCATCTGCCATCCCTGACCAGCTGATCCAGCAGATCAGCTTCATTGCAGTCAACGGTGAAGCTGCTCTGGAACGAACTGGAAAAATAAAGCTGGATTTGATTTTAACTAACTGGAACAAACTTTTTGAAAACTGACTCCTATCAACTCTTCAGAGCTTTTCCTCTTAATTGCACTTGAGTAAAGTCTTCCTTTTTCATTTAGTCGTGTAGATGGTTCCCAGTTTAAACTAAAGTAGAGGGATGCACCAGGAGGGCAGGTTAAATGTTTGAAGCACTCATGCATTGTGGTTAATAAAATCAAGATAACAGTTTCTCTTCTCACATCAATTTCAAGAAAGACACTGAACACCTCTGGAGGGGATCATAATCATTAAATCCTTCATTATAGCCCTGAAATAAGTGACATCTGACTCCTGCTAGTCTTTCCTGCTTCTGCTGCAGACGTGTGGAGCGAAACCTTCAGATTCAACTCATAAATGTTTGACAAAGTGTTGATTAATGCTTAGGAAGAGTGATTAACAGCAGATGATGAGGGTCTAACCTGGAACGGTGTAAAATCCCACAGCTTGTGCTGTGTCTGCAGAAAAGTGGACATTGTGTGATGTTTGGAGTAAGAAAATTATTATGCACAAATCAGACAGAAATCCACATTACTGTTTGCTTGTATTACTCTGTGCAAGTTGGACGAACGCGAGCTTCAGCGTGTGCCTTCAGGAGAACCTTCACTCCTTCTGCTGCAGCTGCTAAGACTTTTGCAGATGATCATTTGTGCCTATTTGCGGAGGAAGGTAATTTATCGCCTCTTGTGTAACCCCAACAGCTATATTTACAATGTAAAGAAATGATAGTAGAAGAAAATCTGTAGCACAACAGACTATAAATAAAGACATTCCAATGTATGGACTGGACGTACATGTATACAAGAGAAACTTCTCTGTCTGAGGGTCTTTACTCTTGGGCTGTAGATGCTTCAGTGAATTCATTTGCACCAAACTGGACTGTGGAGTTTGTGATTGAAAGATGCTGAAATCAGAAAAAGTATAAACTATGTGGATGTTAGTGGAAACGGTCTGCACCTTTTGGGTATTGGAGTTTTTTTGTTTGTTTTTTTCTTGTAAAATTTCACAATTTGACAATCTGTTGGCATCTCCGACATAAAAAATAGGTGAAACAACAAACTCATTACAAATAAAATGACAAAAGCTGCTGGTGATGAGGTTGAAATTAGAAGATTAAGTAGATGTCTGCTTAAAATGACTACAGTTTTTATATTTGGTTTTGCCCTTGTGAGTCAAACTTTCCTGATGTTAAGTTCAATAAAATATCATTGAGGGGGTTTTGTGTTTCTTGTGTCTTAATTTAAAGAGCACATATTTATTGTTCCACCCTTCAGGAAATGTCTGCTCAAACTGGCGGATTGAAACTCTTGCCATGACGTCATGGACGGCGATAATGCCTCCCCTCAAGGGTATTACTATACTATTTTTCTCCCTCGCAAATTCTGGTCCAAATAGCGAAGGAACACACAGAATTCTGTTTCCATAGACTGCAAGAACAGTCACGAGAGATAACTATAATTACGATGTTGCACATTCACCAAAAGAGCTCCAAGTGAAGAGAAGACAACTGAGATGTAACCGTTACCAAGTCACTGTACCAACACATGAACAAAGTAAAAAGAAAAATATCGGGACACATATGTGTTGTAACTATCCATTCAGAAACATCCTACTGCAAAGTTGAAACTTCTTCAGGAGCCTCTCTTTCTGGGTCAGACTCTAATCAAACTGTTCGGGCTAGCTTAAACACTCTGGGATCTCTTTTGGTGCCCGCCGGCAGCGCGGTGGAGGGAGTTGCACCCCGCGCAGTGGTATTTTCGTCTGGCGGAGCCTGACGCACAGCGAGTTTGGTATTTTCGTAGACTGAGGCGCACGGAGATGCGTAAACAGCGTATTCCCGATAGAGCTCACTAGAGAGAGTTTTCAGGCTGGCTGAAGTCCAGCAAAAAACTGGGTTTATAGACAACAAACTTCAATTTGATTGTTCTTGGACCTCTGAGACCTATTTGAACCTGCTGAAAAGGAGATTATTATGGGACCTTTAAAAACTGTTTTATTCAGCACATTTCCAGAGAATAAATAGCATCACTGAATTGAAAAGCTGAGACGGTGAGAGTCTCAGTAACTGTAATAGGGCCGAGTGCAGAGACATTGGGGACTCTGCTGTTCTTAGATCCAGTCTGCTCTGTGGTGTTTTACTAAAAACAGATGAAAGTCTCTCCAGATTTCGTACAGGAAACATCAGAAACATCTAAAAATAAAGCAGAGGAAGATCTGAGAGTTTAACCTGGAACATAAATGATCCCCTGATATCTAACCATCATGAAAGGCTGAGGAATGGTGGAACCTCATCTACTCTTCTCTGATCATGCAATTTTTCTGCCAAATTTCAATCAGTGACTCTAAACTAAACGAAGTCTCTTCGATTGAATTACTCTGCAGAGTGATTTAGGTTATTACAGTAGGTCCCACTGTCTCTTTTACTGTCCAGAACTCTTGAATTTACCGGATGACCCTCATTATCTTTTGCTTTGGCTGATTTTCTGTTTTTTTTCTTTATTCTGCCATTTCATTACCTGATATTAACATCCTTTTCTGTTTTCTTCAGTCTTGTTTTATTGCTCTTGCTCTGCCTACTTTGAGTTGAATGTTTAATTGTGTCTGGAGTGTACATTTCTGTTCAAGGATGCCCCTCGAAAATGAAATGTGACATCCCAAGAGGTTATCCTCCTGAAGAACTTAAAATATGGCATCAGAGGCGTGAGATTCACATACCAGGATGTCCATGAGTGTGCAGCACTTACTTTCACGCAATCCTTTGCCTTCAGTCGACAGCCTGTAAAGGTTACCGGAACAACTGCAAGCCTTGACACATGTATGGATAACAGAGGCTCAAGCAAATGCAGTAGGGTGTAATAAGAGCATAGTATGAGCATGAAACAGGTTGTTGGGTCATCTTTGTAATGCCTTATTTTTACACATGGGGGTGCTAGATGAGCAGGAATATCATGGCTGCACCATAGTAGGTTTTGCATCAGACCACCCACAGCTCAGTGTCCTGGGTGAGTCCCAGCAGGGAGCTCTACTACAAAGCTGTCCTATTTGGAGTCAGAAATTAGCATCTCAGTTTGTGAGATCTTCAGGAGGCTCAAACAGCTCCTCAGGATGCTAGCTGATGTCACAGAGGGCGAAACATTCGCTCCTCATCCACAACAGTACATGAGTCATATGTGAGGCCTGCAGAGGTGACTGAGTCTGAGTGTGAATATATTCATGTATTTATGGCTGTGATGATCTCATGATGCATCAGCACCATCTTATACCCAGAATAGAATTGCATAAGGATGAGCCGTGTTGCTAATACAGAGTGATAGAAACCAGATTTTTAGAGGGAATAAAACCATGAGACAAGTTTCTCTGATAGCTGACAGTCTGTCATGAGTTTAAACAAACAGTGACTGAGCAAAATTAAACCATGACTAAACAAAACAACTCATCTCCCTCTTTGTAAGCTTATATAAGCTAAAAAAGCATCCCTCTCTGTTTCTGTTGAATGTATCAGGATAACCAATTTGTCCACACTTGGCTGAACACACACAGTTTAGTGACATTCTGCAGACTGTTCTTGCAGTTTCTCCACTCTGCTTTGAGTTGATGTCACAGTTTTTACTTTAATATTTAATGTTTTTCAGAAGCCAGTGACGAGGGCCAAGGCTCTGTGCACAAAAAGTCTTGAACTATCCCTTTAAATAAACACGGTACAATGTGTGTGTGTTTGTGTGCACCTTTTGTAAGCAATAAGGAGCAAGAAAGGGGTGTGTGTGTGTTGCGTTGATGCATTATCCAGTGCTCATCTGACAATCCAGGCACGGCCCATTACACAAACACTATTACTGAGTCTACACTGTCAGACACGCCATCACACAAACAGATGCTCCCACACACTCCTGCTGCAAACACACGCAAATGCATCACACACCCAGGTACCGTTTCATAGCTGTAAGGGTCCATCTCCTTATATTAAAAACAGAAGAACACACATACGTGCAAAACATTCATTGGGTTTGCAGGCAGAGAGAGAGAGAGAGAGTATTGATAGTTATAAAATGAAGCCCACTGTGATGTATTTTATCCGCACACTCGAAGATCTTTCAGCACAATCTGCAGTGACTCACAGCACACACCCTGTTTTATTGCAAGTTAAAAGTCATTTAATTTCCTCTTCTGGCTGCTGTAGCTGAAAACTTTTGACCTTTTAAACAAATCAAGAACGGAGAAGACGCACAAACACACACACACACACACACACACACAAACACACACACACACACACACACGTGCATACACACACACACACACACGCACACATGCACAGTGCATGTTTGTCCTCCCCGACCTGGGAATAAATTAGGGAGAAACTGTATTTTCAGCCACTATCTCCTTTTCTTCTGGCACTTTCATTTCAAATTAAACTCCTGGGGAGATGTTTTTTTGCAGACTGCGACACTTTTCATCTTTTATAAATTACTCTTTCACATTGTAACCATGGTAACCAAGCATTGTCATCTCCTATGTGTGCTGTACGCAACCAACTTTTCCATACCTACTACATCATGTACAGTGCACAAAAAGGTGAACATAAGAGTGCTGAAGACACAGTAGAGAGTCACAGTGGTCGATGTTTTTATAAATTTAAATATTTTGTCATCCAGAAGTAGAAAGTTTAACGACATATATTCATTTTGTGAATTGATTATGAAGACCTTGGTCTCAATGCACCTGCAGAGCTCTCTTAGGAAGACAGATGATACTAATAATTTGGATTTTTATGCCATCTTTTAGACTTTGCTTGTTAATAGACACATTGTATACACAGCACAACTATAAAAAATGATCCACATTCCCACAATAGGCTCTGATGATGTGAGGAAAATAATGGTTTGTAAACCATTAAAAGCCCATTTTAACTAAAATCGTGCAGATAGAATATATGGATAGAATATATACATGTGTTGAAACTAAAATGTTCAATTTAAATGTGCAAATAATTATGGGGTCATGTTTCCCATTTTGTGTCATCAGCTTGTCTTTTACCAACAATGTAAGTATTAGTGAACCCAGGAGATGAGTTTCTGGAGTTTGGTTTCAAAAGGGGACAAGTCAGGACTTTAGTCAGACCAGTTTATCAGCAGGACTCTTCTACTTCAGAGCCAAGCTGTTATAATCCCTGTTGTAAGAATTTGTTTCGTCATTGTCTTGCTGAAATATGAAGGTCCTTGAAAAAGTCTGGATGTTAGCAGATGTTTCTCCTAAACCTTTAGATGTTGTTCAGCATTAATGGAGCCTTCACAGATGTGGAAGATACCCATGACATGAACTCTGATGATCAGCATACCATCAGGGATGCTAGATTTGGACTGTGTGCAGATAACAAACTAGTTGGTCCCTCTTCTTTTTAGAGAGGAGGATGCAGCATCCATGACTTCCAAAAAGAATGTTTTGATTCATCAGACCACACAACAGTTTCTCACTTCCCCTCAAGTCCAAAGAAGTCTCTAATGTTCCTGGGTCCTGTTTATATCTGGTGTCCTCTTTGCATGGTTCAGGTTGAACCTTATTGTGGAAGCAGTGATAAACTGTGTTCACAGACAACGGTTTTTAAAGGGATTTTAAGCTCATGCAGTGATTTCCACTACAGAGTCATACCTGTTTTTAACGCAGTGCTGCATGAAGGCCTGAAGATCACATGCAAAGGTGTGCATGAGGAGTGAACATTCAAAACTGTGAATGCAAAATCCGTCTGAAATTATAGAACTAGAACAGCGAATACCTCGGAAATACATGATGTATCTCTGAAATCCTGTCTGTCTGCAGTAAGTTTTAGTAAAACATCCGAAAGCCATGACTCTGTCCTCAGATTAGAGGACACTGACCAAGTAAGAGTTACTGCTACCACCACTCAAGAGCTCTGTGTGTGTGTGTGTGTGTGTGTGTGTGTGTGTGTGTGTATAAGAGACTCAGCCCCATTTCTCACGACCCTTAAGAAGAAAAGAGGCCTTGTCTGGTTCCATTAGTGACCCGAGCAGCAGCAGCACCGCTCGCTCACTCGCTCGGCCCGGCTGGCTGGAGGACAGAGCTGGTTAGATAGCACTGACACTCTGGAGCTGTAGGGAGGAGGGGGGGAGGATGGAGGGGTGAGGAGGGATTACACCGAGAGGAGAGAGACAAGGTGCAGAGGGAAGGAGAGGATTGGAGTGTAATGAGGTTTGAAGTGTCAGCTGTTTGGTTCACTTGAATATCAGTATGTAAAACAGGAGGCTGCTTACTTTACTGTATCTGTGCTTAAGTCTCCTGAAAGCTGTATTTTTACCTCAAACTTTGCTCTCTACTCCTTTCAGTCCTAAACTTATTCAGTACTTTTAAGTTGGGTTGTTGGAGTTACATAGGCTATAGCTAGTGGGAATGTAAAGACTAACGTATGCTCCTGAATTGAATGCATGACGCACAGTGAAATAAAGCCATCTGATGGCAGAAGGAGCAAAAAACACATGGAGCTGCTTAAGTCGCAAATCAAAATAAACAGACGCTGCTGTGAAAACTGGAGCATGCTCAGTCGGAAACTCTCCGCTTAGTTCTCGGCCAGTATAAAGTACAAAATTACTACAATCTCACAAATGTGAATGTTCTTCTTTGTGCTATTTGCAACAACTTTGCACCGAACTTTCCTTGTTAAATATTGCAAACTGTAAGCAGAGGTAAATGTCTGGTTGTCTCTAAACTTTGCAAGAGCCAATATAATATTAACTTGAGTTTACTAACTATTAAAGTTCATGAAAACGGCACAAAAAGCTAACTCAACACAGGTGAGATGATAAACACTATCCACCTTGCTCTGAGTCGAGGTCGTTGGTAACAGCTGAGCTCTCGCTGGGCTGAATAAAGGTCAAAAGTCCCATTGAGCCTGTGCCTCAGGAGGTCCACTAAGTCTGAATCCAAGTAGGCTACTCTTGAGACATGGTCAGTTAGACCTAATTAGCGCATGCCATCTCTTGTAGTTTTAATATTTATCATTCAAAATCTATTTATAAAGTTTGAGAAAATGGCACAATGAAGACTCAGTTACACCATCATCCCTGTTGATGTCTGAGAACTTCAATCTGCTCATGTGCTTGGGAAGATCCTCTATGTCTGCAACCCGGTACTTCTCATCTGAATCCCTCCTAAGACTAGGAGTGTATCAGGACTTAATTATGGAAACAATTTGACTGAAATCTTGTGAAAGAAGACCTAGATTTACTATCTTTAAAAACCTTAAATGTGGCCCTAATATTTTATCGTTTGTAAAATGATCAGATAGCTAAATAACCCTACATGTATGTTTACACTGGTAGTCTAAGTGATAATGTTCCCCTGCCCTCATAATTATTTTGCTATAATTAAATTCAATTAATCAAAAATGTGCTAATTGTGCTAATTTCGATTTGCTGGTTGGTGTTTTGGTGATTCGTTGCTGGTAATTGGAGGTTAAATATCTAAGAAGAGCATATGTCTTCTCTCATGGCTCGGATTCAGATAATTTGTCTTGCATTTTAATAATGTAGTGACTGGTTTTATTAGAGGAACCCCTCCGGTTCTCTCTATTTTTGGCAGCTTTGACTTGTTTCAAAGGTTTGTATTATACTCACTCTGTAGCTCCATGAAACCCATGAAAACAAGAAGAAGGAGTAAGGGGAGTAGGATCAATAAAAGGGAGAGTAGCTGACATATGAAGGAGCAAAAATGAAATCAGTAAAAACACAGAGATGGAGTGAAAGAAGGAAAGGTCATAAAAAACTGATGATAAATACAAGAAATAATGAAGAACTGGTCGATTAACCACCACTCCCAAACATCAGCATGTGTAATATTATATTACTTTATTTATCTTTTGTACAATGTAATTACAATACAAATATGTAGGTTTAAATACAAAACTTCTGTAAATAAAGATTAAAAATAAATCCCACTGGTTTGCTTTGTTACCATCACTAAACTGCTTTTACAATCAAGTTTACGAGGTCATTTAGTTTGCTTTAACGTGGTGGAACACATTTAACCTACATTAACCATTTGAAGGGCTTGCAAACAAGAGTCCAGGACTAGAATATACTTAAAAAAATAGAAATTAAGCAGTAATTTCAGGAGTGGATCAGTCTTGACTCGTAGAAAGAGGAGGGAATTAGAGGTTTGTTTGTTTTTCCTTTTTCTTTTTTCTTTTTTTTTTTGGATTTGAGGAAAATTTGATTCATTTAAAAAACAAAAAAACAAACCCTGATATGACCAGAGACGGGACAGCTCTCTGAGAGGCAGCCAATCAGATGGCCCACTGCTGCAGGAAGTGACTCCGCAATAAGCTAATTAAACTGTGGAGAGTTGATGAGCAGTTCAAATTCATACAATGCATTTGTTAAGAAACAAAACAAGAGCATCTCTGGTCAGGTTTGAGTTTTCAGAGAGAATACATTGAATCAGAGGAGAAAGAGCCCTTCTTGAGAGAAAGTGTATACTTTAACTTGTTTTTAAATCAACCTTTTGTTTGCTGACTCTTTGTAGAAACTGAGTTTGGATACAGAAAGCTTTGAGGACTTTTCAGTGAACTTGAAGTTGCACATACTTAGAAAAAAAACTCATGAGACTAATCCATGAGACTGCAGCTATAAAAGAAAAGCATTTAAAAAAAAACATGATCCAACGTTGGTGAGGCTTTAAGAGCTGAGGAGCATGACACAGGAGAGTGCAAAAAGGAAGTTAAGATACAGAGGCCTGATGCATCCGTGTAAGAATAAATAACTTCCTTATTGTATGAATAAGATGATTATTTCAGAAATATTAGGAACATGTCTCCGTGTCGCCTTTTGGTCAGCTTGAACTATCACACACTCCTCATGGGACTGAGAAATGAGAGACCTCTTAACGTTAAACAAGCTCCCTGAACTGGGATTAACAATCTTCACCAATGATTTAATGAGGCTGCACAACAAGGTCCAATCTCAACAGACCCGTGTCTACGAGATCAGGGTCCGAGCAGGACGATGAGTGAGCCTGGCTGTAAACAAAGCCGCCATTGTTAAGATGCAGCTGCAGATAGAGGAACCCTCACAGCAGCAGCAGAGGCTCAGAGACGAAGACGTCCACAGAGCATCACAACCCCACTCAGGCCTGAGCGTCTTTCTGTGAGGAGCCGAAGAACAAAGATCTGACACTCCCAAGACCGGCTCTTTTAGTCCGGCTCTTAACTGGGCTTAATTTCTGTTGTATACCTACAGTATGTGTAATTGTCTATGTCACATTATCCCTAAACCTCATTAGGGTTTTGAAGGACCAGTATCTCTTTAATTCACACAAACAGAGGTGTCTTGAGTGAATGCAAAATGCTTCTGTAATAAAGTGATTTTTTATTAAAGGATTGGATTGAGTCTCATTTCTCTGTTATCAAATCATTTTCCTGTTTCTCTTTCTTCAGACTTCCTCCGTCTCTTTTTAAGGCATATCTCCTTTCCCCTCTTCAGCCTGTCACATACAGTTAGTCCCTTTTTGTTTCCTCTTTAGCTCTTTACTTTTCCACAAGTTGACTCAGTTCCCTTCATAAATCGGCATAAAAATTAAAGAACAAATTCAGTCTGTGCTGCTCATGTTCCTCTTCTCTTATCACCTCGAGTGAACACTTTACATCTGTAATGAGTGCAGGACTGCTGCAGCAGTACACATAAATCATATCGTACATGTAGACTATACCCTGTGTTTGAACATATTAAAGTATTTATGAGCGTAAGAATCTTGTGCATCATTTTTTCAAGCAGTTGCACAGTGTTGAAGATATTTTCTGTTCGTTTCCACTGAGTTTTAACATTCCTTGGATGTTCTGGGAGCAGATGACGTCCTGTTGGACTGCTGTGCTGTATTGTCCGGAGTGTCTGAGTGCTGTATATCCTGAAGTGATTTTTCATGTCCCAGTAACCCTTCATGTTCTGCTGTTGAAACAGAAATAGGGCACAGAGCCAAAGTGAAGCCAAACCGGCTGCACTAGCAGAGAAGCGTTTATACGGGTCGGAGAAACATGCTGCTATTTACACTACGGTGTTGCATGTGGCACTACACTCTGCTGTACTTACTGCTGCTACTTGGTTCCTGATGCATGACTCTCTGCTGCCCTGATACCTGTTTGCTACCTGTAGTTTCCCTCCTTTGTGTGGTGCAACTTAATAAATATAGCTCCTGGAACGCTGCTGTAAAGATTTGCGAATAATTTGTTGAAAAAAATACAATAAATAAAATCATTTTGGCCATAAATCTCTACTGTTAGTCAGTAAGTCCTTTTGGGTTCGTAGCGCAGGGTCTAACATCGCTGGCAAGTCCTTCCAGGCATCCTAACGTTCGCTGTGCTCGGCTAAAATCAGCATTACTCTGATCATCTGTGAACAAACTGCCTCTCTGCACATCTTGTGATGGAGATGAAACTCTTCTCCTAAGTGTCCACTAGATGTTAAACATCTCATACATGGTTTGGAGTCCATCTCTGTGGAGCCCCCTTACAAAGAAAGAAACCACTGAGCTGTGCCCCCCACATTAGCTTTAGGGGGCTAAGACAGCACATTCAGGGACTCCCTGCAGGGAAAGCAGAGCCAGAAGACTGAAGAAGTGAAAGCAGGGAGGAGATGTGGTTAGCAGGTGGAGTGAAAGGATGCAGCCCATCAAGTCCAGTCAACCTGAAGTCTGATTTTCCAGTGGCAGCCAAGCAATCTCCCAAAACTCTCAAGGGAGTGCAAAGAAAGCAATCAAGATCATAACAGATCCACTCCTATGAGGGCTTTTAGTGCGGTGCTAGGCTGCTACAGGTCAGATGCGAGGCCAACTTTAAGGACTTGCATCCTCTTCTGACTGAGCAGAGATGCTGGATTCAGCGCCAGACCCCCTCAGGCTTTAATTCCAGTGCTCGAGCTACAGCTTTGGGAGGACAACTCTGGCTCAATCTCAAAAGACGTTTGAAGATTGTTGGAAAACGGGTTGGCGGCTGCAGCTGGCGCCACGCTGCCAGGCTGCTGAGGCGCCGGTTTGGCCTCCAGTGCCGCCCACTTGGCCTCAAAGCGGTCATCGTCTTGTGAAACAGCAGGTGCTGGAGCAGTTAGCTGGCTGCCCTCTGGAGGCCAGCTGCTACTGCTACCGGGGGTCCCGTTCTGCAGGTCCATCATGCTACTTTGAGGAGGGAGGCCGTTTATTGTTGTTGATAGCGGTGGAGTGGAAAACCCTCCAGTGTCCCCAACTACACTCGCTGGTCCTGGGTAAGAATGATGCGCCCCAACTGATCCAAGAGCCCCCACTTTCGGTCCGCCCACTGCCGAACCCATGGTGCCCCCAGCGCCAGACGAGCCTGTAGCGGTGCAGAAGACGTTAGCCACCATTTGAGATGGTGTGATGCCAACCACAGGCACGCTGGCATTGGGATAGGTCATGCTGCTGGCCAGGCCTGGCATGTACGTCTGCATTGGCACAAAGGCTGGCTGAACGGGCTGGACCGGCTGGACTGGCTGACTGGCGAACATCCCTATAGGAGCTGGAGTTGCATCAAAAGCCAGGGGGAAGGCCTGCATGGAGCTGGGTAGGGAGCACTGAGGGATGGGGGGCTGCATCATGGGCGCTCCAGTCATACTTGGACCAGACATGGTGGGAATGGACATTGAGGGCAGAGACATTGGGGGTCCTGTAACTGGAGGGCCTGGTATTAGGGGGACTGATGATATTGAGATGGGTTGGAGGGGCATCTGGACCTGAGCTGGGAGAGCAGAAGGGCCTGAGATGAGAGGTTTGGACATGGTACCGAGGGACAGAGGGACAGCAGGCACAGCGGCTGCCTGAGTGGACATCTGCTGGTTGGAGGCAGAAGGAGGTCCAGGGATGGTGGGGATAGTGGGGCCTGGAGGAGGGGTCTGTTGGGCTTTAACAGCCTTGGAGACCTCCTCCAGCCATCGCTCTGCCTCAGAGGGTGTGCGCCTGTGTCCACTTTGCATTTGCATCTGCATCGCCACGGAAACGGGAGGGGGAGAGTTGAGGGAAGTCTCAGGTTGCACCCAGGTAGAGGTGGCTGGAAGGATGAAAAGTTGAAGTTAAAGCTTTAGTACAAATATAGTTTGGTCTTTAGGAATAAAATCAAACCCAGTATTGATGGATGAAGGTTTCTTACCCTGCAGAGGTGCGGGAGGTGGAGGCAGGATGGGGGGCACAGTACAAGTTGGAGGACCATTGGCAGACATTGGGGGGTTGGAGAAAAGCTCGTCTGATGGCTTAGTGAGGGAGGAGTTCATCTGACCGCACAGGGCGTTGATGCAGCCGTCTCCTTCGCCTGGCAAACCCATATCCATCTCTGCGAGAGCAAGAAAGGGGGTCACCGGGGGGAAGGGAGGCAGAGTGGGGGGAAGTAATGAAAAGAGAAAATTAAAGAAAGAAAAGAGAAGCAAACCAAAACAGGGAGAAAAATATTCATTAGTTTGTGTAACAGACCCAGTTTGCATCAAAACTGTAAAAATGGAGCAGATGAAGACTTTGATGTCCTCCTCTTTTGGCCTCAAAAGCATCAAAACAGAAGTCCTCACAGCAAACATGATGTTGTGATTAAAGAAAAGTTCTTATTAAAATGAAAAAGGTCCAGGCTTAGTCATTGCAAAGCAAACAGGCCAAGATGAAATATGCTAAACCGGAGATTGGTGATCCCAATAACAGTGATTTCGATTAAATTATTGACATTTTTATGTGTATATGTTTATATAATGCACTGCATCCTCCTGTGAAATTCTGTATTTTCCATATCCCAGTAAAACCAGCTGAAGGACTGCACCAGTATTGTTTTTTGCCAACATGGTGCAGTCGTAGAAGAGTTCTATGAAAATAAAAGCTCATAGGTTTCCATTTTGACATTTTTGCATGTATTTACAAAGAAATAAATGCTAGTGACCTTAAAGAATGGTCGGTAAGAACATGAAACCATGTCTGATCTCTGTGCATCAGAGTCTCCAGGCCCAGTTATAAGCAGAGAGCTGCAGACTTGTTCAAGGTTTCCCATTAAACACACATCTCTGTGCTCTGTTCTGCAGAGACCGACCCTATGTTCCCCCTCATTCCCCGGACTAGTCCATGTCCCATATGTCTCACATGTGTGTGTGTGCATGTGTGTTCTCCTTCCAATTCAGCGGCAGGTTCAAGGGCAGGCAGAAGGCTCACTGAAGGCTAACCAGGACGGATGATTGACCGCACAAATCAATACACACATTGTTCACAGGGAGTCACAAGGGAGCAGGGAGGTAGTGGAATTGGCTGCTGCTGCTAAGTGTGTGCATCCCTGTCTATGTGTGTGTGATCTCGAGGAGTAAAGAGGAGACATTGTGTTTGAGGATTCAGCCTGGCTTGGATTCACCACCAATGAGGGCACACACTGAGCATCATGGGAAAAACAGGACTGGTATGGATGTAGTAAATAAGAGAAATGAAGTGAGTGTGGGAGGATTCATTATCTAGTCAACTCTCTCATCCCTCTTAATGACTTTAATCAGCCTCCCACTGGAGCACTCACATCCTGTGGAACCATTTAGAGTGGGTGTGTCTATGTGTGTGCATCCAGGTGTTAACCTGTGAGGGATGAATATGATATTGGAAACTGCCTCTTGTAAATTGTGGAGAGCTTTATTAAACTCACCAGGGTTCTTGGTCTGGAAGTCTGTTTTGCGCTGCAGCGTGGACGGCAGGTCATTGAGGCGGAGTGAAAGCTGCCTCTTGAAGGGAGAGTTCTTCTGGCTAAGGGCAGGAAACCCCCTGAAAGAGCCCTGGCGTACCAGCTGCTCGATGGGCGCATGGCGGCGTGGGATAGCGTGTGGCCCGCCAGGTGCTGTCCGCTCCATGGGGGACGCAGAACCCTCAGGGGGAGAGGCAGTGCCGGGTGGGAGGGCTGGGATGGCAGAGGATTGGTCTGAGGATGAAATGGGATTTACAGTCATTACAATATCCAGCGATTTGTAGTTCCAAAAGTGAAGCCGATAGAGAAATTTCTGAAACCTGCATTAACTCTGATGACCAGCAGGGGGAGACTCGACGAAATGTAAAAGAAAATCCAGTTATACAGTGCATCCAGAAAGTATTCATACCACTTAATGACAAAACTTTTTTTTAGAACATTTTGTTTATCAAAAATAAGACACTCAAATGTTGCATATACATAAGTATTCACCCCCTTTGCTATAAAACTCAAAATTGAGCTCAGGTGCATCCTGTTTCCACTGATCAGCCTTGAAATGCTCCTCCAACTGGATTGCAGTCCACCTGTGGCAAATTCAGCTGATTGGACATGATTTGGAAAGCCACACCTGTCTATCTAAGATCCCACAGCTGACAGAGCACGTCAGAGCACAAACCAAGCCATGAAGTCAAAAGAACTGTCTGTAGACCTCCGAAACAGGGTTGTATCAGTGCACAGATCTGGGGAAGGTTACAGAAAAATACCTGCTGCATTGAAGATCCCAAAAAGCACTGTGGTCTCTATCATTAAGAAATGGAAGACGTTTGGAACCACCAGGACTCCTCCTAGACCCAGCCAAAATGAGCAAGGGGAGAAGGGCCTTGATCAGGGAGGTGACCAAGAACCAGATGGTCACTCTGACAGAGCTCCAGCGTTCCTCTGAGGAGATAGGAGAACCCTACAGAGACCTTCGACTGGGGCAACGCTTCATCTTCCAGCATGACATTGACCTTAAGCACACTGCCAAGAAGACAAAGGAGTGACTTCAGGACAAGTCTTTGAATGTCCTTGAATGGCCCAGCCAGAGCCCAGACTTGAACCCGATTGAACATCTTTGGAAAGACCTGAAAGTAGCTGTGCACCGACACTGCCCATCCAACCTCACTGAGCTTGAGAGGATGTACAAGGAAGAATGGGAAAAACTCCCCAAATCCAGGTGTGCCAAGCTTGTTGCATCATACACAAGGAGACCGGAGGCTGTAATCGCTGCCAAACGTGCTTCAACCAAGTATTGAGTAAAGGGTGTAAATACTTATGTATATGCAACATTTGAGTGTCTTATTTTTAATAAATTTGCAAAATGTTCTAAAAAAAAGTTTTTTGATTTGTCATTATGGGGTATTTTGAGTAGAATTTTTGAGGGAAAAAGGGAATTTAATCAATTTTGGAATAAGGCTGTAACATAACAAAATGTGGAAAAAGTGAAGTGGTATGAATACTTTTCAGATGCACTGTATGCAACCAGATGGAAAAATGAGCATGTTTGTCAAGTCATTTCTGAACTCAACAAACATTCTCTTAATAAACAAGATCTAATTTGATCTTTTTTTGTTTCATCTGAGTAAAAATTGAGTGCAGTTTTACTTCTAACAGGCCTGAGTACATCAGCTGATCTTGGAGGCAGCTCACAGCTCAGCTAATGCATTTAAACCAGTGTGCACATCTTGAGTACAAACTTTTTAAAGTACCTTTTTTCTTGTCCTGGACTTTGTCATCGCTGCTGGAGGAGTTAGCACGGAATGACCCATCGCGCACAAACAGGGTGCGAATGGTGTCGAAGGACGCCGTCACACCGCATTCTTTCTCTCTGCGCTGCTTCCTCTCCAGACAGGCAGCAAATGCACACCCGACAGCATGGCTCAGCCTCTCTCCCTAGTGGAGGGAAAAACAATTCATACTTTAGAGGCACCACTTTAAATGACTTGTCTGTTATATGGCAACTTGATACTTAAGATTCATAGACATTGCAGCAAAAGTAGATCAGGGTGCGGTTTTCAATTTTTAGTCTTCTAAATTGTCATCTGAGTTTTTGCTCTCTGGCATTACACGCAATTATTTTCAACCTGCTGTTTGCAGTTTAACCCTCCCTGGTAAAAACCTCCACATTGGTTTATGATGAGCACATATAAATATGGAGAGTGAGATGGAAATAGAGACCGACAGAGATGGACAGATAACTGCAGGCTTCTGTCTAATCCCCTTTCCTAATCCCACAGGTCTGTGCTACGCTCGCTTCCTACCACATTAATAATCCGACTCTCGGTCTAAGCTGATGAAACACCGTTGTGTTGAAACCACAGAGCTCCAGGATGGCTTCGGCTTCTGATGTACTTGGTTTCAAATTACAACCTCAAGGTCATTTAAACAGGAAACCTCAGAGGTTAGAAATCACCCCAACTATAACAATCACAGACCTAACACAAACATACAAGAACCCGTTTTATAACATAAATTACTGCCTTTGGAAAATGCCTCGATTATATAAATCGATGATTAAGAGTTGAGTTATAGGCCTTTTAAAAAGCAAAGCAAAATAACACAGGGGTTTCTGCTGGATAACTTGAATCTTAATTTAGGAATGTAGTGATTGCTGCCTTTATTTATCAGTGCAGTGCTGACATGAAACAGGAAGATTGTTGGCCAAATTGAAGTTGCAGTGATTGAAAAAAGTTATTAAAACAAACATTTAAAGCTTTAGAGCAACCACACTGCTCAGCTGAGGAGTCAAAAGTACTTTGAGTTTGAGTGACCACCTGCAACCACACCACAAGAAGCAGCAGAGGTGTGGGAATCAGCATAGACCTGCAGATGAAACTGCAGCACTGCTAAATAAGTGGAAACTGATTGTGGGGGACTACTGTGATACTGTCCTCTGTGGTTGTAGAGATGTCGTAGAGAAATGAGCTGTGGTGAGGATGGACAAACTTCTGGCGACAGAATCCATTAAAGCGGATCTCACTAAGTTTAAGAAGCTATAGGGGGTAGAGGAACAAGACATCCTGTCTTGGACTATTTGCGTAAAGAAAATCCCTGAAGGTAGAAGAAGGTTAATTGCCCCCTCACCGAGTCTTTGAGGGCCATGAAGCAGTGGCACATCCACCGCCTGGTAGTACCATCTCTGCAGATGTAGGAGAAGGCCTTGTCATAGTTTCGATCTGGAGCACAGAAAGAAACCTTCTCTATGGTCTGGTCCACAATGAGGTCCTAAAAAAGAGAGAAAGAGAGAGAGAAAGAGGTCCAAAAATTAGTTTCAGTCCACCCAGTGGAATCATTTTAGCAGGTGGATCACATTGAATCACACGTTCTGGTTTTTAAGAGTGTCGTAACCTCTGACGGACAGGAAACGTTGATTCACACCAGCCTGTAAACTGATAGACCCAAGACTGATCCCATACTCAACACACAGCTTTCAACCTCAGTTGACCCCACAAAACCCCCTCTCACTTCAACCTATTTATACATTCACCAATAAGAGAAAGAAAGAGTCTATACAGACTAATGACACTGAACCCTCTTTTCATCTCTGAGACATTTCCACCACTCGCCCCTGGTCTTCAAAAGCCTCATTCAGCCTGTCTCAGTGTCTATAGTCACCATAGAAGAGGCTAAGAGGGGCCCTTTCCTTTCTCTGTGTACACTCAGGGGCCCCCCGCTCACGTCTTTGACTCACCGACTAACAGAAAAGGAAGGAAAACAAGAGCAGAGAAGGGGAAGAAAGCAGGTTCACACACTCAGACACTCGCTTCCTTCCTCTTGTCTGGTGTGAGAGAAAACAAAGTGCAGGGAGGATTAGGAAAGGAGGCAAAGGAGAAGATGAGAAGGATACATCTAAAGGAAAAAAGGGGATTGATATGTTGTATGAAGTCTGACAGAGCTGGGATATAGTGGGGAGTACCACAAAGTTTCATTTTAGGACCACTATTATTTCCTCTCTACATTCATGTTCTTGCAGAGGTGTCAATAACAATATGTTCATTTGCAGGTCAAAAGTGTTTGCTTATTTTACCTAAAGCAAATAAAAAATCGTACTACTTAAATTAAATTAAATCAATTATGCATTATGGTCCATTTACACCTACATAAACTGAAGACTGAGGCTTTAGCGCTGTGATGTGGATTTATTAGGAGCTTCTTAAAAATGAACAGGGAGGTTAACACCAAGGCAAAAAGCCAGGGGTGTCCATTTAATTAAATACACAAAGAAAGAAAGTGTTCATGTGTATTTGAGGGTGACGGTGACTCAGATTACATCCCTGCATTGGTGAAAGGAAGAATAGCAGTGTGTGACGCAGAGTCTTATCCATACAGTGAAGCTCCTGCATAAAAAGACTTTTCTGGTCCTTTCTCCATAACTCTCTGAAGGTCTCTCTGCACACAAACACACACATATCCACACACACACACTTATGCAGCATGTACAGCGCTCTGACTGAGGGTGGGAAAGTGTCTGAATAATGTCTGTGTGGGTGTTTTTAGGTATGCTCGCTGATTCATAGACGGAGGCTGAACTGATGGTAACAAGTGAGGAAGAACTTGAAAGAAAGAAAGATGAGAAAGACCGTACGACCCTGACATTATTGAAGTTTGATCAAGTTAACGTTTCAAACAGCAAATGGTTTCATTATCTTTTTTTCTCCCACTTTCAGAGAAGTCCACTCCTTAGTTTAAGTGCCTGTATCTAAACATATGAAGTTTAAATTGAACATACTGTTCTGGATGATGAGCGTGGAGACAATGAGCTCATTCAAAACCCACTTATGCACTTTTTCAAACAGACTCATGTGCCAAAGTTTTCTTTTCAGGGGTTTACTGTAGTCTACAGCTGCGAACACAATCCACGAACACCAGGAAACAGACTTACACGCCTGACGTAACAGCTCAAAATGATTGGTGGTTTTGTTAATTTTGCTCTTATACACTGTTTGATAATACAAACTTATTCATGATGAAATTCAGTCTTTTTAAACTCACCTGTGCAATGTTTGGTCTTACTTTATAAGTACAAACCCAGACCTTGAAGAGTGAATTCGTTGAAATGCTAAAATCTGCAGTTCTTTTAGTGTCCACTAGAGGTTGGCTGCAAAAGCACTGAGAACCACATACACACTCATTGATTTTGACAGCAAAACTAAAAACTTCTGCAGCCTGGTTTTAAAAACAGTTTAAAACTGAATAGATTATTTCTCTATACACACAAACTGCACAGTGTAAATTTCTTTATAATACAGTTTTATAAAAAAATGAAGGTTAAAAGTTTGACATATAAGAGGCAACTGACAGGCTTTAAAACAAATGGATGACACCACTGAGAGTGTGGCCATGTATTGTAAAGTATTACTGGCTGCCGTTATAATACTATATTCCTTTTTACCCAGATCTAAAAAGCACAGATAGCAGATGAAATCTAGCAGCACGGCGTGGTTTGTCTTGATTTTGATCTGAAGTTTTTCACAGGCTGTGTAATTCAACTGGAGTGATGGATGACTAGTTTCTTACTTTCAGACCTGTCAATTAGAAAGGAAATTTAGATTTCTACCCCTGCTGTCAGAGCTAAAACTTGACTAGCTGTTTGAGTACTTTCCAACCTCCCTACCTTGTCTGTCTAATATAGTTGTACTTTTTTGCAAGCATGAATTAAATGGGAAGAACTGGTGCATCTTTGGTCTGTAGTTTCACATGTGCGTCAGCAGCTTAGATCAGTAATATTAATGCACGGTCTTTTTTGGTAACATCATTTTTGTCAGATTTGGGGTTTCTTGATGATCAGCCTTTGATATTTTCATAGGGGAAAACGGACCAAAGATTAAAGTGGTGAAAGGAGGGAGGAGTAAGACTGAGGGATCTGGAGAGGTGAGGCGGCCTCTGAAAAAGAAAGAGGGAAAGAAGGACGCCCTCTCTCCCTCTCTCTCTCATCTATTCTCTGCAGCTTTCTATTCTGCTCTGCTTTGAATAGAAGCACAGTGAGCTGCACTCTCACTCTGTAGGAGGCCTCTACAACCACCAGACACTCCTCAAACACATCAGTGTGTTTCTGTGTTTACTTGATCCTCCCTCCTCCACTAAACACTTTCATCCAGAAACCATGAGTCACATATGTCAGCTCTGAAACTGTGCACACAAACACACAAGGATCCAAAATATCTTCAAAGCACCATCAAGACTGTAAATGAAGTATATCACCCTGTTTCATCCTGATGTTGGCTTTCATGTGGCATCATAAGACTGGGACATTGTGAGACATTTGTCAGAGGTCTGAGGAGGAACATGTTACTTTAAAAAGTAGAAATCTCCGAGGCAGAATTGATGCTACGTGATCATGCATAACTTTGTAGTTCCTCCAGTGGCCACCAGAGGCTGGCTCTGAGAGCAAGTTGCACCTCATGAAAAAGCCAAACATTCCAGCAGAGTTTCATACTGTAAAATAAAACCAGTTTGGCCTCTCTGACCATACAGAGGATAACTTTTATACAGCTCACGTGAATAAATTAAACTGTTAATTGACTCTTAAGGGGATTCAACCAGCCATGTCAAAGCTCAGCTTTAATGTAAGTATGGACTGGATAGTTTTGATATTCAAACATTTGCTTAAACCACCTTTTTGTCCAAAAATGCACCTGCCTGACCCTTAAAAACCAGCCTCGTGATGCAAGAATGTTTAACTCTAGATAGACTTTATATTCATGCAGTCTGTGGTCTTTGGTGTGTTCAGATGCCTAGAATAAAGCTGTGGATGTTTTGTTTGCTACCTTTTTTATCCTCCTTATTGGATGACTGGGTTTGAAAAAGAGAATAAGACAGAAAAAGACAGTCACAACACAAACACAAAAATGTGTTTTCTTACCTTTGTTTTATCATCCACCACCCTGAGACCATCTGCTGAAACCCACAGCACTGCTTTGACCGTCTTTTTTCCACTCTGGATGGAACAAAATAACAGTGGGGTTAAATATTTACCAATTTAAATGCAAGTCACACAGAAAACATTTTAACAGTTTGAACATTTTATCAGGTGTTGCTTTAGTCCTGCAGAAGAGCAACAAAAAACTTAAAACAGCATGAAAAGCCACTTTTACTATGTCTCTACTATGTCTCGTGGTTATGTAAGGCGGTCATTACAGCTCATGAGGTAATGGCGGTTTGAGAGCGGAGTGGCGGGCAGAGGTAAAAACTGTGCCAGCTGGTACTGAGACTCATTCCTACGGAGGAGGGCAGGAGGCAGAGCTAATAACACACTCAGCGTGGGCCAAGCTAAAAATACACAGGCTGTAAAAACAGCTACAGCGTGCATGTGTGTATGAAAGTGTGTGTGCACCTGACTCTGATTTAAGTCTGTGTGGAGGGAAATAGAAAACACTGCAGGAAATGTCTTTGAAACCCACAGCGAAGCGACAAGGAGCCTCAAGTTTTGCATAATCCTATTGAGGGGAAGACGAGGAGTGAGGATTGAGGGGAGTGAAAGAAAAGAGTGAAGGAGAGGAGAAGAGGATGTGGAGCAGGGAAATCAAAAGGAAAAGATAAGTTTGTGAGAAAGTCTGGAGTGTGAAAAACTGTGAAGAGGCAAAAAAGGCGGCTAAAGAAAATTGCTGATAAAGATGAAGTGGGGAAAGAATAGACCTGTTTTAGGAGAGAAATCAAAGTCAAAAACTAATGAGAGAAAACGAAGGCTGAGGATCTGTGTGTGCCACATTTCCCCTCCTAGCTGTGATTCATTTAACTTCACCTATTTCAACAGGATGAAGCCTTCAGGTTTGAAAAAACAGTTACTGACACAAATGAAACAGCTGTGCACAGATGTGTGGACGATATTCATTTTGACAGAGTCTCATGTTTTCAGCACATGTGGCTGTCTGACTCTGGACAGTCTGTGTTACTCCGTTCACACGCCCCTATTCCTGATCCAGCTTCCTAGGGGGGCCAACTGTGTGTGTTTGAGTCACTGAGTGTTTATATGTGTTCAAAGCAAATTTTTTTCTGCTCTCTCAGTCAGTGACTGGCCCAGAGACTGATGAGGAGACAGGGTCACTGACTGCAAGACTGCAACAAAATCCCTGATGGAATTTCACAACCTTTTATATTCACAAAATTACCCTTTATTTTCAATAGAGAGAGGAAAATCCACACTGTGCATATGCTTTGATAAAATACGAGCGTGCAAAACAACATGTAACTCTGCTGAGGTCAATACTTGATTCATGAGGTTTGTGCAAGTGGCTCTTTAATGAGCTCCAGTAAAGATGGAGGATCCTTGAGGTTAGTGTTAGAGGAGGTGTGTGTGTGTATTAGATACTTACAACTTTGAGTTTGTTAACTGCCTCCTCACATACGTGCATCCCTCTGGATTCCTCCACCTCGACCAATCCCAGGTACTGCACAGAGAAGAGAAAAGCAACGTTAAAGAGTCGTGTACAAAAGACACAGCGAAAGCCACCTTTAGATTTACTCCAGTCAGATGCTAAGAGGCAAAGATAGTTCCTAACAACCTTGTAGGCCAGTAGAACATAAGGGGCCTTTTTTTTTTTTTTGCATATTACTCCAATCTTGTTTTTTACAACACTGATGTTGAAAGCATGGATGCACCTTGCCTTTCTTTGTTAATAGCTCAAAACCAAATTTGGCTTGCATTAGAGCTTTGCACAGTTGGACTTGAGCAGCACTCACGCCTGCCAGCATTGGGGATTGAAACCACAGGAGGATGCGGTGGCAGAAGGGACACAGACAGATCGGCCTAATCAAATAAGTCAATAAAATTTCTGCAGCTGCGCACACATGCCTTGTGGGTTGTCAGGGAGAGTGGCGTTTGTGGATTGTGTACATGAATCATGATTTGTGGACGACCCAGACACTTGAATCAGGGGATGAAAATACAAACTTAATATTTCCGATCTCATTTAATAAGGCTGCAGAGCCATGACAATCTATACAATCTATCTGCATGTATGTGTATTACACATTGAGCAGGTGCTGATAGACGAGACGAGGATGAAACTCAACCCGACAACTTATCAAAGTTTGCTTAAATACACACAACTGTTTTTGCCAGCTAAGTCATAATATTTTTATCTGGCAATTTTCCTCCTCAGCCATCTACTTTCAAAGAGTCCATTTTTCAAAGAATGCTAAAATGAGATCACAGTTTTCCGCTTCTTTGTACAATTCAGCAGTGATTGAGGGGGTATCAATACTGCATGACTTGTGAATACATTTAAAGAAAGTACAGAGTAAAGGCAAAGACAGAAAGAAAAAAAGATTAACAGGGAAAATGAAAGAAAAGGAAAAAGCCGCTGGTAAAGAGGGTGAATTTTTTTTACTGCCTCTTTGCTTTGAATTTCTCGGCTCCTCCTCACTGAATCACATCACAAACTCTTTGGAGCATCACCGCCAGAAACATTTTCCATCCTCTTTGTATTTTTCTTTCACTTCTGCTTTCTCCATTCAGTCTGCAGCTCTTTTTTTGCCTCTCTTATCCACCTCTATATCTCTCATCTCATGTCACACAATGTCTCCCCGTCCCTCAGTGCGCTCTCATCCCTCACCCTGTCATTTCCTGCAGAGTCCTACATTTTTAACTATCATGGATGTCAGTCTGTCCTCCCCTGGAGCCTCCATTGTCTTTCCTACACTTTGGGAATCACGGCAGCTCTCAGAAATACAGAAAAACCCCAGATTGAGGCTGGTTATCAGTAAAGAGGACTATATTAACACTCCCTATTTACACATATATAATAAGAGGCATCCAGCTGCGTCTGTACTGAGAATACTGCATGGATTTAATAAAGATGAAACTTGCTTGAATCTGACCAAATTTGTAGTGTTTGCATGATACAATCTTTTTGCATTTTACTCGTGTCAGTTTTGGGGATTTATGAGACATGAAACAGGAGGAGGCCATAGCTGCAAAAAAAGACATTTTTTTGTTTTGCACATATTAAAAAGATAGACCTTACCTTTGTAAACCTCATTTACTGTTACTCATGTTAAAGCAGAATGTAAAATACTCTCTGTGACCTGAAAGTTGATGGGTAAAGGTGCAGTGACATCGGCTCCAAATACTTCAGCTGGTGTTGTAAATCTATTGGATACAATGGAAGAGGGTTGAACCTGACACTGAATGAGTGCACAGCCATTCTGAATCAGAGGAAAACAGCAGCTCATATGTGGCTGCAGTCTGCATCATGCACCATCCAGAGTTCCTGCCTGAGGGAGAATCAGCTGGTGAACACTTGCAAACCAGTGCAAACAGCTTTGATCTGGGGTATTGTCCGCATCTAGTTGCAGACAATGGGTGCTAACCATGGTTCTGATGTGTGGCTTAAACCCACTCAGTGTTTATGTGTAGAAATAACCCCATAGAGTTGTTTGCAGTAACCACTGCAGAGTTTGGGTGGTAATTTAGTGAGTCCAGTTTCTGTTCATAGTTTGAAAAGCATGTGATTTAACATTAAGTGCTGCTGTTGTTGCGGTGTTCAGTGTAGCTGATTTAAAGAGGTGCCAAATGCATCGTGAAATTTTCGTTTGTGTTTATGTCCATAATTGTGCCAACCCAGCAGCTGGCTGATACCCAGGCCGCTGCAGCAGATCTTGATGTTTATCTTGTTTTGTTTATAGACTGTTCTGCTACTTTCGGCTCTGTAAAATGTGATTCTGAACTATTTTATAAAACTTGTTGACCGGTGAAATTTAGTAGTCAAGAACTCCCTACTTAAGTTTTCGATACTCACCCTAACAGGGAAGTTACATTTGCCCTTTCGCACAGCCTCTTCATCAGCCTGCCACTGATAGGGTCTGCTAGCCTCAGGTAAACAGGCGCCTTTCTTCCTCCGCAGGCTCTGACGAAGCTTGTTCATCTCCGGGGTCACGTGCTCCCTGTTGCTGAAGACACAGAGAGAAACATCAGTTTAGTTGAGTTCAGTTTAGTCTGAAAAAAAAGAAATTAGATCTCCTCTTGTACAAAAAAAAAGCATCAAACACAAACACAATCCATTTAGTGCTGCTTTCAACTAACAATGGGGCTCATTTAACTCTAATGAAATGCATCCGTGTGGGCCATAATATATAAAGAAAAGCCACTGGAGAGCTTTGTGCACACGCTGAATTGGTTCATACAGGATTATGAGTGAAGTGGGATGGATTTCATTGATTAGCTCAAGCTCATTATGCTGTAATCATCCCTAACAAGGCAGTCAGTGCATTAGTGTCACAAACACTTCCCGCTACAATACACCATTGATCCTCTCATTGAGAAACATGCTGTACAAACCACACAGGTGGAATAATAATGAACTCGGAGCATGAGGCACCTGAGGAGCGCAGCTGACTCACAGAGTGGGATTTATAACAAATAAAGACTTTATATCATATCAGCTCTCATCTGTTGAAAAGCATCAAAAATGCTGAGTGAATACCACTCACACACACACACACACACACACACACACACACACACACACACACACACACACACACACACACACACTGCAACCCTCTCTGCGCGGCTTAATTAGACCATTCAGCCCGCCGGCCTGTTTAGTGATGCTAATTTCCCACCATAATGAAACATGAAGCCATCATAACATGACCTGCTTAAAAACGATAATTACTGTTTTCATTCCTCTGCAGTCACATCCCCCTCAGCAGCAGCAGCAGCAGCAGCAGACCTGGAGTACTACAGAAACAAGCTCTCCCTGTGAGCGTCCTCTGCATCTGAATCCAGGCTGGATTAAAAACATCTGAAGTCCCATTTTATGTCAGGTTTTTCAAGATAGATGCGGAATCGATAATTCATTAATCCCATAAAGGAAATTAAACTGTCACAGCAGCTAAAATCACATCATGATAAATCCACTGAAATAAGTTTCAAATCAGGAATCAGAATTGCAAAGACAGGTGATCAATTTTATGAACTTATGAAAGTGCAAAAGCATCTGGTAATGGCCGGCATGGGTGTGTCCAAAGGGGGGTACGGGGTGGCTACTTCCTCTTCCAACCTTACTTGTGGGATACCCCAGGGTTCCATTTTAGGTTCAATAATTTTTTTTTTTTTTTTGCCACTCAGCCACACAATGTAGAAACACAATGTCTCCTTTAATCACTATGCAGATGACACGTAAATATACCTTTCTTTAAGATCTGAGGACCACAGAAGTGTTACTTTTAGACACTGTCTCAGTGATCTAAACCATCAGATGGCTCAAAAGTTTCTTTCATTCAATCATACAAAATCCGATTCATACTCTTCAATCTACAGAGTTACGCTTGTTTTACAGAGAGCAGCCTTGGTGTTCTATCCACAAACGTCAAATCTGAAGTAAAATATGTTCACATTTGGACACTTATCTTGATCGCTTTTGGTTCTGTGGATTTTTGAGTATTGACCTGCTCTCAAGTTTTATAACAGAGTAACCAGAAAACTTGAATCATTTCTGTTAACCACCAGTAACTAACACCAAGAAAAGCACAAACAGTGTCAAACTAGACTCTCCTTTGCTGCTTTTTACAAATATCTCTGACCAAAGCGAATTATTGCCTTACCGTGTTGGGGCTCCATAGACCACCATCCTCAGGTTTGTTTAAATACGAAGAAATCCACAAAAAAGGAAGCGTTTAATAAAAAGTACTGCAGAGAGAAGTTCCTCTCTTCGCTCTAACACACAGGTCAGGGCTTACAAGCAAATATATACAGAGAGAGAGAGAGATCACTTCTCATCATCGCTGCTATGTCACTGATGGTTGGTGTCAAAGGCTGGTGTGCCGGAAATGTGTGCCAGTCATGCTCATATTCCTCACGCACACACTCTCGGCGTGTGTGTAATGCATAGTATTCAAATGCTGCAGCCCGGGTGGCTTCACTCATTTTGGCATGTGTGGCATGCATCCTCTGCCAAGTGCAGACACACAAATAAACACACACAAGCCTCTCTGCAGCTAAGCGCTCACACATGTCCAGGCCTGTGCCAGTCATTTCCAGGCGGAGTGCCAGCTGACGGGCACCTGGCTGGCACCAGAGCCGCTGAGGCAGGTGTGAATGTGTGTGTGAGAGGGTGCATTACACACCACTGTGGAAGGGGAGTTATGTTGGGTAGAACGGGGGAGAGGAGAGGGACTTTAGGGAATACATCAGGCCCTGTCATTGCCCTCATATGGTTTGGGACAGCAGGAGAGGAGGAGTGAGCGAAGAGGACTGGCAGCTGATACCAATCCACTGGAGAGACGTAAAAATGAAATGATGGGAAACAAGGGGGAGCTGGTCGGGACAAATTCAGAAATGAGTTAGAACATTAGTGGTTATCCTGCTCGGTAAAGAGGCCAGAAAAAGCACAAAAAGGGACAATAAACCACGGCTAAAAAGACTGAAAAGTCCACTTCATGCTGACAACCTTTACATTAATGTAGAGATCCCTTTCTTGACAAATCCCAACCACCAGGAGAACTCTTGTGGGCCCAGACTTTGTGACTTTTACGAAAACAAAAGAGTATGTTGTCTTTTTTATTTGTAGGCCTTGTTACCTACTCTCTTGCTGGAGATATCAAAAATCTAAATTAAGAAACTGAGTTTCGTCCGATGGTCTAGTTTGCTTTTGTAGTGCAAATAGAGGCATACCTTTAATTTTAAAACTCCTCACTTTGAGCAAACTTTGGCCATGATTTGTGACAAACTTTTAACCCGGGGGATCAGCATTGGCGTTTGGATTATCTGGGAACAATCATGTCGCTCATACAGAAACAGAATCGCCTACAATCTAAAACTCCTGAAAAGTGCCAATGTTGTTGCATTAACCAGGAATCCCACACCATAGAGTTAAACAATTCCTTAAAGTGTTTTTATTTTTACATTTTAAAACCATGAAGGGGACAAGAGATTCTTAAAGTAGAGTAAAGGTACAAAACGTGAAGTACACCATGTTAATTTGTCAGTTTGAGTAGAAATGAATGTACTTATCTTTGGACAGAGTCAGGATAGCAGCTTGTTTCTTTATGCTAACCTAGGACAAGAGAGTTCTACTGTATATCTTCTATTCTAACAAACCAGAAAGCAAGTAAGTTAACCCTCCAAATATCAAACTACTGACTGAGGGATGGGTGACACAAACACTGCATATCAGTAGAAGAAGAAGTCCATACTTCTTTCCTTGAACAGCACAGCATGAAATTAGCAGAATAATGCTGGTAAAGAGTCTTTAATAAAGAGAAAATTAGGGTGGAGACATTACCCAGCATGCAGCATGTTTAACTTTTGCATAGCAGTGACCTCACCCTGCAACAAAAACCATGTGCATGACAGAAGACAACAAGAAGCAGACAGACAGCGGGGTGGGCGGGCAGGCGAGTACAAAAAACATCCAAATAAATCGATAAATCAATGGCACAAGTAAAGTCCCGCTCTCGTCAAAAACCCACGCAAAACTTCAGCGTAGACTACACAAACAAAAGGCCTGCTGCCAAAACCCACAGAGCTGCTCCCCATCCTCCCAGTTAGCAGCCATCTGGAACACATTGATGCAGAGGAGATGGCTGGAGAGACGTTTTACAAACAGGCAAAGTTATGTCGACTTTCAAGTGCCGTCACCCGAGCTGACCTCCTCTCCTAGCTTGCTAAGTGCTCCCATTTTCTTCTTCTACTCTTATTGCAGAATAGGTGCACCAATGGAGACAAGTACAGGCCTATAGCTGGAAGTCTATGACTGGAGGAAATGGTTTTAGCAGGGATGACTTGAGTGAGAAGACTTCGCCTACACTGGCAGACAAATGAAATGTGAGCAGAATCATGCTCCAGGTTGTAAAGAAGGTATTTTAGCTGTGAGTTTGTAGGGATGTTTGTCGTTAAATCTCTGTGATATGTGTGTGTGTTTTTTAAAAGAGTAAAACCAGTTTTTGAGGACACATCGAAAGTGTGTCACCTCCCTTTATATCAGAGTTCAGACTGTATGAAATCATGTGTGTCCAGCTGGAGTTTGTGCTCGCCAGGAGTCAGCCTGATTGATATCTTTGGCTCTCCAACTCTTTCTCTCACATAAACGTGCACACACACACACTCGTGCACACTGTAACACTCATGTACACACACACACACTCAACCATGCACACACACACTCAAACATGCACAATGTTCCCTCCTGGTCCAGATGTTCTGTGTTCAACAGCGGCTCAAAGATTTTGGCAAAACGGTTTGCACTCCACCCTCACACTTCTTCTCCACCAGCTGCTCTGAAGACACACTGCATACAAGCAGAGAGGAGGAGGACTTGTGGCACACACATACACACACACACACACACACAAGAAAAACCCACACAGTGAGTCATAGCCACCTCACATTACGGTAAGCCATATGCTCATGAAGCTCCAGAGAGACAAGGAGGAGACGGTGAGGGGTGGAGCAAGTGTGTGTGTGTGTGTGCAGGGGATTGTATGGGCTTAGTCATCACTGAGCTGACCAATTTATATGGACACCGCGTCCCTCTGTTTCCCTGCTACGTTTCGCCGAAGCGTTCAGAGTGACTCAGAGTCGGTTTGAGGTGGAAGAAAAAGATCAGATCTCTACAAACAGAACAACATGATGATTAAACTGTGTAAGATTAAGAAAACCTTTGTACACACATTGATTTGTTTGTCTATCTGAGAGCTTTTAGCATTCTTCCTATATTTAATTTGCTGCTTTTAATAAACTCAACAATAAAACTGAATCTGTTTGTCCTTTATAATTATTGGACCAGAGTTTTCTAATTTTCCAGTAATAAAGACACTTTGGACCCTGTTGCAAGACTCCATCACAGCCCCAGGGTCTGGGTATGAACATGTATTTTCATGCCAGTTTACTACATTTTCTTTTGAAACTAGATATTAGAAAACGCTTAATAATAAAAGCTGGTCTAAACCAGATTCTGGGATTGGATTGAGCCCCATCCTGTAAGATCAGACCCACTTCCATCCCATCTTGAACTACATGAGTGAAACACTTGACAGCATTTGTCAAGTTATAGTGGAGAAGAAGAACTTCCTTTAACGGACAGAGACCTCGAGCAGAACCAGACTGATGTTAGACAGTCACTGCTGAGACTAAGCCGGGTTTAGAGAGGAAGATGGAAAAAGAGAGAGATGGACAGAGGAGAGACTGATGCTCGTACAGCTGAAGCAGTGATCCAGAGGAACCTACGATGTGATGGAGCTCAAAGACTGTATTCGTGACTCTGATGATGATTCAAAGTTAATGATGCAGACAGAAAGAGGATGGAGTATCTATGTGTCTTTCATAACAACAAAATAATAACTGTTGGAGATTATCCGACACTCAGCATCTCTCTTAACCAAATTGCCGACCCCCCCAAACATCTAACAGTAGTCTATTATTCATTCTATCACCACCTCTCAAATGTCACTTGAGGGGTGACTCATCTGCGGTCGAAGCGAGACAGTCAACAGTTGTGTAGATCATAGAACTCAATCAAACACACGTCAGACTCAGGAGCATAATGCCGACACACAAACACACTGAAAACTGACCCACTTTCCCAACCATGCAGACGTTCATTGGCACTGAGCGACCTGGATAGGGAAGCGGACTCTTCCTGTCATCCAGAAATCTGTCTGTGTCTCACACACACACACACACACACATACACACACACACACACACACACACACACACACACACACACAGCAGTTGACAGGTGGTCCGTTTCTGTCTGAGTGTGATTAAAAAATCAAGGAGAGTGATGCAATGCAGATAAACCAGGACACTTGTGCTCTGACTGGCGCCTGACCCAGGACAGGACACTGTTACTTGCTGCAGCTGCTAATGAGGCTACGTGTGTGTGTGTGTGTGTGTGTGTGTGTGTGTGTGTGTGTGTGTGTGTGTGTGTGTGGGTGTGTGTAGTTGGTAATAATCCCCTTTATGTACGTATTAGACCAACCAAATAACCATATAGCACTTTAAAACAACTCATGTTGCCAAGACAGTGCAGAGAGTTAAAGGTGCTTCCCATCTTTTTCTTTGAGTTTTGTTTTAAACACGTGTTGGTACACTTTTATGAGGTGTAAACACAGACGAGAAAATCAATCAGCAGCTGTATTATCTAAGTGTATAGCTTATTAAGTAGATTATTTAACAGAGTGCAGATATACTGGGCGTCTGTATTAAACACACACAAATAAAACTAGACTAAATATTTTCATCGCCACTCGTAAAACTTTCAAATATCTTAAAAAACTAACAGACCCCCTAATGCGAGTGATCGGTTTTAATTTTCCTGTTGTATAACTTAAGGAAACAAACTAATCAACCAGTCCTGACAACTGAATAGTTTCTATATAAGTGGGGGAAGCTCCATAGCTGAAATACAACAGCCTGTGCAGCTTTATCTGAGCTTTATAGAAATCGTAAACACCCTCGGGTCGAGTACAGCCGTTACAACAAGCAAATATAAAGAAGCTGAACCTCTGGAGCGACAGCAGTTTAGAGCTGTATACGGCGCAGAGTGCAGGAGGTTTGTAAAGCACACTCTCTGATCCAGCTGTAAACAGACTGTATATGCAGGCTGTATTGAAGAGATAGTCCATTTTGGTGAAATTAGAGCGTGTGGAGGCTGATTAAAAGTCTCAGCTGAAGCAGAGCCATGTGTCGAACCCTCAGCCTGGCACTCACTGTGACTATTGTCCCAGTCCCTCACACACACACACACACACACAATTGAAAAAGAGTGATAGCGAGTGTTCGTCTCTGTTAACTTATTCATTCTCTCTTTCGTTCTTCTGCGCTGCACAAAGATATAACTTGATTTGAGCATTTCTATATAAAAAGAAGGACAAATGGTGATCATTTCAAGGCTTCTTTCATCTTTGCCAATCTTGTCATTTGCACCCCACTCTGCTTTTCTGACAACTCTTAAAAAAATTGGTTTTACTTCATCATGTGGTCTGACTAGGGATGGGCGATATGGGCTAAAAAATTTATCACAGTAAGTTTTGCCATTCTGTTGGTAACAATAAAAGTCCCGATAAAATATATTATAATTCCAATCTATATTTTTAACTCATTCTGTCTTGAAATCACAAGTTAGAGTCGTCATGTAAGATACTGAACCAGAATTTTGAGTGGTAGATAATGGAGAAAACTAATGACATCAAACAAGTCTGAAATGTGAAACCATTTTCAACATTTGTTAAAAACTCTTATTGCACAGAGTGAACAGCAGAAGATCCACTGTCCATTGTCAGGCGTACCTGATTGCACTCATCTAAGCCCCAATCTTGAAGGAAATATCTCATGTGGAGCCTCGTACAGTTACAAGCTACTCAGAAACGTCTAATTTATCACCTTCGGCCATGTTTGTTTGCCCTTCTGCTCTGTGTGGGCTTTGGCTGCGTGTCCGTTGCTCACGCTTACGTCATCAACTTGCATTTATTGCATTTATCATGAGATGGCAAATATTTATCATGGAGGATTTTTCTGATGATATATCGTGAACGATACTGTATTACCCATCCCTAGGTCTGACCTTACCCTCCTTATAGTGGTTAGAAATTACATCGTAGAAAAGATCAGTCACTTTTCTTGTTTCATAAACAGCCAAAATCTTCTCACAGAAGCTTGAACAAAAAAGAAAACAGGGATACAGTCACAGTTTCTCTGTACTGTAAGAGCGGCAACACATTACTGCGGCAGACTTAATTAGCTCTTATTTGTAAGTGAGGAAATGAAACTGAAGTAACTTCTTAGTTCATTTGACTCAGCGAAAGGGCTGTAAACATCTGTGACCTGGAAGAAATGCAAAAGAGACCCAAATAATGCATTTCTTTAAGTCTCTGTTCAGATTGACTGTTCTTTGTTTTTTTTTTCCTCAGTCTGAGATAAAGAAAGAAAAATGCATAAAGAAAAAGACAGTAGTGTGAATTAGCCAGACAGTAACACATCCTGTCCTTCCTCTGACCCTCTAATGTAATGGGATCCTTCAGGGGGGCTGCAGTGCTGCTGGAGAAGACGCACAGAGGGCCGCCCTAATGTCATTATAAGTGGGTGGTCGTCTTTCATAATGAGACTGAATGGCCCTCTGTGTCTCAGGCTGCAATGCACTATGGGAATTTGTATCAGTGCAGTAACAAGTGAATGAGTGAGAATTCGAGAAATGTCATCAGTGACTAAACCAAAGCTTCAGGTCCTGGATCAGATCTGTCATCCGGACACTTACTGTAACCAGTGACAGCTGCAGATGGTGAAGCGAGCTGCAGCCCCCTTATCTTCACTAATGTGCCTAAACAATATGCACTGTTTGAAACTGCAACCCAGCTTTTTGAAGCTCCAATGAGCTATCAATGAAGTCTAATTCACTCCGAAAATGACCATGCATAAACATAATAAGAGCAGCAGCATCACCAAATGCACAGCTTCATTAGAAAAGCAGATTGGTAGCATATGCAGGAGTTAATGAGGGGGATTACTTCAATTTTGAGAACACCAGTTGTTCCATGCAAACACTGCATGCATCATGTCCGTGCTCTCCTAACATCATTCATTTGAGCCGTAAATCAAGTTAAGTGGATGGAGAGAGGCAGTCCGGCAAAGCTGGGAGTCTGAGAAAACATCCTGCAATTAAAATTATCTGCTTCCTGGTCTTTGCTGCAAATAGGATTTAGCTGAGAAACTTCAAGCTGTGTGTAGAGAGAGTGTGAAGCCCAGGAGACGTGTGTGCACAACCCTGGTTTCCAATGTGTATGCGCATGCACTGTCATCTCTGCACCAACAGCTCATGCACAGACACCTATTATCCTTTTTCCTCTGGGCTTAGCACGGTGCTGTCGCTGCCCCTCCTGCCACTGTTGCAATTCCCATCCACCAAAGTTAAGCCTGGAGAAGATTGTCTTTGTGTTTGTGTGTCTGTCTGTGTGTCTGTCTGTCTCTGTGAGTGCGTTTGCTGGGAGTCCTGCAGGCCAACCTGCTCCCTCTCTCATTATTTCTTGAAGAAAATATATTCTTCACCCTTACTGTAAGTATAAGTGCATGCAATGAATTTGTGCAAAAAAGTGTGCTTTTGCATGTCTGTATGTGTGTCTGCATGAGACCTAAGACTGCAAAAGAGACAGATTAACACAACAGCTTTCTGTGCCCTTGAAACAGCAGGTAAAAAGGGTACCTACCATGCTATCATGATGTGTTTGTGTTTACATGTACCTGCAGATGCATTTCCAGTATGTGGGACTGCCATGTTCCCGCATTCATGTAAAAGCATGATGTCTGCATGCATGTCAGTGTGTGTCCATATCTATGACGGGAAAAATGTGTGTCGAAGCCAATTCAAACGCAGCGCAGCCAGGCGTGAAGTAGAGCAGTCTGGTCAATATGCTCCACTATCATGTTGCCATGCTGTGTCCCCCACTTTGTATAAGTGTGAACTGGAGTAACAGGCCTGTTGTCATCTGTCCTAAGTGTCTGATATGACAAAGAGGAGTGAGGTCAAAAACAAGACTCACATACCAGAACGAAACATGACAATAAGAAAGTTAAATTAAGCTGTGGGAAGTTCAGAGAGTCTTATTCCTCACTTTGGCATGGTTCGATGAGGTGGCACGCATTGGACTGGAGGTCAGATTTTGTAGACTCTTAGATAAGTTTATATTGAACACTTTGTGTTTACTCAGATGATCCCTGGCTAAAGAATCTATTTTGTTTTTGTTGCAGCTGTAATTTCTCAGTCTTGTCGACCCCACCCTTGAACTTGCATTGTGCAGATTTTATGTCAGACTCTTGGGTCTGACTCTTAAACGCTGAATGATGTGGTGTGGCTCTGCAGCTGAACTCCAAAGTATTCTCAGTTTCATCTACTTCAGTAGTATATATTTAATATGACTATGTTAAAAATTCATGTCATGTCTTTCTTTTCATTCCATCATCACAAAGTTTGTTTTACCAAAGTTGGAAGACTAAGAGGATAAAATGCTTCCACTTAAAATTATGGATGTAAACTGCTTTGGCCGGTCTTCTCTACTGCAAACTACTTTACAACCCATCTCCACTCCAGCTCCTCCTATCTATTCCGTGTCTGATTTTACTTTTGCATACCTGCATTGAATACCACAGCACAGGTACAGTAGGTGGGTCTATGCTGCTGCTCTTTCTGTATCATACTTTGGCATCCCACATCACAACTCAAAAACAGAGCTTATTTGTGTTCCAGTGTGTTTGCTGTTGTGTTGAATGAGTAATTGTGTCATTATAATTACATAATTATAAAATTATATACAGTGGCATGCACCTATAGGCTGAATTGTTTCATGGAAGCGGGTTCTACATAGTAGTTTTATTAAAAGGTGTTACGCTGCCAGAACTTTTGGTGATCATGACATTTCCACCTCAGTCTGACCTAACAGCTTATCCGTCCATCTGCAGCACTGTTCTGTCTTTGCCGATGCTCTTCCCATCTAAAGCTATGGCGTTCTAAATATGCATGTTGCTGTTATTATTCTCTTTGACGAGAGTGGGTAGAGCAGGAAAAGTTGAAAAAGAGCTGCCAGCTGGAATCAAACCCGGGCAATCTGCAGCAGATGTATAACCTCCATATTAGGACCTGAGTGAACCACTAAGCTAGCAGTTCCCTCAGTTTGTTCAGTTTGTTCAGTTTTAGCACAATATCAATATTTCAGTCTTTTTCACCGTTCGCTTCTTACTCTGAAAATTAATATTCCCTCTGATGAAAAATCGACTTTTCCTGGACTGTCCTTTGACGCACTTACTTCTCTAATCTAATGTAACACCCTCCTCTTTTCAAAGTTTTTCTTCACACCCTCCTCCTCTCATCTTCTCCCTCCTGTTGAGTCTCCCTCCTGCTGGTCTTCTTTCGTCCTCATTTCACTTTCTGCACTGATCTCTGTCGTCTGCACTTTTCTCACTCTTCCTCTGCTCTCTCTCTCTTTTCTTGCAGCACACATGAGAGCTGTCCTATTCATTATATAATCATGAGGGCAGAGTAAGAATAGACTGGAAGAAAAAGAAGAAGAGAAGTGTTGAATTCGAGTGTGAATACATGCTAATCTTGCTCCCTTTTGCATGAGGATGATTGGAAACATGATTTTTATGTTAAAAAGGATGCATGGCAGGTGTGCATGGCTGCAGATTTGAACATATGCACATAAAAACATGCACTTGTGCCATGCAAGACAAAAACATTGGTTGTCTGTATCAATCTAGCAGGTTTAATCTCTTCCATATGGGCATGGGGGCTAATGCATCTGCTAAGGCTATTAGCCGCTATGAGCCCTGTGGACACCGGCTGGGCTAGACCTATTATCAGTTTGGCAGTGACTGAACATACCGACAACAACAGCAACAAAACAACAGAAAACCACAGTTATCAGTGTCACATGGATACCAGATTGATCAATGACCTCTATGGAGCTTGCAGATTTCTGCCCTGCTGAAAAAAGGGTAAACTTGTGGTGCAGAGGTGGAGATAAACAGCCCAAGATGGTGACTGCAACTGCAAGAGTCGACCCAGTTTGAAACTAGGATACATCCAGGTGCACGATAACTCACAGAAATACAGAGATGGTAGATGAATGCATGGATCAAGAGCGTATCTATGTTGCATTGCACGTGCACCAGCTAAGCAAAACATGCACAAACTAAAACACAGCTTCCTACTCTGTATTTGACTCACCTGAGTTCAATGGCCTCCCCCATCTCGCCACAAGAACTCATCTCACACAGAAACGTCAGCAGACGAGAGGAGATGCAAAGATGACTAGCTGGGAGAAAGTCCTCCCTTTGCAAAAACAACAGCACAAGCAAAAGATGAGAGGAGGAGAGCAGCGAGAGAGCATGTGATGATATTACGCTCAGAGTGAGGGATGGAAAGGAGAGGGAGCGCAGCGCGAGAAAGAGAACCACACCTCTTCTTAAGGGATTAACTTGGAAAAAGGAGCCTGTGACATTCGCAAATCTACACACAGTGCTGCACCCAAACACAATCAAACTGCCCACAACCCAGCATGGACCAGCGTCTGAAACACACAAACAAATAATGTGCATGCACGCACATACCCTCACAGCGGCTCTAAAAATAAAGACAAATCAATGTTTGATGCTCCAAATCCTGGGAGTGAGGGAAGAAGGGAGTGGGAGGATGGAGAGAGGGGGAGGGAAATGCAGAAAAGAGAGAACGGGAGGGGTGATTAAAGCAAGCCATGGCTGGTGGTGACACAGTTTTCTTTGCTCTCCATCTGCTGTGGGTGCACTGGTCAAGAGTGCATTAGGGGAGAGGGCAAGAACTGGGGCTGGAGCCCGGGGACAGGGGCTGGAGCTGGAAGTGGGGAATGAGGCCAGAGCTGGAGGATGTGTTTAATGTGAGGAGTGGATCACGGCCTGGTGGTTTGTTTCCACAGGGGTGTTTCTGGATAGAAAGAAGAGGCCTGCTTCCCGGTAACGGGTGGAGGGAATGCCAGAGAAAGGAATCAGCAGATGAGAAGTTGAGCCGAGATTCACATTCAAGCTAAGAGACCAAATATGAGACCAAATCAGCATTCCAGGTTTTAGTATCTGCATGTTTCTGTTAAGGAATCCAAGTTAGAAATCTCATGTGTTGTTGTTAAGCTGCAGGGTTTGGAGTTTCAAGAGTTTTAGAGGTGATGCTTTAAGGCCCAGATTGGCAGTTCAGACTCTCCTTTCTGCTGCAGATTTGGAGCAGTCAGTGCACCATAATGGAACCTAGAAATGCATCAGAATTTTAACCATTGTGTGCACACATTATTCTATCCAGATATGCAACTCCAGTGCAAAATTACAGAAAATGCATGCTATTACTGTGCAACAGTACATGCACAAACACATTTGTATCTTAATGTGCAATGACTTCAGCACTTTAAAGTAACAAGTCCAAGGCAAATGCACAATATACACCTATGGATGGAGGTGTCTCTGCACCCTTTTTCAATAGCACATATTGGATAAATTGTGCAAGTATGTCCCTACTTCAGACATACTCTTCAGGATTAATCTCTTCATGAAAATTGGTGCACAATTTCAAGAGGTAGATATGCTAAAAGCTAACCCGTAAGTCAGCATGAACAGACACCAAACTGTGAAGTTTTAGAGGTAGTTTGTGTTAGGAGCTTTAAACAAAACAATTCTTGAACTTGAAGGGTTACCAAGGTTAAAAAGCTTGTTAGCTGTTGGAAGTCATGGTGAGTGGGTTCAGAGCCAAGGAAGCACACCGAAAGTATAGCTTACACTTCTTGCACAAAACATTTCTAACCACAAGTAAACAAATGTGCAAATGCATCCTAAACAGAGTGACTCTCAGATTTGCAAAGTGACTTTTTAAGATCATTAAAGCCAAACATGAAGCAAAGTGTTTCCAGTGTTACTCTGAGCAAACGTCAGTTCAAAGCTGCATTAACAGCTAGCTTATCTTAAAAGAGGTGCCTGAGGATGGATTTGAGAGAACCTCTTGAGTCAACCACAGGATTGGACCGGGTCCTGACATGTGTTTGGGAGCTGAGTATAAGGAGTCAGAGCTGAACCTGCAGATCCAGAGTCGCTCAGTGTGGTGTTTTGTGTTAATGCTCTCAGTCTTCTCACACATTGGTAGCTTCCATGATGCCTGTTTATCCTCTAAGCTCTTTAACCTGCCACACTGAGAGATCAACATTGTGTGGGAGTGAGAGGGATCGCCATGTCCTTGTTACATGCTAACTTTGTCCACACATCGCTCATAGACTTAGTGCGCAGAGTGTTTGCAGCTAATTGACAGCGTCCACTGGCATTTCTCTTAATGCTTATTGTCAGCTGTTTCCTTTGCAGGGGTGGCATGAAACTCAAAGACCTGAAGTCATTCTGGCACTGGCTCTAATGACAAGCGGTGCAACAGATAATGTTTGATAGGTGACCTGCACAGATCTATCCGTGGACCATTATAAATGCTCATTATAGATACCTGTGCAGAGTCTCAGTGAAAAAGGTGGTGTTCAAGGAAATCTGCTGTAGTCTGTAAACACAGAAAAAGGTCACCAAGTGTTGACAGTTAAGTGTGAGGCTTCTTAGTCTTCAATGGTGCTTTGAATTTCCACCTCTCACCCTCACTGTCTGCATTCATGTTTCATCAGCTGGTTTCCCATGGCAACAATCAGCAGCTTAATGTTAGTTATATGAACCCTCAGCTTGCTGTAATCTGCAGCTTTAAATATATCCATATGACACAAACTCTGCTTCACAACAGTAAACTTTTTCTTTCCTCCTGTCTCCAATGAGTGACACTGAGGCGTAATGGTAGGGCAAAGTCTGTTCCCCAATAAGAGGCAGGTACATAGTTAGAAAGGGGGTCAATGAGCTGCTGAGCAGGCAGGGCGGAACAGCCTCGTGCGCGTGCGTGCGTGCGTGCGTGTGACGCCCCTGCTGCATAATGTAAAATAAAATGACACTCTAGGACACCATTAATGTAATGCCCTGCAAAGTGTTGAGGCACTGGTGTGGAGCTGCAGTTTTTAAGAGGTCATTGATCACTGCTGCTGGCTTACAGACAACCCCTCATAATGCTAAATGACAGGACACGCAGCACTAACAGCCGTGAGAAGTTTCAGTTAAATGGAAATCTTGGTTATGGATGAGAAACTTGAAGAAACCAGGACACTTAGATGAATCACTTCATCATTATCTTGCCTGTGTTTTCAGACAGCTGGCTGATTTTTCATTGTTAGAGGGGCAGAAACAGCACCTGTGACATTTACAGCAGAGAAGGAGCTGCAGAAATGTCACTGCCATGATGATGGATGGCAGGCTTGTTGTTTGGAGATCAGTTGTCTGTACTCTGAGTTGTTATTTCTGACAGCTATGAATCAAATTATTCCATGGCAGATATTCAACAACATTCACAAACTTTCACACATAGACATACACAAACGCACAGTGTGGTTCTGCTCTGCACAGCTCGTCATTATAAAACACCACGATCACAGCCGGATCAACTGTTCTGCATCCATGTGTTACAGATTATTACAAACAGGTGAGTGAATATCCTGCTCTGCGCTGGTCACATAAAAGCCAAAGTTAGCTTGTTGAAATTAGTTTTAAAGATAAGAGTGTCTGACTTTAAGCACCTCTTCATCTCTTTTGTTCTGAGTTTATTCTGCTCTTTTGTTAACATGTCCTCCTCTTTTTGTTGGAGTTGGATGCTGAAGAGCCGAGGAAGAATGGATTCTAATTTAGCAACAAGAGAAGAAGACAAAAGCGCTCCAGTTCCAAACTTGTCAGGAGAAAGCAGAGAAAGTCATGTGTGCACCTGATAGAGAATCTGTGTGACTCTCATGTGTTTGTGTGTGCAGGTATCTGATGTAAGTGCATGCATATTAATCAAATCATGGTGTGTATCCTTGTACTGGCCCGACTCCAACATCAGCATTTTAAACCTGTGGAGTGTAAAACAGGGTGATCTGACACACCAGGTGGTAGCAAACACACTTCCTGCTCGCATTCAATTAAATAAACCCTCAGGCTTCGTGTTTCAGTGAGCTTTTCCTCTGTAAGAGACCAAGGAGAAGAACCTGATCATGCTCTGAGTGAGTGTGTGCATGTGTGTGCGTATGTGGGTGTGTGTCATGTGCTTCTGTCTACTATCATGTTAATCTGAGACTCTGCGGTTTTACAACCACCATGCCTCACTGCCTCCATAACAGCCTGTTATTGTAACCCTGTCCGTCTGAATGTAAATGAGGCTCCTCACATGCACATTAACACACATACACACACATATGCACACACAAGAGCGAAACAATGATTGCAGGTTAAACAGTAATAATAATAATAACTAAGTAACAAGTAATCATTTAATGCCCTAGTGGGCAGCAGGACCTCGAGCACACATTAAATAACAGTAACATGCTGTAAAAGACTACCGTACAATGTGAGTCCATAGACAGTCTGATCACACTCGTCAGGTTCCCACTCATGTTAGCTGTGTTACTTCCAACCTAGAATTTAGGATATGATGTTTGTTTATATTGGGTTGCTTTAGATTTCTTATTTCAAATGGATTTAAAAAAAAAAAAACACTGAGCAGGGAGGGAGAAACATTTATCAAAACTTGTGTTACCTGCCAAAATTATGCTGCTTTCAACAGGCAAAGCATGATGGGTGACGTAGTAGCCCACACCCAGCTGACAGCACAACTTTTCTTCAACTTTTCTTGCATTTCTTGCATTTAAAAAAAAAAAAAAACTAAAATCTGAGCACGTTTTGTCTTATTTCTGTTAAAATTGACTTTTCCAACTAAGATTATTAATTATAGCTTGATTTATATTTACCTTTAAATACAAAGTTTTACAAAGTGCTTCAATAAAAGCAAAGCCACATTTAAGAGCAAAAATATATATATATATATTTTTTTCTCTTAACTGATCAATGATCATAAATGACGAGTGACCCTGTTTGATCTCTGTAACTCCATGTGGGGTCTTGGACCTAAGGTAGGAGACAGTTGGGAAATTCTTCACTTTTCCATCCTGTTAAATTAATCCCTCTGTGACTTCTGCTCAGTAAAACTTAATCTCTCAAATCGTCCGCAGATAACAATTCCCGAGCCGTCAATCAGTGATGCTGAAAATATCACCTAATCCAAACTTTCCATCCCACCACACTCCAGAAAAATCCTCTCATATCGACACTGTCCAATATGGAGGCGTGACGGTCAGATCCAGGGTCTTATCCTGACAGGTCGCTCATTGATCCCTGCCTCTGGTCAATACCTTGCTCTTTTTCTTCTTACTGACTTTGCCCTCATCCCACTTTCTTCTCTTCAATCTCTCTCTATCATCATATATTTCCATCACTTTCTCTGCGGAGCATCTCAGGACATGTAGTTACAGAGAAAGCCTTACTGAGCAGGCTTCAGATAATGGAGCAGAGTCTGCAAGAGTGTCTTTAAGTGGCCACACATATGAAAGCCAGGTTGTGTGTCTGATGATCAAGCTCTGCAGTGTATTACATGATCAATATCTTGTCCTCTGAGATGTGTGTCCCTCCCTCTTTCAAGTCAACATGACATCCAGGCTACGTCACACCATGATACACACACACCCGCATACATACACACAAAGACCATGTGGAAACCTCGCTGCCACATGGCAACTGGATCCCATGGCAACCAATGGTATGGATTTTTAGGGCTAAATAGAGAAAGGAGGAGGAGGGGGTGAATATTTAGGGGAAACTTCGGAAAATAGAGACAAGGAAAGCAGAAAAAGCAGCGTGAACACACATCAACTCCGATCTCTTCAAGTACAGAGACACACAAGGACAACACTGTGAGTAAAAGGAGACCTCCCTCAGCATCAATCAGAGAGAAGTCTCTCCTGGGAGAAAGGAAAGTCTCTCCATCAATCATACCCAGAGACATGCTGAGGTTTTACTACAACCTGCAGATTACACTGTCAGTGAAAACTTGGCGAATATAAAGTATATCTAAACCTTTTTAAATACAAATACTGTAGCTGTATCAACATGTAAATCCATATCCATATCCATATATAAAGTCAGTCTTCATTTAGCTCCTGAATAATAGTCCCAGTTCTGCCCTGTTACTCTCTCATTGCTCACAGAGGTGGTGAGAAGTCTGTTTCCTGTGTAACAGCGCCCCTGCTGGAAAGTGTGAGAAACACACCCTAAAACTGCTTAAAACCCAGCTGTCTGTGTTTATGTTGTGCGTGTGTGTGTTTGTGCGTGTGTGTGTGTCTGTGTGATATTATCCAGGTCACTTTGCCTGACCTTTGACCTCTGACCTCCTGTCAGATCTGTCCAGACATAGAGAGTTTTTCTGTCCTTTTGCTGACACATGCAGGAATGCGTGCTCTGAATGCAAAACTCCCAGCTGTCACTCTCTGCACGGCGTGCACAGCCTTTTTTCAGATTTCTGGTGTAGCCTGTCAATATAAAGCATTCATACATAATGCATGATTATGCATGTACAGCAGCAAGATACAAGGCCAGAAATCGATGAGGCTTTTACAGCTTTTAACGTCCCCGCTCCCCGTCTAAGACGCTGCTGTTTGTCTTTGCTCCGTGCATTCCTGAACAGGAAATATTTGACAGCTGACCAAGTGATTATAAGGTCTGTATTTATAATAAAGATCTGTTAAAGTGAGGTATGAGGCTAGTAAATGACTAACTTCTTGTTGCAGACATCCATTTGAATAAATTTAGCAGTTTGATGTTGTTTTTCTGTGCCCTGATTATTCCTCCTCTGATGAATATCTTTAATTCAAGCTTCAACAAACACAAATAAACCAAATCTTGCTCAGCATGTATGCATATATAATCTATGTGTCTGTTTATCCATCTGTCTGTCAATCTATCTTTGCCTTTGTGACACCAACCATCTGCCTCTGCTCAAAAAGTCTTCAAACAGTTTTCTGCATCACAGTGAAGCCATCACCCACTTTTATCCTCTCAAAACTGCAACTAAATAGTCCTCAAAGCAACATCTGGTGACACAAAGACGTTCTTCATGAAGCCAGAGAATGTCTCTGATGTAGAGTTTTTATTTATAAAGCAGAGAGCCACCCTGTCCAGTAGAAAATATAAAAAGATGACAAGAAAATTACAGCCAATCTGTCTTGTCTTTGTGCAAATAAACAATGCTGCAGGCCAGTTTTAGAGCACTTTGGGAGTTTGGGGGTGTCAGGGAGCGGCGAGACTGGATGACCTTCAGAAGGTGGTCGTGTCTTATCGACCAGCACTAAAAGCTTCAGCTCGCCAGGCTAAAGCAGGGAAAGGCTTCAGACACTGAGGAACACTGTGGTGGTGCTGCAACACACTTCTAATAGAGGCTCCTAAGGCCTTTGAGGCTAATTAGACAACACCTGGGACGCTGGGTAAAATGTTAATACAAACATGATTAATGGTTCGCAAATCATTGAAATGTTACATGATTAAAAATAGTACTTATCAAATGTCAAAACTGAAAAATGATCCCAGACCACTTAAATACGCTCAGGCCTCATGTTTATTATTGTATGGTAAAACCTGTAGATATTGTTCAGCATTAATGGAGCCCTCACAGATGTGGAAGATACCCATGACATGGAATCTGATGACCCCCATACCATCAGGGATACTGGATTCGGACTGAGAGATGAGAACTAGCTAAGTGGTCCCTCTCCTCTTTTAAGCTAAAGGATGATGTGTCCATGATTTCCGCAAAGAATGTCAAATTTTCAGTGTACATAATTTCCATGAAAAAACAAGAATCTGTTCCTGAGGGAGTTTCAGAGACAGGGTCGGTCAAACAGGGCAGGAGGTGCAGTGAGGTGAATAGAAGGAGAGAACCTGAGCGTTCAGGTGGGTGTGTTGAAAAATCAGACTGAAGAGATTGGGACTCTTTAAGAAGCACAAAGAGAAGGAAGTGAATACATGCAGAAAAATCAAAGCTGGAAAAAGGAAGAAGGAATCCAACCAATAAGCCAGGGCATTTTTTTGCTCATCCAGCTCCCACAGCGACTTCCAGAAACTTCCCTGATGTTAGTTATACACACTTCTGGGAACAGCTGTTAACCTCAGGGAGGAGGAAGAGGAGGAGGATAGTAAAGAAGAGGAGTAAACAGAGCTGAGGTGAGGACCCTCGAACACAGCGGGTCACCCAAGGCCAGAGAGAGAGAGAAAGAGGGATGAGGGAAAGACAAGTGGACTGGTGTTCAGGCCGGTTGCTGAAAACAGGCCGTGAACAAAGCTGACTTTGACTTTCAGAAGAGAGGAAACAGATTATTCTTCGGCCACTTTCTCTCAAAGGCAGCAGCCTCGCTCTGAGCATATCGTCCTCTGTGACACTCACTCTGTCCTCACTCTTCACCCCACTGAAAGCCAAACTAAACCCATCAAACGTTGAAGGGAAGCCACCTCAATGGGCGCTGTGCCCCCTGAAAAGCGTGGCGAGACAAAGGAGAGGGATCCTTTTAGAAACAGAGAAGTGTGTGTCTGCGTAAGTGTGTGTGTGCATGTGTATGTGTGTGCAGTCACTACAGATTACAGACACGCACCACAGATGGCCAACGCGTCTCGTCTTTTCACCGCCACCACCGCAGAGAAGAATGGCCAGCGGTGGCCCCTCCCCAGCTCCCTTTCTCTTTTGACAGCACGTGTGTCCGTCAAATGGAAGCGTGTGTCTGGGACAATGGCGGCCAGACAAAGAGCCCGCCTACCCCCCACCAGGAAGCTGAATAGGGGGGCACGTGGGCCTTGTCATCGAGGGAACAATAGCACCGGGGGGGAGATGGGGAGAGGGGGGGAGGGAGAGGGTGTGGCAGCCCGGCACTCACTGCAACCAGGAGGGGTGAGCAACAGCCTGGGTGGGCTGAGTTCAGATTTGAACTTGTGGGTTCTAGTTTTTGTGTTCATGGATGAAGAAAAACAGACAAAACAGACGAAAAATACTGAATACGATTCATAAACAGCAGCGTAGGTGATCTCTACAGCGGGAAATTTGTGTTATCCGTCAGGATGATTTATCACAATTGCACATATTTAAATCTTTTGCCTCATTTTTTTTTTTTTTTGTAGGAGTTTGCATTTCAGAAATGGTGTGAACTCAACAAGAGTGCTGACTCTTGAACATTTTCTTAAAGAGGTGCGGTTTGCATTTCTCTCTGCACAGCTGCCTGAATAACATTAGATCCTATTTACATGAATGATGTCTCTTTTTAGCCCATTAGCATATGTGCATGCTCTTAAACACTACAGACTCTCTCTTATTGTGCTCATTCTGTCCTTTGGCTTTTCAGACACACGCCTGCCTCCTCTTGCTCCTCTCTCTTATCTCGCCACCTGTCGCTGTCCAATAATGCACTGTTATTCTATGATTCATCCAAACTTGGTTTATCCCTCTGACATTCAGAAACTGCTCCCGAAGTGATATTGTAGTCTGATGCAGAGACTTTGCCTCATGGCTGCTACTCTTGACCTGGCATTAACTACAGAGAATGGGTCCGTTCCTTGAGGCCCAGACCCAGCTGGTGGATTTGCTCCAGCCTCAGGCGCCTTCTCCCCGGCCTTACATAGTCTTTATGGATACAGCAGCACTCCTTAGACACCTCTGATATGACTTATTGGATTACCGACTGGCCCAGGCTCGGTTTATGCTGTTATGTGTCCAAGTGCACATTCAGGCACACACACACTTGTTTGTAAATGCAGAGGGGATTTTTCTTGCTGTCATCCTCGCGGGTCAGAGTGGCAGGGGGGAAGAGGAGAGAGCCTGGAACAGCTGGGCTGAGTCTGCAGGGGGGGACAGGACCAAGGAGGAGCTGAGGGGGGGCTAATGTAGGCAGGCAACGGGCTGCTGACGGGCCCTTTTGAGGCAGCAGCTGGTTAGAGAGGGGGTCTCACCAGCTGTGCCTCCGCTGACCTCTCCCCACACTTCTCCACCTCCTAAAACTTCCCCTCCCCCGTCCCTCCAGAATCCTCACCCGCATGTTAGCAGAGATGCAGAAACCTCACACAGCCATCTGTCAGGAGGAGGAGAGCTCAGTCTCTGATTGCTCCATAACAGTGTTGAGACACTCTGAGTAAAACCCAGCACCACGCCCCAGAGAAATCCCCCAGAGATGAGGAACTATTCTTAACCAGACATCTTCCAACACGCCTTCAAACCGGAGAGCGGATCCCTGGATAGATCGGGACGGTTCAGAGCCTGTGACTCATGCATCACAGTGATGATGACTGAAAATAACCTTCAGTAGAGGCTGTTTTTATCTTATCACTATCACTGAAACCAGTTTATGCTCAAGGAGACTAAAGAGGATGAATTTATCTGGAACCAGTACCAGATGAGAACCAGCTCAAACCAACCATGCCTTCCACTTCGCACGACTCCCAGAGGGACGTAATCAGTCCCAAAAACTGAACATCGTTGAGCAAGGAAGAGAGTGGTGCAACATAAAATCCACTAACTTTGTGAGACAGGCATCTTTCCAGCAATAATTTTCAGGTGTTTCTGCAACAGCCAGAAGCTTTTCTGTCTCACAGAGTTGATCGGTGTATTTTCAGAGACGATCCAGGTCCAGCCCCTCAAGAATAAAGGTAATCTGTGATAAACTGACCATAAAAAGACCAAATCATAACAATTTCAATCAAAGTAAAGAAATACTTAAAAAGTAGTCCCTTAACAATACAGCACATGATCCCATCAGAAGTTCTCACCTATCCTGTTAGTCAGAGGCCTTCTCACAGATCTCACCGCCTCCTCCTCCTCTATTATAATCTGCATCCTGACGGCAGATCAGCGCCATCACTGCTGATTTACTCTCACTACAAAAAGAGTCATCTCCTGTGATGCAGCCAGCATCAGTTCAGAAGTGCTTATTCAGAGCAACAGTAAATCAAGTGCGTCCACGGAGTAATTGATTCCAGCTCTGTTCTTGTTTTTCACTCTGTCATGTGAAGCCGCTGAGGTGAATCTGCTGTGTTGGGAAAAACAACAGAAAAAAATAAAACAGCAGAGAGACAAACCAAGGCCAGAAAACCAACCGCCTCGGAGAAACTAGAGAAATGAAATCAGGCTCTGGGAGACGGAGAACATTTTCAAAATAGAGACTGAATCGGGAAATCACTTCAGCTAATCTAACTTGGAAAATTCTAATAAAAAACGGCTGACAATTTTGATCTGATCGTCATGATTTCTTCTGTGCCTCACAGAAAACCAACAGCAGATATTAAACCGGGCATTACAGTCAAACTGGAGCTGGAGTGGAGCAATGGATCAGTCAAATAAGTATATTCCTGTGACATGTTTATAATGGACCTGGACTCCCTGTTGAAATAGACAGCGGTTAACTTTTGGAGAGGTTATCCAAGATTAAATCTGCTTTGTCTTTAAGGGTCTGTACACTCTGGATAATCAGTATAACATACTCTGGCATGTTTGACCTCTAATGACCCCTACGGTCCAGTCTGTTTAGCCAGTCTGCATGTTTACATGCATAGTAATTGAGAATTAAGACGGTAAAAAGATGACATTGAACTATAAATAGTTTTTTTTATGACCTAACCATGCCTGTTTAAGTCTTAGAGATTTAAGATTGACTCGCACTTACACCACTCAAGTCACTCTTAAATATGAGACCAGTATATTCAAAAGCCTGCAGCTCAGTGAGGGACTAACTGTGAGTGATAACATTTACTTAAGCGAGCATGTGCATCTTTCCTGTGTTTGTATTAAATCTGTTTAGTGCAGGATTCCCTTTTAGAGTCAGGAGACTTCCTGGAACAGCTCTGTTTATCGGCAGGCTGAGTCCCCTCCTCACTTTCCTCGCTCTCCTCCTCTCCTCAGTTCCCCCCTTGAGGATCATCAGTGTGAATATTAGATAACAACAGATTGTATTAGATAACACAGACCTACATAGAGCCATGTGGAGATTCACACACACACACACACACACACACACACACACACACACACACACACACACACACACACACACACACACACACATACAGAGGGGGAGATATAGGACTCACAAACATACAGAGGGTCTCCAGTGTTCATTCTGGAAAACACTTAATGATCTAATAAATTAAAACACTCTGATTACTGACTGGATAGACGCAGAGGTCGAGTAAAACTGAAGAAAAGAGACCCTTTTTTGGAGGAAAATCCTGTTAGTCAGAGGCCTTCTCACAGGAAAATATGAGAGTGACTTCTTTATCATCCTTATTCATAATATTTCTGTTTCATGTCTCATACAGCACAAACTGAAAGGATGTCGCTGGTGCTCGTGGGAGGAGAAGGAGGAGGAGCCCACCCAGCACACTAAAGGGGCTGAACCAAATCTCTCCTAACTTTACTTTGTAAATCTGCAGCCCTCAGGCAAACACTTTCACATTAAAAGACTTTTTTTTTTTACTTAAAAACTGCAGATGTGCTCTGAGGGATTTGAGAGGAGAACTGGGAGTGAAAGAAGCACAAAGCCATGCAAGATGTAGCAGAGTGATGATGTAAAAGTGTTGATAATCCATGAACAGGAGGGTTTTTTATGAGCATCTTATCAAGAAATGAATGGCACACTTCAGGATTTACATTAAGATAAAGGTGTTTAAAGGATCTACAGATTGTGGTGTTTGAGGAAACATTAGTTGGATCAGAAATAATCCTCACAGTCTCTGCAGCAAATCACATAATTTCACAGACAGAGAGAGTTTAACCACCTGCTAAGATTAATGGTGGACACTGTTCAACAGTAAATTGTCGGGCTGCCACAGGTGGGGAAGGGATGCAGGGAGAGGAGCCTTGAGTGGACACTAGAGGAACTGCAGTTTTTGTCATTTTTTCAACACTGGAGGTTAACACACTTTAATGCCCTTTCATCTTTGTTGGACTTGTACAAAACCATGTTCAGATTTCAGCACCAGAGATACAAAAACAGCTTTACACTTCACAGGCTCTGCTCTGAGCTCTGAGAATCTGTCCATCAATACAGGTCTGCAGAGAGACGAGAAGAGAGGAAAAGAAGACAGAAGCAGCAAAACTCTTTCAAAGTTCATTCCTGGTGACTCTCACAGCTACATCACTTTCCTTTATAAAAACAGGCTGACGAGGCAGCAGAACTAAAGGCCTGCAGTATGTTTCCTATACAGTATCTGACTGTGACGTGAAATGTGGGAGCTGACTTCAAGGACATAAACAAAATCCATGTGAGGAAAAGAGCTGTTGTGAGTCCGTGCATGTGTGAGGGAAAAAAACTTCAAAGCTGGTCCACAGCTGAGGAGGGGAGGGGGGTTAAAGGGGGTTGAGAATTTTACTCTGAGTCTCAGGAATGTGGAGCAAGAGAAGTAACATGTTCCCTATGTGGAGCGCAGGATGGACAGCATGCAAAAACACACTCACATACACACACAGAGTCTGATGTGTCTTGGACTGATCTTCCTGCACAAATCATGCAGCCATCTGGTCAGCAGGACGATCCAGAAAAGAACGAAGTCAGACTCTTGTCCAGCCCTGCAGCCGTTTATTTTTATTCTTCTCACTATCGCACATCGTCTCCCCCAATCCGCCCTCGTCTCCTCGTATACAGCCCTACTGTTACTGTAGGAGACAAGGAGGGATGTAGTGAGGGAAGATGGAGGTTGAAAGAGAATGGTAGATGCACTCTCACCTCCCCTGACATATCCACTTCACAGGGGGTGAGGCGGTGTTGCAGGGTGAGAGATGAAGGAGAAAGGCTCCTCTAATCACGGCGTAGTGTCCCTATTACATCAAATCATTTCCTCACTGCCTGGGTGTCGCCTTGGCATCTCCGCAATATTCCTCTGTGATCCGGGGCGAGAGCTGAGCGGCCCGTGGGAGGACAGTCTTTATACTTTCTATTGATCTTCTTGTTAGGGCTTGTTGAAGCCTGAAGAGCCTGGAGCCTCATCCATTAAAACATAACAAAAAAAAAGAGAGAGAGGCTCTGTTTGAGATTTCATCACGCTTGTAGAGTGATTTCTGAGAGTGGTCGAAGCTGTGAAAGTGATATCAGAAAGGATCATATTGATATAAAGTGGTTTTAGCTGTGAAATATAATAAAAAAATCAATGTGACTGGATGTTTTAGTCGCCACCTCCAAAAAAGGCTTTACAATTGAATTCTTCTCAGATTTTCCCTAATAGGAAATATGTTATTGCTCTATTTTATGGAAAAATATGAGTGCTTTTTAAATTTGATGGAAGCAACATGTTCCAAAGAAGTTCTCAGGTTTTCTTTTAGCAATATGAGTAAGTGAAACTAGGAGACCAGTTTCTGGAGTTTGGACAGTGAAACACTGTCCCAGTCTTGCCTGATAAAGGATTTCAGCTGCTCAACAGTTCAGGGTCTCCTTTGTCTTTCTGTTGTGTCATGATGCTCCAAATGGCAGTCCAGTTCCTCAGCAGAACTCTTCTACTACAGAGCCATGCTGGTGTAATCCCTGTTGTCAGAATGAGGTTTGTCATTGTCTTGCTAAAATATGAAGGTCTTCTCTGAAAAAGTCTTTGTCTGGATGTCAGCAGATGTTGCTCCTAAACCTGTAGATATTGTTCAGCATTAATGGAGCCTTCACAGATGTTCAAACTATCATATCCTATTTTATTGACTCGTTGGTTCCACGTTGTCCCACCTTATTTGTAACAGGGGTTGTATATCAGAAAATAACAATAAAGGTTACAACAGATACTATTTGGGTGCCATAATGCCATGTGTTATTGTAAAACTGGCATTTCCCAGCATTTACTCATGGTTTTACGGCACTGAGGTAATAAATTGGGCTGCAATAATTTCATACTATGGAATAAGTCCAACTGAGTGGGTGTTTCTGAATTGCAGTAAATCTGTGCAGGATTCAGTCATTTCACATTTTGGTTAAGCTTGCAAAACAGAGAAAGTGAGGTCTGCACTCTGTCTGGTTCCGTCTCCTCCCAGCTTTCCCATCCATTCTCTTCGACAACCATGAGCGCCTGACATAATACCTGACTGGGTATCCAGCCATACAGAGCGGGGAGGCTCTGGCCTGAGTGGCTGGTTGATTTACAGGCGTTCTGGGTGGCTGGCCTCGCAGCAAACAAACCCTGAATCCCTGCTGGTCTTGCTGGGCTGACTGGGAGGACCGGCTACTCATCTTCCTACAGTGCTGACAGACAAAGGCAGGTCTGTTCCTCTGGGAGCCAGCAGGCAGCGGCTGCCACTTCCCCTGACCAGAGAGAAAGAGAAAAAGGGGAGGAAAGAGAGATGGATGGAGAAATTGATGTATAGAGAGGAAAGGGAGAGGACTGGGGAAGATAAAAAGCAGAATAGAAAAGACGAAGAAGCTTTTAAAGGGCTGAGGGCTGAGAGGAAATTGGCAAAAGAAGAAGAGGACGGTTAAAAATTAGGGAAGAAAAAGAGCACAGCGTAGAGAGATGGTCTTCAAGTCAGTTCTGCTCTATAGCCATACATACTACAGTATGGTGTAATGACCTACAATCTATCAAAATGTTACTTCCTATTGCCCTTTTCACAAAGTATTTCTCTTCACAGCATCTAAGCAGCCCTGACAGGAACAATCCACTCTAAATGCTAACGCCACCATCTTCACGGTTGTTCCTATTTTCACGGTGACTCCAGTTTTTTTTTCTGCATTACTGCAGCTGGCCTGTGAAATAAGACACCTCTCCCTCCTTTCATCCTCCTGTCTGCTCTGTCCATCTCTTCAGCACTCACAGAGGATATTCACCTTTCAGCCTCAGCCTAATCTATCAGCCCCAACAAATAGTAAGAGAGGATTTTGGCTCTTTGGGACCAAAATGACCCATTTTACAAATGTATCCCCGTCATTTCATCAGTCTGGGACGTCAATAGAGCAGCTTTGCATGATTTGCAGCTCAAAAAACTATGTATTTGTCTTGAACTGGTGTCTTTGATAGCCTTAATTTCAGCACTGTTCATGCCTTAGATTTGGCTGTTTTTCCACAATTAAAAAGTTAAGTACAATATAGCTGTGTTACCTTTTACACAGCCGTGTAGTAAGGAAACATCCTTGTTATAAAAAATCTTGATTTCAGAACTTTTCACTGCCTGAAATGCTTCTGTTTAGCTGCTTTTACACAACTGTAAATGCAGCTTGGGGTACCTCTATTCAACCTAAAAAGCTAATTTTTCACCATTTTTTAAAGACAAAGATTATGGGTGTTTGGATTTACGAAGCTTTGTATTTGAAAAGTCACCAGACAGAAACACTTTTATAGAAAACATCTGAGTTCAGCTGGTAGCTCCTACTTAGTTCCCCATTAAGCTTCATTAGCTGTTTTCTCTTTGGTAAAGTGCTAAAAAACCTCTCAGTAGAGTGCACACTTAAACCGAGATGTCTTCTTGGGTTTTGGGAGTCAACCTGCCTGCTGAAAACTGTAGCCTGGCTAGGCGCTCCCTAGAGCATCTCAATTTAGGACCTGAGCTGACTCACTTACTCGTGACATCATACAACCTCCCTTCAAAAACACTGAACTATCCCTTTAAATATAATGTAATCTGTGATCAAAGATCAAGTTGGTAGGAAAATGTTTCGTCCTCCTGTGCCAGGCTGCAGTTTGGTTCATTGTCTTTCTCTTTTCCCTCTTTCCCTCTTCTTGATTTATTTTTCTTTTGCACCTCTGCTACGAGGATTACAACACCTTGTTTTTCATGCATAATCATTTCCATCTCTGTCTTCTCTTCTTCGTGGTCATGATGCCAACAGCTGGGAGAGCAGACCGCATCTGGTGCACAGCTGGCCGCCACAGAGAGAAGACTGGGACTGAGAGGAGTGCAGGAGTTAGGAGGAGAGGAGAGAAGGGCAACGATGCGATAAGATAATCTATAAGAAGTATATTAAAGGTTGTTGAGCGGTGCAGGAGGAAAGAGAGGGAGCAGAGGAGGAGGAGGAGAGAAATAAAGGATGAAAGTCGGTGGCACCTGCAAAACTCTCATGAAAAAGGGGACACAAAGAGCGGCAAAGAAAAATAAAATGCTATTAAAGGCAACAACAGAGGAAGAAAAGATGCAGAGAAACAGGAAGAGAGTACAGTCATGGAGTCAGATGCTCCTAATAAACTGTGTCGCTATCAGAGCTTCTCACCATAGCAACCATGAGTCAGAGCAGTGGTAAACAGTGAAAATATTTTATAAACCTAAAAGCCTCGCTGGCACATTTACGATTTTATGAGAAGGCTGTAGCAGGAGGGGAGCCACAAACTGGTCTGCACAGAAAACAACACGTGCTGCTCCCAAAAAGGTATTTTCCTCCTGTCATTTATTACCCAGCTTACATCAAGTTAACAAGAGGAACCTGTCGGAGCCTGGGAAAGAAAACCCACAGGAATCCTGCGTTTTCTCTGGAAACTGTGACCAAAACCAGAGAGAAAACACAAGTTTTATGCTTTAGGATAAATAAAAGCAAGGACTGGTAAACTGTTTTAGACAGCAGTGTGTTTGAAAGTCCTGATGTTGTTTTGAGGACCTCTTCCATGTAATTTTCCCTGTTTCTTAGTGATTTTTATGAAAACAACACAAGGAGCATGATCTCATGAGGAAAAAAAACTAATAGAAGTGGAGGACTGAAAGATTTATAACAGAATAGGGTTGAAGAGGAAGCATTTCAGGCTTTAAAAGTTTTAATGAATCTGCGGTGAGGAAATGAGAGTTAAGTCAACAGTCTAGACAGATTCCTATTGTACTCTAGCACTTATATAAAAAAAACATCTACAGTACCTGAGAGTTTTATCCAACATTGATCCTTCAGAGTGAAGACGGACGCATCCACCCCAGAGCTCTACTTTTTATTATATCTCAAAAGTTTTCTTCTACGGTCTAAATTAATCAAAATTTGTTCAGATTCTGCATACCAATGATATATGTTGTTGGTAAATAACAAAATAATGTGATGTTCACATGAGAAATCATCGACAAAAAAGGCATGAAAAATCTGTACTTCTAAATCCTTGACTAACTGTAACTACATGATCGACACAGAATAAGAAAGACACAGATTTAACATGCCTTTGTGGTTTCAGTGATGAACTGTGTTCACAGACTGTGGTTTGTGGAAGTGATTCTGAGCCCATGCAGTGATTTCCACTACAAAGTCCTGTCTGTTTTTAATGCAGTGCTGCCTGAGGGTCTGAAGATCAGGACTATCGAGTCTTGGTTTTGGTCCTTGTCCCTTTGGTACAGAGATTTCTCCAGATTTACTGAATCTTTTAATGATATTTTGTTCTGTAGATGATGAAATCCACTCATTCTTTCACATTTGACACTTAGAAACATTATTCTCAATGAAACCGTTGAACTGTTAGCTCACGCAGTCTCTCACAGAGTGGTGAACCTCTTCCCATTTTGCTCGAATGATTCAACCTAACCGTGACCCCTCGGCCCCCCCCCCCCCCCCCCACACACACACACATATATACACACACACACACACATATATACACACACACACACACATATACACACACACACACACACACACATAGCTTGAGTCCTAAACATGTTTCCTCCATGTGACATCCATCAGCTACAGACTGCTGTCAGCTGTCCCCCATCCTTCACTCTGACTCAGGGTCTCTGACTACATACCCAGTTGTCCGTCCCCCCCTCCCTGCCGACCCCTCTTTCTTTCTCCCTCCACTCTTCTCATAGCACAGTGAATAGGTCCCACTGTGCTCTGTAAGATTTCACTCGTCTTCTCTCTGACGTTAACGCGTCACTCTGAAACAGTGAAGCAGAGTGAGCAGCTTCATATTAAACAGTGGGAGGTTTTTTTTCTGCACTGAGAGGCCAGAGCTGAGCTGCACACACTGCAGGCTACAGGCTTTGAATGATAACAGGAGACAAGAGAGCAGAGGGAACGTCATTGTACATAGGCTGTAGACACTGTAAATAACACGAGATTAGAGGCAAACAATGACAGTGTTCCCCTGATGTGTCAGTGCAGACAGGCCATCTGGGGTCATGTACCTCCTCAGACTGATTAAAAACTGAACACTGACTCTGCATGCAGGAGTTATTTTTGCCATGTCAAAGTCTAAAGCCTTCAGACTCTTTTTAAATAAAGTTTTCTCACATGGCTACATGAAGGGCTTTAATTTAGCTTCAGTGTTTTCTGGAAGGTGTTGTTATTCACTACATTTAATCTGCATCAAGTACCAAAAGAGCTTGAAACACACAAGGTTTCCATCACCTGCATGAAAGCAGCTGTCTGAAAAAGATGCCATTTAAGGACCTTGTTGAATACCTCAGTAGATCAAGAATGACAAAACATCCTTTTCTGAGCCCTCGCAGTGAAACTCACTTTAAAAAATGCCCTTCAAATTTTTAATTACAACGTGCCCTCTGATTCTTTTTTAAAGTTCATATATGTAAACAAAGTTCCCTTTAGTTGCTTTTTAATCAGTAGTTAAGTGCACTCTAGTTGCTTTTTAATGGGAATTTAATATAAACTAGTGCAACTTTGCTGCTTTTCATGTTAATAAATCTGGTTGATTTTCTAGATGAATGAATGTAAATTAAGAACCCAATGATTGCTGTTTTAGTAAACAGATGTAAACAAACTGGCCTCTTGTTGCTTTTTTGATGAACTTAAGTAACAAAGTGCCATTCTGATGCTTTTTTGAATGTGAAAAAAAATGTTCACTGCTTGATTTTTTAAGTTAATAAATGTAAGCCAAGTGCTCTGTGGTTCCTTTTAGTAGGAAAGAAATGTATACAAAGTACCCCTGGTCACCCTGCAGGTGTGCTAAAATCTCTACGTGGTATTTTTATATGGTTGTGTTTGGTTGTTATGCAAGGTTTATTTCTTTAAATAAATACGTTTAAAGTATTTTTGACAGCTAAAAAAGCAAATGCTCTTGTTTGCTGTGTCATAATAGAAGCAACATTTATCTAGAGCTGTATAAACATATTTTAGTCAAGGGAAATGATAATCTTGAGAGTCAGGATGATATAATGCTGTATCGATATTTCGCCACACCTACAGCTAACACATTTTGTAGCGCTGATGAAAAGGCAGCAAATAGGTGTGATCACACGGCAGTAGGACGAGTGGGTTTAAAAGCAATCTCAATCACACATTCACTGAGGGAACTGGGTGTAATGTGGGACAAACGTGGGAAAACAATTGACAAAGGCGAGCAAACAGTGGCTGAAAGCTTGGAAAAGGAATGGATCAAACCAGACCCTGAGGGGAGGATGTGCTGTTCAAAGGCTTGTTTTTCTTTTTGAGTGTTTTTTTGTTGTTTTTACTCACACATGATTCTCTCTGGGCTGTTACACCACAGCCTCGACAGCTAAACAGGCTGAAATAGGTCATCACAGGAACATAAATCAAGTGATGAGACAAAAAATGCGACCCCAGCTACTCAAAGTGACAGTTATTAGTTGCAATGAACGCTCGACTCGGAGCCAGGGCTGCCAAGAAAGACCCATTCCCACTTTCCTTGTTATCTACGAAGAAAAACGCCACTGAAGCAAAGAAATAAACTGCTGATCGCCGGGGAAACAGGCCCACAGACACACACACTTTCACACATCGACAAACACATAGTGTAAAAAAAAAAAAAAAAAAAAAAAAAAAACGAATTACTGCCTTCACACATCAGTGTGCTCTAGACAGGCCTTCAAACCCACTGTTCCAATCATTCATCATTCCAGATCAACATAAAACATGGCAATAAAAGCACACAAACAGACACGCAGATGAGACAACAGGCCTGTCTTTGCACTGTGAGCACGCCATTAGAGTGTGCAATAATGGAGGTGGATGAGGGAAAAGAGTGGCTGCATTTAACTAGCCTGCAGAAATCAGATAACTCCACTCAGCACATATTGGAGGCACTTAGGCATCAGACAGACAGAGGGGTGGGGAGTGTATATATGAACGTGAGTGTGTGTGTGTGTGTGTGTGTGTGTGTGTGTGTGTGTGTGTGTGTGTGTGTGTGTGTGTGTGTGTGATAGTATGAGGGAGGAGTACATCTTCTATGTTGCAGGTTCCGCACAGACTGACTCAGTCACATTCAATAAGGAAAGAAGTTACAGCCACAGGACTCAAATACTTCACAGCATCTTTTCACACTATACTTGCCACCTCTGTTTAAACCATACTTGTCTCCCTTTTCCAGTAGCCTGTTTTACTACTGTCTCTCCTTATTCCTCTGCAGCTTCTGTCTTTTTTTCCTTGACACAGTAGACATAGGCAGGATGAGGATTGGCATCTCATTTTTTTACTTTAACCAAAAACAAAATATTCGAGGTTAGAGCTGCTTTTAAAGTTTTCAATTTTTGTTAAAAAAAAAATACATATGAATATGAGGTTAATGAAAAACATGAAATTTGCTTTTTTATACTTAGCAATAAAAATAAATAAATAAATAAAATGAAAATAAAAAACCTTAAGGAGGAGGGGCTTGGGACACAGGGGTATGTACTGTAATTCAAAATAAAATCATGAGGAAATAAGAAAAAAAAGATGAGTAATAATTGACAGTAATAAGAAGTTATGGCAAAAAGAGCATCTAAATTATATTATTCACCATTAACTGTTATGATTATCTAAACTTGGACAGATTATTATTATTAATACTGTTGTTGTTTTTTAAAGAAATAAATCCCTGAAAATAAAATTTCTTCAATGGTTTCTTTTTCTTTTTCTTTCTTTTTTTTTTTGGGGGGGGGGGGGGGGTTCACCTAAATTTTGAAAACAGCTTTGTGCTTCATTTTTTTGTTTGTTTTTTGAACTGGAGAAAAAGTGAGAGGATGATCCTCACCTGTTTTTTTTTCTTGTGTCCCTAGCTAACTCTTTAGTATACTATATGTTCATGATATTAATAAAAATGTATTTAGGATAAACAGGCCTGACACATGAACATCAAACTGAGTTACTTAAGAAAGTAATTACAAAAACACTGATACCATCGGAGCAAGAATCTGGATCAAACTACCACAGTATTCTGCGTGTGTGTTTGTTTCGTTGGTATTTAACTGGTCGGTCATGGTCGACTGCCTACTCTTGGAGCTTGTCATAGTTCTCAAAGTCTAATTTTGATCCTCAGGCTGGTGCTGTTTGTGTTTGTTCACTCTTTTTTTAACTTCAGCCATGCAGGCAGCTACGCTAGCTTAGCTTGTTGTATTGTGTGAACAGTGCATGTGGTTTGTGCAGCAGGTCTGTCCTACTCGACGAGACAATCTGCAGATCCTCAAGACATGCTCTGATTGTTTGATGCAAAACAAGTGACATATGATTCTGTCATTTTGCACATCATTGAAAACACTAGATAGATACAGTTACTACAGACATCACTAGTTGTAAATACGACTATTTGTGCTTGTGTATGTTCTCCATTAGGGCTCATTATTTCTTATCAGGTCATAAATCCTCCATAAAGATGTCCTTCCTCTGAACAGAACATCCTGCAGTCTCACACTCTGACTCTGAGTGAGTAGAGCTTGCCGGCAGCGGCAGCAGGGTCGGCCTGGAAGTGGAGCTGCTTGTTTAGCGGACCCACCCTGACCAGCACAAAGAGGGGGGGGTGATGCCCTCCGTCACCCCCAGACAGCCCAGACAGCCCACTGATTGGCCAGCTGGATGACCTTTGATCCCCCCTGTATGCTCATCTCAGCTGTAGCGACCCTCCCCCCGTGTGTGTGTGTGTGTGTGTGTGTGTGTGTGTGTATGAGTGCGTGTGAGCGCAACAAAAGACAGCCACGTCCTAATGCAGCAATCAGAGTGGTGGAAAGGGGGAAGTGGTCTGAGGGGAAATGGAGTGTGTGAGTGTGTGTGAATATAAGTGTGTGTGTGTGTGTGTGTGTGTACTCCTGAGTGTAATGCTGCGTAGATGGATGTGCTGTAATTATGTTTCAGTTGTGTCTGACTTGCAGCAGTGATTAGCAACATAACAGCCCATTTATATCCAGCAGAGCCTTGAAAAAGGTTTATATACTTCACCTCTCCATCTCAAACTTAGCTTTTCTCTTTTCACAACCACAAGGCTTCTTCAGTCCCCAGATTTTCACAGATTTGTGACTCCTCTACACTTGAGCCCAAAACCAAACCTCTGGTCTTCATCAAGTTCTCAATTTAAACCAGCTCCCACCATCCTCTACTACCTGCTTCAAGCTCTGATCTGCTCCCTTGGCCAAAGGATCATCGTCGGTCGTTCATCCCTGGTCAAGACCAACCATTAGTGTATTCAGTAGATCCCTGATTAAACCATTTCTCATCACCTTTTAGCCCAAATCTAGGCTTTGTACAGACCAAATTCATTGCCATCCTTGAGTCTCAGTCCAAAAAAACCCTAGGGCCTCTTCTAGTCCAAGACTGAGACCAGTCTTCATCTTCTTTTGGCCTTTGACTTTGATGAAACCTTGGCTTTTTCCTAGTCCAACATCTCAACCAACGACTGTCCTTTAACCCCAGCCCAAGACCAAACCTTTGCCTCCACTGAACCCCGGAGTAATCCAATCCTAGCCCTACTCTCTCTAAACTTAAAACCAAATCAAACGAGTGTCATAGCGGCCTCCCAAAGCTTCCAATCAAACTCCTTAACGCTCCTAAAACTTCTCTAACTCCCTCTCCTCTTTTTTTTTTTAGAGAATTTACATATCTGTACTCTCTTTGTTTTTGTCCAAAACATGAATCAGTTAGTTGCATTGTTACTCAATTATCTCAAAATTGCTGAAATAAATAAAGACCCCTGTCTGACTGTGGCAGCTTAAGAGACACTTGCCAATTTCAAAATAGACTACTCCAGGGGCAGATGTTGGCTATAGTTTGTAAGCCAATGCAACAAACCAAACCTCCCTAGTCTAGAATCCAAACCAGCCTCTCCAGACCTTTTTAAAATCATACCCAGCACATGAAACCCGCTTTATCTTGTTTACAACCCAGATGACATTAGGCCAGTCCCTGACCCCAACTTTTGGCCCCAGCGTGGCCCTTAACTCACCCCAGTTATAAGCCAAACTGGGTTTTCCTCTAGCCCTAGCTCTGTACCAAAATCAGGCCCCAACCAGCCTTGTTTGTAACCTCAGCCACAGCCCCATGCTTTCTTAATCCAGTTTATAGTCAAGGACACCATTTGTTCATTCTTGGACCTTAAGTTTTGGCCCAAACTTTGCTTCTCAGACCCAAACTCCAAACCTAAACCTTGTTTTCCTGTGTCCCCACCTTTGGATGAAAACCAAGTCCCCACTGGTTCTATCTTCATTCCCAGCCCTAGCTCCACCTGTTAATCCAGATCCTGCTCATTATTAAGGCCACATTTGTCTCTTTTTTGGCACCCCATTTTAGCTCAAACTGGTCTTTTTTCTCACCTCAGCTCTTGACTGAACCTTATATTCCTCTGGTCCCAGCTTTGAACCAAACCTAGCTGTCATCTGACCTAATGCTGGGCCAAATTTAACTATTATTATAACCTGGCTCTGGGCCTGATGTCCGTCCCCAGCCTTGGCTGGTGCTGTCTTTGAAGGTGGTCCAGGGCTTGTACGCAAATACACATTAGTCCTGCACTTACTGCCTTTTTTATACCCCATGTGACTCTCTCTCTCTCTCTCTCTCTCTCGCTCTGTCTCTCTCTCTAGGTTTTTTCATAGGCAGTGGGTCAGCGCAGACCACCCCCTAACAGCATGACTGGCTGTCTGAGGAATGCCATGTCATGGAACAGATGGAGCTCCTTAGACAATAGAGCTGCATACATTAACTGAGCCCATACATGCCAGCATGTGCCAAGTTTGGAGGGGAGTGTGTGCATCACAACCACAGTGTCCAAGTCATCTGAAAGCCACAGTTTTTCCCTTCTCTTATTCTGAGGAGCAAAGGGACGTGGGAGTGATCACAGATTCGGCAGCTCCTTTTTTGTAACACTGATGAAAAGGAGTTTGAAATGGATGCACAACACTCAGCAATGAAGGTCGCATGATGCAACTGAGTGAGATAGAGATAATCCTGCAGACTAATGAATATAGTGGGGGATATTTTCAAACTGAAGACATGCGGAAAACCCACAGCCAGAAATCACTGAATAATCAACTCTTTATGACCACCAATCATTACCTATTCCAATGATAATAATGGTGCAATAACCTCAGCTCCATAGTAGCAGGTGTTTAGGATCAGGTAGGCTATGGATATGCAATTTTACTCTAAACAGGATACAAATAAAGAAGAATTGAGAAACAGCTCATTTTCTTTGAACGATTCAAACCAAAACATGAAAACATAGAGCCATTTTGGTTTGAAGAAAATTGGATAAAACGCTTCATGTATTCAACTTAGAGTGTGGAGTACTGTCAATGGCTCCATTTTTTCACTGGGCCTTTATTTTGAAATGTTTGTTCTGGCTGCTGTGTTGTGTGACCATCATTTGTAGCATTAGATTTTGAAGTTGGAAATTCCTATATGCCAGCCTGAGAATTACCCCGACACTTTATCAAGTCAAAATTCCTGCATCAACAGCCAAAAAGTCGTACTTACAATACTGCCTCTGAGACTTTTTTGTGTAATTTAATCATTTTTTAACCCCAATAATGAGTGAGTAAAAAACAACTCCAGCAACATGAAAACGTGTTCAGAGACTGAACCTGCTCAGTACTGAAGGTGTGATTTAATCCTACAAAACAAGATGAAGTTGCTTATAAAAATTATTGAAATTACAGCATTTTTGCTGTTGATGTGGGAACAGACGCCTTGGATTCAGTAGTTACAGAAGTCGCCCCAAGTTCCTGAGCACTAGTTCTAACCTTGGGAAGAGGTTAAGATATCTGAGGGGCATCCTGCATTTTTGGACTTTAAGAGTCTAATTGAACACATCTTCAGGCAGAGATTGGGTCTGTATCACAAGTCAATAGAGACATTTCAAAGTAAAAGCCCCGAGAACACAAAACAGTGATAGTTTGCATTCTGAAGACCAAATTAAATACTTGAAATAGATATAATCAAAACATGGCAATTTTTTGAACAGTGTATTTGTAGTTTTCAGTTTGAAAGATGAAACGAGAAAATGAGAACAGCCCAATATGTCTGGTTTTTTTTTTTTCATTTTGGGTTTACATTGGTCAAATGAAAAAATGCTGTTTCCTTATCTCTTGTTTATTTACCCCTTGTCTTGAATAAAATGTTACGTTTATAACCTGAGTGTTTAGTGCTATAATAATGAGCCATATTTCTCCATAATGAGCTAATAAAGTAATTATTTGCTCTGATAGTTTACAGCACCGTGGCTGGATCTAAGATCAAACTAAGGCTCATAATTGTAGTTTTCTTGTAACACCCAACCAGATGACTTCATATACTTGTTTCCTTCCCTGATGCATTACGCATTGGGGATGGAGACCGCTATCAAAGACTGAAGCTGCCACATTTCATTCATATCACACACATGGGCCCGCTGGAGAGATCCTGATCCATAAGAGCTGCAGTTCTATCCAAACACGAGAATCACCCAAAAACTGAAAGAAATCAGTCATATTAGAACCATTAGAGCCGGCCCCGCTCCCCTCCGTGCTGGATTCATTCATTATAGAGGCATTTACAGCCGGGGCTCTAAATAGCCGAACCCTGGAAGAGTCAGTAAACAGGGATGCCAGATTGGACGGAGGAACAGTGAACTCACCCAAGAGAACGACGGATGATCGGCTCCCCGCTCCGGCTCTGAGTAAATCCAGGACCCCGGACAGACAGGAAAGTATTATACACCAGAATAATCTGCAACGGCCAATTTCACAATATCCTTCTCCTCCGCACTGGGAAAGCGATGTATGAAGGCGATGTGGAGCCGCAAATCAACCAGGTCGCAGCGCACACACATACACACACTCACACACATAAAAACACAAACACGCAAACAAAATTTAACTCGAAAGGTTTCTAACAACGATTCAGGGAGGTTTCGGTGGAATTGGTGTCTCTGTAGTAATCTCGGATGCTTTGGTTGTTGACTGTGCACTTACTGGGCTGCTTCCTCCGGCTCCACCCGCTAACCCAGCCTTCCCAGTGAGCCCATTGGCACAGACGACCGGACATGCAAATCCACTCTCCCCATTGATGTTTTCCAGAAACGAGAAAAAAAAGGCAAAGGTCTGTTTCAGCCGCTCCACTGCGCCACCGTGCGACTGCTCGGCGACCACGAGACTGCGTTTACTCCAGTCATCCCTGAGGGGAAATTCCCCTTCGCTTTCACAGAGTAGTCTAGTTTCTGGGACAGGCTGGTCAGCACTGAAGAGGAAAGGAAGTGTGCCTTGGTCAGGTCTGAGGCTGAGCATCATGCACTAATGGACCTGAAATTAGTCACTCAGAGTATTACAGAGCAGGGACACTTTTACTTAGATGAAACACACCCCAGGGTTACAGCCAGATTTCTGACAAGGCATTTGAATCATTTACATTAAAGACAGATTTACAAAAGAGTAACTTATTTGCAGTGATATACTCTGGGTGTTTCGGGAGTAGAGGTGGAACAAAAAAAACACTTATTGAGAGTCTGGAAAAACTATGACAGCATTGCTCTCATGACATGGACCTTGCAAACCAACCAAACATAAAATCAGGTTTAAAAAGAATTGGGGTATTTTATCTCATTTTCCCCCAGATGGGACAACAAGGGGGTACTCAATTTATGTTTATTCACTAAAATAGCCACAAGACAACAGTTACTAACTCAAAGGGCTAATATAGGGCGCTTTGTTGACATTGATTAAAAAAAAAAAAAAAAAACAGTACCTAAAGGAGCACTTTGTTTACATTTATCACTAAAAGAGCAACCAAGGGATATTTAGTTCAGTATGTTGACTAATAAAGCAGCCAGGGTACTGTTTTTACTTGGGGTCAATAGGCCCTGTGCCCCCCTCCAAGTAAACCATCACTTATAAGTCTGATTAGCCATCCTTAATTTGTAAATAGTCCAATATGTCATAAAAACTGCAGGTATTAATGTTCAAGGTCAAAGCCGAATGTGTTTAAGAAAGGTAAAATTTACATCTCTTCACACAGCCACTTTGAGGGTTGAGCCTTGTCTTGCTTGAACTTTCTGTAATTTTTGTCAGGTTGAAAAAAAAGACCCTTATGTCAGCATGTTTGGCAAATATATGTAATGAAATTAGTTCTTAAAATGTATTTAAATCAATCTTGAAATGTCTGTAAAACCCCTGATACAGTTGGCCAATCACAGAAAAGTGCAAATTCCTTTCATGGCTGTCAAAGACTTGGCCTTAAAATCCACAATAGTCATCTGTTTCTAATGAAGCAAACAGCACTGAAATTAAATAACCTGTAAACGTCTCCATGAAATCCAAGTGGCCATAAAGTAGACAACAAAAACTAGCTGTAAAGTTCTTATAAAATGAAACTAGTCTGACCTGCACTGTATGGCCTAAACAGTGAATCCTGTCTACTGTGGTCTCTGTGACAACAATGTTTTTAATTTTCCAAAATAAGTTAAATCTGCTTTTCTCTGGAGAGGCATCCTCAATCTAGATGTGTCAGAAATCATCCAGTATTCACTTAAATGAACAAATCTGAGTCTTTAAAATAGAAAGCGCTGACAAACTTAAGCCAGCTGCTTTCCACACGCAGAAAAATGCTCCAACTTTCCATTGCGTGAAACGTCAAGAGAAGAATGTGCCTTTTCTTCTCCCCACATGTGCTGCACTTACTAACTGTGGCCTGTTCCCAAAACTGGGAAAAGTAAACTGTGATTTTGCTGCAGTGCATCAGAGTCGACCTGACAGTAGAGAGCTGAGCAGTGCATGATAAGAAAGCTGGGTGGAGGGACTCTAATGGAGATACAGTAAAAGGCTGCATCTTTCTCCATCAGGTTTTAATGATGCTGGGAATGCCTCACATTTCTCCCCCTGTGCTGTGAACAACACTTCACCCTGCAGACAGCTCGGTGTGCTCTAATGGATTTATAGAAGACAAAATAAGAGACGGCATTGCCTTGAAACAATGATAGTCCCCTAAAAAGACACATCAATGCCACCATTAGCTCGACCGCTCTTTGTGAGCTAAAAGTATCGTTACATGATGCTTAACTGTCTATAAAAGAGCAATGTAGGTGGAGAATGAGGTCAAACATGGCCTCCAGCCAATGTCATTCTCCAAAGAGGTTTGAGGTCTGAAATGGAAAAATCAATACAGAAAGACAACAGTCCTCCTACTACAGCCTCTTTGTTGCCACTTGCCAGTAAGGCTCCATTCCTGACACATATAGATCTTTCAGATTTTATTCAATTAAAAAAAAAACATTGCACAGCATATATTTCTGTCATGAAGATGTGCTCTGAAATAAAAAAAAAAAGGTTAACAGTATTTCATTTCAGGATTTTTTCTCCCCACATTTGCTCACCTAAACATCCAGTGTTCTTACATAATACCTCTCAATTTCATATTCAACCTGTAGCACACTGACTTATCCAAACAGAAAAAAGCACCTGGCAACACCAGACAGGTAAAGCAGGACTTTTTATGGGTCCTTAAGGCAGAAAATGTCAATTCTCTGGGAAAAATGGAAGGCCTTGCTGTCAGAGTGTGTCATACTCTACATGGTACACATGGTCACTGTTAACCAGCTGCTTATTTGCATTCACATTAACAACATTTGGCTCTGTGTCTTCAAAAAAGCTCTTCTTCCTTTTCTGTTGTACTATTGACTGTATTGACACCATAATGCATACATCAAGATTCACCTTTACACCTCATAACCATTGCTTATATAAAGAAAGAAAGCTTTTGGAGACTATATTAATCAGAGATGTGATTAGGGTTGGGTAAAAATGCATAAATACTCCCTAAATTTAGCCTATGATTACCTTTAATCACAAAACCACACAAACGTAAACTCACTGATAATTAATGATGATTGTAATGCAAATATGAATCAATTTAATGACCCATATTGATAGGAAAATTGAACATCCTGTAACCTTACTATAAAAACTGGGATGTTTAGCTGCTGCCTGTGGAAGTTAAATTCACTAATTAACTAGAGTGTATTTATTCGCTATGTTATGAACTTCAGTCACATTAAAGCTGTTTACAAGGTTGGTTCTCATATAGACACGTAAAAATAAGCTGCTATGAAACACTAACAGCTAATACAGTTAGCCCGACAGGCTGCGTTTATGCTCATCATGAAGATTGATATTAATTCTTGGGAATAACTAATCATTAATCATCAAATTTGGCTGGTAGCTGTCATGAAATCCTCCATATATAACGGAACAGTTTATAACCCACTTCATTCAAAACATATCTTTATGTAAGGGAGACCGGTATGGTTGTAACACAACGCTATTTGCTGTTGCAAAAACGTTAATATTGTAAAATAAAGTATTTCTACATCTACTTAACATTTTTCCTGTGTGAGTGTGAAAAAAAAAGGTTAAAGATTGTAAATGTGTTTTGGTATTTTAACAAAAATATTGAAGACAACTTTTACTGTAGCCATGAATTATATTCATCTTTTTCCAACTAGTGTGTGACAACTTTTCCCACCTGGACTCTTGACAAAGATTCTGTGCTAGCCACCGGGTAGTATTAACTATCTAGCTGATAGGCTCAAAAATCAAAACTACCAGCTTTACTTGTTACTACTAACTTCAACCCGGTCTCCCCTGTGATTTAAGGGTCACTTCTTTGGGACAGAAAATGTGAAAGAATCCCATCCCTGATTAATTCTGATAAGAAACACTTCACTCAGTATGCACTGTGCATTTTATGATGTACTATACTGAGTAAAGCATGTTCAGATTATAACTCACTAGCTAGTGTAGTAATTATAATTACAGAACACAGTCACGCAGGGTAATGCCATTAATTCTTAATTAATTTGCTGCCAATATGCATGCTAATGAGCAATAGGTTAAGTGTTAAATGTGTACCATCAGATGAAGTGTTACCAAAATTTAAATCAAGTCATTTTAGCCAGAGCACAAAGGAAGCACACAGTACAGAAGTCTTTGGGGAAACTGCAGGCAGAGTAAGAAGCTGGATGGAGGTCAGTGTTTTCTTGTTTCGTTGTGACAGAGGGAGACAATTGAAGAGCACATATGATCCACCACACCAACAAGTATTCACAATCAATTAAATAGTTATCTCTTCACTTATTCTATATATTTAATCATTACTATCACCATTCAGGCATACCTTATATCTTTTATGGCACAATTTTGACCATCATTTACAAAGTAACCAGAAACCAGGTGATAGCTGGAGAAGCACTCATGTTTGTGGGTACAAGTGAGTGTAAAGAGACCTGCTCAGAGAGACTGAAGCCTGGCTCACACAGTCAGTTTTATACAGACATGGTCTTGAGTCTTCTGTGATCCATTTCTTCCGCCTCACATCAAGAGCTACATGATTTCACTCCCTTTTCTCTCCGACTGCTCTGTAAAAGTCATTTGCAGCAGGGATTATCATATGTCACCTGTCTGCGTCTAAATGGCAGCCTGTGCCGCTGGCTCTGCCTTCCGCCTCGCATAGGCGTTATACACGTCCAGGAACATGTCCTTACAGGCAATGCGAGCGTTCAGTTTGGAGCAGATGAGGAAGGAACCGGCCATCTTGCGGTGGAGGGAGTATGTCTCCTCAGGTGGAGGGGTAAGACGATGGCGGAGCATGACGGGGATGAGGCTCTGGATACGCTGGGTGGTGCTCTGTGTGCCGAAGTCAAAAGGCTCAGATGATGCAAAGGCTTCACCAAGGATCATCACCGCCTCCACATGGGCATCTGCGAAAGCCTGGCAGGGACAGTGGAGAGGTTTCACCTTTTCAAGATATATAAACTGTAGCGGTTTATGTCTCATGTGAGCCAAACAACATGAAATTTAAGTTATTTTTAAAGTTCATTTTTAGGATTTTTGGCCTTCTTTAGAGAGGAAAGAGAAAGGAAAAAGTGGGGAGTGGCATGTGGAAAGGGAGACGCAGGCTGGTATCAGACAATGTACATAGGATGCACTCAGAGCCTGCTGATCCCACTGCTTCAAAATGGTGTGAAAGCTTAGTTGTCATACCCAGACCTACATCTAACAGGTATAATGTATGCATTGCTCCTTTAAATAAGATATTTTTGCATGAAACACAATGATTTTATTGCTAATGGTCTTTATGCATATGCACAATTAACTACACAGCTTGAGGAATCATCAAAAGTGTATCCAGTCATTCTTTAAGTTGTTTCTGCAAAACCTCCATCTAAATTCACTCATAATTACGTAAAAATGATACTAAATACAAATGGAAAAACATTGATCAAACTTGAGGAGTGACACTGAGGTAAGAGGAGACATTAATTTGATGAAAATGGAGAGAAAGAGGGGGATAAACCATATTAAAAATAAATGAGATCAGTGGCACAGACTAAAATACCTCACCTTGGCCTCGAAGCCTGTCAGAAATTTCAGGTCCTTAGATTTGGAGAGAACAGTAGCTCGATCGCCCACAGAGGCTGCATGCACCACCTGAGAGGCAACAAAGAGATGATATGGATGTGGTTTATTTTGAGAGATCCACTTTAAAGCAGCACCAGACCGAAGCAGCTGCAAGTAAGGAGAAGTGTTCAAACGGTTGTGACTGTTTTCACTCAGCTGGTACACAATCCAGACTAAAACTGTCATGTTTTATTAACAAGGATCCTGTATAAATCATGTTGTGAGATTCTCTGTCTGGTGCAGGAAGGTTTTAGATTCAACATACCTGTATGTAGTCATCTGTGAAGGATTCTGGGTAGCTTCTGCAAGCACCAAAGTCCAACAGAATGACCTGCAGACAACATGAAACTGTTAGACATCTGCAGCATTTCAGGTTTTTGCTTTTGGAGGTTACATATACTTGTCTAACCAGAAATTCCTTTCTTTGTCGGGTAATTCATAAAAACCTTTACGACCAGTCTCTCCTTACCTTGTTGGTGTCTGAGTTGTAGAAGAAGTTGGCCCAGTTTGGATCTGTCTGCATGAACCTGAACTCAAACAGCTCCCTGAGACACAGCTGGAGGATGTTGAAACAGATCTGGAGGCAAAAAGAAGTTTGTGTTTACGCTGCTACAGTATGCACAGCTGCACACACACTCGCTTCGCAGGTGCGAACTTACAATAGAGATACATATTTTATGGTTTAAATTACATAGCTACAGTCATTTTCACGCCATGTTTGTGGATCTACTGTCTAATTTTCAAGCAAGTAAGCTATTCGAGGAGCTTGAGGAGGACTGTTTTTGCACCATTTGTGCTCTAATTGGCTCCTAAATTAGACCATACTGGGTTAGATCTTTTGAGCATTATTTTTATCCTCTGCAGTGTTCTCATTATAACCCCCTTGTTTACACCCATGAGCTTTCCTTCAAGTAAATACACTAATTGGTATCAGCACTTTATCTATTATAATCTGATTATTAATTCCTGGGATTTGGTTGCTCTGGTGTACAGAAAACTAGACTGGGAACATCACTTCATAGATTAAATATTCTGAAATACTTCTGCTTTTGCAAAATTTTCTTTAAAGTCTCAAACTCCAGGAGGTTTAACCAAATCCCCTTCTTGAACTTCTCTTCAGTGCATCCCTCACAATGCAGTAATATTCAGAATATTCCATCACAGAGAGATCCATGTCCCTGCTGAGCCAACAAACCCACACCTGGTTTCTGGTCTCCTGGTCCAGATCTACACAGCGGTCCAGAGGGACTCCCTGCACTAGATCCATGGCTAGGACCCTGCGACCTGACAGCTCATCGATCACCTCAGGGACCTGGAAATACTCATCTCCCTCCAGCAGAGACCTGGAAGACACATACAGGTCATCGTGATAGTGAGACAAAGACACAAAAGTCAAGACAAGTGTTTTTGCATGATAATAATAACAATAATAATAATAGTAATAACTTTATTTGAGTAGAGTAAGTGAAATAAATGTAATCTGTCATTAAGAAAAACTGCACACAGACCTAGATAATACCGCTTCAGCTTAGGAGGCTTTAAGATGCCTCTTAAACCCACCTGAACTTCTTGGCACACTCTGCTTCCCTCTTGTAGTCACACTCCCATGCAAGCTCCCTCTGAAGAACCTCAAGGCTGCTGTCTGCGAATAGACCTGCAGAAAAACAAAGAGGATAAATTAACATCACATGCAACAAAGTACAGACTGTTTCAGAAAGCTTTTCATGATGAGTTTTAGACACTAACAGCAGACATCACAGAGTGTAACCTTCAATTAGTAGTTCCTGTTTCTATGCCTGTTGTTGCGTCTTTGAAAGAAGATGCACAATTGTAATTTCACCTGAGTCATTGGTTATAACCTGTAACTACAGCACCACCCCCTGGTCAAAACTGTAATAGTGAGTTTGAAGAGTATGAGAAGCTCCTGTCACCTTACAGCATAGGAGGCCAGACTGCAGTAACTGGGAAAAAAAAAGGTACTAAGTCCTTTTTCATCACAAAAACTAGTGTTGTGCCTAGACTGGAGAAAATCAGTGGACTCCAAAGACGGGCATATTTCAACCCCAATACCAAAAAAGTTCAGATGCTATGTAAAATGTTCAGAAAACATGACTGTGCTTTTGCAAATTATGGATGCTACGTTCTCTGCTTTAAAAGAGGAGAGGGACCACTCTGCTTGTTATCAGCTCCAGTTCACAGCCAGCATCCCTGATGGTATGGGGATCATCAGAGCCCATGTCATGGGTATCTTCCACATCTGTGAGGGCCCCATTAGTGCTAAACAATATCTAGAGGTTTAGGAGAAACATCTGCTGACATCCAGACAAAGACTTTTTCAGGGAAGACCTTCATCTTTCAGCAAGACGATGACAAACCATATTCAGGGATTACAACAGCATGGCTCTGTAGTAGAAGAGTCCTGTGGGTAAACTGGCTTGACTGCAGTCCTGACTTGACACCAACTGAAAACAAAGGAGACCCTGAACTGTTGGGCAACTGAAACCCTTCATCAGTCAAGAATTGGACAATATTTTACTTCCCAAACTCCAGAAACTGGTCTGCTGAGTTCACTAAAGTTTATTGAGTGTTAGGAAAAGGAGAGCTGATAACACAAAATGGGGAACATGACCTTGTAACTCTTTTTTTTTAATTGCTGGCACCAGATTCAAAAATGAGCATTTACTTTTTTTTTTTAAACATAAAAATATATATATATAAAACATTATAAATGCTGTCTTCACACTTTTTAGGGCTGACATGATTAACAAACCTTCAAATTTTCAGAACCTCTTAGATATTGTGATTGTAAATGTTGCGTTGATGTTCAGGATGTGCGACATTAAGTTGTTAAATGGTAGGACTTTCAATGCCATCTTCTGATGATTCACTTTAATATGAGATATTTTCAGATATGTGAGCAATTAATTCCCTTTTTGACCTCCCAGACAAGAAATTAAAAACTGCTAGAGCCTTTCATGAATAGTATTCATTGACCTGACAAAAGTGGATGTATTTAGTTATTATTAGCAGCTTTCAATGAACAGAAAAACGAAAGAAAAAAAAGGTCTATTGATGCAGCTGTTACCTTCTGGCAGGACCACGCTCATTTTCAGAACAGACATCAGGTTATTTATGTCACTGTGAATGCTCTCTGCCACTCCGGGATACTGAGGAAATAGCAGACAGAATCAATGCAGCAGGAATAGAGAGAGGTCACTGGGAAGGTAGAAATAGCATGTGCTTAAATACCTGGATCTTCATGGCGATTTCTCTCCCGTCTTTTAATACCCCATGATGCACCTGGCCGATGGACGCTGCAGCGAACGGTTTGTCCTCAAAGGATGAAAGTTTCTCTCGCCAGCCTGGTCCGAGCTCTTCTTCCAGAACTTTCTACACAGTCAAAGCAGTTTGAAACCAATAAAATGGCAGCTCAATACAAAGACACGGCCAAACTGCATTGTGCTCCAAACATACACAGCTACACTATTGCTTCAGGTTTTTCACACCATCTACTTCGAATCTCAAAGCAAGTTCATGCTTACATTCATCTGCCAGGTAGGCATGAAGTCTGCGCTCTGCCGGACCCTCTCAAAGATCCTCTGCAGCTGGGGGTTGATGAAAGAGTTGTCTGAAGGAAAAAAGGAGAGAGTCATACTTAAGAATAAGAATAATAAAAATAAGGACTTTATTTATCCCCGAAGGGAAATTTAATTGTCTGTTGTCTCACATAATGTGTCTATAAAAGTTATCTATTGTTTACATAAAAGTTATAAAGCCTGATGGCTGTTGGTACAAAAGATCTTCTAAATCTTTCTGTCCTGCAGCGAAGAGAGAGGAGCCGTCCACCACCATTGGCCATTTGGTCCATTAAGATGTTGTGAAGTGGGTTATCCATGTTCTTTAGAATAGACTCCACCTTCCTCAGTGTAGACCTCTCCACCACATCCTCCACTGAGTCCAGCTTGAGTCCTACCACAGAGCCAGCCTTTTTCACCAGTTTGTTAAGACGTTTTGCATCTTTGTGTTTGATGCTTCCTCCCCAGCAGACTGCAGCGTAGAACAGAACACTGTAGATACCACAGGCTGATAAAACATCTGCAGCATCTTACTACAGATGTCTATTGATCGGAGTCTTCTCAGGCAAAAGAGGCGGCTCTGCCCCTTTCTGTAGATGTAGTCTATATTCTTAGACCAGTACAACTTATTATCCAGATGTACACCTAGGTATTTATATGATGTCACCACTTCGATGTCCACTCCACAGGTGTCCACAGGCTGAAGAGGGGGTTTGGATCTACAGAAGTCTATGACCATCTCCTTTGTCTTTGAGTGTTGAGGAGGAGGCAGTTTTTGTGACTCCAGTCACTGAAGGCTCTTATTAGATCTCTGTATTCAGCTTCTTGTCCATTTCTGATACATGCCACAATAGCGGTGTCATCTGAGTATTTCTGGATGTGGCACAACTCAGTACTTGGTTTGGTACATAAAAATCTTCAGTGACAGTGAGGATGAGAGAAGTGGTGAAGTGGCAAATTTTCGTGTAGGTTTAACAGAAATTTTAATTCTTACTAACCGACCTGTCCAAAAGTAAGAAAGCACCCCAGGACTCATTCACAGTCGGATTTTATCTAACAGTCAGCTGTGTTGTTTTTTTTGTTTTGTTTTTTTGAGTGAACATGAAACTGCAGCACATTGGAAACAGTGCAGAGCTTCAAATTCCTTTTCATGAAATTTAGCCAAACTTTTGGTTGCTTGCAGACAAATGAGATGTAAGGATCAACCTGATTTCTTGGAGGTCTTAACTGAGTGTACCTTGAATGCTGAGCATCTGTCCTATCTTGAGCGCGGCTCCACGGACTTTACAGAGTGTGTTGACGATCCGCTCAGCGTTAGCCTCAGACAGAAGAGGAGAGTCTAACAGGGCATTCATGTCTGCAAAACACAAAACACATACAATCACACAGACGGATTAATTAAAGAGATATTAAGCACACCAATTGAGGTAAAATAGCATTAACATGTGTCTAAATGGTTGTTTCCTTTACTAGTGAAAAACTGGGACAGTAGTTCAACATGAAACACTCTGTTTAACACATTTTTGGGCCTGTGTGTGAGCTCTTGTGAACAGGTTTGATTTAAAGCCTGTCCTGTGCTTGGCAGACGCTGACACAGGGCTGCTCTGCTCTCCATCTGTGAGCTGGATCCACTAAAAAACACTTAAACAGGATAAAAGAGAAGACACGTGATGTAGATTATTGTACCTCCTTTCTGTTTGCCTCCCAGTGACTGTTTCGCCACTTCTGCGATGGCACCAATCCCGAGACCTACGGCCAGACCTGCAGCAGACAGACACAGAGACAAGTGGTTTTAAATTTAGAGACACTTAGTAGATGCTTCAGGGGGGCGCTGATCTGACACAGCTGCTGCTATTGCTACTAGTAGGAAAAGAAAGGAGCATCTAATATATCATGAAAAGATTCAACAAGTCTTTCCCAGTGAGAGGATAGGTGGGAAAAAATGCCTTGTCTGATGAAAATCTGCACATAAATAGAAAAAAGAAGTGAAATAAAGTTGATCACTCTTACCTCCAAAGTTAACCAGTCTGCTTATTCTGGTCGCAGGTACCTTCCTCTCTCTGGCACGGTCACTCAGCTGATGGAGAAATAAAATCACTTTTATGTTGACTCTAACCTGTGATTTATGGTAAAACATGAACAGAGCTGAATACTCTAGGCAGTTACCCTGTAACACATATTACATAACATGAGTCAACAAAAACTTAAGTCTCAGCCTCTGTCTGTTATTAATTTCCTGTAGTTATCACTATTCATTACAATGTTAGTAAATATACGGATGTATACTTGCTCAACATATGCATGTAGAGATGAAATCTTCTAAAGCCCTTAATAAAAACACTTAACATTATTAAGAGTGTGGAAGTACAACTTATTTCTGTATATGTATGATAAATTGTCCATTCAAAGCTTTATATTCTAAACCATAAATCATGCATGCTGTGATACTTCTGGAATGGAGTGAAAAGACACTGCACTGCATCCTGTGGAACCACAAGCATTGACTAGAACAGACATATATCAGCTGTAGAGTGTGCACCACCGACTGAATGTGGTGCACATGGATCCTGTTGGTTTTAGGGGGGGAGAAAGTCCCCCATCCCATGCTATTGTGTTTCTTATTTAGCTTTGTTTTACTGTGTCTGCTTTTCTTATACTTAACTGTGCAGCCCTGAGGTCAACTGTGTTCATTTTCAAGCTGTGCTGTATAAATAAACTGTACTGTATGTGTATACTTAAAGCTCTAAGCAAGTTTTCAAACCAACCTTCTGTCTGACAGGTTTGGCCAGAGACTGCTTTGCCTCCCTGGCTTTCTTGATGTCCTCTGGGGTGAGTCTGGCCACCACTGTGTCGTGCAGAGACCTGGTCTGGCAGTAGTATCTGTGAATGCTAGGGGATGTGTGGAGGAAGCGTGCACTCTGTCCAGGCCAACCTGCTCCTGCAGACCCTGACCCTGAAGGAGGAAATCCTCCTCCTGTGGGAAAAAGAAGACACAGTGAAGATTTTCTAATCACAAGGTCTCCAGATTCTGTAAAAGGACAAACACTTTCACACAAGACGCCTGTCCCTGATTGACTATACCTGGTGGCATTTCAGCTGCAGCTTCAGTATCAGGGGGGAACTCAGACCCCATAGACCATTTAGCTGCTTCATCTGGATCCATGTTCTCCCAACCCTCTGCATCCGGGAACACATCCTCCTTTATTGACTGTTGCTAAAGACACAGAATTAGGGAAACAGTTTGACTAAAATGATACTATATTGCATCCCATACTATCAAATTCTAAAATACACTGAATTCACGCAAGTTGAGTAGTTAATGATTAGGTTAATGGTTAGTTTTTGTAAATGATTCACCCTAACATCTTCAGTTTGAACATTTCAATCATCATTTAGTGTGCAGACAACATGAAATAAAGTAGAAGTTCGTACCGTACTGCCGCCCATAAAAGTGCCGACCAGTCCTTCCACCACATCCTGAGCCGCCTTGACTCCTGCTCCCAGGGAGGAGTTGCAGGCCATTAACCTCAGCTGTTCTCCCTGAGTGGTGACCATGGCAGACCCCACCTTACCTGCCCCACGGAGCACCTGGAGGACCTCTGAGAGCATCACTACATGCAGAGAGGAGGCGAGAGAGTAGGGGTTAAAATACAGGGTGGAAGATGATAAGAACAAATATTCCTTTTTTCAATAGCTGATGCCAGTAAACAGAGAGCAGATTAGACAATGGTTGATATATGATACTGATACAGTTATAGAGACAATGAGACAAATGTTATCCAGAGACTCTTTGTTGTTCAGTTCAAACTAAGAGAGGACTCTCTTGTGCAGTTATGCCTATATTCTGCTGATAATGTATGGTATCTATAAACAGCACCATGGAGATCTGGGGTTGTATGGTCAGCGTTCAGTATTGTATTGTATTGTCCAGTTACCCTCATCACTCCATGTACAACTCATTGGCCAAGCTGGAAATTGGGCTCTTGCCACCCGTCATCGCAGAGTTGGGTAAACTTTTGCCAACATATCCACTTTTGATGGTGTTTGTGAACTGACACAAGAACAGCAGTACACGTTGACTTATCAAGCTGAGCATGTACTATATCTACAGGTAACGGTACCGATTGGCAGGACTACTGACCTTATTTGTTTGATTTTCCTGATCAGGTAATACCGATCGGTTTTTCACTGACAATAATACTGGCCGGTTTACCGATAGGATTGCTCAACAAAGTGATTAATCAGTTGTCCTTAAATGAGAAAAAAGAATTACAGAAGAAAGGACAAAAAGTTCTCGACACACCCACCACTCTTCAAACTATAAAGGACTATTCTTTTTAATCCGAACACGTGTTTATATTAGGGCTGATTGTTTAATACTGACATATTGATCATGTTTGTGTGTTTAACCTTGAGACTGACAGACTCCTTATTTCTGAAGTTATGCTAAAATGTGATAAACACGTGTGGAGCGCAACAGCACCTCATGGACCTACAATTAAACAGAAACGAATTAAGAAAAAATTTACTAACACATACAAGATGATAAAACACGTTGTGAGCTAATGTAACAGAATAATTTGTACCACTGTTGTGTTTAACCAGGTTGTGTAACTCCAGCGTAACTGCAGCACCGAGAGCTAGCTAAAGACACAAACATGTACCCTTAAAGAATAATTAGTTATCCCTGGAGAAAACAAAACGTTACCGATCAAAGCAAACTCCAAATTAAGTGACTCACTTCTCATAAAGCTGCGTTATCCAGGGTTTCCTCGATGAATGTCCTCTCTTACACCACACTGTCCGGGACGTGTTGTCAGTTTTGCAACGATCCAACACCAGGAAGTTCTATTTCATTGACATGTCCAAGAGCCAACCGTGGCTCGAGCTTTCAATAATTGGGCGGGGTTTAAATGAGAGTCGCGGAAGGAGGCCGCGTGAACAAGGATTTACTGTCCAATCACAGCCATCTAAAGGCGGGACATGTATGACTCAACGTCGAATGAAAATTAAGGGGTGTTCGTGCACGTGCACCAAGGCGCAGTTATTAAACATGGAAGTAGAAGAACTGTGCCAGAGCATGCCTCCTAAAATGTATCGGATGTAAGCTTAATTTCATAAACTAAACTAAAGTTATTTGTTTTGTCTTTGGTTGCCTCTCTTCCTTTTAAGTCATCCTCCCAACTAAAGCTAAATTGATTTACTTTCATCAAACCTCACGAGAGATGTAAACAATTACAATTCCTAAATAAATCTGTTTAAAATGTAAATAAAGATAGATTTTGATAGATTACAAATATTTTTAATCCTGTATTTTATTATAAAACAATGCAAAGATGATATATCAAGTGTGGGAACCATTTTTGTTGTTGTTTCACTTAATACAAAATTTATGCCAGCATTATGATTCAAATTTTTTTTCAAAAGAAAACTGGTAAAAAGTTGTGTTATGTTCAATAAAAGCAGCTGGAGGGCAACTGCACTCATTTTTGTCAACATACAAGTAGGTTATGTAGATAAAAATGATTCAAAAGCACCAAAAGTTGAGCACTGATTGCTGCCAATTGTTACAGAAACAGATAGACTCAAACCATGCAATAAATAAATAAAAACTTCACATTATCTGTTATTTCCCTAACAAAGATAAGTTTCAAAATAAAGAAGAGTATTTCATCCCTGACAATACCTTTCAGTGAACCACATAATTGATTTGTATGATAAAATTTCACTATCTTTATGGGTTGAGTGTAATTTGGGCAGAAAACATTAGTTTCATGAACAATAACATGGCATTATCAGTGAACCAAATATGACTCCATCGAACCATAATAAATGATCATTTGGAATTTTAAGGAATACAGACAGAGTATAGTTGAGTACGCAAGAAAAAAATAAACAGAAAATGCTTTCATCAGTCATGAAGGCAGTACAGTCAAATCTTTTGGCACTTTAATAACCTGTAGTAGATTGTTCATTATTTTCTCATCAATGTGCAACTAACCCAAAAATCAGTCCTACAATTATTATGTGTACTTTTTGCAGATTATGTATCAGAGTGTCATAATAACAGTGGTCAAAACAGGCGCAAAGATCTATTCAAGTGATACACTCCCAACAGACACTCATACAGAGTGCTTTGTCTGGCCCTCTGCTGGATGAAGAAGGCACTGCTCTGATTTTTTCTGACTCCAAGCTGTCTCACATACAAATATGTGCAAAATACACGGTCCACTGTTACAGGTGCTCTTTATTCCTCCAACCCAGCTCATACTAACTCTATTTTCTACACTGTTAGTAGTTGTAGTGTAAAGAAAGTGTGATATACAGCAGTATCACATTTCCAACAACAGGTTTTGGAGGATGAGATTAAACTTTAATGTTTCCTTTAGGCAAAGTAAGTCATTACAGCAAAAACAACAGATAACAGACCTCATTACCTGATGGAGGCCTGCAGACCTTGTGTTTCAGTATTTCATTATGTGTATTGTAAGTGAAAGGACAGCGTGCTGGTCTTTCTTCTTGCCTCTGGGTGTCTCCTCCCACGCACCTGTCTATAAGAAACTGAGAGCGAGTATTGGTCTTTACAATCAAGATTTACTGCATCCAACAGAAACAGCTTGTGGCACTCTGTTATTGATATCAGTAGCAAAACAGAAGAAGGCTTTCTGATCATTAAACTTGGCACTTACACCTTGCATGTTGAATAAACAAGTATTTTATGACAAGGCTAAATTGTCAAAAAAAAAAAGGGGGGGGGGGCAATTTGTCCCATTTAATTAATTGGCAATGTTTTTTTCAAGCTTTTAAACTATGAGGACATCAGAAGATCCCTTTTTTATAATTTGGTTGTCAGGGGGAATCAGGAGAGCCCTACTTTACAATTTTATTAACTAAAAGGACAACAGAAAGGGCACCATTTATACATTTATAAAGTGGAGGAATCCAAAGGGCCTGAGTTCCCATTTAACATGGTGATATAGAGCTTTTTAATGTTTTTTTTTACAAGTGGTGAACCATAGACACTTTTAATGTCTTATATATTGGAATGGTACTCAAAGGGCAACATTTTACGTGTTTTATGATGGGAGGACACCCACCATAAACCAATTTGAACACCTGAAGGACATCCAGAGGCAACTTTTAAACACATTTTACTATGGAAAGGCAACCAAAAGACACCTTTTCTTTGCATAATCTAAAAAGGCAACCTTTTTTTTACTTCATGTACTAGACGGTCATCCAGAGGACACCTTTTAAATGTTAAATGAACTGAAAGGGCATCCAAAGCTCTTTCTTGCATATTATAAACAGGTAAGGCATCCATGAGATACCATTTGAAATTCTTTTCCACTGAAAGTGCATCCAGGTGGCCTTTTGTAGTGTTTATTCTGTATTAGATCAGCCACCGAAGCAGGTTTTCCACATTTTCAGTGTAAAAGGCAGGCTAAGAGGGCAATTTATAATTTTCTTTTACCCCTGGGGCATCCAGAAGGGCACCTGCATGCATACATCTAGCCCAGCATTCAGTTTTATGTCTGCAGGAATGATCAGCTAAAGGAAAAAATTGCAATAAAGAATTATTTCGATCTGATCACATGTGGAAAGAAAGTAAGGCAGACTGCATTTCATGGTCTGGAGTTTATTTTGAAACAACCCTTACATAAAAGTGTAAATTTAAATACACGCTCTCACGTATTTTCCCACCTGTCGCCGACACATTGACCTTTAGATGTTGGGATTTTATGGTCCATTGTGGCGAGTGCACGCTGAGGGGGAGAGGGGGCAGCAGAGGGAGGGAGCTGCGCAGACGCCATATATGGGCATACCACCGACTCTGCGTTGCTATTGGCTGAGGGCCTTATGCAGCTGCTTGTCAACAAGATGGCCTTCCTCCTCCTGCCGTTTGACACTGATTATTTTGGTATCCCCGAGAACATACCGTAAAAGCGTGTGTCACTTCTAAATAGATAGTGGGAGAGCGGCTGCTCAGAGTCCTAACAAGGCATACAGTCAGCTAGACTTTGTTCAGACAACTGACAGGCGCACGAGACTCGATAGCGGCCATCACTAACAGAAAGTAGCTGCTGGCTAATGTCGACGTTAGCTAGCTGGTGAGCTAGCTTAGCGACGTGGACACGAATAGTTAACCCGTGTCACCTGCTTTTAACCAGACAAACTGGTCTGGTTAGGGCGAAATACAGTCAGGAAACGCTTGACATCGAGAGTCTGCGAGTCAAGACGAGTGCCTGTGGAGTTTAACGTCGCTGAGGTGAGTTGTTTGGAGGTGAAACGTTCAGCTTTTTCTTACCTTGTTAGCTTGCTAGCTGCCGCTGTCATGTTATTATGCAGGTATCCAGTTAGTGTGATTTTACCGTGTGCTAGATACCCTATAATAAACTATTTAAAGTGTTTAAGTACTCCGAACAGCGTTAGTTTTAAAGTTGGGTAATAATGCAGTCAAACACATAAGGTGCCAGTAAGCCATTTAGGAGCAGAACATTTTACTACGACGGTATGCTAACAGTTAGTTAGGTAACCAGTCAGTTATCGGAACCTGGTGTTTTTTATTTTGGATTCTTACAATCAGAAAACACCATCTATGTTACTGTTGGTGGTTTTTCTGACTCCACAGTAACTTGAGGAGTTGGTGTTATCACATGAAGTGTTGTAGGGTCGCAAGGTTACCCAAAACACAACAAGGAGAGGTGATGATAAAGAGAACTGCAGGCCGGAGTTTACAGGAGACAGAGTTCATCTTACAGAAACTACAAATTATTTTACATTTAGACTGAATATCAACGTGTACTCTTTAGTTTAACTTTTGTTTGCTCTCATCGAGGAAAGTTCTGACAAGTCAAAAGTTTCACACAAGGATCACAACAAGCCACATATGTACTGTTAAATACTTAATATTAACCTCTTGTGCATTTTGTGACTCTTATTTTAGTCTGCTTTTGCCTCAGCCCCTTTTTTAATCAAATCTGACTCTAGGCCTGTATAAAGATTTACAGTTATATAGTTTGATATTGCAATATCAGTGATGAGTGTGGTAAATAAACAAATACTAAAGCATGCATAAGAGACAGAATAACTTAGTTCCTTTTATTTATCTGCTGTTCTTTCTGTTTGAAACACTATATGTGTGTGTAACACGTTTCTCCTGGACTCAAACCCAGACAATATGACTAAAGAGCAGTTTTGTATTACTAAATTATCTTTAATTAACTGAAGTAAGTTGACAGCTTTTTAAAGATTCACGCGACTGGTGTAAATAATAATAGTCAGGTCTCTATCTACCAAGTCTAATATACATATTAAGAATAAGAAAATGTATTTACCTATAATAAGTTAAGACTTTTGCATTGTTTATTGCAAATGCACACACTTCTATATTAATTAATTTGCAGTTTATTGTGCAGCCTTACTTACTCTTTGTAGCTGAGATTAACAACATTAACCATATTTTAAACCAAAAACCAGGGTTGAGTGATCAAAAAAAGCTAAGCTCTCAAAGCTAAGGTGAGTCAATGGTGGCAAAGAGGTGTATTCCTTTCACCACGTCATACAAAAAAGCAGAACTGAATGCACATACCTTATCAAATCCGTGAACATTAAATATTTAGAGCTGGTTTCAAGTTGGTGCTGGTTTTTGATACCTCGACCAACCAAAGGCAGGGCCAGTTCTGGCATGATATACAAAAGACTAAGGGTCACAGCTACCAAGAGTTTTAGGATCCAGTAATGGTTCAATAAACAACAAGGCAGCTCTTAAAGCATGGACTATTAATGAATGATGGACTAATGGTGCACTTTTACCGGTTTCTCTTAATGCGACAGAAACCTTAACTGTAGACCAAAAGTTCCTTAAGTTTGAAGAAACTCACCATCAGGCTTAAGTTTTAACCAAAGATTCCTTATCTTGTATGACACATTTGTTGCTGCTGGGTGACACATAGACAGTGTTATAACTCAGTCTTCATAAATTAGTTTAGAGTAGACCTGTCGTAGGACCGAGGCATGTTAAAATACCACATTGTCAATGCTATAATGTGATCTGTTTTGTTAGATTTAGAGTCTCCCACTCACACACAAGCCCGTCTGATGTGATACTGTTAGACAATGCTTGATTCCCCCCCCTTCCTTTCGGATGTTCACCAGGATAATGCTCAGTGTTGACACAGTGGCCTTTGTGATTGTAGCACCAATGCTTGTATCAAAGTCTTGTGATGATGTTAAGGCAGATACTCAAACCCAGATTCAGCCTTACAGAGTCAGACAGCTGAGTCTTCCTAGGTGTCCCGACAGAGCGGCGGCTCTCAATGTAATAATGTTCCTGAGCAGGCTGTTAGAGCGATGCACTCAGCTCTATTGTTCTGTTGACAGTTTGCTGCAAAGCTGGCCCGTATGTGCGCTTCTGTTGCATTGTCTTCTCGGGCGCACATGCAGAGAGGGAGATTGAGCTAAGACGTTCTGGCATGCTTCAGTATTATCATTCATCAGCTTTTGGCCATCTGGCTCAAATGCTGTGAAAAGAGCCGGAGGACAGCGTGAGTGATGCCTACAGTTGGATTGGCACTTTTGGAGGATTTAGTAGGTGTCAGCTGCTGTACCAGTTAGACTAAGATCTATGCTCCATATTTTACTTTGTTTACTTGTTACATTAACAGGGTTTTTCCTCGGGTTTTACTTGTGTACCAGTAAAGTCTTAAACTGGCTTTTAATGAGGATGTGGTTTTCTGGGTTCAGAACTACCTGGAACATACACAGTGAAACTACCATCCTGTTGAGATGGCACACCAAACTGCTCTTCATTTGTGTAGGGAAATGATCCTATCCAGCAGAAAATGAGTTTTAATGTGAAACCTGAGAGTCTCTTGCTTTGCTAGGAGAGATATTTGTCAACACATTCTTACCTTGTTAACATTTGTGTAGATGTGTTGTGTGCAGCTGTGTAGTGATTATTGGGTGGATTTCCCCACTTTGACTGCAGCAGTAATCCACAGGCATTTGACTCTTCCTGAGCAGTGTGTTCCGAGGCGTTTCTGTGTTCAAAACATTCATTCATGCATTAAGTATTTTCGTTTTATTCTTTGATACAGAACATGAATGATGTGATAGTGTTTTCAATCATATATATGTATACGCTGCAGTGTCCTCCCTAAAAAAAAAACGACAACCAATTATTTCTTAAACTATCTAAACTATGTTATTTATTTTTTGTAACTTTATTAGTTGAGTTTTTTAGGTACTACCATCTTTAATATACTTCTCCTTCTCTTCTGCTGCTTTGTGAATGGCTGTCACCTCATGTCTTTTTAATGTGTCCAGCCTGTAGTTGGTTGATGGCTGTCTCACTAAGGAGGCAGCAATTGCCTGCTGTGTTGGGGCACAGTGCTTTTGGCATAAATAGCAGTGCATGCCTTCCTCAGTATGCCTGAGCCAGGTAAACTGATTGAGCCATTGCTTGTCAAAGCCACTGGCTCTGTGTTTTTGAGAAGATCTACAAAGAGAAATAAAAACCACGTACACGTTGGCTTTGCGTTGTTATGCTCCTAATTGGAAACTAATTAATTAATTACCCTCGCCTCGCCGACTCGTCCTGTCCTGCATTCTGACCCTCGCGATCACCAGTCCCTTGTGAAGTACTTTCAGACCTGACACAAATTTCCACGTTGTCACCAACATGAATTATAGCATTTTAACTGCCTGTTACGTTTTTCTCTGCTGTGTTTCACCTGGACTCTTGACTTTCCTCCTCGCGAGGTCGCTTTTTAAAGTACTGGCTGATTTTGCCTGTCATATCTAAAACGCTAAAAACGGAGTAAACTTTTTTTTAAATAATAAACACGACATGCTTGGATGCAAAAAAGAGAAGCAGTATTTACCTGTTTGTACCATCCGCCAGGGAAAATCAGGACGCCGACAGCACCAACTAGCGGGAAAAACACTTGAAAAAACATGATTCGATCCGTTTCTTCTTCGGTAGATGCTTCAGGTCTTTCCGGTGCACTGCTGTTGATATAGCGCCTCTATAGTGGCGCAACCCTGCAACTGCAGTTAAAATACGTTGCTGCTGCATCGGGACATCAATCGCTCAATCAACACAGCTGGAGCTTTACGCTGTGTTGAGCGAAATCAATCGCTCTGGCTGGGGGCGGCACAAAATTAGGTGGAGGCGGCCGCCACGCAATTTTGAACGCAGGAAAAACCCTGCATTAAGCTTTAACTTCGGGTTTTACTTGTGTACCAGTAAAGTCTTAAACTGGCTTTTAATGAGGATGTGGTTTTCTGGGTTCAGAACTACCTGGAACATACACAGTGAAACTACCATCCTGTTGAGATGGCACACCAAACTGCTCTTCATTTGTGTAGGGAAATGATCCTATCCAGCAGAAAATGAGTTTTAATGTGAAACCTGAGAGTCTCTTGCTTTGCTAGGAGAGATATTTGTCAACACATTCTTACCTTGTTAACATTTGTGTAGATGTGTTGTGTGCAGCTGTGTAGTGATTATTGGGTGGATTTCCCCACTTTGACTGCAGCAGTAATCCACAGGCATTTGACTCTTACTGAGCAGTGTGTATGAGGCGTTTGTGTGTTCAAGCATTCATTCCCAGTGGTAGAAAAACTTGATTGAATTCTTTGCACAGAACAATAATGATGTGGTGTATTATTGGCATAATGAGGATTAAAGTATGTTTAAAAAAAAGAACTATTTTCTCTCCCTAGAAACAACCTACTTCTATTGATAAATGTAGTCTGTCTTTTTTCATCTACCCGCTGCAGTCAAAGCTTAAAACACTTCAGTCTGTGTCACTTTAACAGTAGTCATCAAAGTTAGCTGACATATTTTGTCCGCTGCCTTCATTTTGATCTGTGTAGCTCTGTGTTAAATGATAAGTAACAACGCAGAAAACTCCATTCTCTTGTGACAGATTATTTGTAAGTCTGCTTGGGTACCTAATGTGGTAAACTCCAGCACTTTAGTGTTGCTGCAGTGTTGCTGCCACTGTGCTTGGACAGGATTTGAAGGATTAGGTTGATGCAGAAAGCTTAAAACCAAACCCAAGCCTTCATTTGCAGGGACTGTTTCAAATGAAGAGAAAAAAAAAGTAAAAGTAGCTCAGTGCTAACTCAAACCCACCATTAGAGAGTAATGTGAAGGACTGAAAATGGACGGAGGGTGGATTGACTCGCTTGTTGTGTGAGGATTTGAGAGATAGTGCACATTAAGTTTCGCAGACCTCTATTTCTGGCATCTCATTGTCTGATTTTCAGGGTTCTTTTTCTTTTATATTGTTATTTTTGGGTTTAATGGGTTTGTTTGTGTTTTTGTGCAAACTGGTAGCTAAAAAGAGAATTTTTACAGTAACCTAACACCTTCATGTATGGTGCAGAAGGTCATTTTTATACTTTTCCTTGCATATAAGCAAATGTCAAGGTTTGATTCCATTCAAGTGCATCAATATAAACACATATTATGGTTAAATCTAACAGTTGTATATTACTTTTCTTGTGTGGTAATATCAGTTCATCACAGGATTGCCTAATTAACCGAAAAATAGGGGTGTAAAGGTTCACCTATTTGTGCCCAACTGTTGTTACATGGCTTTTTTGGTGCAGTGCAGATAGGCACTGATGCAGATATGAGCAGAACTAAAGTTTAGTACTGTGAATTCAAACAGTGGTTTTCCATGATTATCGTTGGTGTCTTTTACAATGGGGAGCAAGAGAGTGCACTAATCATTAGGTTGGAGACGATGTTATCTCTCAAGAAAAAAAATACACATCTAGCCTTTTGCTTGGGTCTTTAGTTAGTTGTCCTGCCATAAAATATCTTCCTGAAAACCTGGCTCAAGTGGGGTAGCTGACATCCAGTGTAGTATAAAGTGAAGTGTGGTGTTGCTGTATCTGGATTGGTGTGCAGATGTTTGTCCTTCCGAGGCTCCAACATGCAGACAGCAGAGGAAAGATGCTGAAGCTGCAGAAAAATGTGTTAATAACTCAGCAAACTTTTTTTTTTTAATTGCATGACCAAACTGAAAATGTGCCTCTTTACATTATTTAGTCAGATATATTTATATGACCTTTATTTAACCAGGGCGTCCCATTGACATTAAAATCTGTCTAACATGACAAACCTGGCTGATATAATATAATGATACAACACGTGGAACCAATTTTTCAATACAGTCAAACCTCCAGTAAAAGTCTACACTTGTGCTTAACCTAAGGCTCTGCAATTCTCAGTATTAAAATATTTGAATCAAATTGCATCTCAGACTTCAGACTCAAAGTCAAAACTTTTGATTGGTCATCTTCAAGTGGATAATATAAGAAAATTCTTTGTTATGATCAGACTGAAAAGAATATTTTCTGCAGTGAAATGCTCAGCTGTTGTCTAGCAGTGTCGTAAAAACTCTACCACAGCTAGGGCTGTAAAGTCTGAGTCGACCAAGAATTTCTTTGGTTGATTACAGCTCTAGCCACAGCTCTCTCTGAGTACCAGCTAAGGCAATCACTAAATCTGTGATTTAATATATTTTTCTGTTGTCAACTGACATCTCGGGCATGAAATCCTACAGTGAACAATTTTCAGTTTGCCTTGGTTATCTCTTGAACTTTGTGGAATTCACTAATCTGAAATGAGAGATAAAAATTGTGCTTTGTTACAAGTGAAATAGTGTTATTCGAATCAAAATAAATTGAAAGGATCATAGAGAAGTGGAGGTGACATTGTGGAGTTTTATCCTGCAGAGACCGACAGGAGTAACCTGGCTCTGTGCTGCCTGCTCCTTGCCAAATGTTTTCTGCACTGCACAATTTTCTTGTTTGCCAAATAACAGTGGAGCAAAGAGATTTTCTCGTGGAGATGGAGTAATTCAAGCCATCCCATCCTCTAAACTATCCTAAATTCACACTAAAGTGAGAGCTCATAATTCTGATCTGCGGTCTGTTAAAGTGGCTGATGTTCAGAGTGTGTTTGACTTTGTGCTGGCGTGCTGCAGTGGGTGGATTGTCTCCTCTCTGCCCCCCTTTAATACCATCCAATCTGTTATGAGAGATGGACTCCATGATGCAGTGAGAGGGAGGTCAACACCTCTGTCGATGGAAAGAAGGCAGAGAATAAAAGTGGTTAAAGAGAGAAAGTCATGAGGGGTCACGGAGAGAAAGGGCAGTAAAAAGGGTTTACCAGCTTTTTTCACAACAGTATAATCTGCCTGCTCTCAGCTGTGTTGTTGCTGTGTGATTATAGAGAAAGCAGTTGAATTGGTTCCCAACACTGTGTGGGTGGTGTGTGCTTTTTGCACCTCTCTGAGCTTCTGCATTAGTCCAAATGTAAAAAGCTCCACCCGTTTAGTGTGTCAGACAGAGACGAAGAAGAGGGGCCTGCTTTTTGAACTGAAGGATCGGCAGCTTTGAATTAGAAAGATGCTACAGTGTTGTCAAGACTTACACATCTTTGGAAAAAGACTGAACTTTGGAAAAATGTGCATAAAAGAAGCTCTTTGACAAATGTTATGTAATAACATTGTTACAGTGGTCTTCATTTAGAGCAGCATATGACATTACCAACTTTGATTTCCACTGAACCACACCTCGTTTGCACTTAATCGCTCTTATAACTGGCTGTAAAACTAAGAATGTTAATGACTGAGCTCTACAGCTCTTGACATTTTTTCCCTTAATTCTGTAAATATGCTTGGTGTTCTGTGTGGGGGTCAGCAGTTCAGTCAGGTTTTTTTCCATAAGACATCATTTTTATGCAACATTTTAACTTTCATCAACAGATCAGCTGGGGAGACGGAGAGTGAGGTGTGACCGTTTGTAGAAGTATTCTAAAAACACCAGTAGGCGAATATAGATTGGCTCTATGACTAAGCAAGAAGTCATCAAGTCTTGCATGCAAAATGTTCATTATTTGACAAGGCCACATGCCTCAAAACGAGTCTCTCTGCAATGCTTTTCAGCAAGCTGCAAGCCAAGCAGCCACTAAAGATGCATTCAGGTGCTGGAACAATGAATAGCAGTATGAAAGGTCTTAAACATGACTGAAAAGAAGATACAGCTGTTTTGGCGCTTTCAGCTGATACACTCTTTGTAGCCCCCAAAAGAGTGGCTGTGGAAATGCAAGCAAGATCAGAGCGTGCTTTAACAGGCTGCACTGAACCAAACCGCAGTGCTTGGTAGAAGCTCACCATCACTTTAGTACAGTTTGTATCTCTCATACTAGAATAGCTATAGATATTCAGTGATCAAGATCATTCAGTGATTGATTATCTCATTAAAACCCACAATTGAAAACCTGGAGTTTGAGTGGGCTATAAATATTTATTATGTCCTGCTCTACTGCCAACGGACTAAGCCTTTAAAATGTCCAAGACTTAATTTTCATTTCACAGTTACACATGAAATCAACTGTAATAAGATGCTCCTACATGCTCGTGCCTATTAGTAGGTTTCTCATGAGCATGCAGCAATTTCTTTGAATTTTTGTGAGTATTGATTATGTCAATTTTTTGGCCTTCTTGCAGGATGTGTCTTTTTTCATGATCCGCATGATCATGTGGCAACGATCTGTGTGCTTCACAACATGGAAAGTTAGAGACTTTGTTGTTAACACGACTTTCTGTTGCTGCTGGATCACGCTGCTTGACTTTTTGTAGAGTGCCCACTGTTTCTAAGGTACACACACTGAGAGGTTGGTATTTTTATTTGAGGGCATGGTTATAGGTGGCACTGGAGGATATTTTTAGACCTGCTATAAATTTCCCATTTCATTGTGGGTGTTTTTGCCGAACACTTCCTTGAGAGATTGAGTAAACATTCACCTTGGCTTTAAACAGGACTGTTCCAATAGCTCAGCATTTGTCTTATTGAGCACTGCAAGAATTTCAGATGCTGCAATACCGGCTTGTTTTGTCCACCAAAACACACCCTGTTTGGGATTTTATTGGCATTGTTTCAAGAGGAGTGTTATGGGAATTTGCAGGGCTGCTGTTTGTTGTGTAGGTAGTTTTTACAGCAAACAGATAGGTGTTTCCTTCTTCTTGTGATTGATTGGTGTTTGTTGTGGATGAGTAGGAGGTCCATTTTGGTTGATATACAACTAACTAAATTCAGTACAAACAAGGGCTGCATGATGCATTGCAGTATGTTTTCTCTCTGAGATATTTGTTGCAATTTGAATTATTACAAGAAAACAAACCATGTCATTAAATATTGTCTGTATTCATCCAACAAAACAAAACTTTATTCCTATTTTTAACTCACTAAGCTCAGCCTTTTACCAGAAACCTGACATCAGGCCAGCACAATATTAGATGAAATTAAATGCAATAATATTCTTCAATGTTTTGATCTCAGGAAATGTTGTAAATACATAATTAAGACTGTATAACAGCCATAATGGCACAGCTTTTTTGCCTCCCATTTGTTCTGCATGCTTTATAAAGCATGTGTCTGCTGCATGTTTCTCCTGAACCAAAAGTAGGTCTGTAAAGTTAGGGATGTAGAGAATTATGGGGACAGTATTGGTTCTGGCAAGTGCGTACATTTTGGCAGAAAAGAAAAGGGTTGCATTAAATGTATGCTTGAATGGCAGCTTACAGATGCTAACATGTATGATTGCAGTACATTCAAACACTCAGTCTCTCTATGAGTTAAAAATATAGGCTATCAGCATAAAGGTAATATTTTAATACAATGTTTTTCATCCTCTCAAGAAGTCATGTTTTTGTAGGCTGACAGCTAACAGTGTAAAGGCATGGCCAAACATTCAACCCTCTCTCTAACTCAGTGGTTCTCTAGTCCAGTCCTCAAGGCCCACTGTCCTGCATGTTTTGGATTTCCCAGCTCCAACACACCTGATTCAAATGATTAGCTCGTTATTAAGCCATTACAGAGCTTGATAACGAGCTGATCATTTGAATCAGGTGTGTTGGAGCAGGGAAACATCCAAAACATGCAGGACAGGACTTGAGAACCACTGCTCTAACAGGTCATACATACGTGCCAAGTGAGAACACATTGATTGTATAACATCAAATAATTGACTAATTTACTGCAATAAACGAAGATTCTTTACATTTTTATATTGCACATGATCAGACTGTTTTTATTTGTTTATTTAACACAGACACAGTAATATCAAGGCATGAATTTCAGATGCACCACACTTACTCTGAGAAAAACGCTCATTTGCAACACCTGTTGCACCTGATTGTGATATCAGTGGATTTGCAATTCTTTAGACCACCTGATTTCAAAGGTCAAGTTACAGAGTACCCACCTGTATATAATGGTCTTTTCCCACACTTTGCTTTTTGTCCACATGTGGTCTGAATCTCATGTTGAAAAAGACCCTTAATTGTGTGGTGGACTTCAACTTTTTCTTCAATAACTTGCGTATTTATTCTGATACATGGATTAATGTGGATGTGTCCATTTAATTTAATTTACACCAGCACTATTCTTTCAAACTTGTTAAATCAAATTTCAGTCTAGTCTTAGTCAAACTCTGCGATACTATTTAAGGATACTCAGTGTAAATGTAAAGCTTCAGAGGAATGTCTCAGCGCTGATGCTGAGGTGTGATTTTGGGTTCAAGCTGTCGCTCAAATAAGCAGTGAGTTGAACATGTTACTTCTATGCCACTTGTTTCTCTCTTTAAGCATGCCGGCACGTTCCTGGCAGACCCTACAGCTGGCAGATCTGCAAAAGCAAAGCACGCTGCATCAAGTTAAGCCCGCCCCCCTCCTTGGTCTTTAGCATAGGCTCTGGGAGAAAGGGGTGAGGACAGCTACAGCAGTTTCACTACTACCCCACCCCCTCCTGCTGTTTGCTAAAAATAGGTCCAGCATATGCTTGCATGCTCCTCCCTGTGTTGCCTTCTATTAAGCAAGTCCTCTTTGAAGCACTGAGATGCAGGAGAGGAGCAGAGAGAGAGAGAGAGAGAGAGAGAGAAAGAGAGGGACGAGTGCATTTGTAGCTTTTGTATTCCATCTCTACCCCTTTCATCTGCAGGCCGCAGACACCAAACCTGAAATGGAATCCCTTTAATTTAATTTACAGGCTCTAATGTTCAGAGATGTCTGAGTATGCTGGAGCAGTAATTGATAACTGAGTTTGGCTGGAGTGGGAGGCAGTCCAGTTGTGATTAGCTGATGATAAGTTTGATATTGTTGACTCCAGCTCTGCAGCTAGCCCCTGCTGCAGAGTGCAAGCACTCTGTTTGAACTGTAGCATCGGGGCGTCTGCTCAATACAACCGCAACTGGTCATCGACTATCTGATTGATCCTGGCCTCCTAGTTTAGCTCTAGAGATACAAACTCTGTTTTTAGTGACCAAGCTGTTATACCCAATCTGTTCCATGCTTCATCCTGTCTTTTTTTTTTCTTCCCTCTCCTCTCTTTGCTGCAGGTTGTATGCACAGAGCTGCTGCAGAGCTTGCTGACAGACAGTGCCCACCTTTGGCACTGGGACAGAGAGCTGACAATGAGAGCTCTGGCTCTGGGTGTTTGCTGGCCAGCATAGATGCCGATATGCCCCTGTGGTCCGCATCCTGATGGACCGAGACACGTTCTCCCACATCCGCCTGTGGTGCCCGCGCCCCTTTGGCACCTACTCCCAGAACAAAGCCAGAAGTCCAGGCTCAGGGGGCAGCAGTGGAGGTGGCAGTGGGGCAGGGTCCCCCTCCCTCTGCAAGGCTGAGCCCTCTTCAGGTGCCAGAAGGACGGTGGATGGAGGTGAAGATGGAGGGATGATAGTAGGGGTGCAGGAGACGAATGGAGAGGTGGAGGATGTGGGCTCAGAGAACACTCCACCTGAGCCGGAGCTCGTCTCCGGCTCGCTCTCACAGAGCCAGACCCCTGCTCCCTCTTCGGCCCCCCCCTCTCCACCCTCTTCCGGGTCACAGATGGAAGATGGCCGCGTGCTGTTAGACACCTGGTATGTCATAAAGCCAGGTAACACCAAGGAGAAGATAGCCTTCTTTGTTGCACACCAGTTCAGTGGAGCCGGTCAGCCCAGACCCAGCGCCATGAAGGTAAGCCGTTCATTCAAAACCTCAAGACGGTCTTTTGAAGGTCCCATATGAAAAACCCATTTTTCCTCGTTAATATGTGTAAACTCCAGTCATCTTCCAGCCTAGTCACCCTGAGAGTGTGGATGTGAAAAAGGTTCTACATCCTCCTCTTAGAAAGCAAGAGCCTTTACTAGAGGATTTAAGGTGGTCATTCAGTGATGTAAGAAAGTAATATGTATAAAAAGCCACACCCTCTCATGGAGCAGTCCACATCCTCCTTGGCTATTGTTTGGCTCCAGTGTTGCAGAGTCACGATGTTCAAAGTTAGAGCCAGACACACCGACTACTCTGCTGTGAGAAGGAGAGACCAAGACAAATGTCTGTGCTCTTTTCCCAGCACTGCCAGACTAAAGAAAACTGTGACTACTTTAATTTGAAACACCAATAACCTGCCCGCTGCAGTCAGAACTAATATGTTCATTTGTATTAACCATTTCACCTCAGACCGCTTCAACTGTAAGGGCTGACCCCATAAAGTTAATCAATAGCATGGTATTCTGCATCTTATAAAGTACAGAAGCTCAAAGGCTGTGGTGTTTTGTGGACTTTGATTTCTGTGGAAGTTTGAGTTTTTTAATGCACAGTCAGACATTTTCAGCCAATCAGAGCAAATCAAACCTGTGGTGAGAGTACATCCTGGATATGATGTAAACAGTTGAAAATATCTTGACATGGGACTTTTAGCCATTGGAGTGAATTTTGATCTAAATTGATGTTTCTTCTGCCTCCACAGGTCAAAGGTAACTGGGCAACTGACTGCAGTAAAGCGAAACGACGGAGACGCTGTTCATCATATGACCCTCCCACTCGCTCTCAAGCCTCAGACCCTCACCTCAGTCATGACTCCTCCCCTGCGCCTCCCAGCCCTGATGAGCAACTTTTAGGAGGGGTTAATGAGACTGATCTGCTGTCAGTGGCAGAGATGGTGGCCTTGGTCGAGCAGAGGACCGCCATGGCTCTGCAAGGAATAGTGGCTGCTCATGGGAACCAACACCAGCAGCCTCCCACTTCAACCCACAGCCCGGTTCTTAACCCTAACCAGCACACTGTTCTGCGGGGCACAGTGTCAGACCCCACCCCTGTAGTGTTTGTGTCAGACAGTTCAAGTGGCCAGCCCTCCAAAGAGTCCCAGGTGTCATCGTCTCCCATCCAGACAGACCAGGAGCTAGAGGAGCAGCAGGAGTCCTGCAGGGTGGCCCAGGCCATCGCACACTTTGAGTCCCAGAACCTGTCAAATCTGGGCGCTGGTCCAGGAACAGACTCCTCTAATCGAGACAGAGAGGGTGAGCGCCGGCGAGGAGGGGAGTCCAGCATGGTGACCCCCCCTCCACCCTCCAGCCACAGTCACGGGGAGGTTAGAATAGCTTTTCGAGTGTCGAACCTGGACCCGCGGTCCCAACTGGAGCCAGCTGGCAGGTCCCGCTGTATGTTTATGAGCTGTGGGGGTGGGGGTAACCAGGCAGCAGCCCGGGCCAAAGAGAAAATCACCTGTGACCTCTATCAGCTCGTCAGCCCCTCTTCTAGAGACCCTAGTAGTCTGCTGCTCGCTGCCACAACTGCTGCCCCCAAACCAGATGGAGACCTCCATCATCCTGACAGGCAGGCCTGTGGCAGTCCTGATCCAAACCAGGAGCTTTCCTCTGGGGAGAAGAAAGCTACTGGTGTGGGCAGGGAGAGGGTGACGGGCTTCCACGTGGAGGTGGTGGTGACGGGCGCCGTGGACCAATGTGTATTTTATGGCAAAGACAGTACAGAGAATGTGCAGGAGGAGACGGTGTGTTTTGCTATGCCTAGCGGGGGAGGGGGTGGTGGGGGTGTGGGCACCTCCACTGACCCTTCATCAGATGATCCCCCTCCTGGTCAGCTCTTCTTCCTCCAGCCCTCTCGGGGTCCGGAGGAGGATGTTAAAGGAACTGTTGCTGGCAGTGGGTCAGGAATGTGCTCTTTGGACTGTGCCAATAACAACGGCCCTGGGGCGGGTGTGGCAGTGGGTTCAGGGGAGCGGGCGACTCGACCGGATTCTCCAAGTGTTGGGGAAGACTGTACAGACCCATCCCTTTGTCGCCTTTACCGTCACGTGTCCCATGATTTCTTGGAAATCCGTTTTCAGATTCAGCGCCTCCTGGAGCCCCGTCAGTACATGCTGCTGCTGCCCGACCACATCATGGTCAACATCTTCAGCTACCTGCCCACTCGCTCGCTGGCAGCGCTGAAGTGCACCTGCCACTACTTTAAGGTGCTGATCGAGACCTATGGTGTACGGGCGGTGGATTCTCGCTGGAATCAAGACCCTTTGTACCGGGACGACCCCTGCAAGCAGTGTAAGCGGCAATATGAGCGCGGGGATGTTTCCCTGTGCCGTTGGCACCCCAAACCTTACCACCACGACCTGCCTTATGGACGCTCCTACTGGATGTGCTGCCGGCGTACAGACAAGGACACGCCAGGCTGCCGTGTTGGACTTCATGATAACAACTGGGTCCAGCAGCCCGCTGATGGCTCTCAGTCCATTCGCACCAAGAGAGATGACAGGAGGGAGGAGGCGAGGTAGAGAGGAGGAATTCACCTTACAGGACTCTCACCTCCTCTTGATTACCTCCCCGTTCCTCCCTCTCACCTCCACTCAGACGAGAGGAGCACATAGAGGAATCAAAGCTCCAGGACCGTTTGTCTTTCTTTGTTCCAGCACTCCCTCCTCGTTCTCGCCCTCTGTGGAGGGAGGTGAGAGGTGAAGAAGGAAGAGAGGTGTGTCACTCTCCTTGCCTTTTGTTTTTCAAGCCCTCCAGAATCCCTCTCTCCTCCCACTGTGCTCCTTTAAAGTTTGCATACCAGGGTTGGGGTCCCCTCCTGCTGCTGTCAGTCAGTCAGTCAGTCAGCCCTCTTTTTGCCTCTCACTCATTTGGGTTTCTGTCTAACTCAGTTCATGGTTATTAGGTAATTCATGTGAAAACTTGCAGTGTAATATGATTGAGATTAGCATTCATAAAGTGACGCATAGAAATGTAACGCCCTCAAGTCTGCTTCCTGTCCCCATTACATGTTCTGTTGTTCTGTGTCGTACCACAAACTTCCATGTTAGCTGTACAATGGTGCTTTGAGGAATGAGCTGTACTGAATCCCCAACAGATGTAAAGTTTTCAGTGGTGGTGAATGTTCAGCATTGCTATAGAAATGTGATTGTATAAAGCAAACTTGATTTCTCCGTTGTACCAGATTGCCATTTGTACCTGTCCCACCACGCCGCCATGCGTTTCTATTTCTCTGAATGTGCTGTAACATTGTTTATGTCCATTAGTCCCCTGATGATGCTGCTGAAATCATTGCCTGTGTCACTGGCACAGTTAATTCAGAAATAGATGTACCATTGGTTTATGATGGGCACAGTCACTGGCCACTGGGACCTGTTTTAGTCATTCTCTCAGAGTGGACCCTAACCTTGCTGACCAGCCATAAAGAGGAGCCGACAAGTACTTTTTGGTTTACTCAGAAAGATGGGAGACGAACAGTGGGACTGAACGGGATTTAAAAGAGAAACTTGATGTCACTTTGGAAAGGCCTGATGTCACTTTGTATGGTTTGATTGACTTGCTTGTTTGCCATTTGTTTTGTTTCTTTATTTTTTTGTTTGACAGTTTTATTGGGGTGTGTGTCAGAGAGTGTTTGCTGTTGTATTTGCTTTTATTCTTGAGGACTGTGTTCTCCTCGTATCAGTCTGTCGCCCCACTACACCTGCAAAGATGTATTTTTTAAACACTCCATCTTTGGTTTGAACCCCAGCTCTCTTCCTTACCTCCTCCCCTCCGTCCTCCCAAGTTTCGGCAGAGGGCAGCGTTTGCCAAAGCCGTCATCCATGCTTTGAAGCGGGTGAAACTGACTACCACAGACCGCAGAAACTCTCTACACCAGCTTCCAGCCTTAAAAGCCCCCTACCTCTTACCCGCCCTGCAGGAGATTGAGGCGTCAGATACCTCACAGATGATTAAGAGTATTGGGAGTTGCACAGGACCCTGTAAGAGGCTAGATTTCAGATCTCGATAGACTCCATCCAGCTCTACTGGATCCACCCATGACTCTTTTGTGGGAGTGTAAGATGAACAGTGCCTGGTGACGGCTCTGACCCTTCATTCTTTAAAAAAAAAAAACCCTCCCCTCTCCTCCCCACTCTCCCCTTGCTTTTACACTCCCCCCACCCCTGCAAGCTGACAGACTGGACATTAAAGAACTCATGTGATGAATGATGCTGAAACTGCATGGAGGTGGGAAGATGGTTGGGTAGTGTTGGGAGAACTCTGTAGGTTCCAGACATGTACAATGCTAATGGGAAATATTTGCTTAAATAAAAACAAGTGATGATTAAAACTGGAAATCTGAATCACTACGTGGTTTGTGTGGTGACTGATTAGGAGACTGTGATTGGTATGGCAGTGTCCATTCAGCAGCGATTGATTTCATCATGTGGTCTTTACACAGACAGAAACCAGGCTGGCTTAATCTGATCAGAGCTGATCTTTGTTCAGACACCTTTAGGATCAATAAGGAGACATGAGATCCTTTTCTAAAGCTACAGCTAAACATTACTTACGCTGACTTTAAAAAACACGTCTCACATTTGATGAAGCACAAGCGGATGCACAACCTCCCTAAGAGGTTAATTTGGAACAGGTTAGTAACATAACTGGGTTCAAAAAGGGCAAAAAACAATGTTACAAGAAATCATGGACACTGCATCCTCCACTCTGACAAGGAGAGGGACCACGGGGCGTAACATCAGCTCAGCTCATGGACTGAATGGAAATAGAAAACTGCCCAGTGGCCTGACGAACCTTAATTTGACATTCTTTGTGGAAATCATGGATGCTGCATCCTCTATTTTAAAGAGGAGCACTATCACCATTTGAGTATTAACTGGGATGTGTGTCCTGTATTTACTGTTAAGGTGAGTCGTGTTTTATTTATCCCAGGAGTTGAAGTTCAGACAGATATCGAACTCTGAAGCAAATCTTTCGAGCTGCAGCTCTTGAGGTGTTAGTGAGTTGACTAAGCTTCAACTGCACATTTTTCTCCTCACACCTTTCATCGCAGTGCTGCAAACAGGAAGCATCTGATTGGATCAAGCATGTAACAGAATACAGTAATGGCGCTCTAGCCTGATAAACGGTTTAAGTGCATTACACCTGCTTTTTAAACCTGGAGAAATGCAGAGAATGGAAACCTGTTCAGCTGAGAAGAAAGATTGCAGGTACATTTGCAACTGATTTTTTTAAAGATGGGGTTGGCAACTTTAATTCAGATGTTACCCCCACTGGACTGGACAACTTCCTGTTTAAAAAGTTCTAAAGGTTTGGCTTTAGATGGATCCTACTCATGTGGAGACAATAAAAATGCTCTTATGAGCAATGAGGTCCAGCAGGTAGGTTTAACAATTTCATTGGACTTGAATAAAGTGATTAAAAGTCGTGGTGTAGGCTTGTGACGGACACAGACATGAGTCCAATCTCTTTAATTATCAAATCTTTGGATGGCTTTTGTGTTTTTTTGATGCTAAGTGAGTTTTGACAACTTCAAATAGCATGTTTAGGATAACTTGCCATAGGCAGTGACAGGTACAATCCAGCAGGTGGCAACATTGTTTTGTATTTCCTTGCAAGCCTGACCAGCTGCAACATCCAAACAGAATGATAGGATCACATCAAAAAACAAAACTCATATTAACTGTTCACTTTTAATCGATGAGCTCTTCCTGCTAAGCGAAGTAACCCCACATGAAACAAGCTACAGCCATCATAACCAGAGCGTTAGCGTACACTGTGTGTTCCCACACTGGTTCCTCGCTGATGTCCGGCAGCTTCTCTGGTTCCTCAGGCAGGGCCGTTTCTAGGCATGGGCGGTTGCCAAGGGCACCATCTGCTGGGGGGCACCTCCCTGGTTAAAAATAAATAAATAAATCAGGTGCCCATCAATCACTTTGGTGCCCATAAGTGTTGCACGTGTTTTGGACGGCGTACTCTGTTCCCAGCTTTTAATGAAAAGAGGATAGGACAGTGTTGAAATATGGGGAGATAGAGAGAGAGGGGGAAGGACTCGAACCCACGAGCGCTGCAGGGACCATGGTCCCCATACATGGAGCACGCTAACCCACTCGGCAAAATGGCTATGACCCTGCCTGAGACCATGAAGCGTTTTAGTTGTGAAGCCAATCTGGCCAGAAGAACAGCGCAGCACATCAGCAAGATGCTGCTGCTGCCTCTCCCGGATCCTGTGGTGTGGAGCTGCCACGGCCCGTCTGCGTGAGGATGAAAGTAAGCTGAGGAAAACGCTGGCAGGGTTTATATTTATTGTGTATGGGTTTAAATAGATGTTTTTCGCCATGCCTGAAACCATTAAACCTTCTGGTTGCAGGGTTTTCCTATAATAATGATGATTTTAAAACATGGTTTTGCTACACCTGAGGACCTCAGGCGTGTCCTGCTCTTGGATCTGGGAGCTGCTGTCGCTCCCACCACAGAGCCGACCCAGCAGACCACAGATCCCAGACTTCCCCTTCTCTTCGGTCGCAGAGAGGAAGAGTGAGGGATGAGAGTGTTCAGTGAGTAGAGGTGTGTCTGTGGTCTTATTTTTTTCTTACCTTCACTATAATTACTCTCTCTTATCCTGTCCTCAGACGCTATCTGGGATCTTCTCACTTTTTTCTCACATTCCCAGTCCAAATCCTTCCTCTTCTCTTTAGAGTGCCGGAGGCTGAACACTAGGCGGTGAAGCTGCAAGAAATAGTGGATTTCATCATCTACAGAACATATAGCAGATATGTGACAAATATGTGACAGATGTGACAAAATATCTTGAAGTCCTGACTTGTCACTCATTGAAAAGCATCATGACAAAAAAAGTGGATCCTGAACTGTTGAGCAGCTGAAATCCTCCATCAGGCAAGAATGGGACAACATTTCACTCTCCAAACTCCAAAAACTGGTCTCTTAGGTTGACTAATGTTTACAGATTATAGTATTTATGATGCTGTTAGGTGCACTCACGTGTTGATCCTCTATGGGCTCAGTGCAGTAACTGACTACCAAGACCAGCACCGACGTACAGAAGAAGAGTATGATGGCAAAGTGAAGGTAATGGATCCCACAAATTAAGAAAGGGCAGTCAGAGGGAAAAATACAGCTGCCAGTCCCAAACCAGAACTCAGGCAGCATCCGACACAAACCCATCAGCAGACCGCCCATCAGACCCCAGAACGCACCCTGGAAGTGAAGGAGAGACCCGAGTTTCTCTTCAAAAAATGTCACCGAGTGTCTTGTTACTGATCACACATGTGTGTTTATATCCTCTCACTGTCTCATTGATCCTCTTGATGAATACAGCCAGGACAAAGACTGAGGCGATGGGCGGGGCCAGATAGCTGGAGATGGACTGGATGTAATCAAACAGCTGACCGCTCTGAGCCGCCTGGACAACCGGGATCCAACAGATGCTGACGGCCACGATGCAGAGAACCCAGACTCTGAAGAGGACAGGAATTTAAATCACAATGACAGTCATAATGACAACCCTCTCTGCACAGACAGGCAGGATATAATTTTGTATTATTCTTTATAATGTCCTTGATGTTGCATAAATATCCGTTACAATGAAGGGATTAACAAGCAAGATGCTCCTCTGATCCTCCTCTTACAGGTTTAAATAACTACTTACTCACACTGTAGGTATTGGGGGTTTGCAAACTACTCCAGCTCTGCAACCTCCAGGCCACTTACTATCCAGTGCTGCTCAAATCAAACTTTTACTGGCCTCACAATTATTTATGAAGGCTAGAATGAAGCCTGTTGTGTAAAGTCTTTGTAATCACAGAGTGCAAAGGGGAGAGAGTCAGTGAGGAGCCTTCAAAATTGTCTTCAAAATGCTGCTGGAAACAGATCATCAGTCTCAACTTTCTGAGCCCTGGAGCCCCATGGCATATTACAGGTGCCTTTTCTACTTTTGATGCCCCTGCCCCGCAAACAGCCAGAGTATGCCGCTGTCTTTGCATGTTTGAGGTATTTGGATTACTTCTGGTTTATCTTTATTCTCCAAAAGCACCGAATCAGAACCAAAAAATGAGGAAGAGAATTAATATAATCTCAGTGGAAATATTCCTGGTAAAATAATGCTTCAATAAATTTACCAAACCCCTGCTCTTTACCTGCCCACAATGATGAGCTCACGCTCTGTGGCTTGTGGTCTAATGCGAGTCCAGATGTCGATGGTGAACAGAGTGCTGCTGCTGTTGAAGATTGAAGCCAGAGACGACATTAGAGCGGCCAACATCACCGCAAGCATCAGACCTCTCAAACCTGCACAGAGAAACAGCAGGAGGAAAGAAGAGGGGGCATAAGAGGACAGAATAAACATGAGATCTACTCACTACACAGTGTCAGACACAAATCTGTGAATTTTTGTGCTCAGAGTGTGAGTGAAACCAAGTTTTTATCCGGGGTGTTGTCAAACAAAAGGCTGAAAGGAGACTATGTAGAGACCTGCTAACATCATCTGTTACAAAGGGAGGGATTTGAGAGGATGAAGTTCATGTTGAAAAATAAATTTACAATATATTGCCTGACAGGGATGTCATAGGAAAGTATTAAGGGGATTTTCTGGAAAACACTGACCCAAACTGAGAGCGAGGCAAAAGAAAATGTTGGTCTGCATTTACAGAGAAGAGGATTACATCTTTTCTTGTGCAGCGAGATACACAGAGAATTAAAAACACAATTTAATAGCAAATTGTAAAAATACAAAGCTGTAACCTCTGCTCTTTGCCCTCATTATTTTTCATCTCCTCTGATTTTTTCTTTCTGTGGTCGTTTCACTCATCCTCACCGTTTGGCATGATTGACACCACTAGTTTGGGGTAAGCGATGTTGGAGCAGCCCACTGCAGTGCCACACACCTGCTTACACAGCTCAGGTACAACACAGCCCACCTCATCTGCAGGTGGAAAAACACACAGAAGAGCAAAGAGCGCTGTGATACTGACACTAATATTCCAATGGTTTTTATATGGAGGCAGCTGCATGCATGTCTACAACGTCCAAATCTGGCAGCACTGTAGTCTGCACCATCAGGACTTATTCCAGTAAAGGAAACCAATTTGAGGCTTCAGGTGTCAAAATGAAATTGAAGTGAAAAAGCATTTACTATAAGGGTGCAGACAGATATGGTATCGTCACCATAGAATGACATGTATTATTCTCTTATTTGTATATAGGTTGGTATTATCTGAAATGTGTCTGTAGCTCACCTGGGTAGAGGACTCTGCTAATCATGCCCGGGAACACCATGAGGAACATGGGCAGCAGTTTGAGGTAGCCACACATGATGCAGCCAGCTTTAACGTGAGTCAGACTACGAGCTGCAAGACACCGCTGGACAATTACCTAAAAATAATGGAGAAAAAAAAAGAGATTATTGATAATTAGATGATGTAAAAATTGTATATATCTAAAAAAAAAACTGTTGTAGTTTGTTCAGCTGGTCGAGTTATACAGACAAGGTTACTTAGGTGAGATTTTTTTAACCTGGTCTGTGCACCAGTACCAGCTCCCCACTATCAAAGTCCCGAATAGGACTCCAGGCCAGGGCAGGTCCCCTGTGACTGGGTCTCTCAGCAGGCTGAAGGCATCCTCTCTGGGGGTGTAGCAGTGAGCTGTGATGTTGTAGCTCGCCGGATCCAGGGAGGAGACATTACTGGGCGATGCAGTTCTGTATTTGTCCAGCAGAGCACTGTAGCCCCCTATTTCAGTGAAAGCTGGAGGTAAGAAAGAGAGGAAGAGAGAGAGGGGGACATGTTTCACAAAAGATAAGTTTTCTGGACACAGGAGATCTACAAAAGGGATAAGGACCAAAACTAAGACTGTATGGCCCTCTGTGCTCTTCTTATTGTAAACTCAGTTTGGTAGTCCAGAGCAGATACTGTCCAATCTGAAGACATGAGTCAGCTGCTGAGACAGCACCATCCTGTCAACGCATCACTGACTCACACAGAGGAGTTTGTTGTTTTCATCCTCCACTGTTTCCTCTGACACTTTTATCTGGACTGCCTCCTCCTCTGACTTTATCTCTGATCTACTTCAGACTGATATACTGCATGTTGATGTGTTATAAAATAATAACTGAGGTGGGGTGTTTAATGTCAGCTGGAGGTGGAGAGTTTGTTGCTCTGCAGTGTCAGCAGCCTGTAAACCTCAGCAGTGGCATGAATGATGGCTGACCTTAGTTAACCTTTAGCCTGTTTGTTGTAGAGTTGCTGGGAGGGAGACAGTCACGGGGATGGAGGGACTGATAGAGGGGAGAGTAACAATGATCGTGCAGGTTTTACGCACCAAAGCCGGAGAGGACCAAGGCTCCTGCTATGATGACAAAAGTCTGGACTGTGTCTGTGTACATTAGAGCAGCCAGACCACCTGGTGACACACACACAGAGGAACATGCTAGATACAACAACCATCAGAAATTACGGCTTTTAAAGGAGAGTATCGGCTCATCCAAATAAGAAATAAAACTTCAGTCGGTATCCTGTTTTATACATTTTTATCTTACATTGATTTGGTGAAATTATGAAAAACTGCTGGACAAACGAAACTCAAACAGGAAAACCTTTTTGGACAAAGTTCAGCCCTAAAACACACCTGTGACAGTGTACACAGCTGTTATACACAAGAGGCTGATGACAGCGACATAGATGTTCCAGCCCAACGCCTGCTGGATGAACACGGCTCCTGCAAACATGTCCACCTGCAGAGAGGAGGAGAGAGGGTGAAATGAAGGGTGAATATAAAACTGTACATGTGTGTGTTTTCAGGAGGAAGGACTCACCGATATCTTGGTGAAGATGTACAGAAACAGAGAGATAACAGAGAGGTAGAGGCTGATCCGGGTCCCTCCAAATCTCTTCTTCAGGTACTGAGGCATCGTGATCACCTGACACATTTCATACAATGCAAATTAAAGCCTTTTTACCCACTGCATGGGTGGTTCAGAGGCTTTTTAATAATTGATGATGAAAAGAAAATTGAACTTCTCACTCCAGCTGTAAGATAAACTGGAACAAACAACCAGCCGAGTAGAAGCACGATGAACAGGGCCTGCAGAGAACAACAAACTACAGTATGTGCAGGTGATCCTAAAAGGTGAATGTACGTTCACACACGCCTTTAAATTTCATGAAAGTCACGCTCAATCCGATGCTTACAATCCACTCAAACCCGCCCACAGCAATACCACTGGCTGCTGCAGTTCCAGCTAAGCCCACAAAGTGTCCACTGCCGATATTACTGGCAAACAAAGACGCACCAACCTGAGAAGAAAAAAAGCAGAAAATAACTCAGAAAAAACATCAAAACCAAAGAAACACTCATTGTCACGCATTGTCTGGATGTCAGCAGATGTTGCTCCTAAACCTGTAGATATTGTTTAGCATAAATGGAGCCTTCACAGATGTGGAACATGGACTCAGATGATCCTCATACCATCAGGGATTCTGGATTTGGACTGAGAGAGAAGTCTCTGGATCCTGTCTTTATCTAGTTTCCTCTTTGCATGGTTCAGTTTGAACCACATTTGTGGATGCAGTGATGAACTGTATTCTCAGACAATGGTTTTTGTAGTCCATGCAGGGATTTCCACTACAGAGTCATGTCTGTTTTTAATGCACATAGTCTTGGTTTCTTGTATTGTATTGACAGTACTTTACCAGGGACACTTACTCATTATTTGAGTTTAACAGCTCTTTTTTTATCATCATTGGATATCAATTTAAAATGGTTGGATATTAATTTAAAATGATTTGACTTAAGATTGTTATTTTAAAATTTCAACCACTGTGTACAAGAAACCTCCCCCTTATATTGAAACACAGTCATTTTTTGATATTGCAAATATCAAAAATTTTCATGTTAAGTTGTTTGAAATTCTCAAGTCATTATTTTGTTATTTAGTTTCTTATCAATACTTAAAATAAATCCTTAATTTCTTATTCATTTTCTTATATGTGTTTTTATTATATCAATTACATTTCTTGACTTTTTAAGTCATAATTTTCCCATACTTTGTATTTTTTTTACAATAACTTAGTATCTCAGACAATTACATGCTCATTTAGCAGTACATTAGAAGGGCATGTGAGTGCACCCTAGTGGACCAAGTATGAAGTGCAGCAGGTTTTTTTTTTTTTTTTGTCCTACCTATACCACTTTGTATTTTAGGCTTAAATATCATTAGTAAACAGAAAATTTCTGCTGCTTTTAAATTCAAATATTAAACCATCAAAGCGTTCTGCTGAGCTCACCGGCCCCCAAGTCATGGTACGTCCTGCCAGAAAATATCCTCCAACTGTCCCACGATTGGAGCGAAACATGGACTGAAACAGAGAGCATTTCTATAACTCTTACAGCCTGCACTGGATTTATGTAGATTATAAATGAAATCACAATCGTCTGTTTGGATTTAGATTAACATGGACTCACTCACCCAAACACCAACACCAATCACCACGATGAAGTACCCAACTATGACACAGATGTCTGCCGGGTTGTTGATGGTCACTTTGTTTGATGAGGAGTCCTCCATCTCGCCACTTATTAATAAAAACACTTCAATGAGCTTCTTTGAAGAAGTCTGTGAATATTCTGCAGCTATGCCTCTAATAAAGCTGAGATCAAATCAGCCAAACATCCCCTCTGACCAAGGAGCTGAAGGAAAAGACCCTCTGTCAGAGTCCAGCAGCAGGTTTGAGGAACTTTGGTCAGTGTGATGATCAGCAGATTCAGGAGTTTATAAATGAGATCAATTATTAACAACATGAGATGAAAAAACAGGGTTTCACTCCTGGGTTTTTAAAAGCAATTTTGTATTTCATTTAAAGTTTGTTATATTTTTCTTTGATTTATGGAATATTTGCAGCAATTTTCTGCTTTTAAGAAAACTTTTTGGCATTATGTGAACATTTATTTTTATTTGTTATTTAAACATTTTCATGTTTGTATTTTCCATTTCAACATTTTGAGAAATTTTTGGTACATCAAATATTTGTGCATTTTATCTGATATATAAAGGATTTCATTTTTCTGAATCTTATCAAGTATTACCTTATTTTGTGAGATTTTGTAAATGTTTGGATATTTTGGTTTTGACTGTCATTATTTTGTCAAGTTTCTTGAAATGGTGTTGCATGTCATGGTATTTATCTGCATTTTCTTCATTTTTTGTTTGCTTCAGTCTTAACATTTTTTGAAGTAATTTGTTCAGGATATTTTTTAATGTTTTATATAATAAATAACATTTCAGAAAAAAAAATCTAGATCAGTACTTTTGTATTTGGCTGTTTTTGCATATTGTGAAACTGGTTCTCACTTCACTTTTGTATGAAATGTACGAAAAGTGTTCCATACTCACGTACGGTTTGTGCATTTGACCCTCATGGCCGCCATATATATGAGCCACCAAATCCCTCCTGTGAAAAATGAAGACACAATACCAGCTGCTAAAATGTAAGCAAATAGTCCTTTAATCATTCAATATTTCTGCTTTCGTCCAAACATCCTTTTTCCTCTCTGTTCACACACTTGATCAGCTTGTTAATGAGGGCAGCTTCACTTCTGGACACACACAGTGTGAGTGCGGATGTGTGCAAAAAAACACTTCAGCATAGAAAGCATGCATGCATACAGATTCACTTTTCACACATCATACAAGCTGTAAGAGCACCGAGGAAAGAAGAATGAGAATTTGACTTTTGGAGGTGAAAAACTAGAGCGTGTTATTTAAAATTTAACTGTGACATGATTTTTTTTTTTTTTTAATGCAAGAAACACAAACTCGAGCCATCACCGTTTCACCAAACACCGGGTTCGTTGCATGATTGCTGAGTGAAATAAAGTTCAGAAAATTAACCTTAAAGATCAGCTGACTCTGTGTCACAATCCAGGGTTCTGATTCTTTACAGTATCAAAAGCTCACACAGATATCCCAGCAGCCCTCGTGGGTAAGATAAATCACTGAGGAGACCTAATCACTTTCAGGGTCATCAGGGTCAGGGGGATGAGACCAAATCCTGGAAGAAATCTGAAAATATTTATGAAATATTGAGAAAGACAACAGACACAGAGGAGTTATGCGTGATTTCTGAAGGGCCTGAAATGATCCTTGTTTTTTAAGTTTTTGTTTGTATCCATATATTTTATCCTTATAGAAGGGTCCCAGTTTGGTTCTATTCGGGGAGATGAAGCCAGAGATAACCTCTTATTCGTTGCTTCTGATTCATCTTCAACAGGGACAATGATGAAAACAAGATCTTGATCCTGATCTAGATCACGACTATATGACTCTAGAGAGACTACATACATTTTCAAACACATCTTCAGATTAGTGAACACCTTTAGTCTGCCATTATTGTAAAAATGCAAAAAGGGACATTTCACTTTTTTTCTTTTTCTTTTTTTTTTTTAAATCAGTGTGGCCAGGTCTTGATCTCGAGACCAGGACCCAGACTAGTTTAAGTATCTCACAGTTCTAACAACAGAGTTTCTATACTTTTCTAGAGATAATTTTCCATGACTTTTTTAGACTCAGCAGAAATTAGTATGTGGGTTTGGTGAATATGAGGGGAAAAAAAAAGAAGAAAGAAACAAAGAAAACACAGAAAATGCTTCCAGTAAATCAGTGTGCTAACATTTCTTGGCAATCTCTAATCTTTTCTAAAATAAAAACTTCACATTTTCAAGCTAACCCCCCTCAAACACATCTGCTCCTGTCTAACTTCATAGTGCCATCCAGAACAAAACCATTTTTAACGACAAAAAATCTTTTAAAATACATTTAAATAAATTAAGAGGAACGCTGTGTGTTCAAATAATCATCCTCCATGCCAAACACATTCAGGAGTCCTGTGGCTGGAGCAAATTAGACAGTAAAAGATATTCTGACAGCTACTGAATCAAGTTAAGACCAAGAGTGACCTGATACAAGGTTTTGAAAAAGTGCTGGACTGACTGCAGGTCTGGACACAAGGATACGGTCTGAGTCACTTTAAAGTCCCATTCCCATCGTTTTTGTTTTTTTTTTCATAAACATTCTCAGTGGTCTTTAAGTTGTGATTATGAAGCCAAAATCATGTTACCTGTGTCATTTTCAAGGGCTTTTCTTCTGCAGAGCTCCAGTAGCTCATTAGCAATTCACCTCTGAGTCGTGGGCGCACACAGCTCTGCTCTGCCCACTCCTTTTCATGCCAGCTTGTAGCCTAACATCACTGGTGTAGTAGAAGTGGCAGGTGACATAGGAGGGATTCAGCTCTCAGACACTAAGGTCTTTGGGGACATGATGTTAATTATGTCCTCAAGAAAGCTAATTATGATATTAGCTTTCTTTTGAGAATTGCAATCTGCTACTGCACACACCTGTTTCGTGATCGTCCTCTCTATTTCTCAGAGTCTGGCCTGCAGAACGGGGCTCCAGGGGCGGAGCTTGCAGTTGTGATGTAACAAATCTCACTGTGTGTGAACCTGCTGTTTGGGTCTGCCAGACATTCACAGCAATTTAAATGCAGAAATACTTAGACATGCAATTTTGCATTTAGTTTTCTCATGGTATGTCCTGTAGCATCAGGAAAATTCCAAATGAACATGTAGACAACAAGAAAAACATGATTTTCATCTTAGTGGGTTTTTAACTCCATAAAAATCCACTTAGTTCTCTGACTATAAATCTACATAGAAATAAGGTTGAATCATAAACACACTATAAAAGGAACTCCGAGGAGGGACTTTGTGTTGAGTTTGGTGCCCCCTGTTGACAAAGTGATACCTCTTACTGTAGACCAGCGTTTTTTGTTTTTTTTTGCATACATCACACTACATTACATTCCAGTGAGTTATTGTGTTTTGATTGGTGGGATAATGGGTTTCTTCCTATGCAATGAGCCTCAATGCAAAAAAAAAACCAACCAAACAAAAAAAAACCCACATGATTTGCAAACAGGAGCACAAAAAGAATTGGAACGATATTATTTACCACTTGTGGTAAAGTGATCTAGACAAGAATCTTGTCTTCTTTAAAAACTTTAAAGGAAACTGTCTCTTTTTTGTGTGTATTAGATCTTTTCCACTTTTGTCTTGAGTTTAATGACTTTGATGGTTTTTTGTTTGTCTAATGGATAACCTCGTGATTTGAATATGTTTATTTAACATTGTGTCATTAATTTTTACTGACCAGGGCTGTTTGTTTTCACCTGTAGATAAAACCTAATGACCAAGACAGAGAGTCACTGTTTGTTTTGGGTTGTTTGCTCTCAGTGCATCTAAAATGAGAACGAATTGATGGTGCAAGTCATTTCATAAATCAGTGCAATTCTGTCAAACAAACCTACTCAGTCTGGTGTAATTCTGTAACTCTGAATGCAGTTTGAAATGACTCTGCAGACCAGATTTTGGTCCAAGTGTAGCACAACACAGCCATAAATCCTGTATCCTTGTGTCTAAACCGAACACTGACACTTCACAGCACTGACATGTTTCCAAAAAGCCTTGTAAATATCACACCTGTAAAAGCTGGAAATAATGTCCCGTGGTAAAAGAAAGAAAACACAGACAGGCCTTTTCTCAGTTGGGGGGGCCTGACCGCTCTGACTCGTAGTGTCTAAGGTTACATTCAGGTGCAGGTTTCCTGATTTTCACCAGTTTCTGGCCCTGCTTGCTCTGCCTCTTAATTTCAGTGATCACTTTGGGCCTGCTCTGCGGCTGCTCTCACATCATTGAAATCGCTCTCCTTTTTCGTTTATTCATCCTGAAACCAACATTTCTAGAGGTCAAGCTGCACTGTGTCACATGACCGCCTGGACTTAGTCAGACTCGCCTTCCTCCAGCTAATCTGCAGCTTTCTTACAGTTTTCTTTGGCTAGTCTCAGTCTGGACAGGATGTGTTTCTTGGGGAACTTTAAAGTGGTGCACCCAAACTGGCTCACCCCTCCAGTGTCTCCAGGGAGTTTCTCTCGTCTCTGGACCCAGCTGCGCCAGCCGGGCTTCCAGCAGTAAACACTGTCATAGAACCGTGAGCCGTTCTCCCCACCCAGTACGTAAATCCTGCGTTTCCACCTGGCCACGCCCCCTGCTGCTATCCGCCGGGGAAGCCCAGGAAACACCACAGGACTCGGAGCTCTGTCACTCCCCCCTCCTGCACCTCCACGCTGCTCTGCGCTGACCATGACCCCTCCCCCAGTTACCTCTCTCTCCACCCCTGACCCCCTACCCTCTCTGAAAAACAGCACACGGCCTGTGGCGTCCAGAGTCTCCAGGTTGGTGTAGTTTCCATCCAGGAACTTTGTGGTATCTCTCATGTAACCTCCAATGGCACAAACGCCACCTCGAACAGCCACTCCTCCAGCGAGGCAGGTGGCGCCAGAGTCCAAAGACACACGTGTCCAGCAGTCCGTGAGGGTGTGATAAATGAGAACGCCAGAGTGGACTACAGCTCGGTTCTGCTCTAGCGTGGTTCCACCAAGAATGTAAAGCCGTCCTCGTAGAGCTGAACAAGCGAAGGCGCGCAAAGGAAGTGGTAACCGCGGTCCTGGGACCCACTGGAACGTGGCCAGCTCCAAGATCTCACTGGAGTCCAGCAGTGCTGAGCGGTTACAACCACCTAGAGCATAGAGGGAGTCTCCGCAGCCCAGCAGACCCAGCATGGCTCGAGGCTGGAACATAGAAGGCCGCTCTATCCAGCGGTCCAGCACTGCATCATATTCATGCACGGCTGCAGACACAGAGCCTGTCCGCAGGATCCCGCCTGCCACAAACAGCCGGTCCCCCACAGCCGTGCAGCCAGGACTGACCAGAGAGCCCAGCGCTGCAATCTTCTCCCACTTCCCTGTCCGAGGGTCAAAGCAGTCCACCGTGTAGTCTCTGATGGCTAAATTCTCCTCCTCCCGAGGCGTCAGGTCCACGCAGACAATCTTCTTTTCAAACATTCCCTCCCGAGGTCTTAGAGGTCCTCCGAGACCCTCACCAGCTGCAGCAGGTCCTAACTCCTGGCACAGTCTCCGGCTCTCTTCCAGAGACAGCAGCCCTGGACGTAGGTGGTGGAGCAGCGCCGGCATGTGAGCGTAGCGATCAAAGGGTTGATGCTCCGCCCAGCGTCGTGCTGCATCGTAAACCTCCGCCTCAGAGTCCACCCCCAGACGGTCAGAGCTGAGAAGGCTGCCCAAGGTGCCGTGATCCAGCAGGAGGAAGTCCTTCTGTCGGGCCACTCGTGGGAAGTGCTGAGCGACCAGCCGCAAGGAGGCGCGCAGCAGCAGCTGGTCATGATGAGAGCGAGCCAAGGAGTACATCCCCAGACAGTTTTCCACGGAGAGGTGCTCAAACAGAAACCTGGAGAGAGAAGAAAGGAGAAAAGTGGCGAGAGAGACGACAGGAAGGAGAATAAAAGGCTGAATCTTAACTTCACAGCTGATTTACCTGGAGCACAGATCTTGAAGAGGCATGACCTGGAGTCGGTTGGCGGCCACAAACAAATCCTCCGCCGTGTCCAGACAGAGTCCGGCCTCACCCGTGTACACAAACTGGATCACAGTCTCCATGACGGATGGCGTCACTTCTTCCAGTCGGATCTCAGTGAGGCGGGACTCCACTAGAGGGCTGGTGAACATGGCCCGAAAGTACGGGCTCACGGCCGCCAGGAGGACTCTGAGGGGCCACAAAGAGAAACAGACTAACATAGGGGTTGACTGTCTCTGTCAGGTCTTAATCACCATGGGTTTATCCTCTGAAAACTTCAGTCCAGATCCATTTTTGGTTTTTGAAGTGGATACATTTTTGGTGGGGTAAAAGAAACAAATGTCACTCATGAAACTTCTTCTCCTTGATCCTGACCTTTAAGCCCTTCTCAGATTCCTTATTTTACAACATTTAACACAAAAATAATATCAAACTTTTGAATAAAATCCAAATAAAACAATGCAGGATTTTAAAAAATCATGCTTTTTTAACACAGAATGCAGACGGATTTTCAGTTTGGCAAGCAAATTTCAGGAGTCCATTTGCCACATGACTGTGAAATACAGCATTTTCTGATTATTACTTCACAACAATGCTGATTTTCAGCAGCTTTGAAGGCAAACAAAAATTCAACAGAGGAGCACACCGAATCTCTGTTGACTACACAGGAGGTCAGCAACACTGAAACCAGCCTACCAGGACCAGGACTTTATGACAGGGTGAATAACTAAAAGTTCGAGAAGGTCACTGTGCTTCAATCGGTGTTGCGGTAACAAACACCATTTGGCTGTCCTGTCATACAAGATTGATCAAACTTGATCACACTTAGACACTTGAGTGCACGAGTGTGTCCCATTCTTCCAGCAATCAAAAGTGCAAAGCGCCTCATTTGCACTTCATTGGTGCATCACGTTAGTGACCTTTATTCCCTAGTGTATTCCCTTGTTTATTCCCCTGTTTATCCTCAGTTATTGATAAAAGCTATGAGATTGCTGCTGGATGCTGACAGAGAAATTTTAATGTGAAAAAGATGTTTCAAAAATACAAATTATATTTATATCACAAATGATGATGATAATAACCTTTTGATTGAGCACTGCTGATGTGTCTGCAGCGTGTGATCACAGGACAACCTGTGATAGTGTTGACATTAATTTTATATGTACTTTTGATATTCCTGCTAAAATGATTTATTTAGATTTATTTAACTAATCTTAATTATTTATGAAAAAAAGGATAATTTTTTAGCACATCTTGTTTTTTCCTGAAGAATATATGAATATCATTAACATTTGCTGGCCACATTGTGCATTTAGAAATTAAATATTGTTGTTTAGTGGTGGCAAAACAGGGGAAAGAAATGCATTAAAAAATTTTTTGATACAAAAATCTTCCAATACAAAACTACTCGATGCTGCAGCCCGGGCTAAACAACTCTCCTTTATTTCTGAGGAACAAAACGTCATTGAATGTTTGTTTTTCAGCCTCTTAACATCTCGCTCCTACCTGTGACACATGAACTTCTTTCCCTCGACAAGAAGAGTAACATCACACAACTGCTGAGCGTCCAGGAGCAGCTTCAGTCCTAATGCAGAGCAGAAAGATGAAGATGTGTTAAAGGAAGAGGATGATGGGTAAATAAACTCAGTTTCAACGTTCTCTTAATAATGCCCCCCTGCAGCCTCGTCATTCCCCCTCTCACCATGTGTAATGTAGTCTCCTAAAGGTGTGGTGCTGTCATCGGGGAAGTCCTCCTCCTCTGAGTCACTGTCTGACAGAGGCTCTCCTCCTCCACCGTCTCCATCCTGCCACGGCTGGGGACGCCAGGTGACTGTGCCCCCCCGCACGGCATTCATCTGTGGTAAACACAGTGTAGATACACAACACAGAGTTCAACACAACTTAAAGGCTTCAAACCCCAAATGACGAAAAGTTAAAGATGAGAAAAAAACAGGAATACCACAGAGTGAAACAATGAGTAATTATCAGTGGCAAGCTGGTGTATGAGAGAGGACTTGAACAGCTATGACCCAGATAACTCTTGTCTGCTTCTCTGAACTGTGCTGTATTCAGTTTTCTTCTGATTTCATTCTTGGATGCTGAAGTATGTTCAGGGGCAGGTCTACAGCGTGGCCTGAATAGAGCACTAACATGAGCAGGGATGACATAATGTGTATCTGCACACACATCAGACGGATGTATTTACAGGTGGTTGACCATTGTGGGTTTTAAACAGCCAATGGTGATTATTAGAGATCAGATGGCTGATGTAAAAGGCCAGATTCTGTCACTTTTTACTCGACATTTGAGTCTTTGATCAAACTTGGGTGAGAAGTTTGTATTTGCACTGCAGCCCATCTGAAGTAGTCTGCATTTTTCTGCTGGATCAGAAAGCGTAACCTGACAAATGCATGGCACTCTTGACCTCAGTAAATCAATACAGTGATAATTTGCACCCCTTGTGTCAGATTTTTCTAAGATCCCAGAGTTTCCATTGACCACCATTCATTTTTGAAGAACTGTTTTCACCCAAAAAGGGGGTTGGGGCCACAACTTAAAGGGATATTCTGGTATAAAATTAATTTAGAGTCAAACACACCGTAAAACCGAGTTAGACACCCCCTCGAGAGATGAATGTTGTCGACTGCTTGCTTCTCTATTTATACCAGCTTTAGTAACAACCACAGGATAGCAATACACAGTGGTCTAAGGGGCCATAAACAAACCTCAACCAAAACACTACTCTACAGCCAAAAATAACGCTTAGAACAGCACCTAACTTTACCAACAGTACATATAGGGTCCCAGCCATAGCACTAGTCATCAAACATCTTTTTAACTTTGCCTTATTTCTTCAGCAAAGAGACCAAACACAACCCACCTACTCTCTTCCAGCAGCCGCTTGTTTGTAGCGAGACCTAGGGCCAGTCCATTATGGACTACAGCGGGGTGACACAGCTCAAGGAAGAACATTAATGATCATTACTTTATCATTTCCTTTTAAGTAATAATCACCATATTCATAATTTTGCACTGCAGACGCAGTAGTTTGTCTGCCTTAGCATCTCGGTCTGATTGCATTTCCATGAAGCAATGATCATAAATGTTCTTCCTTGAGCTGCGTCACCCCACAGGAACCATAATGGACTGGCCCGAGGCCTTGCTACAAGCAAGCGACTGCCCATATAGACCCTATATGTACTGTTGATTAAGTTAGGTGCTGTTCTGAGCATTATTTGTGGCTATAGAGTGACGTTTCGGTTGAGCGTGTGGCTCTCTGCACTGCTATCTGCGGTCACTTCTAAAGTTGGAATAACTACAGAAGCAAGCAGTCGGCAACATTTATCTCTCAAGGGGGTGTCTAACTCGGTGTTACGGTGTGTTTGACCCTGAATTAACTTTACGCTGGAATATCCCTTTAAGTACCCAGATGGGTTGCTTTCGTCTATTTAGGAGGCAGGGTGGCCAATCATAATCCAGGAGGGGCTCAGGCCACCTTGAACTGACTCCTGGATCCGGCCCTGATGAGGAGGATGAGACTTTGACTGCAGCAGCTCACAGCAGACCCTCATCCTCACTGAGTCAGGGTCTGAAGGTTTAACTCAGGTTTACTCTACCTTCGCTCTTCTTCTGGTTTCCACCGTGAAGGCTGGTCGGGTCCCTCTCTCCACAGGAACAGGTGAGGCGGATTGGGGCGGGCTAACTCTACCACAGCACCCGGTTTTACCAGAGGCCTCGGCAGGCTTTCGCTGCTCCCATGTGGCTGCCTGCCTGGGTCCTCCGGGTTCCGCTGAAGGGCTCGTCCCGGCCTGCTGAGAGAGGAGCCGCGTCAGGCTACTCGCTGCTCATCCAAAACATCACCCCAAGCAGACGGTGCAGACCCGGTTTTGCTGAAGACCAGTTCCCCCGCTGCGCTGAAACCTCCCGTTGTACCCCGGATCAGTCCACCATGGCCCTGAGAAGACGTCCGGCACGCTACTTGAACAGGAACAGAGAGTTTGTAGAGCCGAAAGACAGGTACCAGGTCTCAATTTGGGTTCAGTCGGCCGCACTTGTCACGTCTGAACCGGATTACTGCAACGTTAAACTTCCGCTTCTCTGATTGGTTGACCTTTGCCTCGTGACGTATGGTGGTATCTGAGCCAATTTATTTACCGCAAAATGAAATATCCTTTATTTCCTCTGTCACGGAACTTAAAAAGTAGTTTTAAGATACAATAATTTCTTAAATCATTTCTAAAAATTCAATATCAATTTTGTCCATATCCGAAAGTAAAAAGGTGACTTCCGCTTACATGATGCATTCATGGCCTACCCGGCTTTTTCCATCACGAACCGTACTTTCTGATTGCGTCGATATTTATTTATACATTTTGTCATTTAAAGTGATTTTTCTCACTTGCAGGCAAAATGCTGTGATCTACATATGTATATCAGCTGTAATCGGACATTTATCCATCTAATTTGCTTTAACTAGATTTCTATTTAGTCTGATGTTATTATCTGATATTTTTTCTAGTTGACAGTTTCGCTTAATATTATGTGTAATGTCATAGTTTTACTCACTAAACTCACTTTAACAACTCTAAAGAAAACATACTTGAACGCGCATTGTGAAAGAAGACGCGTTTTTTTTAAAGGAATGATTACAATTATTCCCACATCCACTGAACGCGGCACAAATTACGAGGCTAAACATGGCGACCTGCATCAGCATGGTCTCGAGAGCTAGGGGGACAGCACTGACTGTGTTAAAGCCGGTAGCATCCAAGTGTTTGCGGCAGAGGACAGGTGTCTTTGTCCGCCTTTCACACGATGTCCGCAGCAGTCTGTACGAGCATGTCCGAGAAGGGTACAGCGACAAACCTGAGCTGGACATGAGGATGGTGTGTGAAGAAACCCACAAAGTCATAGCAAATGTGGAGAAGAGGAAGGGCGAGCTGAGGGGGGACGATGTCAGGAAGATTGTAAGTGTTATGAGTGAAAACTTTACATCATTTTATCATGAGATTGTGGACTGTGGATCTGACTTGGTCTTCATTTAAGTTACAGGTTTTAAAAGTTACAGTAAAGAAGTTGTCGGCCTTGTTTGTGATGGTTGTATTTGTTTTAATAGACCATAACAAAACATCACTGTAAAAGTTACCTGTAACCAGATTTGTCAAGTGAGGATTATGATATGTATAGGGAAAGGGTGGTACTGCTAATAAGAATCCAAACAGGGTGAGGGAGACCTCTTAACTTTGTGAAGAATAAAAGAGTTATAGTAAAATATTTACATTTACAGTAGACTACAGTAGACAGCAAACATCAGCTCATATCTTCAGTGACATATCATTGAAATAATTAAATTGAAGAGCAGCATGATGCATATGATGATTTTATTCTTGTGTCCTCTCTAGGTTTGTGTGTGGCAGGAGCTCCAGGCAGTGAGGACCGAGATCTCTGGGCTGGAGGAGAAAAAGAAAACCATCAGTGAGATGGTCAAAGCGTTAGTGGTCAGTAACACGATGTTACAGAACCAGCAGTTACTGATGGATGGATAAATGTATGGATGGATAAATGTATGCATGGATGGAAGATGGATGGAGGGATTTTTGAAGGATTGGTGGAGGGATAGACAGACAGATGGATGGATAAAGGAATGATGAATGAAATTTGATAAAAGGTTTCAGAGGGAATTATGGTGGGTGGGTGTAAATTAATAAATGGATTGTTAATGGATAGATGTTTTGAATGAAAAGATGAATGAATAAATAAATGAAAAGATGACAAAGAATTTTGATGGATACATTTTTGATGGATGAATTTATTTTGGATGGATGAGTTTGTTTTAAGACAATAGAAAGAGGGATGGGTGGATGATGAAAAGATTTTAATTAATGGATTTCAGAGGCAAAGATGGATGGATGGGTTTTAATGAGATGGATTTTGGATGGGTGAATGAGTGATGGAAAGATGGGTTGCTATTGGATGATGGAGTGGATGGATGAAAGGATGACAAGGAATTTTGGTGAACAAATTTATTTTCGATTGGATGGATGAATTTATATTTCAAAAGAAAGATGCATGGCTGAATGGTTGGACGGATGAAAAAAATTGAATTTTGGATAGATGAATGATAGAAGAATGGATGGATTTTGAAATTGTTGATTGGATGGGTAAATAGATAAATGATGTATACGTGTCAAATGGACGGATTTTGAATGGATGGTTGATGGATTGGATAGTAAATGGATTAACTTGGATGGATGGAGGTTAAATCTGGATGGATTTATGGATCGATCAATGAATGATTGGATGGATAAAATGGCTAGCTGGGTGGATGTCTACATGGATTGATGGATGGATTTTGCAGACATATTTAAAACTATTAGCAAGACTTTTAATGTATCTATTTGTTCTTGGTACACTGTTAATAATGGTCGTTTGAAGAAAGGATGGAGGAAACATGTAACAAACGTTTGCAGGTTATAATTATTTCTTTATTTGCTCCTTGTTTAGCAAAGAGAGACTCAAGCATAACTCTTTTGTGGAACTTTATTTGTTGTCATTATTTTAAAGTCATTAACTCTTTATAAATTACAGCTGCAACATTTGTGTTTTAAGAGTTTTCAGATTCATCCATAATTTAACTATAATGTTTTTTGTTTACAGGAAAAAAACAACAAGAAAGCTCTTGCCAGTGTAAGTTTATCATCAGACGTGTTTGATAAATTGTCAAACTGAATTAGTGCATGTTTGAGGCTGTTATTTGTTGTAAATTCTGTAGAATCCAGAGTACACCCAGGCTCTACAGAGAGGCCGGGAGATCCGCAACAGACTGAACCAGCTCGTACCCCGAGAGACTGAGCTGGATCAGGAGTTCTATAGGTGGGCGCTCCGACTGCCAAACACAACACACCCTGATGTGGTGAGGATGCACACAAACAAACACACTTTCTCTGAAGATTTAGGGAGGAATATTTCCTTTAAAGTGTTGATTAAAACCTCTTAAAATCCCTCTTTCTGATTCAGCCAGTTGGTGATGAGAGTCAGGCAAGGGTGGTGGAGCTGGTCGGACAGAAACCAGGTAATGAATGTGACATATGGCACCATTTATCTAAAAAATAAAGTCTTGATAATCTGGAATACATAAATATAAATCTCATAACCATTTTTCTTATCCTAGAGTTTGACTTCAAGCCCAAAGGTCATCTGGAGCTAGGGGAGAAGCTGGGTCTCATCAGGCAGAGGTGAGGAAGACTAAGTAGTCAGGTTACGCTTACTGAACAAAGACCAAGTTCAAATTCCCCCACTGTGTATTCTAGTATGAGTATAATAAAATGATGAAGATAATCCTCATTTGTGTGAATTTGGATCATAATTCTTACTTCTTGTCTCTTCTCCTGCAGACATCTAGCTCATGTGTCGGGCCACAGGTCCTACTATCTGAGGGGGGTTGGTGCCAGACTTCAAACTGCTCTCCAAAACTTTGCACTTGACAAACTGCAGCTGCGGGTAAACATGTCTGGAAATATCAGACACAAACCCAAAATACACACCTACACTGAAGTCATATAAAAATATAAGAATGACACAGAGCCTGACTGATGTTTTTTTCTTTTGGCTCCTGCAGGGCTTCATTCCCATGGTTGTTCCTGACATGCTGAAGGGAGCAGTATTTGTAAGTAGAGCTCACTGAGACTTTTCCTTCTCACTCTGACTTTTGCTCTTTTGTTGCCTCATCACTCTGTTTTGTCCCCTCCAGGAGGGTTGTGGGATGCAACCTAACGCCCATCGCTCTCAGGTCTATGCACTGGATCCGGCCAATTTCCCAGACCTCAACCTTGCTGGGACTGGAGAGGTTGGGATTGCAGGTGAAACATTTTATTCACGCAGAAACAACTTTATTAAAATAAAAAGATCAAAAAGTTAACTTCATAATAGCCTATGTTCATCCACCTTTAATGACTGGGGTTCCCTGGAATAACTCAGCATGTTAATGATTGTGTCAGTGTGGAATAATTAGCCAACATGCAGAGCTAAAATATCTCCAGAAAGGTTTTTTTTTTTTGGCTATTGTGACAGATTGTTGCTTTATTCTTCAACATTTGTCATGTTTCTGCATGTACTATTACACAGGGATGACATGCATCTATGCACTTATGCTTGTAGTATTGCAGATTACTCTTGACAGTTGCAAAGCTTTAATATATCAAGTGTGTCTCTTTCCTTCAGGCTACTTCATGGATCATGCTGTCAGCTGGAAGGACCTTCCTGTCAGGTAAAATCAACCTTCACTCCTTGTTAGCAGTGCATATTTTTATACAAAACCACCAAATCTGACATGGTCTGTTGTCTCCTGCAGGTCGGTGTGCAGTAGCACCTGCTACAGAGCAGAGACTGACACAGGCAGAGAGACCTGGGGGCTCTACCGAGTTCATCACTTCAACAAGGTGAAGAGCATACAAGGTTTTATCATATATATTTATGCACTAAAACCTCACTTTCCTGTAGAGTCAAATATTCTTCACAGGAAATGGCACAAGCAAAGCATTCAAAATAAAACAGTTAATGAACCAAACGGGACCCAGTACTGGACCTTGCGGGACATGGTTTGAAAACAGAACAGTCTCTCAGAAAGCTGGCTCATTTACAGATCTAAAAATGAAAATCATGACATTTTAGTGTTTGTAGGAACTCAGCATGATCATCAGTGTGAAATCAACAAAGAGTGCAGCACAAGGTCTGACTGTGTGTGTTTTTTTCGTTGTAGGTTGAGATGTTTGGAGTGACAGCAGATGAAACAGGGTTGGAGAGCTCTGAGCTGCTGGAGGAGTTTGTCTCTTTGCAGAAAGAGATTTTCTCTGCACTGGAGTTACACTACAGGTTAGTGAACAGACACACACACACACTGGTCTCATCCACAGTCATGATCTAAGATTGAATTGCATGCGTTTCCCAAGCTGACATGGACCTGTGTGTCTTAAATTAAGTAGAGATTCTTGGCTTCTAGTTATACCTTCTGTGTTGTTGTGGCTCAGAGTTCTGGACATGCCGACACAGGAACTGGGTCTGCCTGCCTACAGAAAGTACGACATTGAAGCATGGATGCCTGGAAGGAACAGCTACGGAGAGGTTGGCCTCTTTTACCATTAACACCTGCCCACCTTCATTTACCATTATCAGTCTAAAATGAAGGATTTCATTTGCTGTAAGAGTTATTAGCAGCTCTTCATCTTTGCTGCAGGAGTTAATGTGTTAATGGTGCCAAGCATGCAATCAGAGCCCAGATTTTTCTTCAGCTAGAAAGTCTTGAATATTGTTGAGCCCTGCTACTCTATCGTTTGGCCCAATCACTCCTTTTCCTTTATGCCTTTAAATTGCAGATTTCCAGTGGATCCAACTGTACTGACTACCAAAGCAGACGCCTTAACATCTTGTATGAGAGAGAGGACGGCAGCCTGCAGTACGCCCACACGGTGAGACAGCAGAGGAGGCTGCATATTACTGTCTGCAGGTTTAGCTTACAGCGGTACAACACCTTACCAACGTGTTATTTTTACTCTCCAGGTGAATGCTACGGCGTGTGCAATCCCCCGAACCATCATTGCCATCCTGGAGACTCACCAAACCAAAGTGAGATACTTCGCACATGGAGATTCCCAAAAACATTCAATTATTTCTTATTTAATATAAAGTTTTATTTTTGTATAAGCTCATTTCTAATTTAAACTTTTAAGATATTTTGTTAAGAATGAATCAACTCTCTGTTGTTACTGATGCTGACATTTCTTCCTCTTTTCTCCTCGCCTCTCCAGGAGGGAACTGTGCGTGTCCCCCGAGCCCTACAGCCTTATCTGGGTCTTGAAATGATCGAGGGGCCGAATTACACTCCACTGAAATACATCGGACCAAACCAGCACACCCGACCCCCTAGGCCTGTTCCCAAAACCAGATGACCCAAATAGATATGCAGTTCTTCATTGCTAACCCTCATTCCCCCCAAAAAACAAGGTGGGAGCCAGTTCACATCAGACCAGATAGTAAAAAGCAGGATATTTGATGCACACATGGATGTTTCATTCGGTCTGTTTGGATTGAGTCTAAGAGGATGTTTAGATAATTCAAGGTGAGGATCAGATTTTCACATCGAGGGTTATTACAAATGTAAATAAGATTTTGTCTTTCTGTGTCAAGTGCCATGAAATCTGAAGCACGAGGATGATCACTGTCACAAATTACGAATAAACATGATATCCTGTTAAGCTGTCCAGTTTTCAGTGTCTATTTGAGCTGATCTAGAAGTAATTAACCTTTAAAACACTTTTATAAACCTAAGATACCATGACAACAAAAACAAACATGTATGCACATAAATATGCTTCAGATGTTTAAGCTGAAACATTTTACTGTCATGAAAAGAACTCATTTTAAAGCTGATATCAGCAACATGCTTTCAAAATGTTCGATGTGTTTACTCAGTTTCCTCTTATTACTACAAAATGAACCAATTAATCAGCAGTTTAGAGGTGATAATGTAGCATGTGCCTCACAAATCAAATGGAAGCTGTCATAATCCAAATCTCACTGCGCATAGTTAGTGGGATTTGGAATTATAGTAGGTAAAATGTGCTAAAGTGTTTAGACTCTTCTGTTCCTCTGTAAATCTCCATATGGACCACAGACCAGGCTCTTAATCTGCCTGAGTCTCACAGATGAGGCAGTTTGTTAACACACTGGGAAACGGAGCGGTAATCGGACATCTTTGGCACCTAGCAGGGTCTGATCTGGTCTTGGTCACCTGACACACACACATATACACACACACACACACACACACACGGTGTTCGGCTCCACCTCGCGCTGCGGGTGTGTGTAAAGCTCCAGCCCGTTATTTCAAGGTTATCTCCTGCCGGAGCCTCACTTTCCGGATCCTATGGGATTTCTTTTAACCTCGGTGTTTCTCTGGGCTGCTGTCGGAGGTAAGCGTTTCTCACTTTAATTTCAGGCTCTGGTTTTAATGGTTATGAGAGCTCTCAGTGTGAGATATCGGGACTAAATAGGAGTGATAGCTCTCAGCAGGCATCAGCCTCTCTCTGTCTCTCTCTCTGCTTTTGCGTTTACTGTTCGCATTTTTACTGTTTTTACCGGCTGGATTTCACTTAGGCAGAGCAAAGTAATCGCGTTTTCACTACTTTCCGGGTCAGACCGAAGGTGTTTGCTAACCTTATGGTTAAATCCTCCGGGCTTTAGCCAAATAAGATAAACAGGAGCTGTTATATAATTCATGATGCGCCCACCTTTCTGCTCCTGTCTGCCGGACTGACGTTGCTGCTGACAGGATACAGTTTCATAAAGATCGAGGTTTTAAAAGAGAACAAATATAGACACATTTCACACACCTCAAAAATCTATTGTAACATCTTAACGTGAGATTTAAATCTCCACACAGGTGAGCGGAACAGCGCACATGTGCGCGTGCTTACAGCATGTTGACACGCGCCCATCGCTGTGAGAACGTGAAGGCTCCGTTAATTAAATCAGCGCAGTGTAGGGTTAGAGAGTGATGGTGAATTTCCTTCGTTTAAAAACGGTTAAATTACAGTATAAATCTGTGATATCACCTCCTCAGAGCTAACAAACTGTTGGAGAGTTAATATCTGTTTATGTGTCGCATTAGTTTAGGTCAGTAACAGCAACACCCTGAGGGAGCTAAAGCTAGTTAGCATTTTATCCTAAACAAAACATGTCAACTGCAGGCAATCTAATCGTGGACTACAACATGCCACTGCGGGGTCAAATTACATGCCAATAGGTGGAGAAATGTTGGTATAAAATCAGAACAGGTGCGCCTGGCTTTAGTATTTATTGGTGTGATGACCATTATGAGCTGTGTTTGTCAGAGCTAGGTGCCACAATGAAATGAGCAAAATAAGTATCAATAGCTTAAGCTAAAAAATGCAAAAGATTATATGCAGGTAAAGATTAGATAACTTAAATAAATGTTCAATATTATAATTACTTGACTTTCACTTATGTAGCACCTTTAGAGACCATTTTTTCCAAAGTGCTTTGAATTACAGGCAGATATGAAAACAAAGCTCGAACATTAAGAATGCAAGCACAAAAAGAAGCCATCGGTTTAACCTAATCATCATAAGAACACAATAAAACAGTTCAAGCACCACTATTAAAGGAAACCAAATGTGAGCCCAGGCAACACAATAACCTAACATCATGATCTGAACTGAGACTACAAAGACTAAATGCAATTCAGAGGTAAAACATTTAGAGCCAAGGCAGGTAAAACAAGTTAGAATAAAGAAATGCTTAAAGGCAATAATAGGAAAAATGATTATAAAATAGAGTTTAACAGAAGACCATCTAACAAGTGAAATATGCTGCAAATGTAAATACAAAATTTAAAAAAATCCTTAAAAGCTAAAGTAGTTTCAAGCTCCTACAAGCCTGTAGCAATTTCATTAAAAAGTTTTACTCGTTTACTGCCTTCATTTTTGGTTGCAGCTTTTTTCTGTCTTTGTGCATGTTTTAAAAGCCTTAGAGTTAAGTACAGTATATGTGGTTAAAAGCTTATAAAGTTAGTTGTCATGCAAGCAGACAAACAGAAACTTTGATAATTTTGTTGGCAAATAAAGCTATAAAAATGAATTAGCTGTAGTGACAGTTATGAGTATTAGTTTCTGCCTAAATGAGCTCTGACAGAGGCTCTTGTTTCCATAACTTAAACCTGCTCATTGGCTGATTGTGAGCTCATTAAAAACAGGACAAGTCCACAAAACCAGAGTCAGGTCATAACTTTTCGATTTGGCCAAGCTCTTAGATGGCTGGAGGAAAGCACATCCACACACACGCCTCCGTCACACGGACACACTGTGACTTACAAAGGCAGACCATGAGCAGCTCACGTGTCTGCAGGGGGGCGTTCAGCAGTAGCCTGGGAATCAATTAGGCCTATTGATCCTGATCTGTCCTGATCTGTCTGTGAGCTGACACAAACCACAGGGTTTGATCTAACTTGCAGATTCTGCATGTGTCCTGTTGATAAAAGGTGTAAATTAACATGATTATCTACTAAGTGTTGAATAGCTGCAGATTAAGTAAATTTGGGATCAATGTAATTAGTTCAGGAAGGGACTCTTAAACGGCTAAATAAAGGCAAACTAATTGATTAGGATCTTTGTGGCTCAGTCTTTTCCGTGCACCAATGTCCAAACAATGAAAGGAAAGGTTGCCGTCTGCAGGTCGAGCATGTATTTTAATCAATTTTGACATTTAGCTCCTTGTCAGTGTCAGTCTATCTGTGCAAAAAGGCCCAGAAGGGCATGCTCAGTGTGCCTTTAATGAGTTACTGTGAGCCTGATCCTACTCTGACTGATTTAGCCTGCATGGGTGACAAACTACCTGAGAGCCAAAGCTTCTGGGAATATCTGCATCCAAAGGAGAGGGAGAGAGAGAGAGGCTTAAGCTTCTGTGCTGTGTCACTTTACCACAGTGCTTACCTTAATGAGGGAAAAGCTCAGCCCACGCCAATGCAGGACAAATCACTACTGCACAAACTAGTTCAGCGGTACTGTTTCATCACGTGTATGTGTGTGTGTGCTGTTTTTACTGCGACACAGATGCTTAAATTTACTGTTAATCATTATTTCTTACTCTGTTTTGTGCCTCAGTGGGAAGCAGGCCAGTTACCTCCCCCCTTAATGATGCCAAGGTCTGAAAATTTCCCTTTTTACCTATCTAATCTTTCAGCATAATACACATTTTAATTGCTGATCCAGTAATTGTGTGTTTTTGCTCCCACTGTGCCTCTAGGTTGAATGTATTATCCAAGAGACTCTGAATGAAGATGGAGCGCACCATGAATGTGGCCCACAGCTAGCAGGTAACAAAGCAAATTACCTGTTGTTGTGTTGTTGTTGTTTTTTTTCACAACAAAGTGCCAAGGAGAGACATTTGACTTTGAATTTAACTTTAGAGCTCTTGTGAAGAGTTTTAGCTGCATGTAAAACAGACTTGAAATAAACACTAATACCTTAAAGTTACCTTTCATTATTTTGGCTGCTTCTAACTTGAATATCATGATCCAAAAGTCCTGAACCCTTTCATTTCAACACTATTCAGCCTCTGCCTGATCCACTTCATTTTGGCTGCTATTCCACTGCTAAAAAGAGAGGGGTGTTACTTTTTACACAGATATGTTGTCATAAAACAACCTGAAATGTATGCCTTGTCAAAAGATATCGAGGACTAGCTGGAAGAGCTACATTTAGTCTCATCAAGACACCTTAGCCATAGTCCTATTATATGCTGTTATGTTGTCACTTACAGCTAGTGTCTCTGAGTTTCATGAGGATCTTACTAGATGAGCAACTCCAGGTTTTAGAAACAGGCTTTTGTTTACAAAGTAATCATCAGAGAAGTAGGGAATGCAAAAAAAAAAAAACAGGATGATATTTGCATTTGAGCTCATCTTTATCAATCACCATAAGCATCTATCAATGAAAAAAATGATCAACCACAAGAAAGAAAGACTACATCAGAAACATATGCTACAGTCCAAATCAAATGCAACACTGAAAATATGCTGCAAACGAAATTTGTGCTGCAAAAAGCCCCATTCAGACTACCCCTGCAGACCTGAAGCACTTCAATTAAAAAGGGTTTCCTTATTTTTTACTTCTTTCTTTATTTGCTGCAGTTTCCTGTCTTTGTGCAATTTAGCTTTGCATTATTTGTGAATCAAGCAGCATGTTTACTGTTCATGAATTCTTTAGGCTTTTTGCAGCGTGTTATTTCCACTCTTGAGTTCGTTTGGGACTGTTGCGTGTGTTTTAAACATTTGGTTGTTCCTGCATCTGCAGCAGGTTTATTGTAACAGAGATCATTCTGACCCTAACCCTTGTCTTTTAGCATTGTTTTAAAAGGACGACACAATCTGATTTCAGATTTTCGCAGCAGCTTTACACATTAATGTTGTAAGCAGTGAGGGTCTAAATTGCTTTTGTATGTCATAAAAAGGCAGCAGAACAAATTTCAGTCTGTTGTATAACCAGCTAAAACTCCTTACATCAGCTTTGAATACACTTTAAGGTGAAACTTTTAACTTTTATTGCAGAAATGTTTACCTATTTTAATCTGATCTAATCTTTAATGTATGTTCAGCACATGCCTGATGTCCAAAGACTTTTTTTTTTCTATAGTGTTTTAAATGTAACTCACTTTGTTGGTTTTCTGTTCTTTGTTTTTGAATAATTTGTGCAGAGGAGCTGGATGAAGTGCAGAGACACCAGGGTCTGCTCAGGGAGCTGCAGAAGCTGGCAGGTGATGGTGAGCAGCAACATCTTAAAGACATTTTACTGCATATTTAAGTTTCCCTCTGAAGTTATTCATGACAGACGATACATGCACAACGATGCATCTAAACCTGCTGATGTTTTCTGTTGATGTCTGCAGAGAGGGAGAGGGAGCGAGAAGACGAGAGGGAGAGATATGACTACAGCCTGGCTGAGGATGAAGGGGACTTTGAAGATGAAGATGAAGAGACAAAGGAGGATAGTGAGGTGACCAGTCCCACACAGAAGACTGATGAAAAGAAAGACACCAGAGCAGAGGAAGATGACACCAAAGAGACGAAGCCAAAGGAAGAGCAACAGATCGAGGACAAAGGGAGGGACACAGAGGAGGAGAGAGCCAAGGAACTGGAGGAGCTGCTCGCTGAGGAGATCACAAAGAAAGGAAAGGAGGAGAGGAACGATGAAGAGCTAAAGGAGCTGCTGAAAGAGCTGAAGAAGAAACGCTACGAGGCAGTGAAGGAGAGGGAGAGCCAAAAAGACTTAGGAGATGAGCAGAAGGAGGAGGTGAAGAAAGTGGAGGACAAAGAGAAGGAGGTAAAAACTGCAGAGGAGGTGGAAAAACAGAGAATGGAAGAGAGAAGGAAGAGTGAAGTGGAGCTGATGGTGGAGAAGGAGAAGGTGGAGAAGGAGCTAAAGGAGCTGCTGAAGGAGCAGGACAGTAAAAACAGGCCGGAGCAGGAGAGGGAGAGGAAGGAGAAGCAGGAGGAGCTGGAGGAGCTTGTCAGAAAGATGAAACGAGTGCAGGAGGAGGAGGGCGAGGACGAAACGCAGCGTGGGAAGAAAGACGAGGGTGTGGATGACAAGACAAAAGAGGTGAAGACAGAGGAGAAAGAAAAGGAGGTTGGAGAGAAAACAGAGAAAGACGAGAAGAAGAAAGAGGAGGCGACAGATGTGAAGGAGCCACAGCAGAAGAGAGTGATGGAGAAGGCGAGCGATGAAGCGACACGGCAGTTTGAGAGGGAGAGGTACAAGGACGAAGAAGAGGAGGAGGAGGGAGAAGATGAAGACGAGTATGTCAGGGAGGATGGGCAGGAGGAGGAGGAAGGAGGAGAAGTTGAAGAGGATGAAGGAGAGGTAAGGTGACACAAATACAGAGTGAGTTTCAGTGATTTATGAATGATGATTTACTCAAACAAGGAATTTATCACAGTCTTAACAAGTACAGCAGCTTTAGCTCTGATGTAAGGAGGCCATGTTTTCATAAACTCGCTTTTATATGTAAAACAGTATCAGAGATCTGAAAGCTGTAATCCAAAGCATTATCAGACTCCCTTGATGCTTAAATTCTTGTTTCTTCCTCCACAGGAGCTGCTGGAGATTGAGGCAGAGTTGCGCAAAGTTGCTGCAGAGCTGAGGGAGCTTCGCCGAGGATAAGACACACAAACGCAAACACACACACACACACGCACACACACACAGAACAGACTGACTAAACCCTTTGTTGCATTCACAATCACACATTCAGCTCACACATTTTCCATTTAACAGCCTTCACATCCCCTCAGCACTCAGAAATATCTTTAGTAGAAACATTAGGAAAAACCTGGTGTTTCCATTCTGGGAGGAAGACTGAACCGTTTCTGCAGCACTCGTTTAAATGCAGCTAAGTGTTGAGGTAAAGGAGAATCTGATGAGTCATGGTATCAGTCCCTGTAAATGGTGTTAGTGAGGTAGACAGGTGATTGTACTCTAGTTATAAACCGCCATGGATGTAAAGTGTTCAAAACTCTGTATTTTTGACTGCAACACACCAACATCATCACCTTTGAGTTTGGATACTCGCATCAGAGCTTGTTTTTCTGCAGGTATCATCCTCAAAGGTGTGTTCGTTATGGGAACAGAAGCTCTCAGTCTAATAGAAGTTAAATGTGTTTTAATGTTTATTATGTGCAATAATTATGTGTCAGCTGTTCCTGCTGTTCTGACTGTTAATATGTACTACTGATATTTCTACAGAGGAGTCAGTCATAATTTCCTTGAAATGTAGAAACAGGTATTGTGTTTCATTTTGGCTCACGCACTGTTAAAACCAGACTGTTTGTGGAGAACTGGAGTGACATGAAGTAAACAGATGAAGCTCATCAGGGGTAGAAATCCTGCACAATGACACCAGTGATAGATTCTGCAGTTTGTCCTGAGCATGGTCTGTGTCTTTGGTGACAGGATGTGATGTACTTAGAGCTTACAAGGTCTAAAAGTGTCACTCCAGGTTCTCAGCCAGCTTTGCACTCTTATCTTAACAAGCCAAGGAGGAGAGGGACACTAAAGCCATTTTGTCGTCTTTTTGGTAACAGCTACATGCATAAATGCTCAGTATTGTTACATCACAGTTTCATGGCTGTCATGCCGTTTTTTGTATATATGATAACATAGTCTGCAAGCCAAGGTCATTAAATATATGAGGCAACAGCGCCCCCAGGAGGACTTTGAGTAGAAATGCATATAGTGCGGGAAAAAACAGGGTTTACCACTGGAGGCCAATGTAATGCAATAAGGTTATAAAGACTAAAGCACACCTGAATGCAATAATTAGCCAAATAATAACTTATTTTATGTATTTTAATATGTCATCCTATCATACACTGAACAGGTCAAATCTCTTTTTCTACACAGCTGAGACAGAGGCAACACATCCAGATCAGCTGATGTAAACAGGAAGTAAAAACGCTCATTACTGTCTATTCCAAATAGGGATCTGTTCAGAAAACACAACCCAAGTCCAAAAATGTTGAGACGCCATGTTAGCTGTTGATAAAACTGACTTTTTTGGTTTGCAAATCGTCTAGTCTTTATTATATGGGAAACAGGTTTTGGAACAACATCTGCTGACATCCAGACAATGACTTTTTTTTCTGGGAAGACCTTCACATCTAAGCAAGACAATGACAAACCACAGTCAACAGCATAGCTCTGTAGTAGAGGAATCCTGCTGCTAAACTGGCCTGCGTACATTTGGAGCATTATGACAAAAATATGACAGTATGCAGTATTAACAACTAAATATGTGGTTTTATTGATTTGCAAACCTTCAAACAATGTTTAAACAGCAGTATACACCTCATCCCGTACTTTTCAGGATTGTGTTAAAGAAGTTAAAGTCCTGTTGTTTTCTTTTCTGTAGAAGTTCAAGATGTTTTTTTTTATAACAATGTCACTAACAAACCAGCAAGAAAGAAGCAGAAAACGTCTGTATGGGGGGGGGGGGGGTGTAATTATGTGACAGAAGACTTTTCAAACAACAGGATAGCAACATCATTTGTTAATATTACTGTCCAATCAGAGTGCTGTATTTTGTGCCTGCTGTATCTTCTACTACCTGTTAATCAAATAAAAGGAAACTGTATTAAACTGGAATATTTGGTCGGACAAGTATGTTCATTAGACACAGGAGCAGAATACCTTCAGGTTCAAAAGCTAGTGTGGTTTTTGTAAGATTAATTTATGGCACAAACCGTAAATATGAACTCTGTACAGGTGAACCTAAGTTATATTGAACCCAGTAAATCCTGAGCGCTTTATTTGTGCAGTGAAGAAGATGAGACAGAATAGTCTGATTCTGAGGAAACTGACGGACTGGAAGTCGCAGACGTTGTTGTCTTTGTTGTCGACTCAGGAGGGGTCTGTTTGTCCAGCACTGACTGGATGTGGTCGAGGAGAGACGAGAAGAACTGTGGCACGCCCTCGTAACCTGAGAGAGAACAGACATGAATCAGAACATCACTTAGTGTGTGTGCGCGCGTGTGTGTGTGTGTGTGTGTGTGTGTGTGTGTGTGTGTGTGTGTGTGTAGGGCTGCTGTACTTGGAAAGATGTTGATGTCAATGACAGTGAGGGTGTGTGTGTTAATATTGATGATGACGTCCACTCCGAAAAGTGCCATGCCAAGCTGAAGTCGGAGCTCTCTGACCAGAGCTGCCACAGCTTCAGTGCTGGGAGGAGGCAGGCTTGGCATCTGCTCATCCAGCTTCAGGAGGAGGAGGAAGGAAAATGTCACGTTTAGATTTCTGCTCCAGCTGTAATGTTGCTCATTTCAGCTGGTCGCACACATACATGTGTGACTTACTTCAGTGAGATCAGAGTTGGACTCTGGTTTGGACACCTGATGGCTGTTGAAGAAGATTGTCTCTCTGTCTGAGAGCGAAGAGAAAAAAATAGTAAGAGAGGATGAAAGAAAACAAGGCGCAAAATAAAGATGAATTACATTTGATAATGAAAGAAAAAGAGGGACAGACAAAAATGATGTTAAAATGTTAAAAGATGACAGACAAGAAAAAGATAAGGCAGGACATGAAATGACTGAACAAAAAAAAGGACAGAGAAAGGTGTTTTATAAGAATATAAGGAAATATCAAGGAAAGACTCATATAAAGGACAGAAAAGCAAAGAGAAAGGAATAGCGACACATGACAGGACAAGAATATAGTGGAGAGGACAAAACAAAAGGGACAAAAAACAAAAATCCTTGTTTTTGGCTTGTTTCTACAAAGATGTATGCGGCTCAATATAAGACACTCACTTGAAAAGCCCAGGTAAATCTCTAATTTCAGGATATTTTACAACAAAAGTGAGACCTGAATTGCCTCCATATAAATCTGCCAGTGAAATAAGAAAAATTTCAAGACCTTGACGACTAAATTTGCTCTTATTCCCCTTGCAGATCAGTACTTTACACATTACACTGCTTTCAGGTCTTAATTTTGGAGTAAATCATCTGAAAATGAGACATTTTTGGACTTTTTGGCTGCATGTAACTGAAATTAAGCCTAGTAAGATATTCTTGCTAGAAAAAAAGAGAAATTGACTTGCTAAAGTTTGAGATTTTGCAGTAAAAGATAAGACAAAGGAAGGAAGGAAACTGGTTAAATAAGAGACATTTAAGATTTAGATTAAACCTGGAAGAACATGGTAGGAAATGAAATGAATTGAAAAGAAAGGGAAGGAAAGAAAAGGAAACAAAGGTAACACAGGAACTAACCAGAGGGACCAGAGGGGAAGTTCTTGAGTGAAGGTCTCTCCACACAGAAGTGTCTGTCTCCAACCACAAACACCTTGTGCAGGATGGCGCCATGGTTGACAAACCTCTGCAGCACACAGGGAGGATGGACATCTGCTAGACTGCCAGCGCTAAAGATCAGAGACATCTGCAAACATCACGCAGAGACGTTAAACACAGAGAGAGCAAAGAAGCAGTAATAGCTGCACAAGAAGAGCTCAATCAGACCGCTCACCTCATGGGAGAGCGAGCCATGTGCCACTCTGGTTTTACAGACTGGGGTCAACAGAGGAGAAGAAGGTCAATCTGAATGTTTGGATCTTATAAAGGCTGAAAATAAAGATTGAAAGTAAATGGATAAACTGACTGAGAGGAAAGCTGAGGTCCTGGGTGGTTACAGCCTGCTGAAGGGTCGACAGGTCACTGCTGCTGTGGATCTCCAGGTATGGAGGACTGCAGATATGCCAGTCTGATGAAGAGTGAGAAAGCAAGGATGTTAGTTAATGTGGAAAAAGGTGAGTTACATTACACTTCATGAGGCTGCAGATCACCTCGGAGTGAGTTACGCAACTTGCTCATGATCCGATAGGACGCAAAGCGATCCAGAAGCTGGGTCATAGCGGGTAGCGGGTCCAGAAGGACTGTACTGGGATGAGCTGATACATAGCTCTGCAAAGCCACAAAGAAAGAAATCACCAACCATAAAGACGTTAGAAATACTCAGACACTTGATCACTTATCACGTTTTAAAATGTTTATACTGTATCAAATGTCATGTCAGTCACTAACATCCAAAGACTTCTGGTTAATGATAGCAGCGTCTGCATTTTTCAGGAGTTCCAGTGAGGGTGCTTTCTCTGATTTATACAGTCTAATATGAGTGAAATGATTGTTCCTCAGGACATTAGGGAACATGACTGATCACGAAATGCCAACCTGCAGATGTCCTGAAGGAGCAGCTCAAACTCAAAGTACTTGTCTGATATTTTTGGACACAATTTTTTTTAGGGAAATCTGCCATTTAAAAAGAACAAATATCCTCTTTTATTCACATTAGCAGTGACAGGCAGGATGACCATGAAACAGCTTAACTACCGTGTGCCAAAAGGGACAAAACAGCACATTATTAGAAAAAAGAGATGTGTTAATATCTAAGCTGTGTTGTAATTCACACAACCACTCAGTTCTCAGTTCTCTGAAATCCAAGTGGAAAATGATGATCTTTTAAGTTCTGTTTTAGCTTTTTGGCTTTACCTGGAAGTTGGCCAGGAGCTGCTGTGATTTGCTGTCATGCTGAGCCTCCACAATGACATCAGAGAGTTTGTGAACAATGACATTGAAGGGTCCCTGAGTCTCCAGTGGCTGAGTGAGGTCAATCTGACAAAGTAAAAAATACTCTTACATCCATGCAGAGGAGCTTTGCACACAACATTTTACGGGGTAAGGTTTGGTAATGTATGTCAGTGAATCACTACGAAGGTGCTGTATCATACTTGGAGTGACGTTTGCAAAGAACGAGTGTGAGGGATTTTTTTTGCATGGAATAATCAGCAAAAATCCCTTTGAAGTTGAAAGGCTGATAGATGCTTTTGTTGGTAAAAACTTGTCAAACAAAGGATCATACTTATCTTGCAGCACAGGAGCTTCTTGTCCTCACAGGCCACCATAGCCTCAACTATGAGAGGGGTGAGCAAGGGGGCATTTCAATCCTGAACCTGGCAGCTAGATATGGCTTAATATTTCCATATACTAGTGTGAGTGTTGATAGCTCTGAGCTATCTAGTCTCTGTTAACAGCACATCTGCTGCAGCATTTAATACACCTGGAGAGTCATTTGGTTGCAATTGGTCTAACATGTTCTAGCCCTAAAGTCAGTTCAGGACTAAATCCATGAAAATACAGCAAGAGATCAAAAGTCTGCAGGGCATGTGTCTCAAAAAGTCAGTAAAACTCAGAGATTTGAACTTGGACTTCATCCTTGAAATTTACACCACCACAATGCAACATACTGAAGCCGTAGAAACAAATGTCTCAGAGAGCAGCAGGTTAGTGTGATAGCACACAGTACGGAGGATCCTACAGGCTACTGCACCAATTTTATCAGTCCACTGTTTATTGATTATAGTAAATGATATTTGTGCATGCACATATAATATAGGTAAATGAAGGTGAAATTATGATTAGTCAAAAACAATCCTCCCTTATGCATCTGTTAAGATATTCATGTGGTCAGATATTTGAACCTCTACAGCCATTGTTCACAGATCTGCCACAAGCTGGTTGCAGTAGGCGGCTGCAGGTGGCTCTGACATGGATTACCAAAGTTGTGACATCTGTCCATGACATATATGAGGATGTGTGTGCATGTGTGTGAATACAGAGCATTTCTGAACTATCTTAACCGAAGTGACACTTAAAATGTTACAGATAAACCCTTAAAATGCGTGTTTGTGCATGTCTTTAGATTTGGAGCATTCTTGCATTGACAACCACTGAAGAAATTGGATGTTTAACAGTCTTGCGTGCACACAGCTCCTTAATTTTACACACTGTTTTTTTTCTCCCAGCTTCATTTTAGTCTCAGGTTAGTTTCATACATGAGAATTAAAATAAAAACATTTACCTCCACAACCTCCAATCCATGCCCCCTGCAGGAATAAACACTGACATGTTAATATTTTTGAGGTGATAACTGCACGGCAATCAGTTGATGCAAGGCAGGGCTAACAGTAACTAACACAATTAAGTCATTTCATAATGGTGTCAGCTGTTATTAAATGCCCTGTTAGTCCTTAATGTTCCCTTGCAGTGATATATATCCCTGCATTTAAAAGGTGAAATCAACATGCCATAAGGCCCCATTCAGCTCTTCTAAGGGCCCCAGTGAGACCCCAAGGGAAGCCGGATAAGATTCAAATGAATATAAAAGTCAAAAACCAGCATAAACTTACGCACAGTACTCCACAAAAGCGTCCAGGTTCATCCTCCTGCGTTTCTTATCGCTCAGACAGAAGCCCACTCTGCAGCCTGACATTGGGCTGTGAGTCTCGGGGCCAGCAGCAGCAGAGTGACGGCAGAGACAGTCAGAGAAGGGCCCCGGCTCTCCTCCATTCACCTCCCTCTGCTGTCTCTCCAGATCAGTGGTGTGGTCTGCGTGATACGCACTAGAAAAGGTCCCAGGTTTCCGTGTACCCTCTTAAAATGCGCAAGTATACGTAACAACTGGAGCTGTGGCGCAACACAAATATTTACAGAAAATAAACGTGTAATCTTTACCTGTAATAACGTCTTCACCACTGAGGAAATTTGAAGGACTTGTCACTCTTAACTTTTAGTCAAATAACAGACACATTTAATTAAGAACCGTTCCTGAGACCCTGGATAAAAGTTGGGCATCAGAGCGGCAACGACGTCAAGCCTCTGTAGTTGAAGGCCACGCTGTGCGCAGTACCAAAAGAAATTGCGCACACGTCAGCGCTAGTGGATGTGCTGGACGCTCGCTAAAGCGCGTTTCTACCTGGAGGAAACTGTAACTGTCTGCGCCACAGACCAAGTAAGTCTGTAAAAGGGACATTAAGAGCTGACAGCGCGCTTTTCTGTGTCCTTTACGCGCAAAGACGCACGGCTGAGCTCCCACTCGTGATGAATTGTGTGTTTTTGCTTATACGGTGAAATTGAGTTCTTTATTTGGTCAGAGTGCTTTTCGTTGTCTGCATATATTATAGCCTACTGCTGCTGCTGCTGCTTCTCCTCATCCTCAGCCTCCGCTCGGCTCCACGGCTGCAGCCTGAGACGTCACCAAGCTTCATTGTGCGTGCGCTCTCAATTACGTGCACAAACAGACACACATGTCTCAGTCAGTGTAATTGGAAATGACCAGATATTTATGGATACTTCCTTTACGCACGCAGTACACGAGCCCACCAAATAGAGCCACATGCGCAGCAAAACGAACAAAACAAAGACCACAGGCATCATTTTCTTTTATGTAAAACACAAACGGCGTTTTCCGTTTCTGTCTGATACTGTCGGTGTCGTGAGTTTTAGGTAATAGCCTAAATAAACTTATGCCGTTTTGAGTTTGGGGGTTCTCAGTATACCCACTACAATAACTTAGACTACACTGCCCCCGATGGTCTCTGACAGTCAGACCGTCTCTGACTGTCTACAGGTGACTACAAGTGGACAGAGACACACATGTAGGACCAATCTAACAGACAGAGTCACTTGACTTCCTTATTCCTGCTACCATCCAATAAAACTAAAGAAGGGGCAGGCCTGCACTCCGAATATCACCGAAAACAAGTGAAAGAGAAAGTAAAAATCTGTCAGGGAAGTTCGGCTATACCATTACACCGCACTTTATCCAACAGCACGGGCATGTTTCCTCATATTAGTTGATTAAATTTGAAAATTATCAGCAATTCAGGAAGAGAAAAAGACAAAAGGCGTCTGAAAGTTCACCTGAGGTCACTAGCGCAGTTAAAGATGTCGCGCGGGTCAAACGCAGGTTTCGACCGACACATCACCATCTTCTCTCCGGAGGGCCGCCTCTACCAAGTCGGTAAGAGACGCCGTTGGAGTCCGGGAGTGCTGATACAGGCCTAAAAAAGCTTCAGCCAACAGCCAGAACTACAAATACAGACGATACTTTGAATGACTTTGTTATGATTTTGTAGCTAAAGCTGTAAACCATACCGGTTATGTTGGTTGAATGCAGTTAGCATCGGCATGAGCATGAGCTCCTCTTTTAAACGCAGATTGACCCTCAGATCAATACATTTAACCACCAGTGTAAAGTCAATAGCAACTCTGTACATGATTTTTTTCTTTGTTTAAAGGTTAGACACCGTTTCTCATCCTCAATAACTTTACTGCAGTTATACACTTCAGCTCTTCAGACTCGTACGCTAAATTTGTGCAGCAAAAGCAGCAGGATGGCTGGTCAAAAACAGCCAAAAAGTAGCTGAAAAGCTGATGAAGCCATACCAATTCAGTGCCAACATTCAAGATGAGCTTCTAAAACTTCTGTCAGAACACACTCGGGGTCAAGCAGTTGTTCAACAGCTAATACTTGATAATACTTATAATTACAGAACTGTTTCTTGTTAATGTGCATTTAATTCATTCATTTTACCCTAAACATAAAATGTCTGAATACACATCTGCACTGCTGTAATGCTGGAAAACAAATTTTATGTTTCACCTCATTCTGTCTGTATCACATGTTCATTTTTTGCAGAGTATGCTTTCAAAGCTGTCACCCAGAGTGGGCTGACATCCGTTGGGGTCCGTGGGATTGACTGTGCCGTGGTGATCACACAAAAGAAAATACCTGTGGGTGAAATAAAGCAGAAACACACAGACTTTCACTGGGATGATAGTAATCCGAGTGCAAGCGGAGTATTGAAGCCAAACCAGAGTCTTGACTCCAGCTTTATGCTGACCTGACTGTCAGCTAAACGAACAGGATACTGTTATAAAGACGCAAACACTCACATTACCAAACCAAACACTGCTTATGCTGGTAAACTGTAACTATATCAGCTTTAAAGAGTGCAAAACAGAGGTCATCATGTTCTTTTCATTTACATCATCAGCTCTGAAAATATAATAGTACAACATATTAACTTGTTTGAAATCATAGGGGATGAACTGTGTGTGTTAATTCAGCATTAATCCAACATTTGGTCTTTCCAATCATCAGTATTAAAAAGAAGGTTCATCTCATAATCAGTGCTGTCTAACATCTGGGCCACTATGGTGTCTGTCAGTCTGTTACATATTACTAATACATAAGTATTAAATATATTGTATAGTATCATATACAGCAGTATCATACAGGGTTGTATTGTGTATCATAAGTCATCCTGTGATTCCCTACCTTTGTTATTTCCAGGTGTCCAAACAGGGATGAGATGGTCTCAGTAGCTTTAATTTTATTTTTGTGACAATTAAAATAAAAAAAGATGAGAAAAAAAGACAAGAACATCTGACTTTTATCTGAAAAACTCATTGTATTTATTGTTTTATTTCCCAAAATAATATAACACTCGACATTTACAGAGTTAAAAGTCTTAATTTGCACTTTGTATAGTTGCAGAGAAGTTTGTTTTCACAGTTACTTCATTTGTTTATTAACTTCAATATGACCCGGGCATCCTTTCTCTATCTGCAGGACAAGCTGCTGGACTCTTCCACTGTTACCAACATGTTCAAACTCACTCCTCGCATCGGCTGTGTGATGACCGGAAGTAACGGTATTTATCTACTGTGGTACTAATAAGGAGAGGTTTTAATACAGGTGTTTTTTTTTTTTGGGTGGGAGACTGAAGTTCTTCCTCTTGACTGTGATTACATTATGTTTAACTTTGATGTATTGCAGAAGAGGCTCAAGACTCACCTTGTAAACCAGGCTTTTTACTCATTTCTTTCTATATTTCTCTTATTGCAAATGTTCATTTTAATCAAAGTTCTTATTGCTTATTTTATGTCATTTTATTAATTATCTCTGTTCTTAGTCTTTTTTCTTAATTCCCGTTATAGGTTTTTACTTCTTTTACCCCTTTTTTATATGGTAAAGAGCTTTTACTTATCTGTTCATCTAATATTATTTTCTTGTTTTAGTCCATCAGGTTTTAGTCTTTCTTTTCATCATTTTATCTCTATTTTGTTATCTCCAGTGTTTCCCAGAGGTAGCTCTTTCCTCACGTAATGTCTCGGTGTCAGGCCATGTCTCTCTAGCAAAAGATCTTAAATACTCACACTGTGTGCAGTTGCTTGTGTGTATGTGTGGGTGAGTGAGGGTGGGTGTGCGCCTTTGTGTGTGCGTGTGGGTCCATGGGTGTGTGTGTGGGAGGGTTGGGTTTTATTGTCGTTATTGTTGTTTTTAGCCTCTGGGTGGCACTTTGAATTGCATTTTTTGTATGAAAAGTGCCACACAAACAAATTTGAATTTGAATTTGGACTTTAACGCTGCACTGTCCTTGCTCAAATCTCTGCAGCTGACAGTCGCTCTCAGGTTCATCGGGCTCGAGTGGAAGCAGGCGAATGGAAATATAAATTTGGTTATGACATCATGGCGGACGTGTTGTGTCGCAGGTTGGCGGATATCTCCCAGGTGTACACGCAAAACGCAGAAATGAGGCCTCTGGGCTGCTGTGAGTACGAGCTTTTGAACTCTGTCTCGTTGTTATGTCTTTCTACTCACTTTACATTAAAACAACTCACCCTTTCTTTCATAGTTGGGAAAACACTTTTTTAGTCCGCTAGGTGGTGCTCTTAGTCTATCTTTCTGCTTCACCTTCTCAGTTTGAACTAATGGAAATGAATAGAGGGAACATATCAAAAAAATCTACTTTCTAGTATTGATGCAGATATATTTAGGCAGCAGGGGGATCTTTACTCTACTTCTGACCCACAAACTGTGACTCAGTCCTATTTTATATTCTGTCTGTGTTTGAAACAAAATCTGACCAGAGCACTGCACAAATTTTACATTTAAACCACAAGAAACTGTGTGAAATGATCAAAAATGGCTTTAATGTTAATAATATGTTGAAATTGAAGTGTTATTAAAATGTCATTTTAAAGGCTTCAAAAATAAATTAATTGCAATTAAATGCGCAAAATTGAATACAATCTTGCAATGTTAGTTTTGTGAAGTTATTTTTTGTTTTTCCTCCTCTTATTTTCCAACCTCCAATGCTGCTTTTCAGACAAGTTTGCACATCTCTTTTTTCCTGTTATTTTCTGTTATAATTAAGATGTAGCACACATACACAGGTCCTAGCACAGTTGATCACTTTAACATTTAGGTTTTTATCTTATTCACTGTCATAACTATTTATTTGTTGTCATAGCTATTTATTTTGATGATACCTCTTGTGTATCCTGTTGTATCTGTTGCTGCTGTGACAATATAAATTTCCCCTTCGGGGGATCAATAAAGCTTTATTCTGTGTTATTCTATTCTGTAAATGTCCAGTTTTCAAGGTTACGTTTTCTTTCTTTTACGCTCCTTTAACTTCAGGTATGATGATGGTGGCCATAGACCCTCAGCAGGGTCCTGTCATGTATAAATGTGACCCTGCAGGATACTACTGCGGCTTCAGGGCCACAGCGGTTGGGGCCAAACAGACAGAGGCGAACACCTACCTGGAAAAGAAACTGAAGAAAAAGCCTGAACTGACTCAGGACAGGACAATACAGGTCAGACATGAGATTATTTATTTATCTTTGTGATTAATCCAAAATTATCTTTTTGATTTAACAGACTACATAACCCACTGGTCAATCAGAATAATAAAAAACTGTTTTCCCAAAATATACATTCATCACAAATATGCTCACTGAGATACAAGGGCTGAATATAAACGTAAGAAAAGAGAAAATAAACTGAACTCTTAACTCGGCATCCACATGTCTTTCTTTCTATAAACTTCTCTTAGATCATGAGAATCATCATTTATTCCTTCCTGTGGGTGACAAAGTAAAGATCATGAATTCCTGATATCACTCATCTCTCTGTCCATTTTGCAGCTGGCGATCACATGTCTGTCCTCTGTCCTGTCCCTCGACTTTAAGGCCACTGACCTGGAGGTCGGTGTGGTCACCAGAGAAAGTCCAAAGTTCAGGTAATTGTAGGAGACCTGCTTTTCAGTAACTTAAAGATCCTGTAGGGAGTTTTCAACCACTTACAAAACAGACTGATATTAACATAGGTGCCTTTTTATGACCCACAAAAGCAAACTAGACCATCAGCAAAAACATTCACATTTTCAATAATGTGATTTTTAAATGCTGTAACCACTGTGAGGGAGGTGAGTGACCAGTGATGCAATTTGAATCAAGAAAAACCTGTTTTTGTATCATATGTCATTATAACATTATAACAGAGCAGGAATACATAGTAAGTCAAGAAACTCGACTTTAACATGAAAAAGACACAATAGAAGGGGAATCACTTTGCCCACAGGGGGCGCCAAATCAATACAAACAGAGGGTTCCTCATGAGAGCTCTAAAACCAACATATTTTCTTATCTGTTAAATAATCTTGAGTTATATGGTGAATTACGACAAATTATTGATGTTATGTTATGGTTTAATTCAGACATATTTAAAAAATGAAACTATAATTTAAGTTTTATTTATTTGAGACGTAGCACACTGATATGCATACTGTCAATTCTTTCTTCCTCCATTCCTGTATTATTTTTAATTATTTTCACTGTTACACTCTCATCACCTCTTCTCCGTCTCTTCAGGACACTGTCAGAGGCAGAGATTGAAGCTCACCTGGTCGCCATAGCAGAGCGGGAGTAAAGGAGCCCTCTGAAACTTTCAGACCGTGATTTCAAGTATCAAAGTATTTTATTTGACTCTAGTTTGGCAGGTTTAACATCACAAAGGCAATAAAAGTCTTAAATCTTTTATACCTGTGTCCACACTTTTAACTGTATCTGGTAGCTCTGGTTAGCCTCTTTAAAACAATGGTCATAATAAAATCAAATGAATAGGAGACAATGTTTTTATCTAAAACGATGAATTTAAGTGATGAACTAACTTTCTATGCATATTTGACAAAGTAAATCAAAACATCCTCATAAAAACCTAAGTGTGTCACACAGAAAACTGAAGGTACCTGAGGACTTGGAGTAACTGTAGGAGTGAAACTACTCATAAGGGGAAGTTAAATTTAGACTGTCTGTGTCTGACCACTAGATGGCAGTGTTGTGTCTGACTCTGCCCCCCTTTCATAACAGATTTCTGTCTCTGTTTGTTCTTTACTATTTGAGGAAAACTATTTTGACTCTTGTACATACACACACTTCCGACTGTTCGGACGTTGCGTGTGTGTTTGTCAGACAGCCAATCCTGGCCTGATGTGTGTCTGTGTGTGCGTGTGTGTGAATGTCTGTGCATGTGTGTGTTGTGTCACTCCTGATTTTCCACTGACCCTCAGACCTGAGGAGACCGGTCTCTGTCTTTATCAATCACTGAATGCTGCCTGAGCGAATGAGATCAAGCCTATATTGACACGTAAACATGAACACACACAGGACAGCAGAGTCTGACGGCTTTTGCTTTATTTTGAATGTGATGATACATGTTGAAGAAAAAGGTGACACTTCAATATGACATTTGATGAAAGACATGAAAACATTTCTTGTATTCTTTCTTACATGCAAAACAGTGAGTGACGGATGGTTTGATTAATTGTTAAATTATCAAAGTCTTTCCTTGTTTTTCACTCACACTGTTTACATGGGATTCCCTTTTTGTAGAGCAAGGTGTAATTCTGTGGGTTTGGGGTTCAAGTTGCAGACAGGAAATGATGATCAAAAGTAAGAATGAGGTATAATAAATATAGGTTACTTGCCTGCAGACGTTTTCTTTTTTTAATGACTGATAAGAGGGACAGATAAAGAGAGGATCCTCCGTTTGTTTGCAGACACAATTAGGATTTGGACTGAGAGGCTTCTACTTGTGACTCACAGTCTGAGCAGTAAAAAGCTCTGTTAGTCCCTTTAAAGCTACAAGTGCAAGACGATCCTGAGTTACACTGATCGGCCTCTTAACTTAATTCTCCTGCATTCACTTCACCTGACAGGCTGGTGCCTTTCAAATGGGATTTTGAGTCTGTAGTAAGAGAGGACACATGCATGGATTATCCCAAGTGCAGATAATACAAAGACTGAATGAGCAGAAATCAGGAAGACTATTCTGTTCTTTCATGACTGCAAAGATACTGAAAAGATCGCACATTCTTACAAACATCATTATTAAAATGTTTAAAAGATTTTTATCAGTGTGAACTAAATGTAGTGCAAACAAACGTCCACTTTGCACGTGTTGCAAACTCTGCAGAAAGTATTTGAAAGAGCTGCATAGGAGCACAGTCTGCTATATATGATGTCGAAGTTTCTTAAACAGTCCAAGCTTTAAAGTTAGCATTGTAAACTAAAATAAAATAAAAGCTCATTATTGGGACATATAAGAAAACTTATTCACTGATACTGTCATCTTTGTTCGGCTGAGCCAGGGTGGTATCATTCAGGTTTAACTTTTTATTTGCTCATTTCAAGAAAAAAATCTGCTTCGAAAAGTACAAATTTTGGCATGTATGAAGCTCTCTGGCTTAGATTAATCCCAAGCCAACGCAATCAATGATAAATTATGTGTTTTGCTGCAGTTAAAGCCCAATAAAAAGCTCTTTACCATTATTGTCTGTTGATCAGCAGAGACTGCAAAGTGAAAGTTAATCCAAACTGCAAAATGCAAAAGCAGTTTCAGTGTATGTTGGAGCCATCTCTTCATCCCTGAGCCTGCTGCTGCATGTTCATGAAACCTGGAGAAACACAGAAGACAGAAACCTATGTAAGGACCAACAGGTTTACACTTATATGGGTGCAAAAAAAGAAGACATTCATCCATCCTAAAGTAAGGTTTGTTGCTTTAATCATGCAAAAACAGCCATCAGTCCACCAGGGATCAAACAGTAGTGGTGCTGCGTGTGAATAATAAAAGAAAATGTCTTAGAATAAAAAGTAAACCTTTGTGTGTTGATAAAATGCTCCAGTTTGCACAAAGAGAATTAATAAAGAGGCATTTGTAGCTTTTATGCTGAGTCATCTTTAAAAAAGTTCTATTAGTCAGATTAGGACACATCAGAAAAGTATCAAGACATAAAACTGTTTATATGAAATAAATTAATAGATGAAAAACTGATCAGCATCAAAGATGAACTTTTTTTTTATTTTCTGCAAGAGAAATGGATGGACGGTCCAACAGCTGAATTCTCCACCATGCTCACCAGCCAAAGGTTGTTGGTACAGACAACATGAAGCATAGATGACTCTACACAGACTCACTCATAACAATAGAGGAGGTCACTGAAAGACAAACCAAAAAAGAAGAGATAACTACTGTTCAGATGTTCAGTCTTTAAACAGCAGAAGTCAAGGGGTAGGGCCAGCTAAAGCGTCAAACCACCAAAAAGTAACATCATTGGCATTTATATAAAGTATCTTCTTAATAAACAGCAAATGTTAGCAATCATTGTGTAAACATATCTGGAAAAACAGATTTATTATTTTAGTTTGAGGGTAACTGGACATGTAAACGTGTTAGTCTGACAGAAATCACAACAAACCAAACTTCTAATAGTTTGACTAACAAGCCTGTATAATGCTGTTCAGGTTTGATTTTCTGTGCCATATATACGGCTCAATTGAACTGAAACTGGTCTAAGCGTTCTGTGTATGCCTCAGTGTCCGCATGCCGGGCCTTTAGTGGGAGATCACACAATTTAAATATGTTGCAGGTAACAGAATCCTGAAATGATGAAAAAAAGACAAAGATTTCCTAACAAACTGCAAAGAGGGATGAAAGAGACAATGTTTGCAATTACATGTACATACCACTAGCCTCTTGTTAACATGTTTTGCAGACTGTATTGATATGTAACACATTAAGCAGGAGACGCCCTGATAGCAACAAACTGGAAGGGGACATGTGACCACCTACCAAAGTGAAGGCAGACACGCTCCTGTCAATAATTTGATTTTTGCCCACTGCATGCAAACTAGAACAGTAACAGCAGGCAGTTAAACTGCCTATTTGAGCTTTAATGGTAGCTCAACTAACAAGTGTATGTAAACGTACTGAGTGTTCTTGCCATAGCTAATCAGTAGTTGTAGTCCTGTAGATAGTTACCCTACTAAGTCCCGAGTAAAAACTTAGGGACTGCTGTCACACTGGCAAATTTTGTACGTTTTGTAGTGCATAAAAAGTATGACAGAGTAACACACTTCACAATGTTTTTAATGCACTTAATGCTCCTCACACCTCTGGTCTTTATCTCTCCCTCCTCAACCTCATCCTTACCTCAATCTCAAACCTCAACTATCTCAATTATTCTGCACCTCCACCACCTCCATCTGTTCACCTCCTCCTAATCTAAACTCATCTGACTCCTTCTCCACCTCACCACACTCCCCTCCGTCACCCCCTCTCCTCCCTCCCCGATGTGAAACGCTGACCCTGTGCCTGGTGTCTCCTGGTACTGGGGCTGCCTGCCAAGCTGAACGGGCCCAGATACATCGGGTAGCCAGGCTGTGTGTGTGTGTGTGTGTGTGTGTGTGCGTGTGTGTGTGTGTGTGTGTGTGTGTGTGTGTGTGTGTTCGGTCACGGCGTGGGGATTATGTGTATGTGAGTGATTGAGGGTGACAGCGGCCCTAGCATTAGGGGCCCTGTGGCAGATTTCGTGGTCCTGTTTTAGACACACTAAGCTGGATTTACCAGCAGCAGTGTGTCAGCAGTGATGCAGCCTGCCTGGACCTCCTACAGAACACACACACACAAATACACACGAGTGCAAGCACACACTCAGACCCTGGTCACCTCTGACCTCACCTATCTACCTGCAGCCTGTCTGAATTATCCGAGCATCCCTCTATCTCTCTGCATCACTTAATAAAAAAGTTTTTTTCGGACTTTCACATGTGAGTTTTACTCAGAGACATTGCTGACTCAGTTACACCTGCAAAACGAACACCTGAGCCACTGCACTGAACACTATCTGTACTTAAAGCTCCTATAAGGAGATTTTAAGATCGATCAAACGTACTGAAATTCCTATTCATGCCTTTTTACAACATTTTAAAGCAAAACTGACCTTCAGTGCCAGTAGTAATGAATTTTATTTTGGTATTTTCAATGTTTGAAACTGAGAGGGTAAGTGTCAGCCAAGGAGCTGAAAATATTGCGCTGTCTGTACAATATCAAGACATGATGAGTAAAGACTGCTTTGTTCACGAGGAGGCGACAAAATTTGCACTTACTGAAAGTTCTTCACAGGAGCTTTAACTTGAGTTATAACAATTCTGCCAACTTCTTCTTCTTTTACTCCTCTACATTTCTTGAATAAATGTGCATATGGCTCTGATAAAATTCCCCTAATTCTTCCTCTCAGAAATTAGTGATGATTTAAAATTTTTCCCCTCATGAAAACAAACTTTAAATGAGACAGAGATTGAAAATTTGACCTGGTGGGGCGCTGGTTTAGCCTAGAGGTTAAATGTGCAGCCCATTTACAGAGTTTTACAGTCTTTGCCAAAGCAGTTTCAGGATTGACTCCCTGTATCTCCTCTGCTTCACTTTGTGCTCAAGTAATGACTTAAAAAAACAGGATGATGGTAATGCAACTTTCTGAATGCCATGTGGCGAAAGGCTGGCAAGCTTAAGAAATGTTTCTTTGTGATGTAAGAAACCTTGGCTGTCTGTATCTTTATTTGAAAGATTATTATGATTGAGCGCAAACTGGGGTCAAAAACTGAGGATGGTAGCAGTGCAACACTTTAGAGGCCAAGTGGGGTAAAAACCCCAGAAACCGGAGAGAGTCAGTTCGTAAATATGTGAGATTTTTATTGAAACACTGCCTTTCTTAATTTTGATTTTTTTTTTTTAAACTGAAAAATACCTCTGAATGAATTGATGCTTGGAGTTTAAAAAAACAACAACACTGGGTTGGTAGGCTTATAATGAGATGAGGTGGAATTCCGAATTTTGTGAAGATCCCGCAGACTTTATGACAGTTTTTTAAGGTATGAAATCTTTGAAGTCCTGGCTGTATCTGTACTTTATGTTTTTCAAACACTCCTAGCTGTTTATTTATGAAGATGAATACTTCAATAGAATAGAGACAGAGAAGTTAAATCATTATGGTGGAAGTAACAGCATTAGGGATGAAAAGTGGCGTACGAACCTTGCAAGTGAAATGATATCTCGGGCAGATCATTGTCTGCTGCTCAGATGGTGTGTCTGTGTAAAGACATTTCCTAAAGCTCAGTTATTGTATGACGGCTGCTGAAGGTGGATTTTGTTCCACTTCCTTTACTCTCTACGTGGACTGCGTTTCTGTGCTCAGTTAAACCCTCATGATTGTGCTCAGGCTACAAAGAAAAGTTAACTTGAGGTCTGCTTCCCCCAAACCCTCCGGCTTACATCAAAGGTACAAGAATTACAGTCTTTGGTTCCGGGAACTTTTCTTATCCGTTCTCCCAAAGGTTAGAATTGACCTGAAGAAAAGGGTGTTTGAGTCTGTAGCTCCTGTTATTCAAAACCAGTTCACAAAAGTAAAAAGTAGTGAGGAACTTTTGATTTTTATTTTTCCTATTAACAAAGATGCACAAATTGTTTCTTTTCTAGAGCCCAGTACATCCAAAGACAAAAAGTCTCACTTTGCTTTCTTTTAATATGTGTCAAATGTGTAAATTACTGTGAATATTCATTAGAAATGTAGAGAAAGACTCTTTCCTCAGCATACTGTTTATAATCTGGTTTGACACCTACCCTCTGCAGCAGGATTAAACACTAAAATCTACAATAAAGAGATCAACAGTCATGTTACTGAAGGTCTTGCTTGCTTTAGTAGGTCATAAATAGGCATCAGTGTCAATTTAAATCTGTTTTGTGAACAGGAAAAAACCCTCCTTATCGGAGCTTTAAGACACTTGCTGCACTTAATGCTTTAAAAGCTTTTTAAATGGCTTTTAGGCAGACAGCTCTTGTTAGATTCACAGTTTTACACAGAGACTTAGACCATTTTGGTCTCCTTTTTTATTTATTTTCTCTGTTTAATGTCTTCAGATTCAATAAAGCCATGCATCTTATATTATTTTTGCATGTATTGCTACTCACTGTTTGCCAGAAACATTAACTGCACTGATGCCACCTTGAATTTAATATCTTAACACAGGGTTTCAAGCTTCATTGAGTTAAAAATAAAATAAAAACACTTTCAATACCAAAGTCGATAGTCAAATTTTAAAGACAATTCTTACAGAAATGATTTCAACCCTGTGGCTTCAAGCTCATGTACAATTAGTGTAATGCACACAGGTGGGAATGTAAATTACCTGAGTCTCGCAGATCTAATGAAATGACTTGATTGCTGTATGTTTAATTAGAGTTGTGAGACTAATGACAAATTCAGCCAATATAACAAAAATGCTTTGATATAATCCTACGGCTATCTGAGGTTTAATTTACAACATACAGATTATGATGCAGGATTCTTTGGTTGTTCTGTACTTAGTTTTGATGTATATGTTAACAAGCTGGGTAGGTTTTTATATTAGTTTACAAAGCAAACACAAATCAAACCCTTCCTGCTTCTCTCTGATACGACTTCCTGATCGATAAACGAGTGATTGATGGACTACACGTGCAGCTAAGAATGTGTATGATCGGCCTGAAAAAAGTGCTCTTTATGATCTGAGTCCCTTCATAAGCCTCAACAGTTTTCAAATCACACTTTCTGCATCTGACTATTGTTCATTATAGCTCTTCTACAGAGAAATGCATGCTGGGTAAACTGCTGTATATGTGTGGTCACACAGAGGGTATGTGAGGCCACTGTGGCCCCTGTATGTCTGCACACACACTCACACACACACATATTGCAGTTTTCTTTGTGCGCTCTGAATGTTTATGCGAACACCTTTGTCCATTTGTGTGTGTTTGCGTGTGCTACTGTGTGTGTGAGTGTGAGTGTGAGTGTGTGTGCTTCCAGATCTCTGTTACAGCCTGTCCATTGTGAAGGCGAGTGTTGAGCAAGATCCTGACCCACCGGCGGGTACTAATCAGACGCATTCCTCAGGATTAAACGGCCAATTAACAATAAGAGAGCCATTGTAGCCCTGTCTCCCTGTGCGTCACAGTTAAAAGGTTTGTGTGTGTCGCAGTGCGCGCGTGTGTGGCAAGGGAATGTGTGTTTGTGTGCGCAAGGTGCTTTAACCATTCAAAAAGCTCTCTTTGTGACTTTTTTTTACCAGCTTGCTGCACTTGTTCGTTGCACTTCTCAGAATTTTGGTTAACATGCACGCCATAGCTTCATAAAAACTCTTTATTAGATATGTGCAATCTAATGTAAAGCAGAGTAAAAAGAGGTGCATTGTGGGTCCTGCATGCCAAATAGTGGCTGCAAGTCACAAGATTGTGTGTGTGTGTGTAACATGGTGTTCCTAATGATGCAAGTTAATCCAGGGTTTGTTGGGTGCACCTGGACTTTAAACACTAACACAGCACCACAAACAATATCATGATTAATATTTCCTGTTCTGTTCACTGGGGTTTATATCTCAGTGTTGTGCATGTTGTGTATCTTCAGCATGTCTGCACATAAATTGTGTTTTATGTGTGTGTTTGTGAGTGTGTTTTGGCGTGTGTGTCTGCAGATTGGGTATATGCATCAGTGTGGCACGTGTCGGAGTGTGGCAGAGGATTAGTGAGGCTCAGGGCCTGTTGCTCCACTTCCATGATTACTACTGCTGTCTACTGCCATATGGGGTGGGGTGGGGGTGCAGGTGGAGGATGGTGGCTGTGGGGGGTTTGCAAGCTACTGTACCACGCTAAACGCACTCACACACATGCACAGAGTTCTTCATAAGGCAGTGTAACCACGCATGAATGCACCTATGACCATTGTTTGACAAGCTGGAAATTGTGCATGTGTGTGTGTTTATGTATTTTTACATGTTGCATCTTCTCACTGCATTTGCTTCAGTGCTCCATGCTCACTAACATAACCTTTAAAAACCTAAAACATAAGTTTAAAACAAGTCAGTCAAATGTATGATCTTGATATCTGCTTTGGGCTCATTTTGCATTTCAGCAGCTTTTTGTACGCTGACTTGGGTCTGTTGTTCGTGATGTAAAATATTCTGAATTGCGCATTTTTATGTGTACCAGCCTAATAGAACTACAGATCAAACTTTGCCCATGCCATATTTAATAAAGCATGTTTCTTATAAGTTGATGAATATGCAATATTATTTTTAAAAATGAAAGAAAAATACATAAAATAAATGCATCTGTAAAATATCACACAATATTTCATAATTCATTAAAGCCTCTTGATGCCACTTTGACATAAAAATGACAAAAAATATGCACTTATTTCCTTAGATTTTATATTTACATTCTTCAGAATCATGTTATAAGAATAAGAAGTAAAAACCGATAAACAACCTCTTCATTAAACCCAAAACAGTGAAACTGAGGACCTGGTTGACTTTAAATCATTTCCAATAATGTTCAAAGTTAAAAAACAATGACAAACTAAATATATGGGTTTTAACAGAGAGAAATTAAAAACAACCTCGGAGGAGTAAATGTGTAAAGAAGCAGTCGTGGGAGCAAATAATGATCTACACTGAGTCTAGACTGTAACAGGCACCGAAGTAAATGGACAAGAAATACTTAATCTCACAGGGACTAACTTTGTAAAATAAGATAAAATATCAAAATAAAATCATTGAATCATTACACAAGATGAATGAATGATGAATGAAACTACAAAGAAAGTGGATTTAATACATACAGACTGATGAACAGAAAGCTAAACTGGGACTTTATGTACTCGTTTTATCCACCAGCTTGTGTTATTTAGTTCATTTTGCTGTTGCATCTTTATGAACATCTTTGTTATTTAATTCTTTTAATTTGAAAATCTTAGCCTGTGTTTAATAAAATCTACTTAAATCATTTAAAACAGATAAATGGGACATGGCTAAATAAGTCATTTACTTGACACTTTACAAACAGCACTTATGTTGTGGCTGAATCTCTATGGTTAAGATGTTGTAATAGCTTATTGTTGTGCTTGTTTAAACTGTGTTTTGTGTTTATCTTTCCTTTTTTTTTTTTTTTGGAACAACATTTTACAAAGGTTTAAGATGATACCCAACATTATGATGTGTTTCAGTAGAAGTGTTAGTCTTAGCATATAATAAAAGAAAGGTTCCACAGATACTGTACATTTCACACTATTTATTCTGTTTGTTTTCTACATGTCACCTTTCTTTGTTTTTGATGCTTATCACTTGCATTTGTGCTAGATTAACTAATTCACTTTTCTCATAAAGTATTGAAGCTTAAAATATGTATAAATATAAATACATACATTATGATGTAAATTAGGGCTGTAAACATATTAGATTTTCACTTTAAATTACCACAGTAATTATATTATAGCAATATTTGTGGAAAGGTTTAAAGAAAAGAACAAATCAATCACATTGAAGCGAGGTCAGACAAGTGATAGAGTATAAACTTCACTTATAAACATAATTAACTTCCTGTCATCATCTATAGTATAGATGACGACAGGAAGTTAGTATAGATTCTATACTAATGACTTTTATATTTATGATTTATCCACAACACATGTGACTAAAACGTCTGGAGAAGATATTGCTATATTAGGTTTAAAACTATTTTTTTTTTTTGATTGTTTGTTCCGTGCTCTTATTTTGATGGTTTAGTCAAAATAAAATTTATCTCCTGCATCATAAAACTGTTGTTTTATTATGAAATGCACTACTTCTGGAAGATCATGATCTTAGCATACACGTTTAAAGATCAGTAAGACAATTTAAATATTGAGGTGATTAGTCACCTGAAGGGCCACATGTTTTAGATATTTTGAGATTCACAATAAATCTTGAATGTCATGTTTTAAAAGTGCAGAATCATCTGTCAAGGGCTAAAACAGCTAGCTTACTAAGAGTCCGCTACCTCATCTTTGTCATGAAGCAGGCAGCATGAAGAACCATCAAAGTATCATTTTTTTGTTTGTTTTTTTGCCTAATATCAATTCCTAATTATTCTTTAAAATAGACCCTTATCATAACTACTGGTATATTACAGTTGGAGTGATGACCCTATTATACACAAGGAAACAGTTTAATGTAATTGGGCCAGTGATGAAACTTCCTCTATGAAAGTCAAAATCTTTGAAAATTTCAAGTTTGTTCGAAGGTTTCATGAAAAAAATTGGAAAAACATTGAATGTTATTATTATTGATTATTATTATTACATTGATATTATTATTGATTATTATTATATATTATTGTTATAATAAATGAGATTCAGACACATTCAAATGTTCAAATAAACTGTTCAAAATGGTGGAATAACAGAAGATGCAAATGCAGCTAAAATTGCTCTACTAATTTAATTTCAAGTGTATGAGTATGAGGGCATGAACAGGTGTTAACCTGCTAAACCCCAGACAGTCATCAAGGAGGGGCTAAATGATGACATACTACACACACACACACACACACACACACACACACACCACCTGCTGCCGTCTGCAGTGGATTAGTGGTCTGTCTACCCTCTAAAGACAGCAGGACATACACATAACCTCAGCAGGGGGTCTGCTGTCTGTGAAATTGATCAAGATGCCAGCCAGACGGCGTTCACGAATGAACTCCCGGTCAGACTGTTTCATTGGATAGAGACAAATAACCATTATTAAACCCCCCTTTGAAAATCACTGTGAAATTTATTTCAATAACTTAGAAACATGTCGGAAATTTACACGGTCATTAACCAGTCAGTTATTCTCCTGGGAGTCATAATTCCCTGTTCGGCTGCACGGTTTACCAGTTTGCCCACAATTTACCCCAAAATCACCACATATTAATATGTGGAGTCTACATTATTTTCAGGGGCATGTCTAAAAGACTAACCAGGTGTGGCATGTGCCCCTTGAACTGTGATTAGCCACCTTAAAATAATTTACATTTGATGGCAGTTTCCCTTAAGCAGAGGCAGGACACGTGAAAACCAACGTAACCGAATGGAAGTGTGTTTAAAGTTATTGTGTCCGTGTTACAGGTAAACAGGTTTATTTAGCCAGACTACAGATACAATGCCAACAGCCAGTGTAGGTATCATGTTCGGGCTGCCAGATCAACTCAGGGGCTGGCTCCTATTGATGACGTCACACTATAAGATTAGCTGGAAGTTGGTTTGGATGATGTAGAAGATTGTGGTTTGTCTGGACATTACAGAAACGATTTTTTGCCAGATTTGGTTTCATGGGATTGTAGTTCTTCGGAGAAAACATGGACAATTTTTACGAAGCAATCAATCACTACTTATCAAAGGGGACTTAAGACAGCCAGACTACCACCTCTTTGAGGTTGCAAAAGGAATTGTGGAACAAAAGCAAAACTATCTATTGATAGAGATCCTCTGTACATTTTTTTTTCTTTCTCCTTAAGAAAAGTTAACATATACAATTAAAGCCATCTAAAAAGTACAGTACAGCAAGATGTAATTCTCTGTATTATACATAGAGAAATTTTCAAGGTCAATTAATGAACAAATGGAAATAAAGAAAACCGCAAGGGGTCTTTAACCGAGCACATTTGACCTTTTAAATGGAGCACAATGTAGTTTGTCCGAGTGGACTTGCCGTAGTGTGACATCTTCAACAGGCGCTGGGCCCCGAGCTGATCTGGCAGCCCAAACTCATCTGGTACCTACATTGGTCCACCCCAAATATTTACATATATAGACTAATTTCTCTGCCTCTGCTGCACCAGGTGGCGATATTCCTCCTCTCAATTCATTTCTTGGGTCATCTCCTTGACTTATTATATCACGTAACAAAACAATCTACAAAAGTGTTTGCGAGAAGTAAACAGGTTGTATGTTAAATGCAGCAACGTACCTAACAATAGGACAGGAAACTACTGTTTTGTCTTTCTTCCTCTTTTGTCGAGGTTTTGTTTACTATCTGGCTTCCTCAATCACGTTTACGCTGTTCAGCTTACAGGCAGACAGGAGAATTGCTGAGCATGCTCAGAGTGTTTAGGCCGGTTGGAGTCTGATTGAATCGTATACATGACAGAAAATTGATTCACTGATGTTAGAGAAAGGTGACTCAGAGTAATTTTACACAAACTAGCATTTTACAAAGTCTAGACTCTGTCAGACTAATGAAATTAATTGACTGACAAAATGTAAACATACTGCTCCATTTTAAAAGTGGGGATGTGCTCCTGAGCTTTATGCATTTCAGTCTAAAAATAATAATCGAACAAATAGTAAGGGTTGGTGTGTATAACTAAAACCAGTGTGCTAGTACAGTACTAATGCATAAGCAATATTAAGCATTATATAATGACATTAACTGTGTGTGGTTACTTCTACTGATTTATGTCCCTATATAATCCAGGTTATATATATGCAGACTGTTTATAGTTTGCACTATTATGCAGTTCAGCATTATATAAGCAACTGCAGCCGGAGTTTATCTTTAGCCTGCACCCATGACAGACATCTGACAAGGTCCACTTAAGGGACACAACCACACATATGCAGCTGCACAAATATGCACCGACTTCAACATTCACCTGCCTGGACTCTGCGTATAACCTGAATACAGTGTTATTCAGCCTTTTGTGTGTCTGTGGATGACGAGCAGTGCTGTGCAGAGTGACACATGGCCCGGCCCGGACTCATGCACTCTAATCCTCACATCAGTTTAATGAGGAGTTAACACATACTGACCTCAATACACACACACACAGCACAAACACACATGCACAAAAGCACGAACTCTATTTTGAACCACGCAGCAAAATTGCATTTTAAGAATATAAAACTATTGCATTTTCTGATAAAAGCATGTCATAGTTTAAATGAATATAAAAGAAATTTGCAGCAGGGCCCTCTCAGACTGACGCCCCTCCCATACCCGCCCCCTCCCCTCCATCTGCCTCTCTCTCTCTCTCTCTCTCCCTCTCTTTTCCTTCTTTTTCTGCCCTGTTTTATCATCACCCTCTTCTACTCTTCCTCTTCCTTCCCTTCGGCCCACCCTGTCTCCAACTTTCCTCCCAGTTTCTTCCAGTAACATTTTTCCTCTCCCCCAGTTTCTCTCCACAAAGCAGCACACTCCTTCCTCCTGCTCCATCTCTCTTTCCTCTCTCTCTTTCCCGTGCACATACACTCCTATGGCCCTCACTCTCCGTCTTTAAGCCTCCCCACAACAGCCGTTTACCTTATCAATAGTGATCGATGGAGCCCCATAGCTGAAGGTTTCTGCTCCCTGTCTGTGTGCAGTGAGCGCTCGGTTCTCTCCAACCACCCTTCCTCTGTCAATCTGGCCACAAACCCCTCTTTCCTCCCTTTATCCCGAGGTAAGATACTTACTTTTCAGATAAAGCATATTATGATAAATCGGCTGAACTCAGTGCATGTGTGTGTGTGTGTATGTGTGAGTGTGTAACTGTCACACACACTCACACACATAAGCACACAGTGTGCACACACAGACATACAAAAATACAGTGTGTGAATCGAACAACATGATGTCAGAGGTATTTAACAGCTGGGAAGTGTTTGTGTGTTTGTATAATGAGTGTGTGTGTGTGTATTTTGGGATCTATTGGGAGGTGATGGCTTTAAACAAACCTAATACACAATATGAATAACACAATATGAGGGATAAAAAGTACTTTTTGCCAGATTAATGCATGCAAGCAAAAAAAAACCTAAACAAGCACAGAATTAAAATCAGATGCAAGCGACAAAAGCAGGTGCACCATGGGAAAGATTTGTTGTACTTCACTTGATTTTCTACAGAAAAAGAGCTGGTTTGCTCATAAAAAAAGGCCAACAGTCTCCTTTATCATGGGGATTGTACTGTTGCTATTCTGCATCAAACTTTAGATCCTTTTCTCCCAGCGTTGATCTCCTGGTTTTACTCTGGACAGGCAAATGACACAGATACGCTCTGATTAAATGGATGAGGAAGATTGTGTGTTTTTGCATTTTTTGTCCTGTATAAATGCCTCTTGGTTGGCTGAGGGACACATAAAGGCAGGTTTGTTAATGAAATGGGATGACAGAAATAGTGGAGCATATGGGCCAGTGTCCTGCGGCAGAGTGGGATGGAAGTTCAGGTCAACAAGGGGAATAAAAGAGTTTGGAGAAAATGAAAACTAAATGAAAATACAATAGCTATGTTTGCCTCCAGGGATGTGTGCGTGCTTGTTTCAAAATGCGATGTTTATGAAATGTTCTGTTTGTGTGTGTGTGTCTGTGTGTGTGTGAGTGAGTGTGTGTAGTCTAGATTAGATGCACTAAGCCTCTTATGTGCTGGTTGTCCTTAATTTGCGTCTACTCTGGGTCCTAGTGCGTCCGATCTACCAGCAGTCCTTCATCACAGTTTCCACACAAACAACACAAACATCACGTCAACAAAATTGAAACACAAAAGCTTGGGAATAAAGCATTAAAAGACTCAAAATATATTGGTGCATGCATGTGTAATTATTCACAAGTCAACAGCAGTAGGCTACAAACTGAATTATCTAAGGAGCAAAGACCTTATTAATAATTAAGAAATCAGACAACTAAATTTGTTTCTGTTTTTTTCTCAATGAGTACTCGTTCAGTTTATGCTGGTGATAAAACATTAAGAGCTTAATGATCTCTCTTACTCATTTATCTGTGCAAATTTCATTCATGTAGTCATAATTAACACTCAGTCATTTAGAGCTGATGCTCTCTTTTTTGAGTGACTGGTGTATCCCAACTTCTAAGACCTACTTTTGTTGTAATGTACACCCACCAACCAAGTTTTAAGACATTTATTTTCTTTAAAAATAATTTCAGATTAATTTTCTTTTCTTTTAGGTATTTTCAGCATATAAGGACTCTTATACAGAGACATATTTACAAAAATATGCAGGCTATCAAGATATAGTGGCATCAAGAAATATCACTGTGTAGATAGCCTAAATTTAAAAAAAAAAAAGTTTTTTGTAGGTTAACTATATTAGGCTACTAGCTTCTCTGCTGATTTTCTTGTTGCATAAATTTAACCTGCTGTTCCTTGTTGACAAAAAGCATGATAGACTATGTACTGAGTTTTAAAAAATGTCTTTTTTATAGTTTTGCTACAAAAGTCGGACGAAGAATTATAAATTTGTATTAAAGTTGTTCTAATACACTGGCTAAAACAAAGTAAACCAGTATTTTGTAGTCAGAGAGGTGGGAACGTAAAGAGCGGGAACGGGGAGGTGAGCGCGTGCACGATACTGTCACGCGCTTGGTCGCGCGCTCCGAAGTGTATCGAAGGTCTGCGGCTACTCCCGCGTTTTTTTTCCTGTGTCTCGAGACATTTCCATCGTCGTAGCTAGTTCGAGTGTTTAGTTTGCTCGCTGCAGGAGCTCGACGACACCACGAACAAACACAGAGACAGAGAAGGTGTGTGAGGAGTTCACTACAGACAGGTGGTATTTAAACGTCAACGACACACACTCACAGACACGCACAGAAATTCACATAGAGGCCTCAAATGGCTTCATGCACACTCACCTTAGCAGGTAAGGCCTCATCTGAAGTTTCACATACGCCGGTAAAGCGTCTCTGTCGCTCTCTGTGTGTCTTTATATCTCCGCTTTGGCTTTACACAGCTAGATAAACCCCTTATACAGTTTGGGCTGTAGCTACATGGGTCTGTGTGTGTGAGTGTGTGTGTGTGGATTTTAAACTATAAGAAATCCGATTCAATTAACAGGCGCAGAGAATCGGCTTTGGACGCTGTGGAATTGTCTCTCTACAGAGGATGGTACAGGCACGTCTGAAAATACACACTGAGCCTGACAAACAAAACTCTGGGCGAGATGAACCACAGAGGCCTCCGGCACAGTACTGCTGGTTAAAAAAACAACAACATTTGAAATCAAAACGTTTAGTCACTCGCTTTTTCAATGTTCCCTGTTTTCGATTAAGTTAAATCCTTTTTATTTTTGTCAATAAACCCTAAAAATACATTTTAATATTCGGTGAAAATAACCAAAAAACCTACCGTGACGTATAACGGTAAACACAAGACGGGACGACAATAACAAAGCAGCTCCATTAACATTTACATCAATCCATCTCTCTTTTACAATGTCATTCTGATTCAAGTTATAAAACATTTAAATCTTCACAAACTTTTCAGGTTTACTTTTTGTTAAAAAAAAGTGCAAAAACTGTTATACAAAAAGAGGAGTGCATCTTTTGGCCTCAGGAAAACACACATGCAACAAAGACTGTCACTTTAGTTACAAAATCACAAGGGTAGATACAATAAGCATGTGAGTTATTTTAAACAAAATATGTCAAAGAAATCTTAAATTATAGCTTGAAAAATGTCACATTTCCCAATTTGAAATATAACTTCATCTATTATTATTATTATTATTATTATTATTATTATTATTATTATAGGGTGAATGAATGGGTGAATGGTCCGAAGGGAGCATGTTGGGGATCAGAAGGGGATTTAAATGCAGAACAACGCGCTCTTTGTGCTGCTTTAATCTGCCCTGTACCCCCTTCTCCGCCCCTCTAAGGCGCTACCTTTGCCTCCACTCTCCAGCAAGGAGTAATTATTTTATAGGCCAATGTTAAAAAAACGGTTCATAATTATAAAAAAATTGAGAGTTTTTGGAAAAGACTCGAAAAGGAAACGTTCATTATCGATTATCGTTAATTATTGACTCCAGGACGCATATAGTTCGCGTGCAAATTCAAGATCATGTTTTAAAGTGCTTTAAAATCGACTCGTGGATACTGTAGTTTCGCAAATGTCCTTTTTTCCTAACCAAACTTCACTGAATTTTACAGTGGCCACACATCAACAGGTGTCAATATCAGTGGTGCTGCAAAGACCAAATATTTGTTACTCGGACTGTAATTTTCCCAAAATATTTGATGTCAAACACTTATTTTAACCTGCAAACGATCATCTTTGTAAGTTTGTAATTAAAACAGGCTCGAAATGGATGTTTAACAGTGTGCACGCGTGAGTTCACAGGAGCGCGCTTGAGAGAGAGAGAGAAAGAGGGAGAGAGAGAGGGAAAGAGAGGGAGGGCTCTGGGTGTCTACTTGAGTAAGAAGTTACTTCTAATTAGCCAGCCTCTTCTTGCTCGCCTCACTTGTCCACTCTGCAGATCCGGATCCTCTCCTCACAGGGACCAAGTACCAGCAGAGGCCCCTGCTCTTTTTCAGCATCCTTTACTCCGCAGACAGCAAAACTACCTTCTGCTTTTGGCACCATTTACCTGGCGACGTCTGTGCGCACCCAATTGCGCACAAACTTTTTTTTTTTAAAAGCAGCATCACAGCTCGGGTTTCGTTGAGTCAGCCTGTGTCTCTCTTTAATGTGGTATATGGATTTGTAGTCTCTGGTAGATTTTGGTTGTTATTGTGATCTGGATAGAAAGAGCAGAACAGGTGCGTAAATCGGCTGCGTTTTTTACGCGTCAGGTTGAAACAGGTGTACAGACGCGCGGTGTTTGGACAGGTGCCGGGGTCAGAAGAACTGAGTCAGAGCAGCAGCACAAAGATAGAAAAATAAAAGGCCAGGGGAAGAAAGTCAAAAACAACAACTAAGAGACAAACAACCCCGGGAGAACGAAAAACAGAGAGAGAGGGAGTGACTGAAAAAGAGAGAGAGAAAGGGAGGGAGAGAGAAAGAGAGAGAGAGAGACACCCCCCTGGAGACTAGCTAGGAGACCCGGCCCCCGGTCTGAGAGAAGGAGTGAGAGAGTGAGGGAGTGAGGGAGTGTTTTAAAGCCGGCAGGAGGCATGATGTCCTACATTAAGCAACCCCATTACGCCGTGAACGGGTTAACGCTGTCCGGCCCGGGCATGGATCTGCTCCACTCCGCCGCCGTTGGATACCCCAGTAAGTAAAGGCCTTTGACTTGAGACTATATGATTTTTTTTAGAATATATTCAAAACTTTCTTTTATTTACCTCGGCTAAAATAATATTTTGTAATTTAAAAGAATTTTGATTTTTAAAAAAGATGTCTAACTCTTGCGTATAATAGTGCGTAAAAATGGTCTTGACTTGTCAGTGTTGTAAAATGTGAGCGGCTGTGCTTCACAAGTATAAGCACATATCTCTGTTTTTTTTTTCAACATGTGTTCCTATGACCTAAAAGTTGTGCGGATTATAGAGTCAAAAACAATAAAATAGAGTGTGTGAAAGGAGACGCAGTCTGTTCACACACAGACTTAACACCAGGACAGACTCCAAGCTGTTCCCCTATCATCTAACCTATTTAGAGAAAGATGCTCATTGTCTTTGATTTTGAGTCGTCCTCTTCTTTTTTTCATAAACAAACACTCCTTATATTGTTCAGTGTGGATTCGTGCTCTGGTGTACATCTGTCAGCGTAACGTGTAGATATTGAATTATAGGATGCTACAGTTTGGCACCGATGACAGGAGGCGTGTTACCAAGCTCGGCCTTCCAGCAGCAGAGTTTGAACAAAGAACACAAGATATCAAACAAATAACGAGGATATTCGTTCACTTATTTAGTAGATTTCGTTTCACCTTTGATTAGTAAAAAAGACAGGACCACTTTTATCTTGAATAAGATAAATTTAAAGCCAAAAAGATTTTTTTTTTCGATCATGGCATGTTTTACAAGTTGCGTAATGACACATGGTGCCAGTGAAAGTTAAAGATGAGTTCAAAATAAATTTCTTCAGTGTTAAGTATGATACATTTCTGCAGTTTATGACATGTATAACCAGGTTAGAATTTCTCGAGATTATCTAAGAAAGCAGGAGAAGGAAATTAAACCATTTTTGCTCCTTGTCTCTATGAGCAAATGTCGATTTTTTTATGGATTTCTCTTCAAAATCTCCGATTGTTTTAATTAAATATTAAAGCTCCAAACGAAAAGACCAATTTGTAAACTGTTGAAATCTCGGGATGTTTAGAGTTAATGTTATACGTGTGAGACAGAAATGAAACAAAGGTTTCTTTCAGAAACGACATTTTGACGCACTCTATGTGTTAAATTTTAACACTGGTTAAATTAAATACTGGTAGGCTTACAATAAAAATGTGATTGTTCCTACAGGTACCCCGCGTAAACAGCGCCGGGAGCGCACCACCTTTACACGCGCACAGCTGGACATCCTCGAGGCGCTGTTTGCCAAAACCCGTTATCCAGATATCTTCATGAGGGAGGAAGTGGCCCTGAAGATCAACCTACCGGAGTCTAGAGTGCAGGTAACAACAAACTCACATATTTTCTTTTTTGTTTATTTCAATGAAAAATTTTATTAGAATACTTTGACAGCAGTGTGTAAATGTTGCTGCATTGACAGAGAAGTGGCAGCCTCTGTGTGTATTAATTAAATAGAGTATCAAAGCATCTTATCTCATTTTAAATCATTTACAGCCTCAGTCTTCTTTAAAATGACCTTATTTAATTGAAACACTGATCTGATGATTCACCGCTCTCTCTGATGTCCCCCAGGTCTGGTTTAAGAACCGTCGTGCAAAGTGCCGCCAGCAGCAGCAGCAGAGCACAGGCCAGTCCAAACCACGGCCCCCTAAAAAGAAGGCGTCCCCTGCTCGTGAGGCCAACACTGAGGCCAGTGCCAACCCCACCAACGGACCCTACAGTCCTCCACCCCCACCTCCAGGCACCGCCATCACCCCCAGTTCCAGCTCAGCCAGCGCCACGGTGTCCATCTGGAGCCCGGCCTCCATCTCCCCTCTGCCAGACCCCTTGTCTGCCTCCACCACCCCCTGCATGCAGCGCACTACCACCTACCCCATGACCTACACCCAGGCCCCAGCCTACAGCCAGAGCTACGCAGGCTCGTCCTCCTACTTCACCGGCCTGGACTGTAGCTCCTACCTGTCCCCCATGCACCCGCAGCTGTCCGGCACAGGAGGGGCCCTCAGCCCCATCACTGCCTCCTCAATGGGTGGGCCCCTCAGCCAGTCCCCTGCCTCGCTCTCCTCCCAGGGCTACACAGCCGCCTCTCTGGGCTTCGGAGCTGTCGACTGTCTGGACTACAAGGACCAAGCTGCCTGGAAGCTCAATTTCAATGCTACTGACTGTCTGGACTACAAAGACCAGAACTCCTGGAAGTTCCAGGTCTTGTAAATACTTAAGAGAGGCAGGGTGGGAGGTGGGGGGGACAGGGGAAGGAGTGAGAAATCAAACAGAATCTAAGTTCATAAACCATGATTGTTTTTTGGTGTGTGTTAGAGGAAGGAAGAGACTCTGGGACACAGAAAGAAACCAATCAGATGATATCAAGTTTTCACTTTTAGCTGTTTCACAGAGTAAGAGTGGACGAGAGCTGATCTGTTGATGCGTGGCTTGATCAAAACAAAGATTACTGTAGTATTTCTAATATGAGCAACATAAAAATCAGCTAAGGAATCACAGACCTGCACAGTGAAAGCACACAATATTTCAGCTTCTGAACCTCAAAAACCCAGCTTTGATTCTCCAGCTCAGTCGATTAGAAATACAAATTACTGTGATTTAAATACAGTTTGATTTATTGATGAGTCCTGGGAGTCAGCATGTGTGGACGGCCTGGCTCATGCTGACTGTCTGTTCAGTAGACTTGGTTTCACAGATTATATTGTGTCTCTGATTAATTTGATCTCAAAGCTCCTGTGAGGAGTTTTTGGATGTTTATAAAATAGACTGAAATTATACTGATGCCTGTATATGGCAAACAAAAGCACACGAGACCATCAGCAACAAGACGGGTGGTTTTGATATTGTTGTTTTAAAGGACAACAGAAGTAAAGGCTGCTTTGTCCACAGGGGGCGCCAAAATCGACCCAAACTGAGGTTCCTCACAGGAGCTTTAATCAGAGAGGGACTGATCTGGTAAAGCCAAAGCACAACAGTTCAGTGACTGAAAAGTTTCCTGCATAGACAGCCTTGAAGTCAAAGAGCCAACGCTCATGTTTCTTCTTCCTTCTAGACTTTGTCTTGTTTTTTTTTTTGTTTGTGAAGTATTTCTTTTATAAAGCTGCTCTTAATCAGTGAGCTGACTCATAAGTCTTTGAGCCAAACATCTCCACCAACCCAAACTGACATCTTTACAGGGTGTGTTTACAGGACGGCTACTTCTTTTGTACATTGTGAGAATGTTGAGCAGACTGAAGCTGATGACTCCCTGTAGCCTTGTATGACACAGCTCCTCTGCAGCCTGCGTGCAATGCAGGTGGAGGAGGTAGAGTTGGTCACTGAGGTGACTGCAGTACAAACCTGTTGCCTTTGAGCATGGTTGAAATCATTAGCAGAGCGGCTCCTACATTGTCGGTTTAATAGGATCACTTTCTCACAAGGGCAACAATGGTCGCTTTGTGGCCGTTGGCAGCCAAGAACTTGCTCCCCCTGCTCCATCTCAGTGTTTGAACGAGGGGAGCAGAGCGCTGAGGGAGTGATTTGTAGACTTTATCATGTTTGCTTCGGTGAGGTGTTTGCAGGAGAGAAGACAGCACCAGAGAAAGGGAAGGGACTGGGCCGCCCTGCAGCCCCCCTTTGCACAGAGAGTTCGGTGCCTCTCTCAGCTTCGACCTGTAAAGATGTGATGGTTTCCACTTTCTGTGTTTGATGTATCTGTTAATTTTTTTGTATTAGATTTAAAAAAATATTATGTTTAAAAAAATTGTGGATTCATTGAAGTAAAATTGTGTTCATTTGTTTTGAAGTTGATATCAGTATTATCATTAATATTATGTCTCCAGCTGACATGGACGTTGCTAATAACTTTTTTGGCGTCTCTTTTTGTAAATATAAAAACTTGAAAATGCAATCATGTCTGGTAGCAGCAATGAGTTGTTACACAGGCGCTCCACCTTCCTACACAATCTCTCTTTCTTAATTTCTAGAAAACTGCCAACTTTTTATTTTTTTCTGTTTGTATTTTTCTGGTTTCTGCTTCTTCTTCTTTTTTTTTCAAACTCAGGGGTTTATCCAATAAACGTAGCAGTAATAGGATGTAATGCTGTTTATGCTGACTGTACTTTTATCTTTTGCATTACTTTAATCTTCTCTTCTTATTTTTCTGACATGAATTATTTTGTATATTTCATTTGTCTGTGTCCAACCAGTCTCACCACTACCATGCTAGATAGCTGCAATGTTTCTGAGACATTAAACCACTTCATTCAAACTCTGGGGTCACTTTGTGTTTTTTTTATTTAATCACTGGATTGAATATTTGCTGTGATTGTTTAAGAGCTACACCTGTTTTATCCCTCCACCCTTTGGGACCATGTTCGTAGAAAAGGGGGCAATGGGAATCAGTTTCTGGGAGCATTTCAATAATCCAAATAAGAGGTTGAGTGGCCGTGAGGCAGAGATGAGAGGGAGCAGGCAGAGAGCTCCAAAACCAGATTAGAACTAACAATAATACTCAGTCCCAATGCTCCAGCCAGCTCCAAACCCAAGTACCAGAGATTATTTTGGATATTTTGGCGAATGTTACAGAGTGCTGCTGCCACTGGGAAGCAATGCTCAGAAACAACACAGGCAGCTCAGGGTCAGGGTAAGTGCACTGGATGAAAGGTTTTCTGCATATGAGATCCTTTTTCAGTAGCAGGAACTTTCCCTGGGGACTAGAAACTTTATAAGTCCCTGCTCAAAAGGTCCAGATGAGCCTAAGTCATGTTTCTCCGAGTCCAAGTCAGGTCTGTCAAAGTACTTACTAAGGACTCTGTTCTTTGAAAAAGAATATTACATATTTCACATAATCTCAAATCTATATGTTACCTCTAAATAAATGACACTAAAAACTGATTTCAGTGAGCTAAAAAGTAACACAACACAGAGGCAAGTCTGGGTCAAGACTGAAGTCATTTTAGTGTGCAACTGAAGTGTGACGAGCTCAAGTCTTGATCTGAAACCCCCATCTCTGGGTCTAGGAGCTCTGGGTGAGACCTGAAGACCATCTCACTACCATTAAAATGTTGGACTTCAAGAATATACATTAGCAAAGTTTCATATTGCAGGTTAATTTGTGTTAAAGTAATCCCCAGATGGGACTCTGGGGGGGGGGGGGGGGGGCTCTGAATGGCTCGTTCACAACGTCACGCGGGAATTCAATGAGATCAGAGTAAGATTTGCTCAAATCCTGACATCACCAGACAGTGAATCTCCTTACATGGACAAATTTGCCATCTTATACAAAGAATCACACCGTTTTTACATGGCAACAGTGAAGGAGGCTTCCAGAAAGCTAGGTTCTGGAATGCTGTTGGTGGTGGTGGTGGTGGTGGTGGGGTCTTAAAGGGGCAGAGGCTCAAATGAGGTTTTTCAAAGAAAGCATCCTGAAGTATGTGAAAAAATGTAAATTAGAAGCTATCAAAGGGATGACATAAAGCCCAAACATGAGCATAATACCCCTTGTTATTGAATTTCCCTTTGGGGATCAACAAAGTTCTTCTTACCTTATCCTTAAAAAGGACTATGATTCACATGTAAAATTCTGGTAGCTGTACTAACACCCACAGACACAGAAAGGAAGAAAGATCTTACCAAGTTATTTCCCATTCAATCTGAAGTTATCTGATCAGATAGGTTTACATTGGCCTTAAATGTTGACTTCACTGGTAAGTACATACGTCTCAAGTCTCAGTTGGTGCCTGATTTACACATTGACTGCAACAGATGAGCAGAGAGATGCAGAAAGAGGCAAGAAAGGGAGGCTGCACAAGAGAAAATATTTCTGCTATGTGCTTCTGTGCAGTTTTCTTTCCTGTTTTAGTCCACTGCAGTATGTGTTGGTGTGAATGGTGATGGATGATGAAGGCTTGAAAATATTGTCATCTTCCAAACCAGGGCTCTGCAGAAAGTTTGGCACCCACTGGTGTGACATTTTTTTGCACGCAGCCACATTTTTCAAAGTCCTGATGCTTGATGTGACCACACAATTTCATCCAATCGCACAGATTTTAAACCCCGGTAACTGTAACACTGCACTATGACTGACCAGTGTTGTTTCTTGGCTGGCTTCAGCAACTTTGTAAGGAAATTTGCCCAGTAACAGTGAGGCTGTACCTTCTGACTGGGATTTAGCCTGAGAACAGAGCTGGGTTCAGCCTCACTGTGACACAGCATAGCCCCAACCATGCAGCCCCAAAGCTCATTAGAAAGTGCAGTTGACTACACTCACGAACCATTTATACCACACTATAATGGTTTGCTTAATGGCTGAGTTTGGAGGGTGTTTTGATGTTTATTTCAATTTAAAAAGTTGCAAATCCAAATGATGCAAAAGCAGATATCTTAATGCAAAGGCAGACAGACTCCTGCACTCTGCAGTCAGTGTGTCCCTGTAATCCTCCTCCTGCAGCAGCAGCAGCAGTAGCATATGGAGCATGAAGCAGAGACACAGACGCAGATACACTCAGGACTTAGAAATATGATTCATTTCTTTCCTCACTCTAATCCCTCAGTAACAAGCTGGTGGCCGGCCTGCTCTGAGGCACACTGTAATCATGCCACAGGCTGCTGCCAGAGCTGACCAGCCCCCTCATCAACCCCCACACCCTCCCCTTCCACCCCTCCCTCCCACCCTCCTGGCAGCCAGCAGTCCATTTTCCTTTTAATCGATTCCTAATCCCGAGGCCGCCAAGCATACACGCGCTTAGCATGCGCCCCAACACTCACACACACACGCAGATATGTTCACAATCATGCATCTATCAACACACACACACACACACACACGAAAACGTCAAGCCAGGATGGAGAGAAAAATGCAGTATGTGTTTTTTTCTGTGCTGGTGAAACAAAAGGGAAAAGAAATCCATCTCTGAACAGAAATGAAGTTCTTTCTGAGCTGCTGTGGAAACATTTTGTGCTGCTGTGTTGGAGCAAAACAAAGTCAGAGCAGGTTAGACAGCAAGCAGTGAAAAACGCTTGTTATAAGCTGTTTGTTTGGGCTGCAATCAGGAAGCAGATCGTGTTTTCATTACAACTTAATTCAGTGTCCTGAGATTCTTTCTCAATCTGTGTGAGTGCACGTGACCAGACAACCCTTTGAATCACTTGTTTGGTTTTATTTGGGTTCAAAGTGTGACAGTTGGATTTTTTGGTCAGATGTTCTGCATTTTTTCTCTTTATTTGGTTCTTTATAAATGTTCAGCACAAGAGGACTCTGCTAGTGCTTTCTCAGATGAAGTATGAAAGAGTAAGAAGTCATGTTTATGTTGGGAATATTAACCCATGGATGGAGAGCAACATCAGTCAGTACAACTGAGCTGCACTGGTGTCCCAGTGGGTCATAACACTCTGCATCATGACAATGAGGGAGCATGAGAGGTACAGCTTGTTAACACACACACACACACACACACACACACACACACACACACACACACACACACACACACACACACACACACACACACACACACACTCTGCACTGTTCCACCCTGCCAGCTCTGAAGGCACTTTTTGGAGGCCGTGTCAAACATCTGATACATAACTTTCAGGTGAAATGAGCTGATGAACTAAACTGGACTTAACTAGCATATAAGTATCAAGCTAAAGTGTTTTTCTTTTTTACAGTGATACAAGTGAGCCAGAACTACATTTTCTATTTGATCAATTTGAGACATCACCAATTGGGGACTCTACCTATGAAGGCATAATGACTGCTGTGGATTTTTTTTCCCCTGTCCCAACATTCTTGGACCCAAATGGGGTTCAAAAACATGCAGCAGTATTTCATAATATGACTTGTCTGCATGGCAACAATGGAGGAGGCTCCCAAAATGCTGAGGGGGCTTACAGAGATAGTTGCTGAAATGAAGACTTTCAGTTTATAGAGACACCAATCTGAGATACACAAAGCATTTTTGAAGTTATCACTCATATTAAGCAAAGACGGAGCGATCAGATGGTCAGTGTGAAACCTTGAAATCAGCAGAGTAGCTCCTCTTTGAACTTTTCACTTATTGAGCCCATAGTATGATGTAATTATATGCATAAGTCAGTGAAAAAGATTTGTTTAAGTGCAGTAATGCTGCTAAGTCACGTCTTGCTGGAATGTAAGTAGGTGTGAGTGATCTGCAGCTGGTGGTAGTAACAGGATCAGTATTACAGTATGAATGGATCAACCAGCCTCTGTCAACCTCAGCATACACTTCTGCTAAGGGCTTTACCGCAGATTACAACTTAACACCTAGTTAATATCACTAATAGTAAAAGTCAGAGTTTAGAGCCACAGATTAATCATATGTCTGACTGAAACACTGGATTATGGGAGTGTTTGGATTTGGGTAATAGAAAATCAAACACAAATGTGATCAGGGACTCAGAGGAGAGCTAAAGGTTGTTAATATCTGTTTGAACACATTTCTAATCTTTTTAACTTTTTCTCTGCTGGATGTTGCTCTTATTTTTTTAAGTGTTCAGGAACTTTCTGCAAAACAGTTTTATCAGAAAAACTCTGCTTCAATTTCAAACTTTGCACATATGAGCAAAAATGCATCTATCTCTTCAGTTGGAAGACTCTGTAGTGTTAAATGACACTCATTACAACCACTGTGATCCAATTTTGCAACCAGTGCTCCATCATTCTGTCTTTGCTGAATTTTTGGACTCTACATCTTTCTTTCCCAGCATCCTCTAGTCCTACCCTCACTCCCCACGTTCCCTCCTTCCCTTACGTGCCCCCTCTTCCTTGCCACTTCTCCTAGTGTGCCCCCTTGTCCCCTCTGCTCCACCTCTCCTTCCAGTTTGTTATTCTTGCTGATCTAATTTAGAGAATGTCCCAAATCCTCTTAGTGTCCTGCTCCCTCAGCGCAACACTAAGTGAATTAGTCAGGATTACTGTCTCCCTCTTCCTCCTCATTCACCTCCTCTTCCTCCTTCTCCTCTTCATCTCTTTGCTGTCCATCTCTCCATCATCTCCCACTGTCTCTCTGCCTGTAAGTCCATCTATCTGTGGACATTTCTCCCTCCGTCTGCAGGATTAAAGCTGTCTCTCTCTCCAGATGACAAATTGGTCACGATGTTCCCTCAGCGACAGATGCTCTCACAAGCCCAGTGCATCATGGGACATAGAGTATCGTTAATTAAACTTTGACCTCTTGCAAATAAAAATAGAAAAAGTCTGACATAACACTGCAGGAAGTGCACCAAACATCCGCATGTACGGCTACA